CCCCTGCACCTGCTCCTGCACCTGCTCCTGTACCTGCTCCTGCACCTGCACATGAACCTGTGCTCGTACGTATTCCTCGCCAAGCTCGACGTGCCCCCCAACCTGCTCTAGTGATTGATGATGATACCCCTGCGTCACCCCCTCTCAAGTTCAGAAGGAGTGAGGAGAACATATATGATGATTATGATATGGATCCATTGGCAGAGGTCACCCAATCAATTGCCTCTCTCACCATCCACCCCTTCCACCATCTTTCTGGAGTGACTGGTTGCCCTGGTATTGTCAAGATCCATTATTGTTTTCCCTATGCCAACTTTAAGGTGGTCCAAGCTGTCCTTGGTGATAAGAAGGATACTGTAGAGGTGAGCCTGTCAACTAACAATGTTACCAGGGACTGTTTGGAAGGCATAGTTGACCAACATGAGATGGATCATATTGCCATCCCCAAGTCTAACCAACACATACTTGTGATCCCAATTGATCCGAGATACAAGGGCATAAGAGCAGTGACCAAAGACAACCATGGTCGTCGTTGGTGGGGAGTGATAATTGTGGCTGCTTCAAAGTCACTTAACAATGACAAATTGCAAGAGTATTTGCTTGAAAACAAAATTTAATAATAAATAGAATAATTTGAAACAAATGACATCTACCTGGGGTCCACTTGGTTGTAAGTGCGGCAGTGAACTCTACCATCAAAGTGATCTCAACGACCTAGATCCCTTAATAATTATGAGGTGAATGTGTATGTTTTGTTGAGAAAGAGTGCTCCAATCGAATTATGAATATCCTCTTTCATTCACATGCCCCAGATATCTCATATCAAACATATAAATAATATAAGTATTACTTTATTTCTCTTGATTGATTGATTGATTGATCTTCAATTCGGTAGTCTTGGCTTCAGAGTCTAGTGTGAATAGTTTGGTGTCACCCATAGTGCCATGGACAAACTTAACTCTTCACACATCATACTAATGCTAAAAGGTCTCAGGGTTTAGAGATTTGACATAACCTTCCAACACTTCATTTTCAATTCATTTCACGATTCAAAGTTATATTAATCGATAAAGTGAACAACTATTTAGTTGTAGTTAAAGCTGTACTGTTTGTAATAATAGAGATAAAGAGATATATAATACATAGATAGATAATAAAGAATGGCGATTGAAGGAAGCATCAAGGTAACAGATGCAGAGAGATCACCTTGCGATATCGAGGGATCCATTATGAAGAACTATGGAATACTGGGTCTCTTGAAACGTTTCTGGTGTGTACTCAAGGGTAACAAACTATTCTTCTTCAAGTACAAAGGTGTATGTATATTCAATATCGAACATAACTTGATCATTCACTCATTGCTAATACTAAAATAATCAATCTTTAAAAGGACCTATACGCAAAGGGATTGGTACAGATTGAAGCAAAGACTGTTGTAAAGAAGGTGAATGACAAGGAGTTTGTCGTTGAGAATATGATTGGAAATCACAAGTCGAGAGATGTGTTCTATTGTGACACTGGTTCAGAGTGCAAGACATGGGTCGACATTATACATAGAAACATATCGATATTCAATGGAACGGCCGTCGTCGCCACACCCGTATTCATTCAACAGGTACCTCAACAGGTGATCTATCAAGGTCAACCACCTCCACAGTACTTCCAAGGAGGTCCTCCACCTCCCCAATTCCAGGGCCAGCCACCCCCTCAATACTACCAAGGCGGCCCTCCACCTCCCCATTTCCAAGGTCAACCGCCTCCTCAATTCCAGGGCGGCCCTCCACCTCCCCACTATCAGGGCCAACAATTCCAAGGCTCACCATATCCAGGCGATCCACAGTTCCAGGGACCATACCCTGGACAGCAGTATCAAGGCGATCCAAACTCGCCATTCCAAGGCGGACCTCCACCTCCCCAAACAGGTCCATACAAGCCACCTCCCCAGAACTATCCACCTCCAGCCGAATTGACTCATCAGCCACCCGGTGCACCACAACTCTATCCAGGTATTGACGATGCTACTCCAGTATCACCGACTCAAACAAAGATTTAAGAAGAAGGCCAAAGGCTAGCCAAGACTCCCAACAAGCATAAATAAACGCCAATTGTAATGTAATGTAATGTAATATACGTAACCAATTGTGATTGGCTCTGGCTTGCCTTTTATTGGATTGCCCACATCATTGATGTGTGTTTAGATCACCTTCTTTCCATTGACGTAGACACTGTTGACGTTCCTGTCGTCACCAAGGAAGATGAACTTTTGGAAGATGTCCTTGGGTGTGTCGTCGGCAAACACATCGAATGGACCACCCTGGACGTAGGGATCGATCACCTGGGCATCAAAGTACTTGCCCTCAACAAAGTTGCCCAGCTTATCCTCCATGCAAACTACTTTACTGCCACCAACAGTGGCCAAGTAAAAGGCAGCCTCGTAACCAAGAGTCTTATGAGTGCGATCGCCAAACAACACGGCGTTGGAGCATTTGGTCGTATCACGGACTGCGCTCAGCAACGAGGCACTGTAACCTCCGCTAACATCGCTGCCCAGACCAATCTTGATGTTCTTTGACAGTACCTTGCGCACATCCAATGCACCACTACCAAGAGTGAAGTTTGACTGTGGACAATGAGCAATAGATGCCTCCTGCTGCTTGAACAAGTCCAACTCCTGATCGGAAAGATGGACACAATGTGCCATGATCGTCTTGTTTGTCAACAGGTCAAAGTGTTTGTATACCTGTCAAGTGATTGTAAGTAAGTACATCTGGGCCATCGAACTCGGGCAATGGAGTGGACCACTGACTTACCTCGGCATATGAGTTGAGGTTCGGATAGAGTGACTTTACCCATTGTACCTCATCAAGATTCTCAGAGATGTGTGATTGGACGAGGGTATTCCTCTCGCGGGCCAACTTTCCAAGGTCGTGCATAAGGCTATCGGTACAGGATGGAGCGAATCTTGGTGTGACAATCGGTTGCACTAATGGGTTGCCACGTGCTTGTAGTTGCTCGACAAACTGTCTAGTGTTGCGGATTGAGTCCTCGGTGGTCTCGACGTAGTGATCGGGTGAGTGTCGGTCCATGCACACCTTGCCAATGAAGCCTCTTTGTCCTCGCTCAGTCACAATGTCTGCCAACAACAGACTGGCATCAAGATGAATGGTGGCATAGTAGCAGCAGGTGGTTGTTCCATTCTTTAGCATCCTGTCCACAACCTTGGTGTAGACGTTCTTGGCGAATGAGAGATCGCGGAACTTGGACTCGACGGGGAAAGTGTATTTCTCGAGCCACTTGAGCAGGGGCAGGTCGGTACCAGTTCCGGCGTTATGGTACTGTGGCGCATGGGCATGTGTGTCGATGAAACCTGGTATCAAAAACTTGTTGCCAAGGTTCACTACCTTGTTACTCTCAAAGCCATACTCTTGTTGGATTAAATTGAACTTATCGTCCGTGTCCACATCAGGTCTAACAAAGACGATGGAGCCCAAATGTGAGACTCCAAGTGCAGCGTTATGTAATATTTGCACAGTCTCCAACTCCAACGAATGGATGATCGTTCCTCTGAATACTGATGCAATTGCGCTGATCATGACACAAGAGTGAGTGAGTGATTGATTGATCAAAGTTGATTGAAGCGCGAAACATACCTCGACATCATGCTTATATATATCTTCTCTTTAGTTTCTAGGTACAGTTACTTGTTATTACTTGTTAATACTATCTTGTATGATTGAATGATGAATGTCTGATCAGTCTTTGCTGTCTGTGCTTATGTGTGAGATTATTTGATCATGATTGAGTGCACGGCCCCATCACCAAATCAATTCAATTCCCAATCAATCTTATCTTACTGATGAGGCATTGATGGGGGTCAATCCTTCCATCTTAAGCATTGCATGCACCACATCCTGGATGTGGGAACCAGACAAGGACAAGGACACGTCCACAAACCCAAACGTTATCCATCCAGGACCTTTGAGAATCAATCAGTCCATCAATCACACCCATCTTTTATTATTGTTATTATTAATACTATATATATTTATTCAACAACATTATGATCGATGATATCATATTAAATTATCGTCTCCCTGATAAAGTTGATGAAGCGTGCAGCATACTCTACAGGATCAACAGCCGATATCTCTCCCTGTTGTTGTTGATTAGAATATAAGTTAGTTACACCATCACAACAACAACAGCAACAACAATATCCAACATCACCTATACCTACTCTATTGAATATCGACTTGTATGCATGCTCCACCTGCTTCCTCAAACTGTACAACATCAGTATATCGATAACGCCCATGAAGTAATACTCGTCCATCGGGTCACCATGTTCATTAATGCCCTGCATACCTCCTTTGTCGTGTTCGAATATTGATATCCTGTGAAGTTGATATATAATTTAGTGTTAGAGAGTGGAGCCTGGCCTGGAGTATGATGTTACATACTTTGGAACCATCAATGGTATGGGACTTTGAACGTTCTGAAGAACGGGAGGGAGGGGCTCGTCGACAGGCTTCAAATAGTCAGAGTCGGTGCGACGGATTGTACCGTTGAGTGAATCGCCAAGATGGCCCTGGCTGTTGGTGTGATGGTGATGATGGTGATGTTGTTGCTGTTGCTGTTGCATCTTCTCCTGCTCCTGGAGGTACTTCTTGGTCTGCGCGATTGACCTGATCTTCCTGGACGCTCGTAGTGTATCCTTCCCCTCATCCTCTGATGAGCTGTAGCTGCTGGTATACTCTTCGCCACTTGATGATCCATCTTCATCCTCTTCGCCACCGGAATGCCCGGTGTTGGCTGTTGTACCAACTGGCTTCTCTACGCTCTCAGCGGCGGGTGCAGGGTCCCTCTTGCGACCAACTCCAATCAAAAGACTGTAGTCCATAATGTTCAACTTGACGAGGAACTTGCAATCCTCACCTAGCTGTTGCATGAACAGCTTCTTCCTGTCGGGTCCAAGATGGATCTTCATGCCCATGCGCCTAAAGTCCAGGTCCTTGTAAGTTGGATGCTTCTTCTTGAGCTCCTCAGGTGTGAGCTCGCGACCTGTTGTCGAGCCTTTGAGATCGAATCGCTGAGTGATGACCTTGGGGGTATAGAACAGGTTCTTCATGACGACGAAGCGCACGTGTCTTCCATTGGCAGGCTTGACCCTATGCAGTCCAAAGAACCTGATCAACAAACTGTTTGGATTGCGCTTCATATGTTCATAATACTCTGGCAACAATGATCTCAATAGTTTGGCTTCTCTCTTTGGTATCGTCTTTAGCACATATTGGCTATCATATGTAAAGAAGAAGATACTACCGCTCTTGCCAGGTGTCGATACTTCGTTCCATGGCTTACATATCGCATGCTTGATTGATTGATCGAATTAGTGAGTTAGTGAGAAGAGTGATTGATTGAATGAAAGAGTGTACATACTTGATAGGTCTGCGCATCAATGTTGAATAGGTTACGCAGCCTTGAGAATGCATGTGGACAATAGTCTTTGAAATCGAAAGTACCTGGTTGTCCCTCTCTGATAATGATTGAATGTTAATGGAATTAATCCACTTCACTCACTCAATCCAATCAATATACTTACACAACTGGCAGTACATGGTGAATGGATGCAAAGAACTGATCGGACTTCTCGTTGATGTTGTTGAGCGATGTGCTTGTGATGCAGTTGAGTATACCTGTTTGGATGGTTCGCATCAGGAGCCATGATGCATGACCCTTGAATATGGTCTCGCCAAGTGCGTTCTTCTTGTGCTCCAAATGCAACTTTCTCTTCTTTCTACGCTTGATTCGCTTCTTCTTCAATATCTTCTCGTCGTTGTTGTCTGTCTTCTTCTCCTCGTGCTGTATGGCCTCCTCCAACTCCTTTTCCAGCTTGTCCGACTTCTTTTTCAGCTTCTTGGACTTGGATAATGGTTCTGGCAAGCCTGTACTCAGCTCCAGGTCTGCTGGAGGGATGTATGGCGTGGACATGCGACGCTCAGTGCCCACAGGCAGTCCCAACATATTGACCGAGCTCCTCATGGACGGTCCTCCAGGTTCAATACGCGTGATCTCTGCCGGGGACATGATGAACACTGTAGGTGCACTCTCTTGATTGGTGTATATAACAGGTCGATCATCCTGTGGTGAGTAGCTGATTGCCTGTAATGATCCATCAGGTCGACTGATAATAGTTGGTGTTGTAGCATATACTATTGATGGCGTGCCAATGGGTTGAGGTACAACCAATGTATCATTATCCTTTAGTTGTGACAAAGGTATCTCCACCACTAATGGATCCTGCTGTTGTTGTTGCTGAGGTACATCCAGCCTATTCCTATGATTGCCAATATTACTCTGTGCTCTCATCCTCTGAGTACCCTTTGGAGACACGGGGAATCCCTATATTCATTCATTGATTGATTGGGTCAGGTCACATGTCCAAGGCGAGTTTGACGAAACATAGACTTACATAATACTCATCCTTGTGAATCTTCTTGTCATCTTCGAAATCCAAATCACTTCTTGGACTGTCCTCCGGTCCATTCGGTCGATGCTCCACCTCCTTGTCATGGTCATCATCATCGTCATCATTGTCAACATGATTGATGGTGACTATTGTTGGAGATACTTCAATAGGTGATAAATAATCGAATTGGATTGGACTGATATTCGGTTGTTGTATATGTTGAAGTTGTTGTTCGAGAGTGACTTCATTGTTATCGTACTCATCCTCTCGGTCACCATCACTGCCATCCTCGTGATAGCTAGGTGATTTGACAATGGTCACTTCTTGATTCATTTACACTATCTATCTATACACAATGTGCTATCCGTTCCATAAATATATATGTCTTAATAATTATCTCTAGCTTATTACTATGAATTCTACAATCTACTCTAATGATGCTATACTCTATTCATTCAATCATCAACAGTCATTCATTCAGTCAGTCATTCAGAAAGGAAGTAAAGGGTGTTTGTTAGATTGCTGATAGACATGATGATGATGTGCTAGCTTGTTTGCTTACTTGTTTGGTATCATCCACCATCCACCATCCCCTCTTCAACGCAACAACCATCCATCTCCATGCTTCTTCCAACAAGGTGTGAATCTTATTACCCCTCACATCCAGTCAGTCAGTCTCTCGCATTCTACAACATATTCAACACCCACCATCAATCAGGCATAAAGGGTAGATAGTGCAACTTTGTGTTTGTGTGTGTTGGATGTGTTTGTTTGTGAAGAGATTGCGAAGGTCAGTTGACTTTGACCTTTGATACCTTATTCGGATAACCATTGCAAACAAATAAGACTTACTTATTAATACTATGGACGCGGCTGCTGCTGTCAACGTCTACATCCAACACAACTAAGTTCTTCATCACTAACATCTCCTAATGAACTTTTGTCCCATCTATTATGGGAATCTTATATAAATGAAGTTTGGGATAGTCCCAGAGGTACTTTAAGTGTAACTTCACATATTCTTTCATAAGATGTCTCCGATAATGATCGATACTTCAAATACAATGTCATTGAATTTGGATGGATGGATAGATATTATTAGAGTTGCATTCACCTCCATGGACCATCATGACCTCTACTTGTCAAAAGAATTTTTCTTAATTTTAGTTGTGAGAACACAAAACAACAATCGACACTCTCTCTCCGTGTCTCCCACCCACCCAATACTCACTTGTCTATCTCTACGACATACTTATATAAATATAAATACACACACATACATATACTTATAATTCTACTATAAGTACTTATACTCTTTAAAGATGGGTTGCAATCAATCAAAGAATGAGGATAATCAAAAGGCAGACGAGAGAAAGCGCAATCCTGATGTAAAGGAGCCAATCTCAGCACAGACACCATCAAAGCAGATAGGTGTGCCCATCAAGGAAGAGGAGCAACCAGATGTCTCCTACTCACAAATGAGAGAGATGGACAACGACTACTTCAAAGACATCATCGACAGAACTGCTCAGAAATTCATCGACGTCTCAACCGTTGGTCCAGAGGCTGCTGATGTATTCTTGGAGAGAGAGAAGGATTACAGGTATGTATTGTATTATATTAAATATATGCTTTGTTGTATCTAACTCATTCATTCAATCAATCAATCAAACATATATAGTTCGCAGATTAAAGAGACATCGATTGGCAAGTCAAGCATTCTATACTCTCTACCTCATCTGTCTCAGTCATGCCAGATGGCCAACCTTCACAACCTTTTGTCTCAACCAGTTCCCTTTGACAATGAATTGGTAAGACATGCAGACATAGTTGATCAACTATATATTGTTGTTGCTAACATAGTACACAAACAAACACAGATGACCAAGTGCTCATCAAGTATATCATCGGCGATTGGCAATATCCATGTGAAGGATTGTGGAGAGTTGGTGGTCTTCTTTGGTACATCGCTCAAATAAGTATATTAGATAGATAGACAGACAAGTAGGATAGTATATATTCAAAGAACAATCAATCAATCAATCAATCAGTCATCACTCAACAATCAACACCAACCTCTGCATTGGCTGCAGACAGCAGGAGCATCAGCAGAGGAAGTAACAGCATCAGCAGCAGCATTAAATGTATCCACGACGAATCGTCAATCAATCACTCAACTCATCACTCAACGCATCACCACCTAATCAATCATTGTTATTAAAGCAAAGTATTTACAGGCAAGCAATCACCAGCAGTGACGGCCGTCCAGGTCCTTCATTATTTACATTCGCTTGATCGTTATCATGATATGACACGACGAGATGATCACTTCTTATTATACAGTATATCGGACAGCTGATTGATCTTCTGTCTGAACTCGTTCAGTATTTGATCCTGTTGTGCCATTGCCAATCAATCAATTAGTTAGTAATGACGGATGGAGCGAGGTGTTGGGCCTGTGCCAGGCACTATTAGATCAACTTACCGCTGGCGGGATATCCCCACTCTTGCTACGAGTGTAGCGCGTCCAAAAGGTGATCTGGAAGAGGTAGGAGTGATAGAAGCTGCCAAACTCCTCGCTGAATGACACGTCCAGGTTGTCATTCATGAGGTCGTGCAATAGTAGTTCACGGTTACGCAGATTAGATACGAATGAGTAGAACTCTTCGGTGCCACTCGATGTTGACTTGAACTGGATGATCTCGGCCTGCTTGCCCTGCTCGGCTGCCTTGTACAGCGTGTCGATGATGTGCAGCTTGATCTTGTCCAGCGTGGCGCCGACGTCCTGGCGTGCGCGTGCCAGGGACAGCCGGAACAGTCTCTCGCCTAGAGCCGGCTCAGCCGTGTCGCGAGGTGCCACTGGCAGCTGGAAGTAGTCGATCTCCTTCTGCAGCTGCTTCCACGTGTATGGCTGTGGCGGCTCGATTTCGCCCGTCGACGAGCGATAAAAGTCCAGGACAGCCTCGAACAGGGCCGGCGAGCGATCAAAGAAGAACTCGCCGTTGGCGTCGGGGCACAGCAGATGACTGTTGCGCTCGCTGAACATGACGCCCAGCAGCGTGGTGGGGTGATTGGCAAACGTTGACTTGTACGTCTCGAAGCGGCGACCGCCGACGTTGAGCACGATGCGGTGTTCGCGCTCTTTCAACAGGTGTAGGTTGTGAATCTTGTCGTTCAAGTCGACGGAGCCACGTGACGAGGATAGTGTATCGCGATCCATTATGTTACTGATGCTACTGCTTCGACTGCCACCATCGGCACGACCCAGTAGTAGTCCGAGTCCGCCTCCAAGTTGTGGGTCATCACTCTTTGGCAAAGTCATCGTCGTCGATGTTACAGTCGAACCAGGTTGGCCCCCTGCAGCAGAGGTTGCAGTAATATTCATTTGATTGTTATTATCGCTCATCATAAGTCAATCTTCTTCTCATTCTGTGTCATATCCTATCTCTCTGTATGTTCATGTGTTGTATTGGTATTGTATATGTTTGTTTGTTGCAAGCCTTGGTGTAATTTGAGTGATTGAGTGATTGAGTGTTTGAGTGAGACTGATAGTGAACACGTTAGTGTCTACCCTTGATTGATGTGAATGAATGAATGATAATGAACTTGATGACGTATTTAGTATTATTATAATTATTTATCAGTTGATCTAATGTTTGTTGTTGTTGGGCAAGAGTCTAAAACAAGCAAGGTTGTAACTTTCTGGGGTTTGGAACTTTGTTGTCCATCATCAACATCTCATTTTTCATCTAAATTGAAAGTTTTGGAGAGTTCATTCAAATCCCGCCAATCATTCAACTTTATTCAATTTGTGATAATAACTGACAACAACAACTTTAACAGCTAATAATATAGCAAACAACTTAATCATCAAAGAGATAATATACATATAGACATACTAATAGTGATAGATAACAAATTGTATTTATTCATTCATACTCATTCATTGTACATATTAATAGATATATATTGTGTGTCAGTCAGTCACTCACTCTTGAGCGACCAGTCTATTCAAAGACATGTTCTCAAAGACACCTGCTGGCAACAACAATAGCACTACAACTAGTACTAGTACTACTACAACAAGTACAGGTACGAGTACAAGTTCAAACATTAGCAGATCAATCAATGATCCTAGAGTGCCAACAACCAATCCAATGCTGATTGGTCGTAGCAATAATAATAATGGAAGACATCTGAAACCTACGCTGTCAACATCGGCACCAATCACAATACCAAAGCGATCGATATCGTCATCATCAGTATCATCATCAATGTCCAGCAGTAGCAGCAGCTTTGGCAACATGGGCGGTGGCAGCATCAACACCAGCAACAACCCACTGATGCGATCTTCATCGTCAGTGTCATCATCACTGTCATCCAGCAGTGGCAGCTTACTGAGGGGCGGACTGATACACAGCAGGTCGACAGACACCTCGCCCTCCTCATCCATGTCATCATCACCATCATCATTGTACTTTAAGCCATCACCACCGACCATACTCCTTCGCCAGTCACCCTCGTCATTCAGCCACTCGGCATCACCATCGTCGGCGTCCTACTTGCGACCCCTCCACCGTTCATCCCCGTCAACGATGACCACGACGAACAATACATCAACAACGTCGTCATCGTCCACGGGTACATCTTTGGCACCAGCTCCTTTGTTCCTCGTGCCAAAGTCACCGCCACCATCATCGTCATTGTTCACAAAGGTCCCATCTAGCGTATATAATAGAGGCAGGGGCGTGGCCCAGAACACAACATCATCGACGACTACAAGCAATTCAATCTCAAAGTCCATTTCAATGTCAAGCTCACTGCCTGGTAGCAGATCTGCTCCACCGATGCTGCCTCCTCCCGTCGTCACAAAGGCACCCCTGTCCACATCCTATCCACCGCCCACCATGCTCAAGGAGGTCGGCTTCCAGTTGTCACAGGCCAAACAGCAGCAGGAGCACCTCAATCAAGACAGCAACAGTGAGCCGGACGATCTGATCCTTGACGATGAGGACGAGTTGGTTGCACAGCAAGAGGAGGATGAGTACCAGGATGCGGAGACGCTCGAGAAGTTTGAGGAGGAGATGTATCAACAATCACTACAGAGTCCTGTGTCGGTGAGTGGCGATGACGATGATGACGAGGATAGCAAGACGACGACCACGACAACGACCACGACGACCTCAACTTCATCAACTGCGTTAACAATGTCTGTTGAACGTTCAAGAAAGAGTGAGAAGATCATGAACATTGAGACATTGACCCTGGAGGACATTGAGAAGATGGCGCGCGAGGGGTGGCCCAAGGAGCCAAGGTTCCACCAGACCGACACCATAATCAAGCTATTGAGCGACCTTGTTGAGCGACACAAGAAGTCAAAGCAACAAATGAAGAGAGACGATGGCTCCATGATGATGAGTGATGGAATGGACAGCGAGATGAAGACCAGCAACGAGAACAACAACAACATGGCATTGGTAGTGCACCAGCAGCAAGAGATCAAGGATGAGATTGGAGATGATATTAGTAGTGCTATCCAAGTGGATGACATTGACAACATCAATAACAACATCAACAACAAGAATAACGATGGCAAGGATCCCAAGAACTATCTGATACAGCATGCGGCTGGCTCAGGCAAGAGCTTCACCATTGCCTCATTGGTCTACAACCTCTATCGACTTCAAGAGGATGGCAAGCCCAAGTATGACCTGATACTGGTGATCAACGACAGGCTACACTTGGACACTCAACTTGGAGCAGTTGTGACAAGGTATGGCCACCACTCAATCAATCAAACATTGTCACTCGCTAACTTGTCTACGCCACTCACAGGTTCTTGAAGAAGAATCATATTACTTCATACGCTCAGGTGGTCACGGCCAAACACTTGGTGGAGATTCTCAATGTTGGTGACACGAGGGTTGTGATCACGACCATGCAGAAGTTCACCAACATCCTGGACACGGTGAAGGAGTTTGATCTGAGCCAGTTCAAGCACAAGAGCATCGCTTTGATCTCGGACGAAGCACATCGCACTCATGGCAAGGCGATCACAAGGAGCATTCACAAGCTGTTGACGGGCGAGACACGACAGACATCAAACATCACCTACTTCTGCTTCACGTGCACGCCCACACCTCGCAGTCTAGAGATGTTTGGCGAGCACCGTGGCAACACACGTGTGCCCTTCTACTGCTACTCACTCGAGCGTGCCCTGGCCGACGGCCACGTGATCAATGTGATTGAGAACTACACCACGGTGGCCATCCTCACCAAGATCAACAACACGGGCAAGACCAACGAGATGGTGGATCAGAAGAAGGCGTCCTATCACCTGCTGGCCAACGCCAAGAACGACAAGAAGATCATCACGGAGAAGGCATCCTACATCATCAAGCACTTCACAAAGCTCAAGGAGAAGATCAACAACGACGACTTCAAGGCGCGTGCCATATTGATCACAACTCAGCGCAGTCAGATCCTGCAGTACAAGACGATCTTGGAGCGAATGATTCGTGATCTTCCCAAGGAGCAACGATTCGACATCATCGCCTCCTTCTCGCCATTCATCATGAACAAGCGTATCAAGGACGAGTCGAGCAAGCTGGTCAATGGCAAATACGCACACTTCTGCAAGCATCGTGATGGTATCTCACAGATCCTAAAGAATGACAAGAATCACAAGGTGCAGCTTATCATCGTGGCCGATAAGCTACAGACTGGATTCGATGAGCCAAGTGTAAGTGTCAGGTAGCCGTGAGGTAGATCACTCAATCAATCATCTAACATACCTTCTCCACCACATCAATGTAGCTGGCAGTAATGTATATAGACAAGATATTGAAGCGAGCTAATGCTGTGCAGACATTGGGCAGGCTTAGCAGGACGGCCAAGGGCAAACAACACAGCTATGTGGTCGACTTTGTAAATACTAGAGACGTATGTGTATCCCTGGACAAGCATCAACCATCAATCAATCACTCACATATCATCAATCCAATCAAACAGGAGATATCCGAATCATTCGGAAGTTATTGGAGAGAGACAGTGCTCAAAGGTGCCACTAAGCATTCGTTCATTGAGATGAGATTGAACAGGGTACTGCGCAAGTTGACGAGTATCGAATCATTTGCCAAGGGTGACCTAAATGATGCCACCAACTATATCATGCAGGATGATGAGATGCGAAGGAAAGAGAAGAAGTCTGGTAGTCTGGTCGATGATATCAATCAGTTCCTAGACCTGTGTGATCAGCTGCAGACGGACAATGGAAACTCCCTGTTCAACTACAAGTTTGCATTCTATCTCAAGGACAATGTGCTGCAGAAGAGGGCGCATCAATCGTTGCAGATGAAGTCCATCAAGGGACTGCTGCTCAACATCCAGAACACTCACACCAACTATGGTTCGTCAACAGGCAAGATTGAGATTGGCAGCGGAGACCATGCACTCCACGCTCCAAAGAGTAGGCACAAGTCTGGAGGCACCAATCAAATGTCCTCATCATCAAACGCTGTGATCAATCAGATCAATCAAAACGATGCATACAGGGTGGCGGCAATGCTCACGGACAACCCTACTGTGGCTGGCGCCAAGGAGGACGTCATGGACCTCGACGCGGACAACCTGGAGTTTGCTCGACAGATCTGGTCGGCCAACCCAAGCATCAAGCTACACAAGCGATTCCTGGAGGATGACAACGAGTCCAAGGGCATGGACTTCTCACCCAAGTCGTTTGGTGAGGGCGTGACGATCGAGCAGTCGATAGAGATGATGGTGGAGTTTGTCGTGCGCAATGGCCCATCATTCGAGAGTCTCATCCATTCGCAATCGCTCAACTCTGTGTTCCCATTCCTCGACCCGAGCAATGAGCATCATCGAACATACAAGGACAAGCTGGCCGAGGCTAAGCGCATGCATGCCCATGATCATCAACACATCACACTTCCGGTGCCTGCGATCAAGCTCCAACCTCTCCCATCGCCCGCTCTGCCTCCACTTGCCATCGTTCAGAACACGTCTTCGGTTGACACCGTGATGTCAGACTCCACACTCAAGTCGCCACGCCCGCCACAGTCGATACCCAACGATATACCCTTGCCATCGCCACTGCCCGTGGTCAATCCCGATGCCATTGTCGGCAAGCCTCATTCTGCTGGTCGCGGTGATTGTTTGTTGGCCGATTGTATCCTCTCATTCTGCAACGATATGGAATCAAAGGATGCAGGCATGCGAGTATTTGCCATCCAGACATTGGGCAGCATGGCCAACGAAGGTATCCACAAGAACACCATCCATGAGTGTGTGGGCTCAATCAACAAGCTGCTACAGAACAAAGCCGAGAGCATCAGCGTCAAGATGGTCGCGTTGGACCTGCTGGCGACGATTGCATTCAACGATGAGCCAACCATCCTGCAGATACTCGAGCACAATGTCATCTCAACGGTGATCAAGCTCATCATCTCCTCAGAGGAGGTGTTGAAGGCCAAGTGCTGTCGCTTCCTGGCGTCGCTGGCAAAGGATGTGTCGATCGTGTCCAGCATCCACGAGAATCAGGGCTTCCAGTCCATCACGCCACTGCTCGAGAGCTACGACTACTATGTGACGGAGCATGCACTCAGACTGCTGATTGCGCTGTGCAGTGAGGAGAGATCGATCAAGTCGATCCGGCCACTGTTTGACGTCAACGTATGGAGTCGACTCGAGCATCACAAGATCATCGTCATACAGGAGCTGACTGGCAGCCTAAAGGTGTTGCTCTCTGGTACCAAGCGTACTCACCATCAGTTCCAGCCCACCGTTGTCAACACCAAGAGAATACGTTCCTCTGCCAACATGCCTGTGTTATCAAAGTCCAACTAATCACACGTTGATTGATTGAATAAACAATGAATGTATCATCATCATAGTGTCTAATGCCTCACAGGCCAATGCTGAGTTTATGAGATTGCTCCAGTCAACGTTCTTCCATCGTCTATTCCTTCATCCGATGCTCTTTGGATCATTGAGGTGACTACTTGTATGATCACGTCACACAATGACCAGTGTCAACGATCTGACAAATCCTCGCAATGTTGTATATTGTCCAACAAGGCATATGCACTGATGAAGGGAATCCCCATTATGATCTCGCTGCCATGTCCATCAAAGTGAGTATACGCCATATGACTATGTGTGTTGATCGATAATCTGCTGAAGAGTAAGTAATGACTTGTCTCTTTCATGATCATCTCTTCACTTTCTCTTCTTCTCATGCTTGGTTGACTTCTTTGCCTCCTTCTTTGCCTCCTTCTTCTTTGTTAGCTCCTCAATGATCAATGATCTCTGCTCATCTTGACGTGATGCTTGTGTTTTGTGAATCAAGTTAGTGATCTGTCAAGTGAGTGTGTGCATGTTAGACATACCCTTCTCAATGCTCTCGCGCAGTGCCTCAAGTGAGGGTGGTGCAGGCTCAGGAGCATTCAGTTGTTGTAAGAATGACAAGTATGTCTTTGAAGTCTCAACCTTGTTGTTGTGTTTGTTGTTGACGGCCCTTTGTGATGAAGGTATGTTAAAGATAGCCTTCTCCAATGTTGACCTTTCCTCCACGCCTCTATTGTTCACGAATGGTCTTCCATCGATATGATCAATGAATGCATCCACAGATTGTTTAGCAATCTTTACATAACATCTTGTTGGAGTGTTCTCCTTCGTACTGCATGTTATGTCAATGATTGATTAGTCATTGATCATTGAGCACACATTACATCATAATACCAACCCTGGATAGCCCTGATTGTACTCTACTATCTGTACTGCCTCTTGCGTGAATGTCTTGTAGATCAACTCATGTAACTTCTGTTCCTCGAGGTTGTGAGGAAGGTTGCGTATGACATAGATATCGCTCATTCTATATATCTTCTTTATCTGTTTGATTGTCTGTTGGCGAAATGGATAAAATATCTAATTTCAAGTTCTGTCATCCTTTACAATTTATCACTTTGGGCTCCCATTGTGTAGTTCCTACATCAATTAAATTGATTACCAGGATATCAAAAGTATACACGACCCGGGTAATTATAAGAATATGATGGACACTATTATTTCCAAAAGTGGATAAAACTTGACCCAAGGACATGTCATGATAAGTCATATGACTTTGATCGCCCATTATTTTAAGCTCTCAAATCAAATTTAATTTAATTCAATTATAATTGAACAACAATGTGTGTGAGTGTGTATTAGGTGTTGAACATCAAACTAGGACTCAACACATCAACAACAACAACAATAACATTCAATAATCAATATTCGTATTTTGTATAAATAATTATAACTAATAACAACAACAATGTCTATGCTTAGAACTATTATTGCACGTTCATCTGCTCTGAAGCCAAGATTGTCAACTTCACAATCATTCTCTGCCTTTGTCATCAGAGGTGACAAGATCAAGGACAGAGAGGATGCCCTCGAGACTGAATACGTCAAGATGAAGGAGAAGGATGACCTTAGAAGAATGAAGGAGGTAAGCATCTAGCCAATATCAAAAGAATGAACCAATGAACAAATTACTAAGTTTGTTATGCAGGTGATGAACGCCAAGGAGAAGGAGGAATCCGAGAAGAAGAACAAGGAGAAGGTCAAGGTGTCCCAGGAGCAGAGAGAGAACGAGATCAAGACCCTCGAGAGACAGATCGAAGAGCTCAACGATAAGCTCGAGGCTCTCCAGAAGAAGAAGAAGAACTAAGTTGGCTTCCTGGCCATCCAACAACAATCAATACGATGCAGGGCAATCAACATGCATGCTATGCATCCATCCCAATAAATGACTGTGTACATCCAAATTCATATCCGAATGATTTGAATGATTGATCGATCATGGTTGTTGATTGAGTCGCTTGCTCCCTGACTGTCAGGTGATTTATTCCTCGTCTTGGTCATCGCTATCATCGCTGTCATCTTGAACACCTCTATGATTTGGATTGAATCCCATGCTGTCAAGTCCACCATCACTATCGCTGTCTCCATTATCCTCTTGAACTAATGTTTGTTTCTGTACAACATCATCAAACTCGCTTGGCCTACATTGATTGATGTTAGTTCAACCAACATAACATACATCTTCATCAAATGTATAACATACCAAATACCTTGCTTCTTCATATACTTTAGGTTGTCGGCTGAGATGAGATGTACGATTGAGGTTCTGACCTTGCTGGTGGTCTCCTCTTCGCGCTCGACGATAGCATAGTTGCCCAACTTGATCCATAGTTTGCCCTTGAACTTTGTTGGAATCATTGCCAACACAGTGGCGCCGTCTGGATACTGTACCTCGACGATGTTGCCTCCTCTAAGATCAATGATCTTTACAATGGACTGATCGTCCTCTGGCATAAAGCTCGAGTTCAACGCATTTGTTGTGACATGTTTACGGGCGTGGCTCATCAGTTATCTATCTATCTATCTATCTAATTCTAACTATGTTGACTCCTTATTGTAATATATTGTATTTATCTGTTTCCCATTCATTGAGTATCAATTGAAAATGTATGTTTTTGAAACGAACGAAAGTCCCAAGAATCACTCAATTATGACAATTACTTAATTATTCATATTTATTTGATCATTTCAATCAACCATCAATCCTCAAAGTGAGGAATATAGCTTGTTATATTGAAGTGCAGCAATGCTTGTGATATATATGAGTGTGGATGTCTCGATCGACATGATTTAGTTCTTCTTGACGTCTGGGATGGTGTATGTGTTGAAGATGGTGTTGGGTCCAAACCATCGGCCTGCCAGGACGCCATTCCAGTATGCAGTGGGGAAGACGTACTTCTTCAAGAACATTCCATAGTAGCCTGGCTTGGATTGATCCCATGGGAATGTTTCAGAGACGACGCTGTCATACTTGAACTCGGCTAGCATCAGTGAGTTGTAGCCAGTGGTGATTGGACATGAAGTGTATCCGTCGTACTTGGCCGCCAGTGGCTGGCCGTTCTTATGATGGATCAGGTTGGCGACGAGACATGGTGCCTGCTTGGTGATGGCCGCCGCCGTCTTTGAAGTGGGCAGGTTGGAGCAGTCTCCCAATGAAAAGACGTTCTCGTACTTGGTGTGCTGGAGCGTCTCCTTGTTTACGGTGACGTAACCTGTGGCTGGGTCGGCAAGTGGGGAGTTCTTGACCTCTGGCAATGGTCCCATTGGTGGGACGACGTGAAGCATCTCAAACTTCATCGACTTGTTGCCCTCTGGCGTCTCAAAGATGGCAGTCTTGTTGGGGCCATCCACCTCGATCAGGTTGTACTTAAAGTTCTGTTGCACGTTCCTCTCCTTTGCCAGAACGTCCAGTGCGTCCGAGTACTTCTTGACGGCAAACATCGACACACCAGCCGTATTGAACATAATGTCCACTTCATTGCGACAGTGGTTCTTGCGGAAGTAGTCGTCGGCCAGCCACAGGATCTTCTGGGGCGCGCCTCCACACTTGATTGGCGTGTTGGGGAATGTGAAGATGGCGGCGCCACTCTTGGTTGACTTGATGAACTCGAATGTCTTGTCGACAGTGTCGAACGAGTAGTTGGTGGTGACACCATTCTTGCCCAACGTCTCTTTCAGTCCACGGATACGGTCCAGATAAAGTGTGATACCAGTGGCCACCACCAAGTAGTCGTACTCTAGCTTCTTGCCAGTCTTGGTGACAACATTATTGTTGTCTGGGTTGAATGTTGCCACAGCATCCTTCTCCCACTTTGCACCCTTTGGTATAAAGTCAGCTTCATTCCTTACACTCTTCTCCTTTGGGAATATACCACCTCCAACCAATGTCCACAAAGGTTGATAGTAATGCTTATCAGATGGTTCCTACATTGAATGTATCTGTATCAGTAATTGATTGATTGAATGTATGTAGTTCTACTTACAACAATGGTGATATCACCTGCACTCTCAAACTTCCTCTGCAACATTGATGCAGTTGACAGACCACCCGTACCTCCACCAACGATTACAATCCTTGTCACTTTATCATTGGGTGCAGTACTGTTTGTTGTTATTGGTGCAACATTTGGTACACTCATCGATGAGAATGTTACCAAGAATGACTTGAATAGGTCTGCCATATTTGTTTATATGTATATCTATATTGTTATACTTATCACTGATTGATTGATTGATTGAATGAGTAGTAATAGCAAGAAGTAATGAGTGATGCATGCCCCAGGGTGGACTCACTTCACCTCAATTTAGGTGGCTCACATTCACTTCACTTCTCCCAAGGTGACATGAAGATGGATGGGATGGTTGGTGGATGTATTGGGGTTGAGGTTGTGTTTGGATTGTTTGTTTGCAGAACTTGAACTAAACACACGACAACACTAATGCAAAGGAAAAGTTGAGATAAGATACTATATTGGGCACTAATCTAAGATTGATTGTTATAATTATATATTATTACCATCACAAACACACAGATATACGTCTATTTATAAATAATCGTTTTGTCGTTTTCCGAAAGTGTATGTTTGTTGTGGTCCCGACATGGTATCGTGTTGGTTCCCCATTTGAATGGAACCAACCCACCCCGTCTCCACCACACACAATGTGTCGGTCGGAACTTCCAATATGAGATATCCATGTGTACTCCCTTAAAGGTCGATGTTGGTACTAAGTGGAGTGCCTTGCTTCGTTTGCTTGCTGGTACCTGGTTGCTGTTGTTGTTGTTGCTGTTGTACAAGTTGTGGCGAGGGCTTGACGGTGAGGTCTCGCTCACGTTGCAAAGCCTTCTCCACACGCTCATTTAGATTGTTGATATGTTGTTGCTTCTTCTCCTTTAGATTCGATGCCTTCTTCTTTATCTTATTCATACGTTCCTGCACAATTGACATCTCCTTCTTCATTGTTTGCAGTTTAACCAAGTATTCACTAATCTTCCTAAACTACATTATTGTGATGTTTGTTAGTTAGGTCGACTTGCCATGCCATTTCAATGCGCAACAACATACATTGTCAATGATCACATCAATGTTCTTGATTCCTTGTAGCTTCTGATTCTCACCGATTATCTGTGCGAGCACTACTGCTTGCTCCTTTTGGATCTCTTGTAGCTTCATGGTCAGTGCATCCAGAGGTATCTTGTTGAGCAGTAGCAGTCCCTCTGTCAAGTCGGGCACACCCTTGCTCATCTCATTGTTTATATTAATAATCTCTTGGTCGAATGCTGACAATGTACCTGGCTGTTGTTGTTGTTGTTGTTGTTGGACAGCTATTGATGTTTCGGCTGAAGTTGTTGTTGTTGTATCTACATTTTGTTGTTGCTGTTGTTGTGTTGTACCTTCAGTGGCAGCCACGGCCACAGGTATATGTGTTGTTGTTGTTGTTGTATCACTCGACATGTATATATGTTTGAATGATTAGTTATAAGAATGAATGAATAAATGAATCAAAATATCATGTTTTTGAACAAGTTGTAGATTCTTCCAATGACTTGCCTCACACAAATATTGGTTCATTCAATCTGTTATCCATTGTCAGACTTACTACAACAACAACAATCAGTACTAAACATGTACACAACATTCAACTTACCCGATCTTATCGTGTTTGAGATCTTCAAATACCTGACGTATTATGAAGATGTTGTTGTTGATGCATTATGCTTCAGCTTGACATCTAAACAAATACGTACACAATTCATAAAGATAAATAAGAATTATATTAATAATAATAAGTTACAACTTAATAGAAAGGTTACAATTGGTATTATTACTAAATCAACAATCAAACTTGTTACTCCTCTCCAAATGTTGGCAGGCATTGGAAATCCAATAACCGAACTAATATTCGTTGATGAAGATGTTGTTGATTTAGATGATGGAACCATACCAACAACAGTAAACAATCTCAAATGTGTAAACTTTAATCAATATAATCGATTGGCAACATCAAAAACATTACCTCCATCAATCACAAAGCTTAGACTTGATTCATTCAATATCAACAACAACAATATTCAACTTAAACTCTGTCCTGAGCATCTGCCATCACTCTCATCATTGAGAATCTGCTGTGCCCAGGAGATCAAGCCAAACTCCCTTCCGCCATCACTGACCCATTTCGCGGCCTCGGTCGAAACGGTGCTTGAGCCAGGCTCTCTGCCACCACATCTCACTTGCTTGAGATTATATATGACGTCGGAAGCTCAAGTGCTACTACCTGGTCTGCTACCACCCAAACTCATTGAACTGGACCTTGGTGACCGATTCTGCACGGTAATCCCACCTGGCGCGCTCCCATCATCATTGACGTCGCTCTCGCTTGGCCATAGGTTCAATCACCCATTGACCCAGGGTGTTCTCCCTCCATCGCTCAGAATCCTTGAGTTAGGAATGTCATTTAGACAGACGCTAGCTCCAGGCGATCTGCCATCGTCACTCTCCAAATTGGTCACACGTCATGAATTAATGAATATAGTCATTGGGTCATTGCCATCATCCCTCATGGATCTGACCACAGCTACTGTGTATGCTCTTGAGCATGGAGCGTTGCCAGCTTCGCTCAAGCATGTCAGGTTCCTCTCGAAACCTAATTTGGAAGTTGGATCACTACCTCGGTCATTGGAATCATTGACGTTTGTGAAGCTGCTTTATTGTTGGAAACCTTGGATCATCCCCGCTGGCTTAAAGAAATTGACCCTGGACTCTAAATTTGACCATCGCATCCTGCCGCACGACTTGCCAAATGGTCTGACCGATCTAGATCTTGGACATGCATTTGATCACCCGCTTGAACCGTTCACATTGCCAGACAGTTTGACCAGAATTAAGTTGAGCTATAACTTTAAGCAGCCCATCCTATGTGGAATGCTCCCATCCTCACTCACTCTACTTTCGCTGCCCAGAGATTACAAACAAGAGATTGAGCGAGGTGCCCTACCAAACGGATTGAAGACAATGATAGGGCCAATCAGTTACATCAAGCATGCCCCACTCTCACTCAATCATTATGTTGCAACAGGAAGGCTTGACAATATTGATAATGTTCCAACACCAGATACACATTCACTCAAGCTAGGATCACTAAATTATAGGGTGAAGAACAAACTTAAGTTATGCAAAGTGATCGCTCAACTAAGTCCATATGTCAGCACATTCATTGTCGACATATTCATTGACGACATTGACGACATTAACGAGCAAACGATCAGAGTACGAATAATTGATCAAACAACACAATTGGCAATGGTCATTATCAAAGAGCATCTTGGCCAACCCAAAGATTGCCTAATAGTATCAATCAAAAACCATGTCCGTTTTGGTGCACTTCCATTGCTTCCATCGATGATTGATAGGTGATCTTTTCAATCAATGTTAGATATTCTAGATTTTTGGAAGTGGTACTTCATCTTAAGATCAAGATGGATGGAAGGGAAGAATGACCCATAACCCGACACTTTCTCTGTGAGGTAATGTCACTTCGTGGATTGATAGATGGATGGAATGATCAAACAGGTGTCTCATCAATCAAGCCTTCGAGAACTCCCAATTTTTTAAAAACTTTGGGAAATTGACGTGTTCTGAACAACACAACACCAAACGAAAGAACAATAGTTGGAACAAGCAATAACAAACAACAAAACACACAAACTTCATTCAAGTTCAGTTCATTCATTCATTCATTTTACTAAATACTTAATACTAATAAATATAATAATATAACATATAACAATGTCAAACTATAAGTTCGGAACCAATGTTATCCATGCCGGTCAACCAGCTGATCCAGTCTCTGGTGCAGTGATCACTCCAATCTCACTCTCCACCACATTCTTGCAGCCATCACCAAATGTCTTGCCTGCTGTAAGTCACTGACACAACGACAACGACGACGATGATGACGATGAAGGTACCTCAGATACTAACATCATCTCAATAATATATCATTAAAGGGATTCGATTACTCTAGATCAGGTAACCCAACTAGAAAGGCATTGGAGGAGTGCATTGCTGCGATTGAGAATGCCAAGTATGGACTTACTTTTGCAAGTGGATTGGCCACTTTGACTACGATCATCAACTCGCTGCAGGCTGGTGATGAGGTGATCTCTGTTGATGATGTCTACGGAGGCACTCGCAGATATATGTCTCGCATTGCCGCCAACTTCAACTTGAAGTTCTCCTTTGTCGACATGGCCACCACTGATCAGCTGGCCGCCGCCTTCACCGACAAGACCAAGTTGGTGTGGCTCGAGACCCCCACCAACCCACTGCTCAAGGTGGCCGACATTAGATTGATCGCCGACTACGTTCACAGCCGCAACGCCATCCTCGTCGTCGACAACACCTTCATGTCGCCATACTTCCAGAACCCATTGGACCACGGTGCCGACATCGTCATGCACTCAATCACCAAGTACATCAACGGTCACTCTGACGTCGTCATGGGATGTCTCGCCACCAACGACGAGCAGCTGTTCACCAAGTTGAAGTTCCTCCAGAACTCCATCGGTGCCGTGCCATCGCCATTCGATTGTTTCATGGCCCTGCGTGGCATTAAGACTCTGCATCTCCGTATGAGAGAGCACGAGAAGAACGCCTTTGCCGTCGTCAAGTTCCTCGAGTCACACGCCAAGGTCGAGCGCGTCGTCTACCCCGGTCTTCCATCGCATCCCCAGCACGAGATCTGCAAGCGTCAAATGAAGGGCTTTGGAGGCATGGTCGTCTTCTTCATCAAGGGTGACATTGCCACCTCTCGCAAGTTCCTCGAGAACATCAAGTTGTTCGCTCTTGCCGAGAGTTTGGGAGGTGTTGAGAGTTTGATTGAGTTGCCGTAAGTACCGCCCCAAGTGGCGCAGTTGGAGAATGATAACGATGTCTCATACTAACTAATCCTTTTCCCGAATGAATGAATATATAGATCTGTTATGACTCATGCCTCTGTCCCATTGGAGGAGAGAATCAAGCTTGGAATCACCGACACTTTGATCCGTCTGTCTGTTGGTATTGAGGACATTGATGACCTCCTTGCCGATCTCCGTCAGGCTTTGGACAAGATCTAAATCAATGGAAGTAGATCACAATCGTAATAATAACATATATGTTGGCGAACATTAATGTTTGTCTCATTTGTAACAGCAACAACTACATTGATTGATGAATGATTGATTGATTGATGTAACAGTCGTTTATTCACTCATTTGAGATGATGATGAGGTGGTGGATGTAGTTGGTCTACTCTGCTGGTACCATTCTATTGGAGGACGAATGTTTAGATCCAGAGGAACGTACTCCTTCTTCTGGTACTTGGACTTGATGAATGCTTCCTTCTCCGCCGGCAGACTGTTGGCATCTATCTTCCTATTCTTGAGTCTACACTCCCAATACTCGTTGGACACCGCATTTCCAATTGATTGCATGATCTGGAAAATGAATGAATGTGTTAGTACATCACTTGATTGAATGGTGCACCATCACCATGGTACACATACATTGAGGTTGTTCATCTCATGGATTGCATCATCGAAGAGGACAGAGTATATCTCTGACATTTGTAGACCAAGCACGGACTGATGTATCTGGCAGCAGACATCACAGAGGAAGCAGCCTAATGATACAGAGGCCCATTCAGGATCAGGTCCATTACAGTCCGAGCAATATCTATTACAATATCTATTCCTTATATCCTTGAGTAACTGGCGTTTGTCCAATGCGAACATGTCTTCCAGTGACTCTGTTGATGTGAACAGTCTCTTCCTCTGGCGCTTGAGCTATATCATTTGATTGAATCAGTCGAGTGTTAGTTGTGATTGATCAAGATATATGATCAAGATATATGTTTGATTGAATGGAGTAGACTTACAAGGTAAGGATTGTCTTGGAGATAGTCTGGTGAAGACTCGATTGATTGCATCCAGTGATCTGCCTGTGATTTGTTGGCATCACAGGTGAGTCTGATGGTTTGGAATAATGTCTTGAGTACAATGATGTGTTTGTTGTGCTGTTCATTCTGTTGTCGCTTAACAGTGCTGTAGCGTAGACCAATGACACGCTTGGGAAGACGATCATTGCTCGACTTATATATACGTATTGAGGAACTAGTTAAAGTTACCCATGATTGATTGGATGATGATGTTCCGTCCTGGCCATCGATATGTACATTGRAAGTGTGCCTGCTGTAGCGTCGCCTGTTGCTGTTGATGCAACTGCAGTTGCTGCGCAGACGCACGCAGGTTGGAGCCGGGTGTGCCGGGCGCCAGGCCCACGTCCACATAGTCCAGACCCTCGATGAACAACTGGATACCAGACTCCCGGCTTACGCTTAGCATCAGGATGGGCATGTCCATTGGAAGGGCTGATCGATCTGATGAGCCCCATCTCTTGAAGTGGATCTTGTAGCCCTCGAGCGCCTGCAGTAGCTTGCGCTTGCGGAGTACCTTGTGCAGGGCATCCTTGACGGTGGAGTTATGGCTCAATCGCAGGACAGTGTGCTCATTGAAAGGTGGCACGAACACCTTGATGTGGACCGATGCCTTGGGACTAGACAGCTTGCGGATCTTGTTATGAGTTGTGGATGTTGAGAAGAAGAGGTTGGGGTCGAAGCTGATCTGTGGCGGGCTGGGGGTTGGTGAGTGCGCGACCTGGAACGAGCCACATCCGCCTCCAAACGTGGCGCTCAATGTCCTGTGCTCCTCCTCGTCCAAGATGCGAACATAGTTCATGGGGAAGATGCCACGTGTTGGCTTGGCATTGGTGCTGGCGCTGCTAGATGAGACCTGTGGCTCATCTTCGTCCAAGTGTCGGCCGTGCCACCATCCATCGCTTGGCTGCTCACACACCACAATGATGCTGTCCTTGATAAGCTCCATTTCGTCATGGCAATCTGCTTCAAAGTCATACAACACTACGGCATAGGCTTCGCCACTCTTTAACGTTCGTGAACTATTGTTACGACTGGCATTGTTGTTGCCAGTGACCAATGGATGATTGTTGCGAGCAAGTTGGCTGGGGACGTGCGCCAACTTCCAATCACCATTGACATGTTTCTCTGTGGTTATTGATGTGGGGAACGATGACAATATGTCACTGCTGTCGCCTGCGCATCCACCGCTGCTACTGCTGCTGCTAGAGTCAAGTGGTCTCAATCCAGGTGTGAAGCCAATGCTGATCATGTTTGGTCTGTAAGTGTCCTTGATCCCGCCGCCCTCTTGGATGTCATCCACGCTTGGTAACAGTGCGCCAAGGTCAGACAATGAGCCAAACGACAGTTGGTTATTCCTGTTTATGAGGTGATCACTTCGCTTGGTGGGTGTGTGGTTGTGGTGATGGTGATGAAGTAGTTGATGTCGCTGCTGATGGCTGGCACCCACTAGTCTCGATTTGGACAGCAAGCCCTTGTGAACTGACGCTCCACCACCTCGTGGTGATCGCATTATCGCCTTTGGTTTGACAGACACCCACTTTCCAGGTGCTTGTACTGCATTGCCTTGTTGTTGTTGTTGTTGTAGTTGTAGTGGTTGTGGTTGGTGTTGTGATTGTTGCTGATGATGTGATGATCCACCCAATGATCCATCAACACTTGTGTTTCGTCTGAGTTTGGTCACCATCTTTGGTGAACCCAATGCTCTACTGCTAATATTTGTGTTGGTAGTAGTAGTTGTCGCACCATTATTACTAATACCACTATTCATTATATAAATATATATGTATAAGTATTATTTCTCTCTAATACAACAAACAAAGAAACTACAAGTAAAGAAGGTATGCTGATGATAGTATAAACAACAACATAAATGTTGTGGTTGGTGGATTGATTGATTGGTTGATTGTGTTTGATTGATTGGTTAATAGTGAATGAATGAATGAATCAATGTAATGAATGAAATGAAAGAATGGAATTGTTGCCCAACAATTCAAGCGCCATTAATCAAGACGACGAGCTAGCTCAGAGCGATGAGATTGTGATTGAAGGTCCACCAATCAGGTCCATCATCCCCCACCCCCAAGGTTGGAAAAACCCTGTTTGATTACAATAATGGGTCCAAGTCTAAACAGAACCCAAGACATACCAACTTCCCACAAAATGTGGCCTTCTATGGACCTGCAATGGGAAAAACGACGAACTGATTTGATTTTCGGAGATAAAACAGATCAGATTTAAACAAGATAAAACACTGAGACCAACAATGAGATTATCCATTTATAGAACTATTCAGAGACAATCAATTGATCAAAACACTGGATTGGTTCTTGTAAATCAGATGGTTCTTGGACACGTGTATCTATACTTGATTGATCATTGTTTTGGTTTCGATAGAGAGATACAATGTAATCATAGATTGAACTGATGGGAAATCTATTCTTTACATTGGTTACCATATTTCCACGTTTGACTTCTTTCTCTTGTTCAATCTTGATTGATTCTTCTTTCTCTTTTTCTTTTATATACTCTTTTTGGAGGATATCAATAGCATACTTGGTCAAATGATTATAATAATTATAATATATAATCTTTATACTTGTACCATAAGATACTAAAGATAAATCACCTTGTTTGTTCATATATACTAGTATTCCATACCATAATTCATTCAATGTTAGATTGAACTCACCTAACTTTAAAGAGGAGAGACCTTCAGGTCTGAAACCAGTGATCACTTGAACATTGATATCCTGTTGATGTAGATAATCTTTGTAGTTCTCAATCCAAACTCTTTTGGCCACATTCAATTGTTGTCCTTCGTATAACAATATATTTGTATTTGTTTGATTAAATACCAACCAAATATTTGTTGGAACTTTAATATCCGATGTTGTGAATCCACTTCCAACCTCTAAATAATTGGATATCTTAATACTAAATAGTTTTGATACTATTAATGTTATAATTAATTCTAAATTTCTCCTATGCATTCTTCTTTTTGTTTTTTTTTATGTATTGAAATGAACATTTATCATACTCTTTATTCAAGAATATAATAATAAACTCCTTTTGTTTTAAGGCTCTTAAATCTATAAGTTGTAGGCAATCAGATATATAATAATAATAATAACCAGTCATCCAAAGTTGGACAGCCAACTTTGAAAAGTGCAACGTTACTAGGTCCCCCAGATATTCATTCAAAGGTGGATGAAGGATTGGTTTGCAGACTTTTCAAAGTTTGAGGTCACCATGATGACCTTGAATGATCATCAACAACATTCAATTATAACTTACAAACATTATTTATATTATACACATAATAACCAGTATCAACAAACTAGTGTTGATAGATTGTTGATTGATCATTGACTATCGATAGGTCACATTCAAACAAACTAACATGGCGATGAATCAACTAAACTTTGACTTTGACCAGATGCGTGAATATGATCATTCATCATCAGGTGTATGTTGACTCTATACGGACACTCACGACGACTCTACATTGACGACTAATCATCAACTATCAAAACAAACAAACTAACAGATGCTAGAGTATGGAGACACAGATACATATGGTGCAACGAATGAAGATTTGATGGTGGGCAGATTGGGAGGAATGCCAATATCGAATGAACAGAGATATATGGAGGAGGTGCCAATGTTCACATTGGAACAGGTGGACTATAAGCCAAAGGGCATACACTCTATGCTCGTCTGCTCAAACAGGATCATCATCGCCACACAGACTTCGCGTATCATACGTCTCGACCTCAACAACCCATCGGACCTAGAGGAGATTGAGTTTGCTCGACCCAACGAGAGGATATACAAGATCTTCCTCGACCCCTCAGGACTCTACCTGCTGATCTCCATGGAGAGCGAGGAGGTCTACTACATCCATCAGTCGTGGAAGAAGCCCAAGCCATTGGGCAAGCGTTGGAACGTCGGTCTGATCGAGTCCATTGCCTGGGACGATCCCATCGATGGACAGCCTCAAACCATCCTCATCGGTAACAACAAGGGCAAGATCTTTGAGACCACCGTCACAAACATCGAGCGTGGTTTCATTGGCGACGTCTTCTCACAGGGTCAAGCGCCCATCAGATTTGTAAGTCTTGTCGAGTCGTGCCGATCATGTGATGCATGGACTCAATCAATGCTAATACTCCATCAATCAATCACAGTTGTATTCTACAGAGGATGGATCACCCATCACGGGCATGCGATTGGAGAGAGCACAGGGCAGGTACTTTGCGATCATTACAACACCTACACGTATCTTCCAATTGATTGGCGGTCAGACATTGGACAACCTGTTTGCCCAGGATCACATCCGATTCGATGAGCTACCCTCCACACTCAACTACAGTGAGTTGGCCTTTTACGCCAAGTCATCCATCAGTTTACCACAGTCGTTCGCCTGGCTGATCGGCTCGGGCATCTACCACGGCGACCTCATCTTTGGCTCGCAGAACCCCGGTGACAAGTTCACCAGCGCCATCTCTGTACTAGACTTTACACGTCGTGATCATACCAACCGACCCATGCCGCCCATCTCCTTTGCCATCACCCAGTTCCACTTCCTACTCCTCTATGAGGACAAGCTACAAGCTATCGGCAAGCTCAATGGACAGATCGTCTATGAGTATCCATTCAATCCCGTATGTGTCCACTCCCTCAATCAATCAATCATTCCAATCACTCACTCACTCGATCAACAACAGAGACAAATAAGATTAAGAGGTGTATGCGTTGACAGCTCGAATGGAACGACTTGGATCTACGCGGATAATATAGTGTTTGAGCTGTGCATCAAGGATGAGGATAGGAATGCTTGGAAGTTGTATTTGGAGAAGGGCCAGTTCGAGACGGCACTCGAGTACTGCAAGGAGCCTTATGCCAATGAGAAGCGCGATCAGATCTGGGCCACGCAGGCCGACCACTACTTCAAGGAGAGCAGGTATGAGATGGCCGCCAACTTTTACGGCAAGACGCACAAGATCTTTGAGGAGATTGCGCTCAAGTTCCTCAACTCGGGCCAGCGCGATGCACTCAAGACCTATCTGCTTCAGAAGCTGCAGCACATCCCACGCCGCGACACCACTCAAAAGACGATCATCTGCACATGGCTCATCGAGATCTTCATCAGTAAGCTCAACTCGCTGCGCACCAACGCTGCGGACCAGGCCAACTACCAGAAGATCAAGTCAGAGTTCCGCCAGTTCCTCACGTCATACCGCGAGAACCTCAATCAGACGACCACCTTCAACATCATCAGCAGCCACGGCGCCATTGACGAGCTGCTGTTCTACGCCGAGCTGATCGAAGACTTTGAGCGCGTGATCTCCTACCACATCCAGCATCAAGAATACGACATTGCTCTCAACACGCTCACGACACTCAAGGCCACGCACCAGGACCTCTACTACAAGTTCTGTCCGGTGCTGTTCCACTTCATCCCCGTGCAGACTGTCAACGTGTGGATGCAGACCAACTTCCTGGTGCCACGCAAACTCATCCCCTCTCTGATGCGTTACGACCACTCACGTGCACGCACTGGTGAGAACCAGGCCATCCGCTACCTGCAGTACTGCGTGCGTAACCGCAACACAGACCGCGCCGTGCACAACTATCTGCTGTCGCTGTACGTCAAGCAAGAGGACGACTCACCACTGCTCTTCTTCCTGCAGTCGCCCGATGTCTACTACGACCCAAAGTACGCCCTACGTCTTTGCATGAAGGAGAAGAAGCTCAAGGCATGTGTGCTGATCTATGGCTCAATGGGCCTGTACGAGGAGGCTGTGGACCTGTCGCTCGAGGTGGACATTGCGCTGGCGCGTGAGAATGCAGACAAGGTCAAGGACGAGGACGAGGCGCTGTGCAAGAAGCTGTGGCTCCGCATCGCCCGCCACGTCGTCGAGAAGGACAACAACATCAAGGAGGCGATGGAGTTCCTCAAGCAATGCCCTCTGCTCAAGATCGAGGACATTCTGCCGTTCTTCCCCGACTTTACCGTGATCGACGACTTTAAGGAGGAGATCTGCAAGTCGCTGGAGGACTACAATCTGCACATCGACGAGCTCAAGAACGAGATGGACGACTCGACCAACTCGGCCGAGCTCATTCGCAAGGACATCCAGAACCTCAGGAACAAGTATGGTGTGGTCAAGGGCGACCAGAAGTGCGACATCTGCAGCTACCCCGTGCTGTCCAAGCGCTTCTATTTGTTCACGTGCCAGCACGTCTTCCACTCGGACTGTCTCATCACCGAGATGATGAAATATCTGGACGAGTACCAGAAGAGACGTGTGCGCGACCTGCAGGCCACCATCTCCACACAGACCGCTTCATCGACCACCAGCATCAAGCCCAATCAAATGATGAACTCTGCCGCCTCATCCATGATGATTGACGAGGTGTCTCAAGAGGACAGTATCAACAACGAGCTGGACAAGATCGTTGCCAAGGAGTGTATATATTGCGGTGACATCATGATCAAGTCAATCGAGAAGCCATTCATTGGAGTCAACGAATTGGAACTTCTTAGGAGCTGGGAGATCTAGGTCCATTACGTTACACTCACTACACATTCATCAATCAAACAACGTAAACTACCTGTACACAAACAAACGAGCAAATGCTATTGCATCAGTGAGCTCGATTACATCACTGGTCCATTAACCAATAAACATCATTCATTGCCATTGATCACATGTCCACATTACACTTTCAATTCCAATACAATCTGATATCTGATTGATCTGATTGATCACACACACACTTCCCAGGATCATGATCCATCCATTCATGTGACACCCCCACACCGACTTCCAAGACAACACGACAACCCACTTCAGGAACAAACAAGTTGTTCATTCATTCAATATCTCAATTAACACTTCACTAAGTATACAATTGTGTGTACATGTATATATATATAATACATATATATATATCATTACATTAGCTTTGTATACATCCAATCAATCAAACTAGTTTGATTCAATCCAATCAGAACAGAAGTTGAAGTAGTAGCTAGCTAAACAACAGTAAGAAGAGGATGAGGAACATGCAACATATACAGTTGAAGGAAATTGATATGAGCGATGATGATGAGGACTTTGAGTATGACGCAGATGGTGATATACGTCCAAGAAGTACAAAGGTCTTCTTTAAGGACAGACCAACTGTCAAGGATAGGATATGTGGTCTAGTCACAACAATGACCGCAACCAACACTCGCAAGGCATTCTTGCTCACACTTGTATTCATAGTACTAGCCAGTATCACTATTGGTGTATCCTTTGCAACAAAGTCAAATGGTATGTATGATGCTGACGCCACATCCACATCATACTCATACATCTTTATCCATATTATAGTGCCAAAGATACCAATTCTCATGTATGACGATGTCAGACTACCAAACTGGACAAGACCATTGCATTACTTGGTGCATACTACAACATATTTGAACAACTTTACATTCACTGGAGATATTGTGATCACATTGAGAATCACTGCCAAGGACAAGAACTTCATTGTTGTACATGGTGATGGACTGAATTTGACATCTATCCACTTGGCAGTGGCCCAGACGCCACTTAATACATCCTATCCAACATCGTTTGTGCCGCCCAGCGATTCTGTGCAGCCATCCAAGGTCACCTACAACGAGACCAACTCATACTATGTTCTGCAGTTTGATCAGCTGCCTGGTTGGCTCTCCAAGGACAAGGAGTACTTCAACCTTTACATGAGCTACAGCTCCAACTTGACCGACTCACTCAAGGGCTACTACCGCTCGAGATACTATGATGACAATCAGGAGAAGTATCTTGCCATGACTCAGTTTGAGCCGACGGACGCACGTGCGGCATTCCCATGCATGGACGAGCCCGCCATGAAGGCCAACTGGACCATCTGGATGAATGTCGATCCAGCCTACACGGCATCCTCCAACATGCCCGAGCGCAACATCTCCACAACAAGCAATGGACGCAAGCTTGTAAAGTTTGAGACGTCGCCTCCAATGTCATCATACTTGGTGGCCTATCTCACTCATCAGTTTGACAACAATGTAGCCATCATGACATCACCGATTGGAGGAAACAACATCACAGTTCGCGTGTGGGCTCCCAAGCGTCTGAAGGACTACACTGGCTACGCCCTTGAAATGGCACAAAAGTCAATCAAATTCTACACCAAGTACTTTGAGATACCCTATCCTCTTCAAAAGATGGATCTGTTTGGTGTTGCTGAGTAAGTCGTCCTCTGTCCTTGGTCAATCTCACTCACTCAATCACTCATTCATTCAATCTTCCAATCAAACCCAACAGCTTTGCAGCAGGTGCCATGGAGAACTGGGGCTGTATCACATTCAGAGAGCAAGACTTGTTGTATACTAATACAACTGGCTCTGTGGAAGAGAAGCAACGTGTTGCTGATGTAGTGGCACATGAGCTTGCACATCAATGGTTCGGTAATCTTGTGACAATGAAGTGGTGGAATGACCTCTGGCTCAACGAAGGATTCGCAACAGTATGTCTCCCACTCCATACCTTTACCCTTACCATGCGCTAACCAATCCCATCCCATGGATCAATAGTTCATGTCTTACAAGTGTCTTCACAACATTACTACAGAGTTTGATGTAAGTGTTCCTTGATTGTATGTGACTGTACAGTGATTGAATTACTAATATATGACCCTTCAAATGACATACAGAGTTCCACAGACTTCTTGGTAGTGATCAAGATACTTGGACAAGCCATGGACTCAACAGCCAACACCCATCCAATATCCAATAACTATGTCAGAGTCGTTGATATTGAGAACTCATTCGATGCTGTATGTCACCATCACTCATCCAATCACACAGGGTCACCTACTTACTCTCAATCATCCTGGACAAATAGATAACTTATAACAAGGCCGCAAGTGTTCTTATGATGCTTAATGGAATGCTTCAGGATGGCGACAATGATAACTTCCGCAAGGGTATCAGTGACTACCTAAAGACATTCAGTTATCAGAATGCAGAGACTACTGATCTATGGAGATGTCTAACAAAGGCTACCAATGGCACTTCCAACGTCAGCTCAATCATGAGTGATTGGGTGTACAAGTCTGGAATGCCAATGGTCAGCGTCACCAACACCACTGCCACTGCACTGGACATCAAACAACATCGATACATTGCAGACTTTGGTGTGACTGCCAACGACTCGACCGTCTGGCAGATCCCCATCTCCTACCAGTCCACCTGCACGCCAGACTCCAAGATCACATTCAGCAACGTATGTCCTGAAGATCTCACTCCACTCACTCGCTTCCATCCCTCACTCACTCACTCACTCAATCAATCACTTATAGAAATCAGAAACATTGACAATCAAGGCTGATTGTAATGCATTCGTGTTGAATAATAAGGCCAGTGGATTCTACAGGACAAAGTATGATAATGGAATGTTTGATGATATCTACAATGACTACTTGTTGAGCGAGCCCAACAAGTTGGACCCACTCGGTGTGATCCAGTTCATCGACGATCAGTTCTTCTTTGCCAAGTCTGGCCTGCTCCCACCTTCTGACTACCTGAGGATGATCACATTCGCCAACACGACAAGCGCCACCAATCCGGCCTACTGGCGAGTGATCATGTCGGGCATGGACTACATCAGCGCACGTCTGCGTGACCAGCTGTGCAACCCAGAGCACCGCCAGTTCACCGAGACACTCTTTACCAATCTACTGACGGCCGTCAACATCACTGAGCCAGGCGTCACCAATGAGGAGAAGTTGACTCGCAAGGTCACCATCGAGGTGGCCAACAAGGGCCAGGTGCCAGAGGTGATCAAATATCTACGTGACACTTGGATGGCACACAAGGACAACACGACCAACATCGATCCAAACATCAGACGCTCTGTATACGCTTCAATTGTATACAATGGTGATCGAACCGAGTACAACTGGGTGTTGAGCAGATACCTAGACAATGCAACGACCACCAACGAAAAGACCGATGCACTCCTGGCACTAGGTGTGCCACAGAGGAGTTATCTAATCGAGTCCTCTCTTGGACTTGTTAAGAATGTAAGTACCATTCATTCAATCAATCAATCATTCAATCTAACAATGACCATCTGATCACGCTCACTAGAACAAGATTAGGAATCAAGATCTCTTCTACATATTTAGAAGTTTGACAAGCAACAAGGTTGCCATCACAAGAGTTTGGTTATTCTTTAAAGAGAATTATGATTTCCTTCTGACGTATGTTATGGGGAATTTTACAACTCAAACTCAAAATACAAACTCAAACACAAACTCAACTTACTAACCCAATATCTACCAATCAAATTAATTAGCAATTTACAAGGATCTAAACTTGGAGAGTTCTTACATAACATCGCCAATCAATTGGATACAACAGCATTACAGACCGAGTTCAATCAGTTCATCAAAGGAAACACCGATATACCACAATTGACAATTGACTCTAGCAAATCTGCAATAGAGGTAAGATTGATTGATTGATTTACTGATTTACTAGTTACAGTATTATTATGATCAGTGAGCCACCTCCTTTTAACACCACTCCCCGACCTAACCTAAACTCACCACCAACAACAACAGACCAATATCAAATGGATCAATGCCAATGTAAATGATGTATGCCAGTGGTACAGTACCATTGTTCCTTTACCATAACCCGTTGCTGCTAGGTGATGGTGATGTGATGTGATTGACTTGGACACACACAACAATCATAACAAATATAACATGTAGGACTGATTACAAACAACATTCAAATAAATACATTCTCACCAATTTATATATATAATTGATTTGTTAGGTTCCAACTACATATTGATTGATGTAAGTAGTGCATCCAATTTCACTTACATCAATTGTAAATCAATTTCATCTGGCCCATCTCACTCTGCCATTCCAGTCTAATTTCGAAGTGCGCACTACGTCTTTGACCAAACATGACCCAAACACACAACTAACAACACATATATATATATATCTGCCGACCGACACCACACCACACCACATCACACAACACACATCTCCCCCCACAACCCATCCTTAGTTCAATCCAATCAATATCAAACACATGGCTGTATGAACAATTGACACCTATGTGTTGTTCAAGTGATGGATGTCATATTCTATTTCACACTTTCTACCACCCAGTGCTCACTTCACCAGTCCGTTACACTCACTAACTCACTCACCAAACACACACATAGAGTGTTGACATGTATACCCTACACTCACCTTGCATCCCTATTGTCGACCAAACCAACCAATGTTGTCTGGTTCACTATCCATCCATCCATCCATTGCCATTGTGTTAATTCTATTTCCATATATATACCTAAATATTTAATATTATTATTATTCAAACTAAACGACAACAACGATTGTTAGTTTCAAATTACCCGTGGTAGTTTTTTTGGACCAATCAACGAACATCTCCGATTCCCCACATCTTTGACCGCGACAAACCCAGGCCTAGTTCAACGCTGGCCGCTCCACTTCCGGTCAACCACCACACCAGCCTCCTCCTCCTGAAACAACAGCTCATCTTAAGAACTCAATATTGTTATTAAGTTCCAGGGTACAAGTTCTCATTCGAGAGGGTCCACTCTACCACCCCACAATTGAGGGAATAAGTTCCAACAACAACAACAACTACTACAAAGCATTAACAAGTTGCTTAATATATCAACAACAAACTAATATTGTGTGTCATTCTCATTGACAAACAGTTGAACTCATCATCAAGTTCGTTGTACAAGGAAGGGATAACTGACAGTTTGGACGGTCAACAAACAAACGGACAAACAACAACAAAAGCATTACAAAGAGACATCTTCATCTGCATCGATATCGACATCGACAACTACAACACAGGCAGGTTCACTTGGACAAAGTTCAAACATCACGATGATTTGTCAATCGGTGGTCAGCTGTCCAATAAGATCATCTAATCAAATACAAGCTACCCTAAATATATAAACCAGCAACAATAACCTTGGTTGATCCACTTCCAATCGACCAAACTCATACAAACAAACAAACATCTATCAGCCTGTAATCAATCAACTTCACCATCATCTTCGGATCGCTCTTCAACAACAAAAACAACATCAATAATCAATCAAAATGTCAATGGAGACCAGCCAAGCTGGTGCACCAGCCTCATTTGCCCAACATAAAGGCATACATGTACTGTTGAACTCTTCTTATTCGCCAATATTTCAATCGACCCAGCAACACTCACCTGTATCAGTACCTCCACCTATCTCTACCGAATTGCCACCCTACAGTCTGAATCCTTCGACCCTGGATACAATCCATCCAAATACTGCTTCAATCGCCACCACAATGAATCCGCCTACAATGCCATTCCCGACTGGTGGACTCCATCACCATCCACTCCTTCATCAATCATATCCACCTCATATGACTCAACAACATCTTCATCAACAGCAACAACATCTACATCAACAGCAACAACAACAGCTCCAACAGCAGCAACAACAACAGCATGTACTTCAACAACAACAACAACAACAACAGCCTCAAATATTTTGTCCACCAATTCCTCCATATCCAAAGGCCAACAACTCATTTATGATGGACAACAAGATGTTTACAAACTCGATTCCAACTCCATTGGCACCACCAATGTCTTCATTACCTGGTCAATCACATGTACATCCATCACATCAATCTCAACAACAACAACAACAACCTCCACCACCATCAACAAATAATTATCATCGTCAACTGCATCAACATCTTGAGAACCACCTCAATCAATTTTGGAAGAAAGAGACAAAGGATATCTCAATGATGGATGATTTCAAGACAACTCATGAACTGCCACTGGCTAGGATAAAGAAGATAATGAAATCAGATGATGAAGTAAATGTAAGTAGTTCACACTTGGAAACTCTTGGAACAACAAATATCTTACTAATATTAATAATATTTTAGAAAATATCAGCAGAAGTACCAATGTTGTTCTCCAAGGCATGTGAGCTGTTCATTCTGGAGATGACCATCCGCTCATGGGTACATACCGAGATGAACAAGAGAAGGACCTTACAAAGGATTGATATTGCCAATGCATTGACCAAATCAGAGATGTTTGATTTCCTCATCGATATTGTGCCCAGAGAAGAACTACGCTCAAATAGGAAGTTCTATGTAAGTTGTCAATGAATCAAATATTGTTCGGAACCGGAATAATTCCCTAACTCCATCAATCTATCAATTAATCAAACAATATAGGATGATGTACATAAAGAAAACTTTGTTACTCCAGAGTACCTCCAATTCATCCAACTTCAACAAGCTGAAGCTCATAATGGATTCAAGAGGTCTTACTCTATAGATATTACTCCTTCGGATGACTCGCCATCGTATAGCCCAAAGAAGAGAAGTATGTCACATGACTTTACTCTGGTCGGCGAGAATCCTCATCAATATCCAGATGTTCGTGTGAGCCAACTTCCTCAAATGCAGCAACTGAGCACTCCATTTGGAATGCCTGCTCCGCGACTGGGGAGTGGCCCGGGTACTCCAGGTGGCCCTGGTGGAGTATACATGCCTGCTGCCACAACCAGCATGGCACCTCCTCAAGGTGTACCACCATATCATCAAGGCAGTAGTGGCAGCAGTGGTGCTGCGCAACCGCCTCTCAACATTGGTACACACAATCATCAATTCCATCAGTACTACTACGGTACTAAATAAATCAAGGCACACACCTATTATATATATCTGTATATGTATCAATGGATAGTTTGTTTAATTATTTGTAGACAACATTACCCTTCTTCTTTCTCTTGTTACCTCTGGCATCCAACTCTATGGGCGGTGACTTGTACTTGGATGCACTATAGTCAACCTTGTGCTTTAGTACTACACCCTTGAGATGCTTGCCAACTCGCTCGTCTCCCACTCTATATCTAAAGTCCACATCCTGCTCGAGTGATTGCATCATCTTGAATCCATTCAATCGCTGGAATGGTAGCGTTGGCGATGTATGTTTGGCCATCTTTGAGATTGGTGCGAACTTGGCTTCGCCAATGTTCATCCTCCTCATCTCTCTGTTGCCCTCAATCTCGTCCTCGTCCTCAAATGTATCGTCGTCAATGTTGTTTTGGTCCGCCGGTGATGTCTTGTTCAAATCGGCCATGTAATCCACGATGCCCAGCTGTCGCAGCCATTGCTCCTCACGCAGGCCACGTGTGTTTGCAAAGCAAACAATGTATCCTCCGTCGTTCAGCTTTGGCATGGCCATCTCCAGTAGCTCGCGATATCTGTTCTTTGTGGTAAATGTGCCAAAGCGCAGACCGTTGGCCACGGAAGGCGGGTCGATGATGATGACGTCAAAGCCAAGATTCTTGTCCTTGATGTCGAGCAGCTTTGAGAACACATCCTTCTCCATGATCTGATGGAAGTTCATTGAGACTCCATTGAGTTCAAAGTTCTTCCTGGCCATCGTGTTGTATATACGCGAGTTGTCAATGCTGTATGTAGAGATCTTCTGTGCGCCAAGCACGGGTGCCAATGAGAAGGTGGCAGTATGCGAGAAGGTGTTCATGATTGAGCCAGAGTCGCGGTCGTCAAACAATGATGTGACGTAACGGCGATTGGCACGTTGATCCATGAACAAGCCAGACGATGTGATGTCCTCCAGGTTGATGCCAACCTTCATACCATTCTCCTCGATCACTAAAGAGAAAGGTTCGTCCGGGTGGTAGCGTTTCAGCTTGTCGCCCTTATAATGCTTGCTAAACAAGTTCAATGGTCCCTTAATCTTTGATCTCCAATACACTCCCTTCTTGCCAGTCTGATGCATAATATAGTCTGTAATATAGTTCAAGTGTTTACACCAATGTTCGGAATGAGTCTTGATTGAATGAAAGTTAGTATTACTCGCTCGCTCACTCATTCAATGGGTACTTACAATGACTTGAAGATAGTCTGCGTATGCATCGACTGTTATACCTGGCATACCATCGCCACACTCGTTGATTATCCTGTATGCTGCCTTGGGTCCAATGTCTAGTTTGCCTTGCTTGCTCATTGCCTCGCGATACTGAAGTGCATCGTCGATACAATGTTTGAGATAGTTGTTGTCAAAGGTCTGAAGCTCGTATGACATTATACGTATGGGTGGTTCAATTGTCTTGTCAACCAATGCCATTCCTATTATATCCTTTGAACTTGATTCAAATGGTATTATACCAGTGCGTCCACCAAACTCTGACAACATCGACGTTGACAAGTTATATGTCTTTCGTCTCAATTGATTCTCCAATGCAGCACTTGCTCTAAGTATGTTTGATGTCATCTCTGATACACAAGTAGTAATATATATTAAGAATATATAGATATATGATTGATTGATTGATTGAATGATTGAATGATTGAATGAAAGAAGTCCAAGAAGAATAGGGAAGTCATTGTTTGTCGCTCGTTTGGGAATGTAAGTTTTAATTTATGGGTTTGGCTAACTTTGCAATCAAGAAACTAAGAGACACGTCACTTCATTGTAAAGTTCATTTGAATCATTCATGTAGGCTTGTAATAATAATATATAAATACATATAATGCAGAGATTGATGAGGATACCCTATAGGGTATCTTTACATCAACCTCATCTATCAACAATCACATTCAATCGTCATTACTCATCGGCCAACGAACAAGGTCATGGTCAGAGCCAGGGTCAGGGTCAAGGTCAGAGTCATGGACATGGTCGCGACCAACAACACAAGTCATCATCATCATCATCATCGAGATGGAATAAGAAATGGATTGTATCATTGAGTGTTGGAACAACTGCTTGTGTCGTGGCAACAGGATTGGCCGTGGCACATGAACAAATGATGTTGGAACCTTGGCTATTGAAACAGTTGTCGCTGGATCATGCACAGTTCAGATATACATGGCAGAACAATATACTGTTATGGCTACTCAAGAGGACTATTACACAATACACACGAATTGACGAATCACATCATATACCAATTGGTCAGCTCGTTGACACCCTGGTCGCACTGGTCTACTTCACTCCCGATGTCAAATCACGTGAGATCATCATTGACATTTTGGACCATCTTTCGAGAAACAGTATGTTGGAGCGTAGTACTATCAATGAACAATTGGTACAATGTCTGATGCAGATGTGTAATGACAATGCTGAGTTGACCGTGCCAGTCGCTCAAGTCATTAGCAATCTACTCAAAGGACGTGACACACGTATCCGCACTCTCATAATCAAGTCAATCGGCTTCAAACAACTCTCCGATATCCTTCCACACTCTGACATCCTATTCAAACATGAAGTATCCCATTACCTATCACATCTTCATGTGGACTGTAAGTCATTGATTGATCAACTGGGATTATTCCATCATTCGCTCACTCATTCAATCAATCGATCAATCATACATAGATCAGACTGAACTGAATGAAGGCTTGTTTGAGATGATTGAAAGCATGCTGGAAGATGATACATCTTCCAATGCACTTCCAACTGTTGACCAGCTGGTTGTTACCAATATATCATCATTCCTTGCCAACCTCTCAATATACACAATCAGTTCCAAAATCCAAGTATTCAAACTACTCTCATCTCTTGTACATCAATCCAAACTACCTCTAACCAATCATATCAAGTGTAATATTGCCAATGCCATTGTAAACCTATCCAATGATGGTGAGTAGTAATAATCCCATCCACTCAATATCAATCTTGCTAACCTTAATAATCATGAAGAGATCACACAAGAACTGATTGTGAACAATGGATGGTTAAAATATTTGAATGAATGGATACTACCAAGGACATCCAACGACAATAACAACAACATGGAAATGAGTGATGATGACCTTGATTGGGAGCAGCCACTTCAACTCTCCTCAATCATAGCCCTTGCCAATTTATTATCCATTGGAAGTAAGTCATATATGTCTTCGCGTCCTTCCTCACATCCTACTGACCTCCCTCCAACCATCCAATCAAACATTAGCCAAATGTACTATACCAATTAGTTCATCGATATCACCTGGTGAGGTGCTTGGGATTGCAAGGGACACGAATAACAAATCGTGTAGACTTCAATCATTGCGATTGTTGGCCAACTTATCAGTGTTTGATAACAATGATGAGAACCTACTATATAGCAAAATTGGTGATGAAGGATTGATCAGTCTGATCAATCTATTTGAGAGAGCAGACCTCTACACCAGCCGGAATATCATTCGATGTCTAGGTCACATGTCCAAAGATAGTAAGTTCAATCAATCATTATTTAATGGATGGCGCCATGACTAACATGCCTTGGCGCATCATCACTTTCACTCAGAGAATGTTGCAGACCTCTTGTTGAATGATGAGGTCTGGGACAAGTTCATCGTGGTCTCTGAGATCAATGACATTGAGATACAAAGACGACTTTCCAGAACAATTGCCAATGCTGCCTTCAACAGTATGTATCTCTTGGATCACACCTTGGAATGATTCCACTCACTCAATGAATCACATAGACAGCGAACGATTAGTTGAGAAGACAGAGGTTCAGACATTGTTGGCCAAGTGGATAAAATCTAGCGATGATTATATACGCTCCAACTCGATAAGGGCACGTGTATCTCTAGCCACATCTAACCAGAAGACACCAAAGTATGCCGAGGGTATTTACCTGCTGCATCCAACGAATGCCAGCTCTGACTTTGACTTTGACCTGATATTCATTCATGGCGTCAATGGACATCCCTTCACAACATGGGCCAACACGCCGGTGGCACCAGACTCCACGCCGCTGCCCGAAGCGGCAATCGATGAGTCCAAGCTCGTATGCTGGCCCAAGGACTGGATCCCACAAGATTTCCCCAAGGCCCGTGTGATCACAGTTGGATACGACATATTCCTCTCGTCCTGGGGCGGTGGCAACGCCACACCCTTGCATGATCAGAGCCAAGAGATCCTGGAGAATCTCAAGCTGGCGGGCGTTGGCTCGCGGCCATTCATGTTTGTCACACACAGCTTTGGCGGGCTGGTCGCCAAGCAGATGCTCAAACTGGCGTCCCAGTCACCAGCGCACTATAGTGACATATCAAAGAACTGTCGCGCAGTGGTGTTCTACGCCACGCCACACTATGGTGCACGTCTTGCCGAGTACGCCTATACACTGGAGAAGGTGTTGCGCACCACCAGCGCCATCTACGATCTGTTGCCGAGCAGCCAGCACGTCGATCGTCTCACACGCCTCTTCCCCAAGTTTGCGCCCAACGTCGCCACCATGTGCTTTGGCGAAACTGAAGAGACATGTGTACTGAAGAACATCTGTCTGGTGATTGTCGATGAGGCCAGTGCCAATCCCAAGTTCTCAGGTGCCACTCACTCATTCAAACTACTCAAAGCCAATCATCGTGGAGTATGCAAACCATACGATCGCAATGATGAGAAGTATCAACTGGTTCGTGATTTTATCAACAGTGTCATCTATGGTTCATCATCATCGAACTCCTCCTCATCATCAAGGTTACAGCATCACATTGATAGTCATCATCATCAGCATCAACGTGTTGTCATTGATTGATCGATTGATTGATTGGTGCCAGGATTCCAGGGTAACTACTATTGAAAAGTAAACAATAATAGAGTAGAGTTACATGTATCATCGTTCAGTGTATTGATGAATAAGTGTGACTGAACTGTTGAGCATTCAACAATAAAGTTCGTTTGTTCATGCACTCGGTCGACTGTTCATAAATTAATTTTTTTTGAACAAGTTTGAGGTTATTCAACAACAACGAGCGATTTAAAGAGAGAGAAATAGAGAGGAGAGCTGGGGTAACTTTAGTTCTTTCACCTGATTGTATTACACAACACACGACAAGCTTCAAAGTTAAACAAATAATACTCTGAGTCATATATCACTTAACTCTTAGGATTCATCTTTACATTGAAGTTATTCATACATTCATTCGTTAATTTGTTAAGACGACGACAACGACTTCGAATATTTTTGATCGATCATTCATTCAATCAATCATCATTCGTTAGTTTGGTTAGTTCTCTCATTCAATATCACATCACATCTACTCTCGTGCTCGCTTATTTGCTTACTGTAGCTAGCTTGCTTGATTGTTTAAACATTTAAATATCATCATCATCATCATCATCATTATAACAACTCAAGAGAGAGAGAGTCGAAGCGTAGACCTCCTACTTATTATTATTATTATTATTACTATTATTATTATTATATATACATCGTTTATAACAAACAAACATATAATACAATGGGAATTCCAGCATTCTTCAGATGGATGGTAGACAAGTACCATGGTCTAATCGAGTCAACAAGGGAGCCAAGGAATCAGGATGGCACTCGCATCAGATGCGACAACAGTGAGCCAAATCCAAATGGAGAGTACGACAATCTCTATCTTGATATGAATGGTATTATACATCCTTGTGCGCATCCTGAGACAGGACCACAACCGCGCAATACAGAGGATATGATGGACTCGATCATTGAGTACCTCGACCTCATATTCTCCATCGTCAGACCGCGCAACCTGGTCTACATGGCCGTCGACGGTGTGGCACCGCGTGCCAAGATGAACCAGCAGCGTTCGCGTCGTTTCAGAGCGGCAATGGACTCGCGTCTGGCCAAGGAGGCTTCGGAGAAGGAGATGATGGACAGGGTGGCCCAGGGCACTGCCACACAAGCAGAGATCGATGCCATTCAGAAGTCCAAAGAGGACAAGTTCCACTTTGACTCCAACTGTATCACGCCAGGCACAGTCTTCATGGACCTCGTCTCACTCACACTGCGGTCCTACGTGGCCGAGAAGATTTCAACTGATCCAGCATGGAAGAACGTATGTCCAAGTCGCTCACTCAATCAATCAATCAATCATACTCACTCACACCAATCAATCATTAGGTTAAAGTTATCATCTCAGACGCATCTGTACCGGGAGAGGGAGAGCATAAGATCATGAGCTACATCAGAGAGCAAAGAGCACAGAAGGACTACAATCCAAACCTTAAGCACGTGATCTATGGTCTGGATGCCGATCTGATTATGTTGGCCCTGTCGACACATGAGGCCAACTTTGACATTCTAAGAGAGTTTGTCGAGACGAACAAGTCGCGAAAGGTCCAGCGCAGACACGACGCCGAGAAGACCGAGGAGGAGCTACAGGAGATTGCCGAGCACAAGGACTTCCTGATAAAGAACTACCAGCTGCTGAGTCTCAACCTGTTCCGCTCCTACCTGAGCCAGGAGCTGTATTGCAAGCCCGCGTTTGGCTTTGATATAGAGCGAGTGATCGATGACTTCATCTTCATCTGTTTCTTCGTCGGCAATGACTTCTTGCCGCATCTGCCGTCGCTGCAGATCAACGAAGGCGCCATCGACCGTATCATGGATATCTACAGGGAGCTGTTGCCAACGTTCGATGACTATCTGACAGAGGACGGCGAGTTTGACCTGGACCGCGTCGGCCTCATCTTCACGAGGCTGTCGCTGGTCGAGGAGGACATCATGTTGGAGCGCAAGCACAAGGAGGAGAACATGAAACGTCGTCGCGAGAGGCAAAACAACAGAAACAACTACAACAACAACAGAGGCGCAGACAGCCTGGACCTCAAGGTCGGTGTGTCCAAGGAGCACCAGGCCGCCGCCAAGAGTCTGCTCAGCGAGCTGTTCAAAGAGCAGGAGCCACAGCAACCCGTGGTCAAGAAGATCAAGTCCGAGGACACCGCTTCAAACATGGACGCTGCTGCCAAGATCCGCGAGCAACTCGCCGCGCTGAGGAGTCAGAACAAGCAGATGAAGGAGGTGGTCGAGCAGGTCCAGGCCAACATCACTACTGAGCCTAAAGTGGTGCCACCCAAGAGACAGACACAGATGATTGACATTGTGCCCGAGCAGGCAGCTCCACCAAAGAAGGAGACCAAGAAGAGAAAGGAGAGAGACCAGGACGAGGAGGAGAAGAAGGAGGAGGAGGAGGAGAGGAAGAAGAAGGAGGAGGAGTCACTGCAGGAGACGACATTCGTCAATCACATGAAGGATGTCAACATTGGCCAGAAAGGTTGGCGCAAGAGATACGCCAAGATGCACTTTGAGCCAGAGGATGGAGAGGAGAATGTTCTGCTTAGGGTGTGCCAGTCGTACATCGATGGTCTGGCATGGGTCCTCAAGTACTACTACAAAGGCTGTGCCTCGTGGGGCTGGTACTACCCATTCCACTATGCACCCTTCATTCTGGACCTCGTTGACAACCTGGGCGACATTGTGCCTCCCGTCTTTGAGAAGGGTCTGCCATTCAAGCCATTCGAGCAACTGATGAGTGTGCTGCCCAGAGACTCTGCGCAGTTCGTGCCCAAGCCCTACCAGAAGATGATGGGCGTCGACGATGGCAGCGGAGATTCGTCTCCCATCATTCACTTCTACCCAACCACGTTCAAGATCGACGTCCAGCCCGGCGTGCCCCTGTGGAAGGGTATCTGTCTGCTGCCCTTCATCAACGAGCAGGAGCTGCAAGAGTCGCTGCGTCCACTGGACAACGTGCTCACCGACGAGGAGATCTTCCGTAACAGCCGTGGCTCAGAGTACCTCTTTGCCAACAAGAACGTAGAGTTTGTAGCCAAGGACAAGAAGGGTCGTCAGCGTGGCGATATCGACCCCAAGCTATCCAAGGACTTCTTGGGCAAGATCGATAAACTGCCCCAGCGTCTCATTGATAGACTGCCGCCCATGCAGGATGCCGTTGCCTACGAGTTCCACAACCCAGGCTTCCCAGAGGGCTACGAGTTCAAGTCTGCCATGCTGCCAGGCGCCATCATGTTGCCAAGGACCCAGAACACCACGAACCAACCATCCATTCAGAACAGCGCAGCCAATCGCATGATTAACCACTCGCTCGGTTCAAACCAGTACAAGGACAACCAAGGCTACAACCAAGGACGTGGATTCAATGGCGGTGGTGGACGTGGTGGATACCAGGGCGGCGGTGGTCGTGGTGGATACCAAGGTGGTGGCCGTGGTGGCTACAACAACAACAACAGCAACTATGGTGGCAACAGAAACAACAATAATGGTGGTGGAGGTTACAACAATGACAACAGCGTGTACCAGGCACAACAACAGCAGCAGCAGCAGCAGCAGCCACAGATGATGCAACAACAGCAGCAGCAGCAGCAGCAGCCTCAGATGATGCAGCAACAGATGATGATGCAGCAACAGCAAATGATGCAACAGATGCAGTACAACAACTATGGAGGTGGCTATAACAACAACTATGGTGGAGGTGCCAACTACAATGCCCAATACTATAACAACAACAACAGCAACTATGGTGCCAACAATAACTATGCTGCTGCAGGCAACTATGGTGGCAACTACGGTGCTGTAGCCAACAGCAACTATGGAGCGAACAACAACTACAACTACAACCAACAACAACAATACCAAATGCAACCTCAACAAATGCAACAAATGCCTCAACAACAGCAAATGCTTCCACAACAACAACAAATACCTCAACAGCCACAACAACAACAGAAGCAGCAGAGACAACCAAACAACAATGATCCACAACAGCAGATGATGAAGATGATGCAACAATCCACTGTCTACAACTCCAACCAAACTCAACCGAGAGCAAACATCACTGGCGAGCAACAACAACAGAACAAAGGAAAGTATACTCCCTTTGCCAAACAATCCAAGAAGTAAAATAAAACAAACAAATATATATATATAGTATACATACATAACATTATAATGATCAAAGGTAGTAGTAGTGTAAGGGTAATGGGAAAAGGGGATTGTCTAGTTTATTTATCTCTTCATGAATGCCTCGATTGCCTCCACGGACCTCGGAATCATCTTGGAGAGGTTGTCGTGTCCGGTGGCAGTGATGACAATGTCATCTTCGATACGGATACCGCCAAATCCTCTGAATCTGGCAAGGACATCATTGTTGATGTGTTTGGACTTGACTGGATCGGCAAGGGCCTGGTCCAAGAGATGGTCAATGAAGTAGCAGCCAGGCTCAGAGGTCATGCACATGTTCTCCTTGAGACTACGAGTGGTACGCAATGAGTTGATCTTGGGCTTGGCATCGCCGAGGTAGCCTCCAACATCATGAGTGTTCAAGCCAAGCATGTGACCAAGTCCATGAGGGAAGAATACTGGTCCCATCTTGTTGTCGATCAGGTCCTCTAGGGATCCGACCAGGATACCGGCCTTGAGAAGGGCGGCCAGAATGCAACGCTCGGCCAACTTGTGCATGTCGATCCACTCAACACCTGGCTTGACCGCATTGAGCACGGCTTGCTGGGCATCCCACACTGCATTGTATACAATCTTCTGGTCGTCAGTGAACTTGCCATTGGCTGGGTAGGAGCAGGTGACATCGGCGGTGTAGCCATGATATTCGGCGCCCATGTCAAACAGACAAATAGAGCCATCACGGATAGTGCTGGCATTGGGCTCTCCGGCGTGTCCATAATGCAGTACAGCTCCATTGGCATTGGCAGCGCAGATGCAGGTGTAGCCCATGTTACGGCAACCATTATCATGATATGAATGGTACATAAAGATGCTCTCGCATTGGTACTCCTTCATTCCTGGACGAATCTTCTTCATGACCTCGAGATGTGCGCGGCAAGATGACTCTACTGAGTATCTCAGACACTCAATCTCCTTGGGCGACTTGATGACACGGCACTCTGTGGCGTGGGGGAAGGCCATGGTGGTATTGACAGTGAACTCCTCGATGCCATGGAAGTGCATTGGGGTGGTGGTCTTGTGGCTGTCAGTGTTCAGACCTTCCACAGTGAAGATGGTTGAGCACTTCTTCTCGCGCAGATACTTGGCCATGTCCTCGACAAACTCTACATGGTCCACCAGGAAGATCTCCTTGTAATAGTCCTTGGCATGAATGTGTCCCATCCACATGGCATACTCTGGTGGGAACTTGGGAACAAACAATGTGGACTCTGGCTGATCAGCATTGTTTAGTGAGACAACTCCATAACAATCTGGCATATCACTTCCGAATGCCCAGAAGAAGTACTTCTCCTGCTTGAACATTGGCTCATGGTCTGTATCATATTGAGTATCGGCCTTTCCACCTTGAAACAAGATAAAAGAGTTTTCTGGAATACTCTTTTCTGTTTGATTCAATGATCACCAGTAATGAGTGTTAGCTTAATGATTGAGGACGATCAATCAAACATAATACATACGATCTGATGACTCCAAGATAGTCTTTACTAGTCTTGCCCTGTTCTCCTTGTGCATCACAAGTGGAACCTTGTGAGTGCTGTTTCCAAGCCAGTAGTAGCCTGGTGAGTAGTGGCTGTCCTTGTGGCTCTCCTCTTTGAATACTGGGCTGCTCATCTTTGGTAAGTAATGTATATGTAGTTGTATTAAAATGTTATGACTATGGTGTCAATGTAATAAGTAATGTTAACAAACTTCAAACATCGAACTTGAATGAACTCATCATCAACTTTGGACATCGTGTTTGTGAGTGGGGTAGGGTCCACAAACGAGGGTTGGACCCACAAAATAACCCAAAAAGGCAATGAGGTCAACCCACCATCTAACTAATCGGGAATAACGAATGTTCAAATACCATAATGGATTGGATGACAGACAGTACGGTATCCACAACTCGTTACCTACTATTGTTGTTGTACATTTATTGCGTGTAAAGGTAAATTTAGATTCACACGCTACTGCTCACTCTTGGTCGCTGACTTGGAAATTAATCCGGACTAACGCTCAATGAAGTATGTCATGAGGCTCGATCACCACCTTGTGTATAAGCCAGTCGATCATGATCATAGCATTGTCCGAGATCCAACACATTGGCAATGATCTTTACGGGTTTGCCGTTGTTTGCTTTCTTGAGCAACTTGGAAATGCCACTGGCTCCATTGAACAGCAGTTCCACGTCCACATTGAACTCGTGCGCATGTGGTGCAGGTGAGCGATCGGTGCCATACTTGAATGCCTCCATTGGTGATCTATCTATTGCCTTGGACCTGATTGATATCTTGACCGAGGAGTTGTTGGAATGATGTGGCGCCTCACACATCTCCATGGCTTCAAAGTCCCTCTCCGTCTCTGTCTCTGATTGCATTGTTGAATGGAAGTGATCCTTGGTATATGTATACTCGATGGTCTTTTGCTCCTGTGCTGCTGGTGCAGCTTCATATGAATCGTCAATTGATGATTGGCTCGTGAAAAAGGTGCTTGAATGTCGCAGCTTGGTTCGTGTGTCGGAAGATCGTGCCCGGTTGTCAATAACAGTATGAGTGTGCGGCATCTTTTGTTGTTGTTGTTGTTGGCCTTGTTTGCTAGATTCCATATCACCTTGCTCCGGTCGTTTGCCCACACTGATTGTAATGTCTCCATTGGTATGACCTTGCCAATTGGGATCAGAGTCGAACATCATATTCTTGACTTGTGCATTGTTCATTGAATGTTGTGATTGCAACTCTCTCTCCATGCGAATCAACTGCACTGGCATTATGACGCCACTGCCTGACATTTGTATAAAGGTTGGCGTGGTGTAGATGACCACGACGACCATCAGGAAGAGGCAGGCCAGACGCTGGCCCTTGGCCACCATCGGCACGCCATCGCCAATAGTGAACATCCTAGTCAATGATAGTATTGTCTCTTGAGCCATAGTAGGTTGATGTTGAGCCTGTGGATATACAATCTCATAACCTGGATTGAGACGCTTTATCTCCGTCTCCAAATGTTTGTTCTTCATCTTCTCATAGAGTAGATTTTGTTTCAACTCTTCAATCTTTGCGTGCTCATCCTTCAACTTGGCCTCGAGCCCCGTCAATGTTGCAGACTTTAATAGTCTTGACTTCTGTGCTGACTCTCTATTCTTTATCTTCCTGTTGATGTTGAGTGAGTGAGTATGTTATGTGGCGGATGGTCATTCGCGGGGACGACGACGACATACCTCTCTTGTTTCTTCAAGATCTTTATGATATCCTTGGATGCATTACTGTAGAACTTCTTGCAGTATATTTGGAACTGCTTGGATGTGATCTCTACTTGTATGTCTTCTGGAAGAAGATGACCATAGTCATGCTCCGGGTCAAACGGTCTGAACTCTCGCTTCCTCTTCTTGTCATCACCCTCATCAGAGTCTGTGTGAGATGATTCGTTGACGACATGGTGAGTGTTGTTTGACATGTTGTCATTGGCAGAAACATTGAATGAATGATCATTGGAAATGACCATCTGTGACGGTGATGACATTGAGTAGCCAGCTTGGACAGTGGATGACGGTGATGATGGAACGTTCATTGATGGCGGAGATGAAGATGATGAAGATGATGATGATGATGATGAGCAACCAGATGTATCGACAGGTGAGCTATTCTCTGAATAACCATTGGTACTCGTATCACTGATAATATCATTGGACATTGTATATTGCATTGTGTTGTTGTAATCTTGATTGACATATTGCACTTGTGACATTGTATAGTTTGAAGAGTTATCAACAACAACAACATTCTGTTGTTGAAGCTGTTCATGTTGCTGTTGTTGTTGATATTGATGTTGAAGACCGGAGTGTATATGATCTGCAGATTGCTGATCAACAACGAGGAAGCCATCATTAACATCATTGACAAGATTGCCAGTGTTGATAAAGGTTGAGTCCCATTCCGAAGTAGTTGAGAAGTATGAACTGCTTGATAAATTGAAATAAGCAACCTGTTGTGATCCATTGATTGGTTGTTGTTGTTGTTGTTGTTGTTGTTGTGTGAGACCATTGAGTAAAGCATTGTCACCATTAAAGTAAGCAATGTCTAGACCAAGAGAATCAATGGACACTGGTGTTGAAGGTTGGCTTTCAAACAAGTTCATCATCATTACTTCACCTCAAACCTCTCTTCTCTATCTCTATATACTGTTGTTGTTGTTGGAACTATATATAAATATTTATGTTGCTGTTGGTGTTTATTAATATCATTGGATGTCAGTTTGAATAATGAAGCCAGGTCGTCAAACCCAACACCTTACTCCCACACAACATTCAACTCAAATTTCGTGTTTGTCGAGTCAACAAAACCAACTCACTTAATCAAACATACTGTATGACATCCAATCACCAATACAATCTTGTCAATGAGACTTACTTTCGTTTAACAAAGAAATGATCATCATCGTCATCATCAATAAGCAAACGTGGCACTCCTAGTAGTAAAAGAATATGTATAATATCCCAATTATATATATCTCAAAATATCTTTATTAAACATTTAAGGAATAAAGATCCGAAATAAATAAATAATTAATCTTGAATTGGACTTTCCAATTTAGTAAAGTAGGAAATCGCCACTCTAACTCCATCCCAAATCTAGGACAAACCATTGAGAGTGTTACAACACGGATGATGTTTACTACGAATATAAAGTACAGATAACTCAAATAAGTATTTAAATTTCCATTCAACCCATCTCATATCATAATACATTGTCGTATACCAATATACATAGACACACACACCATATCTACAACTACATCACCAACTCAAATCAATTAACACCACAAACAAGTATTATAAGCAGTAGCATCTCACACCCAAGGAATTAATTAAGTGCGTGTAAGTGTTGTTGGTACAACAAACACAATTGTGTTGGACACACACACAAACTGCCAATTCAATATCAATATCATCAATATCCATCCATCCTAATCATATACAAATACCGTATACTCTACTTAACACACGTGTCAATCAACCATCTTCCATCCATCACGATATTCAATCCATCATTGACCAATCACAATCAACAAAGGAAATACGTCAACTTGTAGACACTGACACATATACATAGATATTGCATTCCAACCAAGGTAAGAATATTTTAAATTACAATATCACTCATATATTCATTGGGTCAACAACAATACACCCATCTATCAATCCATCCTTCTATCCATCAATCTATCCACTCTCCATTTATCAACCGTCATTGTATTTTTCGAATGTGTACCACTAGACCATAACTACCCCCTCCTCTACTATCATTGGATGGTACCTAGTTGACAGTTGACCTGCAGACAATTGAGATCCGGATATATATCTCAGTCAGTCAGACAGTGGTAGTAGTTGAATTCATTAATGAATGCCGTGGATAATTATATAAATACAAGTCGGCGTAATTGACCAATCCAATCACCACTCTAACACATACACACATTGTTCATCATCAGTACAATCCATCCATCACACCCCTACCACCTTTGGCATTGTCATAGTTGTTGTTGTGATCGTGACGTCGAGAATGCCAAAGTATTTAATTAGCGTGTGAAGCAGAATTCATTCATATGCTCATTCAATTTCAGACAGTTTCTCTATCGTCTATCTAGTTGTTATCCAATCCAATAGCTATCCAATCATATTTAAAACTACACCAAGATCTAAATAGTCCATCTAGTCCATACCTTCTATCAACATCATCATCATCTGGATTCCTTTGGACAACATCTATTCCATTCTTTGTTTGTGTGTGTTTCTAATTTTAAACTGCTTGTTGCCCAATTTTATTCACAATCTCGCCCCCAGGACCCAATCCCGTGAAACACAACACCAACGCTCACATCATCCCAACACAACATCTCAGTTCGTTAAAACCAAACAAATTAAAAAAAAATCAAATTGTTAACCCTCCCATACAACAACCAAACAATACAAAGTGCGACCACTCTATCAACCCAACAACTCATTCAATTTCGTAAACATTTATTCATTCTTCAATTATTCCAACAACAAACAACAACGTACATACAATAACAATTTATTTAATATATTAATTAATTAACATCGTCATCATTTCACTTACGCTACATACGCTGAAAGCTCAACGAAACTTGTTTGATCAGTAACACGACTCTCATTCTCTCAGCTCTCAACTTTACAAGACAAGACAGACAAACAAAGTGTATATAAACATTCACTTGAGAAGAACCTCTTTGTCAAACAACAAACATATTTCATACAACAACAGTTAGTAATAATAACAAGTTAACTCTGCAATGATAATAGACGAGAACAACATATAATATTGTATTTGTATCAGTCACCTTCAACATCAACATCAACTCAACATCAACTATCTATATACTTCATTCACCATCAATCAGATCTACATCCAACATTTTTTAAAAAGGATAGTTAATCTGTATAGTCATCAATCAAACAGTCAATCAATCAATCAATCTACTATATATCAATAATCAATACAGTCTTGTATATACATTTAATTTAATATCAACAACATTCACAATGAACAATACACTGATGGACAATAACAACAACAGAAAGCCACAGTACAGCCGGAGAACAAACAACACCTCCAACTACAACAACGCCAACAACAACAATAACAACATGTCATCTATATCCCCAGTCAAGGCTGCATTTAGGTAAGTGTGCAACACAATTAACAACAACAACAACAACTTTGTGAGTCACAACTCATATTAAACACACAAACAACTCAACACTCTATAGTGAGGCCGTAGTCGCCAAGGAAGACGTTGGAGAGTTCAAGGAGGGCTATTTTATCATGTCACCAAACGATGATCTCAAGATGAAGAGACCAAACATTAGCCACAACGCCAACAACACCAACAACAAGCCAAACCAACAGAGAAGAAGAACACCAACCAACCAGCCACAGTACACCAACAACTACAACAACAACTACAATAACAACAGTAGCTATAGCCAACGCTCGTCCGACGATGAGAAGCCACTGAAACCAATCAAGACCGTACCACAGTTCCCACCAGGACTGGCGCCAACCGTCACCGACACTTCACTCGTTCTACAAGACTTTCTCTTGACACCAGACTCGATCCACAAGATTTCATCGTACTCCCAACCAGACAACTCTGCCACCATCACCGACAACACCATCACCATCGACTACTCTTCGCCAAAGAAGAGCTTCGTGCCACCATTGTCCAAGCAGCCCCAGACACCCCAACGCACCACCGATTCACCAAAGAGGAACAGCCTGTCGCCTCGCTTCGATTCACCAAAGAAGGCTCCACAATCCAACTTCTGGTCCGGCGGCGCCTTTAACAACTCGCCTGCCCCCAACGCCCTACCAATGCCCAACTTTGACGACTTCCAACCTCAACAGTCTGCCCCAAACCTTCAATCGATGACTGTTGACCTAAGAAGATTGCTCAACATTACCCCTGTGTCAGTCTCTGACTAAATGTGCTTGGCAGCCAGCATTAATACCCCTGGTTACCCACATCGTATCCACCCGTCCCCGTCCCCTATTACCGTCCCCGTCCCAGTCCCCGGGTTTACTCCGCTGTTCACAACAGACTTGGCCATTTGATAGTCAGTTGTTAACAACAGATGATCCAAATACCCGACCAACAACAAACCTTCCAACACCGCAACTTGAACCTCAATCACTCTCCTTGTAACCCAACAAACCAACACCTCGCCATTCACTTCCTTCACATACCTCACTTTACATACTCATAGACAGTATCTGTGGACATGTTTGTCCATTAATGTCTTGACCTGGATGCTCAACGTTCCCTCACAGTCTCCATATCAGCCATCAATCAACCAAACAGATAAACATGTACACACCTATTGTCTACCCTCAACCCTTCCTATTCTTCTCTGCGTCTTAGTTGGGATATTATATCTATGTACAATTGAAGATAAGAAGTACAAGTATTATTTATTATTATATAGGACTACTACCACACTCACTACCTTAATGATAGTAGTACTGAGGAGGACCTGCTTGATAGTATGCAGGCTGTGGGTAGTAGACAGGTACACTTGTCTGTACTTGTGTGTAAACTGGTGTCTGGTATACAGGTTGTTGTACATATACTTGAGGAGGTGCTTGAACAACCATTGGAGGAGCAACAGAATAATTTACAACAGTTGGAGATGGACCATGGCTCCTACTCGAACGGAATATTCCTGGCAATACCTTTAGTCTTGATCTTCCTGTGTCATAATCAGTGTTCACTGTTGAGTATGTTACTTGACTGTTGACTACTCTGGTAGTTCCCTGAGGAGGTGGAGCCATTGGCATCTGCATTGGGGGCATTCCTTGTTGCTGTTGTGGAGGCATTCTTTGTTGTGGCTGCTGCTGTGGAGGCATTCCTTGTTGCTGAGGTGGGTAATTATTATAACCATTATAATTATTATTATTATTGTTATATGACATTTTGTTGATTATAGTTTGTATATTATTTATATATATATTTATGACTATGTAGTATTGTTTATTTATATCTTGTTGTTATTCTACAACTTGAATTAATCGATTAATATTATACACTCATGCCCTCTGAGGGAAACTTTTATAGTCTTTCTATTACCTTAGAAGGTAATAATTAATTAATTCATGTGGTTAGGTGGGTATCTTGAGGACAAAGGGGTCTCCCTTGAAGAGAAGACATGGTCCCACCAATCTAAATTGGAAACACATCGATGTAGAACATCGAAATGACAGTGAGTATCGAGAACTTGTACAGAAGTGTGTCATGATGGACATCCATCCATCCATTCATCCAGGCCTGGTGCAGAATCGGACATGTCGACTGAACAACATCAAGACAACATATATCTTAGTAATTGAATGGAACGACGATAAGATAGGATAGGTTGATGTTGTTGCTTTATTGATTGAATTGCGGCTTTGTTTCCAGTGGCGGTCGTTGGACGCTGGCAGTCCAACTCATACACACTTACTCAGACTCACTCAAGAGCAATGTCTTGATGGAGCCAGGGGTTTCAGGTTCGTTCAAGTGGATTGTAGTGAAGCGGAGTGCGTTCAAGAGACCATCAGTGGATGAGGCCACGTTACGATCTCTGAGTGTAACAATACATCCTTTGATCTAGTTGTGTTGTATTGTGTGATATCGATATGTTAATCAAAATGATCAAATGTCATCAATCAGTTCACAAGATGGGTACTTACGTTGACTGGGGACTTCTTGACAAAGGCACCCTGTGGATGGATGTGATCGTACAAAATGACAGAGCCGACCATTGCTCTCAAACAAAACATATTAATCTCGTTGTTGGTGAACCTAAGATGATGATTGATGTTAGTCTCATTCATTGTACAAGCCGACAAACATTCCATCAAACATACTTCTTCTTATCGACCATGTCGTGGCACACGTTGGCCATGGTGGACAGGGTAGTTGTCACGTTCTCCCTTGGTACGGTGGTATCCTAATTGTTGTTGATGGTTAGCACTACGGCCACTTACTAACTCATTGATCATCATTGGCAATACATACAGTTTGGAGGAACTTGGCAGTGGTTTCACTGAGCACCTTCATCATTGGAGTTGGATAGGCAAAGAACAGAGACATTCTGTTAGCCAACTCATCGCGAATCTTGATGTTGGCGTCCTTCTTGGACAACTTCATTCTATTTAGAGTACGACGGTAATATGAGAAATCGTTCTGGATTGCTGGGTTGACCATCTGTGTGATTGTTGTGTTAGGATTGAACGGCACTACACTGACACTGCTACGATCGATCAATCGATCAATCAATCATTAACATACCTTGGCATCGTCGAATCTTAATACAAAATCAAATACATCTGCCAACTGCTTGGCAATAGCCTGTTGGTTGGAGAGGCTAGTCTTTGGATCGAGCTTGCACAGTGCCACCAACAACTTGGGGAAACAGCCCTCCAACAACAAAGAGTAGTCGTAAAACTCCTGCAGTATATCCACGGCGGGGAGTACGTGCTCCCAAGCAGTCTCCTCTGTATCTGGGCCTGGGTTGGTGATGGCCTATACAAACAATCAATCAATCAAACAATCAATCAATCAAACAAACAAAGATAAGTATGTTAGATAGATGTCGATGGTTGTCAACGTATTATAATAAGATTACATACTCTTCTAATATATTCGTTACAACCTGTATAGGTGGTGAGCTTCTGGAGTATCTCTGGTCCCTTGTTCAAGACCTCAGCGACTTGAGTGTGGAGGTCTCTCTCCTCATCCGATGGTTGAGCATCTGTTTATAATTGTTTGTTTGTCAGTCAGTCAGTGTCATGTTGCATCATTTGACAAAGTCGAATGTAATGCCAACAACGTACTCTCAAAGTCGATGAAGATTTGCTCGGCGTGGTCATTGCCATTGATGAAACTCAGCAATTGTCCCATTATTGTTTGTATCTGTCTGTCTGTTTATCTGTTGTCTGTATTGCGCTGTAGCTGTATGTCGCTAGGTTTGTTGTTGTTGTAGTTTGACTATGTATAACACGTGATGATATATATTTATATATACAATAGATATCTATTATCCAATGGAAATAGGGTTGATGTGGATGTGGATGATGATGATGATTAATTGATTGATATGAGGTTCGGTCGATCGTCCAAGTAAATGTGACTGCTGATAACTGTTACTACTACTTCTGTTAATGTGTGGAAGATAGTGGAGTGGAGTGGGGAGAGAGTAAAGATGAAAGAGTGAGTGAATGAATGAGTGAAGAATGAATGGATGAATGAATGAAAGATGAATGTGTGTGAGCTCAGAGAGAGAGAGTGGAGTATGTGAGCGCGTGAACAGTGTGTCTGTGTGTGATACAGGATAAGGCGCCAGCTGAAATATCACACATATTTTTATACAACAATACAAAAAAAATAAAAAAAAAGCAGTCTGTGAATCCTTCAGTGTGTCTTTTATGATGGGTCTGGTTGGCTTTCGTGGGTTGGTTCACCTTGATTGGGATCAATAAATGTTGACCTCTAGTCTATGAATACACCTCATACACACACACACACACTGATCATATGATACACTACTCAACAACTACAATGGATCGGACATTCGATCACCGATTACTTAAGTATTCAAATCTTTGAATCTAAAAGTTAGTTAAATTGATTGTAACTTTGGACCAAAGTCAAAGTATCCACAATACTTAAACTTCATAATGAATGTTAAGATATCAATATCTCTCTCAGATACTTTGCCAAGGAGATTCAATATCGGTCCCCGAATCATTTAATATATTTGTTGAATGATTGATTATTTGATTGATCGATTTGATTGATTGAATAAGAATATCTAAACAAGTACTTAATGTTGTCGTTTTTCAGTGTTTGGGCCTAATGAGACAACCACCAATTTTGTGTCATTGTTTTAAGTACAACTGACTTAAGATTAAGAGATAATAGAGTAAATAACAATGTCTGGGGCTGCTGTCAATGGTGTAAATGTTATCAAGAAGAGCACCGTTCATGTATGTGTCCACACTCCATTCTTAATCACATCTTCCTTCTAACACTTGATGATGATACCTCAATCGATCGGTCGATGTTAACAGATATATAGGGACTGCTTGAGACTGGCAAGATACATTGGTGAGATGGTAAGGAATGCCAGGAATCTGACTGACTGAATGATTGATTGAACGCATTACTGACACAGCAACACGACATTGATATCACATCACATCAATAGAATGGATTCACAAAGAACATTCACTTGCACATTGCCAGATCATTCAGAGAGCACAAGAACGAGGCTGATCAGGAAAAGATTGAGGAGTATAAGACAGAGTATGTTGTTGTTGTTGTTGTTGTTGTGGATCATCGTCATCATACTATTTGACACCTACTGACATCTTACACACATACAGTGCCACAAGATTCATTACCAACTTTATGCAACACGAGGCAGAGAGATTGGCTCGTCAGGAGAATGATAAGAAGCAAAAGATTGTCAAGCCATCACCAACATTGGATTAACCCTGTGTAGTATCAAGAGACAGACAGACACAAAGATTGAGGAAAGCTGGAATGAAGGAATATATAGTATAGTTAAACATGTATATATCAAAGTTGATATATATGTATGCATGATGGGCAACAAACCAGGAAACATGACAACAACAACAACAACGACAAATGCAATCTAGCGAACGAGCGAATGAGTGAGTGATTGATCAGACTTCAGTGTGTGGCACTAGGAGAGACAATCAGCATCCATAGATGGCTAAACAACATAATACAATAAAGGATATAGCGCACTGACCTTCATTGGTAATAATAATCATCATCTGTCCAGCTTGTCGTCCTTGATAGTGACAAGGAAGTTCCAGACATTGATGGAAACGGAAAAAAAAACAAAGTGTGTGGGTGGCGGAGGGAGCGATTCAGAAGGCTGCAGCAGCTGAGGTCAAGAATGATCATCATTCACTCTGTCTTTGTCTCTTTTTGTATTGTGTACTATATATCTATCTCACTCTCTATCCTACCATTATATATATATCTATCTTGTAGCCGATACAGACAGGTAACACAATGTTCAAGAATATTTCAAAGAGTATGCATCATCGCACACATCAGGTGATCATTCTCATTCATTGATTAATCGATTGATTGATTGATTGATCTGACCTGAGATACTATACCATGAACAAGCGCTAACATACATCCCCTCATACAACAACATCAACATGAACCAAACAGCTCTTTTGACACCAAGCTTGTCATCATCACTCCCATTCCAAACTGTAGGTGACATCTAAACATGTTGGCGAATAATAGTGATCATGATGATGATGTACTTACAACAACTCACTCACATATGAATAACATTGGAATCGGATTACATTGAACGAATGAACTAATGAACGAATGAATGAATTGAACAAACAGAGGAATGTAGGATCTATCGTGCATGCATCACGTACTCACTCATCGGGTCTGGTGGCCACGATCTTTGGTGTCACTGGATTCACAGGTCGTTACATCGTGCAGCTGTTGACAAAGTCAGGTATTCAGGTGGTCGTGCCATACCGTGGCGAGGACTACTCCTTCCGTGACCTAAAGGTGTTGGGTGAGCTCGGACAGATCATCCCAGTGCGCTACGACATTCGTGACACTGACTCTATCGAGCGTGCCATCTCTCACTCCAACATCGTCATCAACTTGGCTGGACGCAACTATGAGACTCGCAACTTCTCATTCGAGGACATCAACGTTGATGCTGCTACCAGAATCGCAAAGGTATGTTCATGATGATCGATCATACATTCATTCATTCGTTCGTTCGATCAAGTGATGGACTGACCTCTCTACCATTATAGTTGAGCAAGAATATTGGTATTGAGAAATACGTACATGTCTCTGCTTTGAATGCATCGGAGGACTCTGCTTCAGGCTTTTCGCGCACCAAGGCCATCGGAGAGAAGGCTGTCAAGGAGATAATCCCCAACTGTACAGTAGTTAGACCAGGTTTGATGTTTGGAGATGAAGACAGACTGATCAACAAGTGGTCCAGAGTGGCCTATTGGTCACCATTCATCCCAAGATACAATGAGGACTTGCAATTCCAGCCACTCCACGTATGTGTTGCGTTCATCATCAATCGTGATCATGCAAGATGTCATTCACTCACTCACTATCACCTAATCAATCAACAGTGTGTCGACTTTGCCAATGCTATTATGGCAATTCTTGAGCTCCAGACATCAGCCGGAAAGACATACGAGCTTGGTGGAGATGAGATATTCACATGGGGACAATTCATCGACTACATCGTCGAGGCCACTGTACAGTCCAATAAGAAGAACATCCCAGTGTCAATGGACGTCATGCGTATTGCCGCCAAGGTGCTGCAACACTCTCGTGATCCACTGTTCATGCCAGACGAACTGGAATACCAAAACCAGAACCTCATCGTCAACGCCGGTGCTCTGACCCTAAAGGACCTCAAGGTGAAGCCAACGCCCATCCAGGAGAAGTTGATTAGACTTTCCAGAATGTTCAGACCTTCCCAATACTTCAATGCTATTTCCAACCCACAGTTGAAGAATCACAACAGCAACGTCACCAAGCAGTAACTCATCAATCAATCAATATCGATCATCAAGTCCCATTCATTCAGTACATCAATCAATATTATATAGTATTGCAAGGCACATGCGTCCTTGCAGTATGCTGTCATAAACCAACAACATAACACATGATCAATCAATCAATCAACCAACTTCCTTATTGAGACTATCTTCGTTTGTTCCTGATCATGACGTTGTGTTTGTCCAAGCGGAAACGAAAAAGACGACACTTTGACACAAAGTGACGAGTCATTCATTCATACATTCATACATTCATTCATATCTAATAATAAACATGAGCGATAACAATAACAACGATAACAACAACAATACCTCTGTGGATCAACCAAAGATACTGGAAGAGGAGGTATCATTGGGTGAAGCTGTGGCAAGCATGCAGGAGCAAGCCAACTCACAGATAGAGACAAAGGTGCTCAATTGGATGAAAGAGATGTTGGCTAAAGAGATGAAGAGGATCAAGGACCAAGGTGCAAAGTGTACACCATTCGAGGTATGTTCAATACATCACATCACGTCACAATGTGCAGACATTCGAACATTGTTGAACTAACAACTTCACAATAATAGGTCAAGAATACAGGACTGGTAAAGGAGAAGAACATTGTCATCAACAGACTAGAGATAAAGACTATATTTGACTTTGATACAGTACTACAGATATTGATTTCCGATCCAGTCGAGTGTCCTCATAAACCTGGTTACTATTATATCAACGTATGTATAGCATTGCGTTTGATTGATTGCTGACTGGTATATACTGACACTCTTGCGCATCAACTTCCAGGTATTGTTATTCACTCGCAAGCCAGTACCATATATCATTCCTTACATCTACCGCAAGTCTGATGATAACAAACTGACAGACTGGCTATTCATCAACGATCACCTGAAGCGAAGCCAGCACAAGGTCAACCAATTCGAGAGTGTATAATGGTTACAACAATACAGGAAACAGAAGTATTGACTGAATGATTGATTGATTGAATGGAATGGAAGCAAAACAAGCAAGGAGCTAGTATATATGTATGTTATTGATTCACTGAGGATGACTTGTCCTTGTGATCTGATGATGACCTGTGTGACAACATGCATGTATGAGTGACATGTTAGGCGGTCTTGGGCGGGTCGTCCACGCCACTGTGCTCGCTTGGATCGCATTTGGACATTTCTTCAAACATGTCCTGCTCACTCTTGCGAAGCATATCGATAAACTCTCTGACACGGTCGTTGTTGTCAGAGTTGGAACCTGCTGCTGCACTGGCCTGTTGCTGCAGCGTCTTTCTCTTTTGACGCTCGCTGACCATGCGATAGTTGGATTGATACAGGAAGATGATGTAGAAGAAGTGGAAGCATGAGAAGTCTGGCCAAAGCACCTTGAGGAAGTTGGAGCTACTGTAACATGACTGCCATAGCATAAAGTCGCTTAGTCTATATTCGCCAGATGTTCGTACCAATATGTCCAGGTCCTCTTCGATATATAAACACTTCTCAAATAGACTCTGATCGATATCCCTGCAAGTGATGGAGTAGTCCATTGTTAGCGCCAATGATTGGGGCTTGGGCTTGGGCTTGAGGCCTGCCTGGGCTCATTACACATACTCTGTTAAAATTACATTGTCCTGTACACCTTTGGATAAGGTCTTCATTGAGTGTAGCATCTCCTCGTGTGATGTGTAGGACATACATATGTTGAGTAGGGCTCTGTAGGATTGAATGAACGCCAATGAGTCAGTTGATCAAGCGAACTAACTGGTCACGTGACCAGGCCAGCTAGCCAGCCAGCCAACCATGAATAGTCATAACATACTTTGTGTTTGATTCTGTTGCCTTGACAGCCTTGGCAAGGATGATCTTGGTCTTCTCGGGTATGTGGGTAAGGTCGCCAACGACTCTTATGCGCACGCCCATCTTTTGTAGCTTGTGTGTCTTGCAGAGCATCTCTTCAAACTTCTCGTTGGCCAGCTGCATGAGATCGTCCACCTCCTTCTTGGGTCGCTTGAAGTTCTCTATTGAGAAGGCGTAGACACTGATGATCTGGACGCCGAGGGCCAGTCCCCACTGACACATGTCCAGCATCTTGGCAAAGCCCATCTTGTGTCCGTTGTACAACTCGATGTGCTCACGTCGCGCGAATCGCCTATTTCCATCCATGATGACGCCAATATGTCTTGGCACTGCTCCACACCGCAGAACCGAGCAGAAGAAGTTGAAGTTCTTAATATACAGCCAGTCATTGATTGATTGATACATATAGTTCAAGCAGTTGTATATGCCTGATCCAATCATTGATGTTCCATCCTTTGTTGTTGTTGATGATGTCGTTGTCTTCTTCTTGTTATCTGTAGTGTTGTTCTGAGGTTGTTGAGTTTGTTTCAGTTGTTGTTGCTGCTCTCGATGTTGTGGTTCAAGTTGTGATTGATCATGTGATTGATGTGTTTGATCATGCTCATGTTCATGTGACTGTGATTGTTGATGTTTGCGTAACTTCTTCTCATCTCGTGTATTTGATTCAATGAACTTGTTTGTCTTCCTCTCTATTGTATTATGTTGTAATATCAGGTTATGTGTTGCTGTTGCAGCATTGTTATTGGTAGACTTGAATGTTATCATGTTATTATGTTGATTGATTGATTGAATGATTGATTGAATGTGATATAAGTTATATAACAATACAATATAAGTGGTCACCAACTTCAACAACACCAAATGTTACTAATACTATATGATATTATCTCTATGTGTAGTGTGTATATACCTGAATGAATGAAAGTATCCAAAGCTCAACTTGATGAATCACGAACGCACACAGGTTGGATGCATTGTCGTTTTTGTGTGCCTCCTTGACCCCCAACCACCAAACCCCCTTGGCTAACTCACACACTCACTCAATCTCGGCTTCGTGTCATCACTGGGCACTCATACACACAACTTTCACCAAAATAGGACAACAGTGAGTCATTTGAATTGCCGACAACCATTCAGGTATTGGAAGTGTCAGTGGAAACAGATAGATAACTTGTTCCAAAGGGCACACATTGCTTGTGCCAACAGTGAATATTCGAATGAATGAGATGAAGGGTCGCCCACCCATTTATTTGTGGCGATGATGACTCATTGCTGTTGTTGTGATATATTTACAAATTGCTTCCTGATCGACTTGATGAAGCCTGCCAGATGATTGGTCTCGTTCAATGACTCAACGAGTTGTTTGAGCTCGCCAATCATTGGTGTACATTCGACAACTGTTGGATGTGGATGGAGGTGGATGTTAGGTCAACTCAACATGGACTGATTGGGTATCCCTTCATTCATTCTTACTTACCTCTATACTCATCATGTTCAAAGTCAACGGTAACTGAAAATATACGATCAGGTTGCTTTCGATCAATCTTTGTGAACTGGAACTGAGCTCCATCTAAAATATTATAAGTTTGGTGTAAGTATGAATGAATGAATGAATGGATTGTCCAAATGGAGTGGCGCCAATCAATCCTTACCTGGTGAGATACGAATGTCAAGTCCAAGATGTGTCCTGAAGTAACCAAGTGTTCGCTCGACATTGGAGAGTCTTTCATCATTTGATCGCTCAACAGTTGTCACTGTACGTTGTGTGTTTGCCAGGTCCACTTGTTGCTCATGTACCATCTGACCCAATGAGTCCACTGCAGGTGGAAGTGATTCCTCCTTTGATCTCAATTCCTGGATACCATCCAAATGATGTTGCAACTCATCCTGTTGTCTCTTTATGACTTGGCGCCATTGATTGATTGATTGATTAGTTAAATGATTGATTGGAATGGAATAGTTCCAGTGATTGATAATGTACATACTCTGTTTGGAATGTAAATCGTTCTGCTTGAGGAACTGGTCCTCGGTGTTTAGACGCTCGATATTCTCGTTCATCTTGTGAATTGTGGAGATGTGTGATATTTGGTTCCTGCGAAGTACATCCGTATGCTCCTGACGCCACTGCTCCACCTTGTACTCCATTTGTTTCATCTCTTCAAGTAAACTATCAATATCAATATTATATTGTTGTTGTTGTTGAGATTGTTGATGTTGTTGTTGATGATTGATATTTGATGATAACAATGATGATGTACCCATTATACTATTCATATTCATATTCATTCCTCCACCTGCATTGAACATTGATGATGAAGTACCATAAGTTGATGATGTTGGTACACCTCCTGTATTATAGAATTGACTTGAAGTCATATGATGCTTCTGATTATTTGGTACAGATGATTGATACATTGATGATGTCTTATTAATCTGTGAATTGTAGTTATATGTATCCATCCTATTATTATCTCTATCTATCTATCTATCTATGTTATACAACTCAACTCAATCAAATAAACATTGTCAAAGGAAATGAAACAACAACAACAAGTTTGTGTTATTTGTTTGAATTTGGCGCTCTTTTTGAAAAATGGGTCATGTGTAGCCGACACTGATTCTTTCGCGAAACACACTTCATTGTTCGTCATCGTCATCCAGGTCATGCGTGACTGGAGGACCAAAGATGTCAAGGGAGGATATACGTGATTTGTTGGAGGACTTGTGAGCTTGGTTGATACTGGAGTTGTGTGCCATGTGAAGATCCTTCAACATGGAAGTTGCTTTGGAGTGTGAGATGACGTATGGCGCGTGTAATATTGGTGCTTGTGAGTGATAATGTGATGATGATGACATTGTTGACATGTTTGATGTTGGTGTTGGTGTTGAAGTTGATGATGAGCTGGTGGACTGAAGATGCATGCCGATTGATTGCGGTCGGAACAGGTTCATGTGATCAGAGTGGCTTGTCGTGGGCTTGTAGGGAATGGAGATTTTGGAAATTGATGGCGGCGGCGAAGTGGACTTGGACGATGCCGCCGATGCCATTGATGATGTTGATGACTGTGTTGATGCTGGTGATGTTGGTGATGTTGGTGATGAAGGTGTTGAGTATGTGTATGACGAGTTGCTGCTGCTGGACGTCGTTGAGTTTGGTGAAGATGGTGTGCGTGTGTGAGTTGACTTGAAGTTGCTGGAGTCTGGTGATCGCGGTCCTGCTCCAGTCGACGCCATATTCGATATTGAATCGGATGATGTCGAGTTGACAATGTTGCTAGAGGTTGGTGTGTGTGTGGCCAGTGAGAGATTGAGTGGACATATGTCTTGGAGTTGGGTGGTGGCCTCGATGAGGATGCGAATGAAGTTCTTCTCCTTCTCAATGTTGGCCATGAAGAGTTCTGGATTGTTACACCGCAGGAAGGATGGTGCAAACACCATGGACATGTTGTCAATGGTCATCTTGCTGTGCGCCACGTTCTCGGGCAACGTCAACTCCTTGAGGAACTGTGCAATATATGTGAGGATGCGCTGATTGTGCACAGGCAGCTGATCAAACACGTCGATGAGGTCCGACACTGACTCGCAGTTGACCGACGCCTCGTACAGATCATCCAGGATCAGTGGCTGCGGGATCTCGCGCAGCCATGCCTTGAGTGTGGAGGACAGTGTGTGCACGTTGCTCTCGACGAATGAGTAGTCGCCCTGGTCTATGCGCGCCTTGATTGTGATGATGTCAATGTTGTTGCCTGGTATGCGGAAGATGCCCTCGGTCTGCACGCCGCCCAGACTCTTGATCTGATTGACAAAAAGTATGAGCACATAGGGCACGTTCAGCTCGGGATACCTGGCACGCTGTCGCTCCATGACCTCTGATATTGGCGCTCCAAACACCATTGTATTGGGGTTCATCGATCGACGTGTTGGCATTGCGTTGTGTTGTTGATGTAACGATGTCGTTTGCTGTTGGTCCAAAGAAGAGGACTGATCTTGCTTGCCACTTCCAGTCATCTTTAATACGGACATCCTCCAACTCTTCTTCTTGCGCTCACTTGGTTCAAAGACAAACTCTGGCAATGCACTATTGATCACACGATTAAAGTTGACGAATGCCATGATATCCTTCTTCGTATCAATCGCATTAATAGCATCCTCAGACTCCTTTATCGACATTGACAATCTATTTGGTATGGCATCATACTCTGTAATGAACTTCTTCAAGTTGGTCTTCATCCTCTGCATTCTAATGGTCTCCAATCTTTGAAAGCCCTGGAATAGTTCCATGATTGAGTGTGTGGTATGTTAGTGATCACCTGATGAACATTGATGGACTTTGATGGGAATACTGTACATTCAATACTTTGGGCATCCTGTCACTGTGGAAGCTTGCTTGGTACCTGTTGGCAACAGCGACATAATACTTGTAATCATCCTCTGCCTCTTTGATCTTTGATTCGCCATCCAATATTGCACCAGATGACAATGAATCATACTTTGCCTTTGCATTCTTCAATGTTTCAAACATCTCCTTTCTCTCCTTTGTAAGGTTTTGTCCATCTGCTATATACTGTTTGATTGATGTTTGTTAGATCATGGTCCTAGTCCTTCGCCTCAAGCCTCGCCCTAGCCCTAGCCCACACCCCCACCAACACCCTCAACACAAACGAACTTACAGTCTTTTGTTCGGCCTTTAGATCCTTTAGGAAGTCCCTCAAGGGGACAGTGATGTCGTCGTTGATCTTTTGTACCACTTTGAGTATCTCCATAGAGTATTGATTGGTGTTCTCTACAATAACGGTGAATGCACCACAGATACCACCCATCTTGTTTAGACCAGTCTGTGTCTTTACCAACTTTTGCAAGTTCTTTGCATACTCCTCCTCTATCTGTATTCGTTTCTCCAAGAACTTCCTAACAGTATTACTATCATCATATCCCTTCTCAACTTCCTCAGTCAACAGATCAATCTCATTCTAGAGAACATTGATTGATCGAGTGTGCGAGTAGGAGTGTGAGTGTGAGTCTGCGACCAATCAATCATTCAATCAATCAATCGTATGATACTTACATTGAGTGGAAGTTTGAATGAACCCAACGTCGACATGATGGAGTCAAGTAAGACAATGAATGAATGACTATGGTACTTAGTAAGTTAATATTAAATGTCTGTCTGTTTGTTATTTGTAGATATTATTGATGTGTTGGATGATAGAGTGCGAGGAGATGAATGGACTGACTAGCCTCAACACCTCCCTGACTGACGTCGGTGCGAGGACCTCTCAAACAAACACAAATCAGATTTTCCTCTTGTTGTAGGCTCAACCCAATCACGGGGTTCTGATGGAAAGTGAATCAGCGAACACCCCAGTGATCAGTGGGTGACATCACCTTTTTGGGCGATGATGAGATACTAGAAATGGGGGAATTGATCAAATATGCAAAGATACGTTTTCTTTTTGTAAACCTGGTTGGTTGTTGACGTTGATCTTTATTATTACTTTGTTGTAAATTACTTGATTGAATATTAAATTACAACCTTGTTATTGTATAACTGAACTTAAGGCATTTGTGATAATACCAAGGTTTAGAAGTGGAGTTACCAAAGTACCCAACAATCCCTTTTGCATATCAAGTGTTAATAGACATGGTTGTTCCTCTGCAATCATATTAGATCCCTGTCCAGAACCAATAATAGATCCTCCACCGATTCTACCTCCTTGAACACTAGTAGCAGTGAAACTTAACTTTGAAATGGCGGCTAAATAACAAATAAATGTTAATTAATTAATCAATCAGTTAACTTATTATTAATATTCAATACCTACATATTAATGTCATTGTATTTGTTAACAATATGTTGTCAGAGAGATATCTAAATATAATGGTTACTTTGGAATATTATTTGGATATCAATAATTCACCAGTATTTATAGGACATGTATTTAATTCTCCATTATTGATATTTGTAAATTGAACTTGAGTCTTCTATTACTATGATTTGGAATTGTCCTTGATTAATTTATCATCCACGTCACCTCTAACACTTGATTGATTGATTGATTGGAAGTGTCACATGAGTGTGTGTGAGTGTGTGTGTGATGTGTATGACAGCTGAAGAGGATACCATTCCATCTGACTAACAATATCCACACCTATCCATGTGTTGGACAAGTGTTGAAGAAACCAAGGGAGGAAGAGTAATTATTACTTTGTAAATTTAGGGTTTATTATTATTTAGATGGGACCAACACAACAGGGAGAATGAACATGTGCAAAAATAGCCAAGCATTGTTGCCGCAGTCATCCATCATAGATGGAAGGGTATGAGGTGAAATGATTGATTGAATGATTGATTGTTTGGATCGCTTTCTTCTACTTGTTGTTGTTGTTTTTAAACTTATGAGTCGCTACACTACTTATTTGTTCTTCTTGACGGCTGATGGCGAGGTGACCTTCTTGGCAACCTTGGGCGAGTCGGCAGAGGTACCAGACAACCAGTCACTGGCATCATCAGAGCTGATGGTGTTGGACGAGGTCTTGTCACCAGTGACACGGCGGGTCTTCTTTGACTTTGGCATCTTGTTGTACACGACGAATCCAACCAATCCAATGATGGCCAGAGCAAAGATGATCAAGAAGAGGCTAAAGTTTGATTGATTGAGTGATGGGTCAGTGTCTTGTCCACTCTTTCCCTTGATACATGGTCCTCCTCCATGTTGATAATAACACATACTTCTCAATGTCGAATGAGCTGGCTCTCTCAACGATGTTGATGGTGGAGTTGAAGAGGGCCTGGGTGAAGTTCTGTTGCTCGTTTCTGTAGTCGACAGCGACGATCAGTCCGAATGGTCTTGGGTCCAACATGGCATCTGGAACGAAACGGTAGGACAGGGTAGTGTGTTGTCCTGGCTTAACAGTGATACCAAACTCACCGCGAGAGTACTATATTGTTGATGTTAATGTTGAGTTGATGGAGAGGACGTGTTAACAACCAGATGATTGATTGAATGTGAATGAACGTATGAATGATCTCGCCAATCAATGATTAATCGTACATTTTGGATGACGTAGTTCATGTCTTGTGGATGGTTCAAAGAGGCAAAGATGCTAGAGATGTTGTAAGCGGCGTCGCCATTGTTTCCAAATCCGACAAGAACCTCAACGACTGATCCTGCTGGGAACTCTGTATATATTATCATTGAATCATGTTAATATACTTATTATTACATTGATTGAATGAAATGAATGATTTGAATGAATGTGATCATACCATTGTTTGGATAATCTGGGAATATATAGGAGAATGATACATCTGATGGGACGGCAGCTGGGGCAGCGGCATCGACTGGCTCGGTGACAGCGACATCCTCAGCCACGACAACCAAAGCCACGATCAACAGGGCAAAGATTGAAACAATTAATTTGTTCATTGTATTGTGTATATAATGTATATATTTATATAAATATTGTATATGTATATGTTTGAGATGATTGATAAATATGTCAAACACAAGAGGCACTCCAGCTCAATATGCATTCACCATTCCAAGAGTCCACACTGTCATCATCCAAACACACACTCAGTAGCTCATTCATTCAATCATTCAGTCATTCATTGTGTGCCATGTGATCATCACCTCCATCATAAAAATTAAAAAATAAAGCTGCCTCTGACTTTAGGTCAACAAAAGTCCAACACACAACTTCCCACTCTCCAGCATTGACCATCAATCCTTGAAGTTCCTTTACATCTTGATCAATCCCAGCTGCATTGGAGGATAGAGAAGGTACATGTATATCTTGTTATTTGATTGTCTATACCATGCACGGACACACCTATCTATGTATATTATTATATTTATTTTCTTTTGTATTATGTAGGTTCCTCTGAGGTTGCTGATGTTTGTGATGGCGGGTTGAATGGCGAATGGAAGAAGTAAGGAAAGATAGATAGAGAAAGAGAAAGAGAGTTGGATGGAGTTGAAGATGATAGTGATGATGATGTTGCTGCTGCGGGGAGGTAAGAAGGGCACACACACTCTGTTTTGTTTCATCTTTGGCAGTCGCCTACCAGTACTCGGGTGCCATTGGAGGGAGGTGGAGGAGGGGATGGGAATGAAGGGATGGATTGGAATAATTAGAAGTAGAAAGAAGCTATTATAAGACACAGAAAAGGCATCACCAAGTTGAGCTTGATGATCACAATGATATCGTAAACAACGCAACGTGGACATGTGCTACTGAAGAGCATGCCGTTTAACAACATCCACTCTTGGTTTGAATTGGTGCTGACGATCCTGGGACAATCTTGGCAGTGTTGTTGACAGCGGTTGGTTGAGAAGCAGTCAATCTGTTGATGTGAACATGATGTTGTTAGTTTGTGAGCTGAGAGCGCTGCTGTCTCGATTGATCAATCATTCAATCAATCAAACATACCTATTCTTGATTTCAGTGGCCATGGTAGTGAATGCTTGGTCGACGTTGGTGGATTGCTTGGCAGAGGTTTCAAGGAAGGGGATGTTGAGCTCATCAGCGAAAGCCTTGGCGGTGTTGTAGTCAACGACCTTCTTGGCGACGAGATCGCTCTTGTTGCCGACCAACAGCTTGTTGACGCTCTCGCAAGCGAATCTATCAATCTCTGACAGCCATTGCTTGACGTTGTCAAAGGTCACTCTGTCTGTAACGTCGTACACAACGATGATTCCGTGGGCACCACGGTAGTAGCTGCTGGTGATGGTACGGAAACGCTCCTGTCCAGCTGTATCCCAAATCTGTAGCTTGACAATCTTGCCGGCCAACTCGATAGTTCTTATTTTCTGATTGAATGAATTGTTTAAATAAAATATTAGTTTGTTGTTGATGTTGTTATTGTTGTTTGATTCAAAGTGATGATCTTACGAAGTCGACACCAATGGTAGAGATGAAGCTTTCTGAGTATGTGTCATCCTATATGATGTACAAAGTGTTGTTAGCAAGATGATCAAACGATGATTGATTGATTGAGTGAGTGAGCGGTCTCACTACACTTATCTTTAAACAAACAAAACTTACAGCGAATCTAAGAAGTAGACAACTCTTTCCTACACCACTGTCACCAATGAGTAAGAGCTTGAAGAGGTAGTGACTATAATACGATATGATGATGTTAGAGGTTATCGATACACATGAATGAACTAAGTTTTGTGTTGCTGTCAATCAACTTCAACTTACTAATCTGGGTTCATTGTTTGTATAATGTAATGTCTGTCTGTATTGACCTGTTCTGATGATGATGATGTATATGTATTAAATTACAATCTCTGTTTTGAGGGAGGAGGATATTAAGATGTTAGATTCTTTCTTTCTTTCTTTCTGACTAGTTAGATAGATAGATAGATAAGTATATATGTATGTATAGATAGTGAAGTGATAATGTGTATGTATGTTTATGTGTATGTGTAAGAAGAAGCGTGTGTTTTGTGAACAAATAAGAGTGAGCTGGTGAACGGTGTGTACTTGCTCGAACTTGTGGGTTTGGTTTGCTTTCTTTGTTGGTGTGGTGTACAGTTGCGCGATGACAGTCATTCATTCACTGGGGGTTTAGTTAGTGTTGAGAGGTGAGGATGGTTTGGAAGAGAAGGAGGAGTGAGAGTGTTGGTGTTGGTGAGTGTGAATGTTGTGACACAAGATAATTAAAAAAAATTAATTTGGACATTCTAATCCTTTTTCCACAGGATATCGGACACTGTTTTGAAAGAGTGTGAGAGTTGTCGATGTAGACGAAAGGATGTCGCGTGTTTCAATGACAAGTATGTCAAAGGTGTTCGCACTTCAAAGCTCAAGTAATATTGATTGGTTGGTATCATCATTGATAGATTGGATTGATATGTTTTGTTTGATTGATTGATTGATTGAGTGGATGGAATAGAAGAACAAGAAGAAAAGAAAGAAATGAACAATCACCTTTAAGTTTGGGTTGTATTGTATTATTGTCTTCTTTGGTGGCGGCTACTTTGAGTGTAGTTGTTGTGTTTAATAAATAATTGTTTGAATGGTTTGATTGATGGTGAAAAGTACACTAATTATATATGATTGATCCACAGACACCTTGACGAAAGTTGGGAACCAACCATACCATACTAGACCAAACCATACGATACCATACGATAAAGGTTGATTGTTAAGAAGAAAAAGGAGAAGAAGTAGAAAGAATATTGACTGGCTGTCTATCTACCTACTATTCATGAACTACCTTTCGATGAACAACTCACTATCTTGTCGATTTGACCACAAACAAAGTGGAAAGTAGTGTGTGTGAGAGGTCAATGTCGAAATAAATTCATTGAACGATTACCAATGTCTTGAAGTTTGTTAGTTGATTATTGACCCATGTGAGTTAATGGATGGCTATAGTCAATGGCATCATACATACATGACCTCTAGAGGTCAACCTATTGTACAACTTGTCAACTCGACATATACCAGATCGATCGTAGAAGAAACAATAACAACGATCTTTCCATCTATCTCGATGACTCATTATTGTAGTGATGCCGATGAAGTGACGCGTGCCAATAGTCCAACTTGGATCATGGTTGGATGGATTAATAGGCTGGCCTGGTAATTGACAGACTTTGAATGAATGGATGCCACAATGGCAATTGAATGAGACTATGAATGTAATGCTTTGAAATGAACTCGAGTTTATTAGATGATATCCTGTGTCAAATGTTGTTGACCCAGGCATGTCGGAAGAAGTTAAGAAGACGAGGGGAAAAGGAAGGCTACTATACTATTATACTATATACTATTAGAGTCTACTACTGCTGCCATGTGATGAGTTTAACAATGACTCTCTACGTATCTTGAGGAATGTGGCAATGGAGTGTCGCTTCCAGAGTAGGCCGCCTGTGACTAGGGACATGGCCACACAGGCACTGACAACACCAGCAGCCAGTTTGATCTTTTGGATGTTATCACTCGATGGTACTTTGGGCATACACGACTTCTCACTAGTGACCAACAGACTCATTACAGTATTGGTGCGCTTCAATGACAGACAACTATTGTCCACCTCGGTCACCTCCTTAGTCTCTGGATTGAACACCTTGACCTGCACCTTTGTAAAGTTGCCCGATGCCGCCTGGTATGACATAAACGACACATCACCCATTGCTGCCAACTTTGGCAAGTGATTGATATTGAGTGTGATCGAGAGTATACCATTCAATCTCAACAATCCAAGTATATTAACTAATATATTGTTGATGTAAGTGTAAGTATGATGGATGGATGTGTCAGAAGATGATTGATTACTTACGTGATATGTTAAGATTGAGATTGAGTAGGTCTTCAAGATCAATGAATATGGAGGTCAGGGAATTGATTGTTTGGTTTAGGTTGCCAGTGATGTGGAGTAGGGATGTGGAGAGGAGTGAGCCAAGGACACCGGCTTCATGTAGTATGTCACCGTTGATAATACCATGACCTTGGAGTAATCCACCATTCAAAAGGAATGCTGTCTTGTTCTGATCCAATGTTATTGTTGAGTTTGCCAACGACACAATACCATCAGTCAACTTGAACAAACTTGATGTCAAGTTGGAGCTCAACAATTTAAGTTCTCCACTATTAACAAATTCCTGGATTATCAATAAATGTTAATAAATGTTAATCAATCAATCAATCAACTGCATTCAATCAATCATACTTACATGTATAAAGTGAGAGGTGTTGTTGCCAAATAACCATGATCCGAGATTGTTGATTGAGTTGTCCTTTGAGTCGGTGAGGATGTTGGCATTGATGTTGACTTGTCCTGATCCATGATTGGTGAATATACTGCCACCATTAAGTGACAGGATACCATTGACCGAGAGCAAATCACTATTGTTGAAAAGACTCGAACGGATGTTGAGTGCACCTTGGATGTCCACATCACCAGATGCCGCGTGTCCAGCGGAGAAGGCCAGATTGAGATTGCCCAACACTGATACCTTGGACTTGTTATCGACCAACAACATTGAGTTCTCTTTGATGTTGATATCACCAAGCATTGACTTGACACCGGATAATAGTTTGAGCATACTTGATGCGGACTGAATGCTGGTGCCACTGTCCAACAGGAAGGCACCATCAATGGCCACTTCTGATCCATTCTCCATGTTCATCATGCTAGTGTCGGTCATGTTCATAAGATCTTGACATGTAGCAATGAGCTTGCCACCATTGAGATGTAGACGAGCTGTTGAGAATAAACTGAATGATCCACTGTTGATGTTTGTTGTTGAGTTGGTCATATTCAGTCTGCCACCAACACTGAGTATTCCATTGCCAGTGTTTGACTTGAGGAATCCATTGGTCAAATCAAACGTGGACAATGCATCCAAGAACATTGATTGAATGGACAATGATGTACCATCAAACATATTATGTGAGTTGGAATTGTAGGCCTTGGCATTCAAATTGCCATTCCTAAATACAATTGATCCCTTTATGATTGATTGATTGAATGATTAGTGATTGATTGATTGGAATTATTCCAAAGATATACTACTTACATCATCATTGTCTACACCACTTGTGTTTAGATCACCTTCGGAGTAGAGGGTGGACTTGGAGGTCACTTTGAATGTGTCGTTGGAAGTGATCAATCCAAAGTTGGCAAATTGTGACTTGTTGGATAGGACTGATGGATTGGTGGTCGTGAGTGTTGAATCACGATCAATCGTGATCTGACCTCGATTGGATGTAAAGAACGGGATGGTAAACATCGATGCACTGTTGATGAACAGTCTTCCATTGTTGGCAAGGTTGACATTTGAATTGATGTTGGTGTTGGCGTTGATATTCATTATTCCCTCATTGCGTAGATTCTTTGTGTTGATGGTCGTTCGATTGAACACCGAGAAGAATGAGCCGGCGCGGAAGAATATGTCGTTGGCAATGTCAATCTTGGTCTGCTGGATGGCGTTGATCGATCCATACACGTTGAGTCGATTGGATGTCAGACAGGTGCCGCCCGAGCACTTGAGTATCATCGTGGACTTGTTGCCAACTGTGATGTTTGACCTAACATTGACTGATTTCTCAATATCAACATAGAGTGTTGTGTTTCCAATCGGTTCGCCCGAGGACAGATCCGGGTCCATGTACTCCTGCTCCTCTGGCGTGAGGTTTGGGGTCGAGTAGGTCTTGGTTGTGGTCCGCGATGGCTTATTGTAGAAGTATGAATAATATGATGACAGATCATCAAAGTTGGAATAATGTGTTCCAGTTGTCGTCGTTGAAGTCTTTGTCGTTGATGTGGTTGTTGTCGATGGCATTGATCTGGTCGTTGCGCCACTCGTACTGCCGCCACTCGATCCAAAATTGAACGGCCAGAACGACTTCATGAATGAGTCCTCCCAGCCGGCGCCGGCCGATCCGCCCGAGGTGGTGGTGGTCGTGGAGCGAGTTTCGGTCTCGCTAATATAATCGTCGCTGCTGGTGCTTCTGGTCGCCATTGTGTTGGTGGTGGTCGTTGTCGTTGACGACTTGTAAAATGTGGTCGTCTTGCCATTGGTCACTATCTGTTCTTCTTCCATATCGTCGCCCAAATATAAATCCTGGAAGCCTTCGTCGTCCTCGATCACAACATTGCAGCGCTGTACGCCGTTTGGTGACTTGATATTATACATTCCATACATGCTGTTCTTGAATGTACCACAATCTGAATAGTCCAATGACATCGCACCAATCACCAACATTGTCCACAGCAATCCAACAATCTTAATATAATTTATAGTATTATTATTCATCTTTCCAGTTGGCAAATTATTATTGTTGTTGATGTTGATGTGCCAAGATGTTGTTTGTTATGTGGGATGGATTGAATGTGTTTGATTGGAATGGATTGGAATGGTCTGACTTTGATTGATTGACTGATTGTGTGTGTAGAAGAGATAAGTCTGGAAAGTTGGACGTTGGTTTGGGATGTGTATATAAATAAAGTTGGTGAGATGATGGATGTTTGGTTGAATTCAAACTTGGAGGAGGAGACAGGAAGAGGAGACAGGAGGGAGGGAGGAAGGAGCATGGTACCATGCTCAGTCAACCCAACGTTGTTAAGCAAAGCCATCTCTCACACCAACAATTATAATCACAGCCATCAAACACAGGTGGATTGATTGATTGATTGATGGATGGAGCAGGAACTAAAATAGATCAAACTACACCACTGGCGAGACGCGTTGAGTATAGTTAAGGGTGGATGGATGTTGTTATACATGGCGTTGTTGTTCGGTGCGTACGTTAGATCAGTCTGGCGATAATAATGTTTGGTTGGACTGCAGTATGTTCATCAACAACAACAACAACAACATTGTGATGCGATACGATTACGATTGTCGTATATTCCATTCATTCATTCATTCTTGTTGTATTGTACTACTATTACCACTACTACTGTTGCCGTTGTGACCATCGGGCATTGATTGATTGAGTGAGAGTGAGTGAGGAATCTATTAATACCGAAGCAGAGAGTGAAGAGTGATGCCCGATCACTGGTGATTGAGGTGGTTGTTTGGTAGATGGCATGGACATTGGAATTCATGGTGGTGAAGTGATTGTGACCTTGTATGGTTAGTAAGGGGTGTTTGTATGTCTGTTGGAGATCACGTGATAATAGACAGGGACATCTATATGAAAGGACATGCGTGTAGCGTCGCTCTATTGGTTGATGGGAATGTGTGTGTATGAGTGTGTATGATTGATTGATCAGATGGTGTGAAGTGGAATGTGTGTGTGTGCGTCGTTGAAAGATAGTAATGTTAAGGATTGATATATGTTTAACATTCAACCATGAACATGATCAATGTTGTTGGTTGACCTAGAGTGTAGTATGTATGTTAATCAAACACATAAACTCACATACACACTTATGAATAAGAAACGAGCACTAAGAGTGTGATCACATGATCAGTGGGTGTTAGTGAGTGGGTGTGAGTTATAACAATCAATCAATTATTTAAACACAATTATAAATATCCATATATAGTTGTGATTGAATGTATATATGTTTGGTCACTATGACACTTGAACTTGGATGCCAGGCAATGCCTTTGAATGGCAAGTCTTTAATCCAATTGCAGGAATGGACTGTTATTGGATCATTCATTTATTCATTGCCAATGCCAGCCATTACTTCCAAAAGGCAAGGTTGGCTACCTTTCCAACAACTGACTTCTCCTTCTTGTTTCGCTTTGTTGTTGTTGTTGAAGATGATCCTGGATGAGCATCAACATCGATTATTGATTGTTGTTGGTTGACTGGTGGAGCATGAACAACCTTTTGCTTCTTTTGTTTGATTGATTGATCGCCATCACCAATCTCACGCTTGCTTCCAACCTGAGTATCAGTTGTTGACGATGATGTCTGTGACTTGTTGATTATATTGCGCACCTTGTCGATCCATTGTTGTTTGATCTCTGGACATTCATTGATTGACTTTAAACTGTTTGTGTCTTGCTCGACCAACGACGCCGTGCCACTGTCAAGAGTGACGGGCAGGTCAAGCTTGTTGGACCCACTGGTGGTTGACACAATAGGCGCGACACCGATTGGACATGGCGTCCACCATTCGATAGGTCTCCACTTGCCATGTTCGCTCGCCATGTTGTACTGTGTAGCTGGGTCAACTGCTGCCGAACCACCTTTACTCCGCAGTGATTGTTGGTCCTTCTTGGTGAGCATGGGCGCCACAGTCTCCAGTACAGCCGTGGCGATCTGTGAGCTACTCACCAAGCATCGCTCAAAGATGAAGCGGTAGGGCAGCTCCATATTGAGTGTCTCCTTGGTCTGTGAGGTGAAGTTGTACTTGCGCGTCAACAACATGAGCCAACCAGCAAGCAATCGCTTGGACGTCAGTGCAATCTTGTTCGCGCCAGTGATTCGGTCCACGAGCAGGTAGAACAAGATGATAAAGAAGTGGGGGTAGGTCTCGTGAAGCTCTTTCAGGAGGGTCCTCCACTTCTTGTCGATGAGGAATGGCACGGTGTAGTCGCCCTTTTGCAAAGGAGTATATGATTGTGCGCTGGGCACGAGAAATCCGTCGTCGACCAGCATTGGCACAAGGATGCCCTCGAGCTGACCAGCCGAGATCAGGTCTTTGATAGTGGCGACCGTCGTCCTCACATTGTCGGCGAGCCAATCCTTGATCTTTGTATTCTTGGCCGTGGAGTTCTTGTTCGTGCCAGAGCCCATGCCCAACTCATTGACAGTATGATCGAATTGTTTGGAGTATGTGTCCAGTATGCGTTTGAGGTTGGTACGTTGTCCATTGAACAATGTGAGTTGTGACTGCCAATAATGATCGTCTAGCCAAGTAAGTGCCGTGCGTGCAATCGTGCACAACACACGGATTGAAGGCAATGAAGAGTGTGCAGCCTCATGTCTAATGTCAACAAAGTGCATTGGTAAGTTCATCTGAGCAGCAATAGCAAACATTGACCTATTATTCATCGTTCTATTCTGTGGCGCTCTATGTTGATGTGATTCAATCACACCATTCACCAATCTATTGATTGCCATTCCAAGTGCCAATGCTCTCATATTCTCTGACACTGATGTTGTTGTGGTATTTGTTGTTGGTGTCGACGCGAGTAGTTCTACCAATGATGAAGTGGCCTCGACAGCCATTGGTAACTTGCCCCTACTCTTCCATGCTGCTATTCGTTTGATCGCTGCAGTTTGAGCGGTCTGATCATTTGAGTAGAGTGCATTGTATATCTCTGTCCACTCATCCCAATCGAACCATACAACGACATTCTTTGCCAACTGTCCACCAATGTCCATTATCTCTTTGTCAATGTATCTGTTGTGTGGACTTGGCTCCAAAGAAGAAGAATGAAAAAACGAAGAGAGGGAGCCCTTCCCTTATTTCCAATTTCTCAAAGTCGATTGACCTATCAATGTTGGGAACAAGGTTGATGATACAATAAATAGTTATAAATGTATTATATTATAATAACGATGATGGAGTAGGAGAGATATTTAATCCTCTCTTCTGGTTTCGTACAGGTCACCATAGAACTCGATACCTGATATAGATAGGAAGTTGTGATTGGTCGAGTTTCTGCCTGTTTGTAGGATTCTAAAATGTCGGTATGCTTGTGTACAATTATCAATTGGCCATGTCCATGTGCTGTAATTGCCATTCAATGAACAATCATTACTATGCCTTGAGAGAATTGTCCAACTCTACATTGATCAAATGTTAGTGAATTGAATGAATGAGTGTGCGGACTTGATGCATCACTTACCTTGCTGTCCATCGATCCTTGCAATGTCCAATTCCTCAAACAATCAGCCTTGCTGTTACCTCCATGGCGAAGACTATAGAATGTAGGTACCATGGTACGACTTGATCCAAGATTGATCGATACCCATGATGCAGGTACATCCCTATTCATCCAAAGTCAAGTCAGTATGTGTATGAGTATGAAGCCAAATGATGACGGAATGGGATACTTACATTGTCCAACATTCAGTAGGTGTACGTCCAACTATATCAGTGACATTGCCCTTTTCGATTGATGAGAATGTAACACGTACACGACCTCTGATGGCTGGGTTTGACCATTCTTCCTTGAGTCCATTGGTTCCAATGTAATAGAACACACCACCTGCCACTGCATCAGTCTTGGGGTTGTACTCCAGTGAGATTGCGTACGGCGCACGCGGTGTCCTTCTGATCAACGCCAGATTGTCAACAACATCAGTGGGCTCCTGCGCCACTGAAAGCGAGGAGGACGACGATGAAGACGATGACGATGTCGATGGATTGGTCACCTGCAGTGAGGGCGTTGGCGAGTTGGTCGGGGCACCGCCGGGTGTACCCGTCTGCACGACGTTGGTCGATGATGACGACGGTGACTTGGAGTTGGACGGCGCGCTTGACAGGTTGCCATTGGCCTCCTTTGGTCCCTCGTGAAGCCGCAGACGAAGCATCAGAGCTTCGGTGATGAGTGACTTGGGGATCAATGTGTTCTCCTGCACCTCCTCGAGCTGCTGGTAGTTGAACAGGGGGAAGCGCACACATTCAAACAGCGAGTCGATGTCCTGCTCGCCGAGCGTGGACTTGTTAGCCTGTATATACTTTACAATGGTCTTGTAGACGACGGCTTCGTTGGAGACGGACAGATTGTTTTGGCGCATCAATCTGATCATGATAGAGACGGGCAGTGATAGCAGTTCGGGTATCGTGTGGATGGTTGTCGTGTTGAGTGACTTGTCGTGCGAGAGTGATGGCGCTGTGATGGACGACGACGAGTTGGACGGCGATGGTGAGCCAAACCTTCCAAAGTTTGAGTGTGATGTGTTGGTTGTCGCGGATATAGACGACGCCGTCAGGATTGGTATCGATGAGGTTGTGGTGGTAGTCGCGTTGGTTCCAGCTGGTGGCTGCGAGACGGTAGACGACAATGATTCATCGTCGCTCTCGTCGCCACTGTCGGTCAATGTGCTGAGATGTTCAGATGAGTTGTTGTTGGACTCGAGATGCTCGGTGGCCGACGAGTCCAACTCGTCAGATAGTGCGCTGCTGCTGTTGTTGGTGGATACTGTCGAGGGTGGTAGTGGTGGCAGGTGATGTGGATGCAAAGAGTGTTGATGCTGTTGTTGGAGTTGCTGTTGCTGTAGGAAGAGATGAGAGTAGTGTGGCTGTATCAGTTGATTAAAGTGCTTGCAGATCACTGTTATACACTTGGTGATCAGGTCTTCAGAGTTGATGTGGATGGCCTTGTTGAGCATTACGAATGCATTGTCCTTTGTGATTGAGCTCGTGAGTGAGAAGGTCGCGTACTTCTTCAGCCCCTTGATCTGGAAGTTGTTGGACAGCGACAGCAATGGCAGCGCGTTCAGCGGTGTCAAGTTGACCCTGCCCTCATACAGATAAGTGACCACCGAGTCAAAGTGTTCAATGAACAATCCTTTCAATTCATAGTTGCTGTCGTCAATCTTTTCAAAGTATGTAGTTCTCGGTGATGTTAATGATGGTGATGATGATAATGTCGGTTGTTGTTGTTGTTGTTGTTGTTGTTCTGATCCTTCAATAATATGTTGTTTGACATAATGTCCATTGGTCATGTCAATACTACTGCTGTTGATGTTGTTCTTGTCAAAGAACTCTGAGAAGTACTTTGAGGAGTAGGCTAGGATGACTCGATGCAGGTGGTACTGCTTGCCCTCTGAGTGTATTGTTAGATCGCTGAACTCTCCAGACTTTAGAAAGGTACCAAAGCCACTTTGAAACAGAGGTGATTCAAAGTAACTCAATGAACTACTACTACTATTGCCTCCATTACTATAATTTGATCTATGTCCTTTGAATCCACTACTACTACTACTATTATTATTATTGTTATTGTTATTGATATTGTTATAACTTAAAGTTGCACTCAACAATGATGTTAATGATGTATTAGTTGTTGTTGTTGTTGTTGTTGTAGTTGTTGAAGGTATCGTGCTTCCTGTGGCTGTGGATGTAGCTGTCGTTGTATTATTATTATTGTTGTTGTTATCATCTCTACTGGTCTCCATTGGAAACCTATATATATCTAAATAGTTTATCTTTTCTCATGTGTGTGTATATGTTGGAGGATTGATTGGATTTGATAGAGTGACTCGTATTCGTAGATGTCAATGTCGAGTGAATCTGACACACTCACAAACACCCACTCATTCATCTTCATTCATTTGCTTCAACTTTGAGTAACTCAATTAAATATATCGGATCTTGAGATATACTATTGTAATACAATTATTTCCTAAATCTGGTATATTTTAGTAAAGGTAAGATTTATATCATAATTTAATATATTTATAAATTAATTATATGACGGTTGGGTAATTTGGAGGCAAAGTCAGTTTGAACTCTCCATTGCTTTTCGCAACTTGTTCCTTTTGCCAGGGAACTAGTTGCGAATCAAATCGTGTGATCCTCCAATACCAAACTATGAAAATTTGATAATTTTCTGTGCAACAAGGTGTTGTTCCCCTATTTTTAACAAAATCACAAGTTTCTCACCAGAAAGTGTGTGTGATGAGTAGTTGGGGGTTGGAAGATGTCTGGATTGACATAATATGAGTGGATAATTGACAAGTATGTATACATTATTGTTACTAAGAATTTATCATCATTATTAATTAACTATAACTATAATAATAATATCATACAGATATATAATATATATCACATTATAACAATGAGCAACACAACAACAACAACATTTAACATGACCAACCTATATACTTCTCTGGACCAGTCGGTCCAGACAAATGTTACAGATCAATCAAGACAAACACTTCCAGCTTCAGCTCCAGCTCCAGCTTCAACACAAACACTGTTTATTGAATCCTATCAAATGGCCGACATACTATTGCAACTGTTTAATAATAAGGAGTTTCAAACAATCGATAACCTTATCAATCAATGTGGATTCAGCGTCAACGCCCAGAATCAGCAGGGTCTCTCCATTCTCCACTCGTCCGTAATCAACAACAATCTTATCTACTCTCAGTATCTGCTGCTGAAGGGCGCCAACCCCAACCTGCAGACCATGGCCCAGGTCACCCCTCTCCACCTTGCCCCAAACCTGGAAATGGCCGGCACACTGATCGCCGCTGGTGCGCACATCAACGTCGTAGACGAGGAGGGCGACTCACCGGCCCACTACGCCATCCGCGAGTCGCGTGCTCCCGTCCTGGATCTCCTGCTAAAGTGCGGAGCCAATGCCAACCTGACCAATGATGATGGCGAGTCCCTGTTACATCTGGCCGCTGCCCTGGGCGACGAGCAAAGCTGTCGTCTTCTTGTGGATGCTGGTGCGGACCTCAGAAGCATGGATGGCAGTGGATCAACACCTCTGCTGGAGGCCAAAAACAATGGTCACATGCCAGTTGTGCTGTATCTGAACAACTGTGCCGCTCAGCAAGTGGCCAATCACAACAACAATGCTGGCTCGATGTTCCCTTACACTCACTACTCGGACCTGCAAGCCGGTATCCCCAGCGGCGCTGCCTACTCCAACCACTTTTTTTGAAACTGGCCAACACAACATAATCGACAATTCCAGGATCAACAACAGCGTTGACATGACAATGATTGGTGGTAATGACAACACTATCAATCATCACAGTCATGTCATATTAATCACTTGTGGCCAACTACGACAAAATGGCCTCAGCAATATGCATTTACGACACCACTAAAACAATGTCAATCAATCAACCAACCATCAAACAATCAATTCACATCACTGCATTTGGTTCATCGATCACATGGACACTAACCAACAAGTGTGATCATACTTTGGCAGTCTAGATTCAAAGTCTTTTTTTGTATAAATACAACTAATAAATAACTTAACTTAATCGTCTTCGAAATTGATTGACTGATTGATTGATTGACATTGTTTTGTACATCAATTCTTTGAGTTATATTGATTGATTGATAGGTTGATTAATGGATTCAAATAACTAACGAACGACTTGCAAATGCAGATGATGGACCTTGGATGTGATGTTGGGGGTTCGATCGATTGTTGGTTGTTGCCCAACAAGGTAATTTCAGATCAGGGTATTCTGATGTATTCGTGGACCGAATGACAAATTGAATTTAAAAGTGCGCATGGAAGGAAGTCCAAACACACTCGAGTTGAACCAACTCGTGCCCCCTTCATCCATCTTGTTCAAACTTTGAAAAGCATTGGTCTCAAACAAACCCAACAAGTGTGTGGGAGTGAGCACATTATCCAACCAGGAAGAGAGAACGCATTCATTCAACGACACTTGACGGTGGGAGAGAATTTGTGACAATGTCATTCGTTCATCGATGATGTTGTTGGAGATTGGTGGGGGAGTTGGGCAAGAACAGGCCTTCCATCATCACAATCGGCATCCTTGCATGGCCCTTCAACGACTACGATTAATCAAGTTTGTAAGTAGTTATCAATGTTGTTGATGTTGTTGGACTGGGCAAACATTAAACACTACAAGTTGGTACATTGACTCTATTAAACAATCATTACCTCATAAATATAAATATACACCTTTACAAGTAGTAATAGTTGCAACATACATAGTTAACTGATACTCTCACTTATTGTTAAACTGTTCACAATACTAGTTACATGAATTGATTGTGATTACCACATCCAAAATATATATAACTTCACCAACTCTTTGAGTTACTCTTGACATTACAGGAAACAAGGACTTCTCTCTCAACTTTAGTTAGTTGTATGAGCGTTTGTCGTTAAACAATAACAATCAAGGTAAGGCCGATTAAACAAGTTGTACATCAATCAATCAATCTATCTATTGGTCAACCAATCAATCAACCCCCAGGGCATCCATGTGTTTGATCAACGACATTCACACACGCAAAGAAGCACAAACACACACACCACACCCAATCACTGATCAACAACAAAGAAAACAACACAAATCGTGTCAGAATCGGCGCATTCAATTTGATTGACGCAACTGCTCACATTTATGTGTGTGATCGGTTTCCCATTCCATTCCGCAAACAAGCTCCACTCAACGCAAATGAATGAATGTAACAACAACAATAACCAACTTGTTATATTCATCACGCATCCAAGCAAGACCGCCATTACATCACACACACTATTATAACTTATATCGTACCAACAACCACAACACAATCTCACACCTGCTCCTATCATTCATTCATTCATTCATTCCTGCATTGGTTCATGGTCGGTCCTGGTGTCTACTGATAGGGGTGCGTACTACTCCAACCTCCACCTCACATTCATTCATGCCCACTCGTTGGCTTCCATCCTGTACACCAACCTCCACCCCCTCCCATCATATCCATCCATCCATCATCATTGCCAGCCAGAGCATATGATATAATCGATTGATTGATTGTTTGATTGATTGATATAATGCCCATTCATTGATCATAACAATTACTCTCCCTCACCTACCAACCTTCCACTCGACATACTTCCACATCCATCCATCCATTCATTGAGATAAAGACACAGTCCATGGACTAATACCCATTCCAAATTAATCAATCAATAGTATCCCAAACATAAAATATATAATATATAATATATACCTACCATGATGATGATGATGATGGACAATCAATCAATCAACAACATCACATGGACCAAGCCAATGAATGGCTCACCAAAGAAGATAATGATGCAAAAGTACCACGCAGACTTGGAAGCATCAATGACACGGGACTATTCCTCGCGTCTATTCCTGACATGGATTTATAGAAACACGGTGCCACCTCAGCTGGCCCCACTCCCAAGACTTGGTATCCAACAGCGCGTGGTCGTTCCCCAGCAGCACGGAGTGTTGCTGCCACACTCCACGCCACTGTCCGACGTGGAGCGCTACGTTGGACAACTGGTCGACATGGTGGACACGGTCATCCACTTCTTCTACCGCCAACACAGCAAGCGCCACAGCCTGGCCGAGGACAACGCGCTCTACCACTCTTTGTTCATCGGCTGCATATACTACGCCGACCTGTTCTCGCGCAAGAACACTCAGGCCTCGACGACATTCCTCGACGTGCTCACAACCAGCATCATCGTAACGATCAAGATGTGGATGGAGGAGAAGATGAGTGTCAACAAGTACATTGCCAAGATCTTCAACACGCCCATTGCGCATATCAACCGTGTCGAGGCCTACTTCCTCCAACTGATCGACTACCAAGTGTACCTGCACGAGAAGGACCTGGCGCTGTTCATCGATATCATACATAGATCATCCACTCAGCTGAGGTCGCAACAAGAAGTACAGCAACAGCAGCAGCAGTCTGCATCACAGTCATCATCATGTATCGCTACAATGTCATGTTTAAACTACAATCCATTCACATCATCATCGGCATCTTCATTCAGCTCACCGATGATGGGCTCAACATCATCATCTTCATCAGCATCTCAGCCTTCATCGCCATTCCTTCACTCCTGCATGTCAACACCAACTGGTGGACACTCCCAGGAATACTCATCATCTCCATCTTCACTAGTACCAACCTCACCAAACAACAACAATAAGAGGAAGTATCAAGTCTACCAACAACAACAACAGTATCAACAGTTGCATAGTCAGCAGCTGTCTTCAACTTCATCACATGTAATATACAATCAATTACCACATCAACAACATCAACAACAACAACAACAACAACGTCCAATCATAAGTACAACAACATTAGTACTCTGCTCTACACCAAGTGTTCTGCCTGGTGGTCCATCAGCCTTTACTCTATGTTCAAACAGCAGCAGCAGCATTAGTAGTTACCAAGAGCCAAGAAAGAGAATAAAGGAAATAGTATCGTATTAAGTTGTACATACATATATATATATACACATAAATATCTATCTCTCTTTCTCTTCTCTCTCATTGGTGTTGCGCATCACGAGTATCCTAGCGTGGTAAGCTTAGGAAACACAAAGCCAATGAACCGTCGACTAGTGTGGCGTGTTGCCTTGTTCAACCCCAATATCCACAAAGACTACTACACTTTGGCATAAACATTACAAGTCAGATGATTCATTCATAATACTATACATATACTTATACTTATATAACATTACTACAAGTGTGTAACAATGTCAAACCTACCAGTTGTATATGATGTCAAGACAGGTGTATCGGGAGAGTTGTATAAATACATGATACAACATAGTGTCAACTTGCATCCAGTTCAGAAGGAACTGTTTGAATGTATGTGACCTATCTTATATCTACCTTTGATTGAACTTAACTTAACCAATATCCAATAATAATAATCATTGATCATCAAGATACCAAGACTAATGTATCCAATCGAATGTGAGTATGATTGATCGATCCAAATTTGGATGACTGACTGACAGAGAGGCATCCCTCTATCACATCCAGGATGTCTGCTCTGGATCAATGTTCTCTGTTTACCTTCCTCATTAAGATCATTAATGCAAAGACTGCCATTGATGTTGGTGTATTCACTGGATTAAGTGCACTCACTGTTGCATTGGCAATGCCCGATGAGGTAAGTTACCAACTCAATCAATCAATCAACTCAAATCAACTCAACATATTGTATACGATAGGGTCTAGTGATTGCTTGTGACGTGTCCACAGAGTATACGGATCATGCAAAGAGGTTCTGGAAGCAGGCTGGAGTTGATCATAAGATTGATTTGAGGATTAAGCCGGCCACTGAGACTCTCCAGGAGTTGATCGATCAAGGCAAGGAGGGAACATTCGACTTTATCTTTATCGATGCCGACAAGACAAACTATGATTCCTACTATGAGCTCTCACTAAAGCTCATCAGAAAGGGTGGTATCATTGCATTGGACAATGTCTTCTTCCACGCTGAAGTACTCAATCGTATGTGTCTATCATTCATTGTATTTAATCATGATCAACTATATTAACCACCTCATCATGTCGATATAGCGACTGAGCCCAATGGTCAAGCCATTGACCAACTCAACAAAAAGGTTGTTAATGACAAGCGTGTACTGATCACCATGCTGGGCATTGCCGATGGATTAACCTTGTTGACCAAGTTGTGACATGGAAGTTCACTCCCATAAATAAGTTGAATCAACCCATCATTCTTTCAAATTAACGAGTGTTAGTTTCATTAACAAAGTGTGTGATCAAACAAAAGAGATAAGACTAGGTAGAATGACAAAGAAGAGAGTGTACACTCGTAGATCATCTGCATTGAAGAAGGAGGAGGACGCACAAGAGCAACAACAACACAGTGGCGCAGTGACTGATGAGTTGGTCTCACTGAACAAGTGTGCACATGTCACAAAGGTTGAGGTGATATGCATCGATTGCAAGATGCTGGTGTGTTCACTCTGCATCGTAGAGAGTCATAGGTTGCACAATATCGATCACATTGACAAGATCAAACAATCAATCACATAGAAGAAGTTCAACGACACGTTTGACAAGAGATTGGATGTGTTGTGGGTCAACATGAAGAGTCTGTTGGCAACGTACAAGACACAGGACAATGCAATCAAGGATATTGTGGAGCATTACAGACAACTTCATGAAGCACTGGTGATTGAAGAGCACATGAAGAAGAAGGACATCACTCTCGAGATGGAGCGAACTGAAGAGACCATCAGTCGCATTGCCAAAGAGATCAATGATATTCATACATTGTTCAACAAGGTTGGCGATGGTCACTGTGAGACAGACACTGCAGAGTTGATGAGAGCTGCCACATCAAGCAAGACAATCGCTCAGTTTGTCAAGAAGATTCATATAAATGATGGCGAGCCAGCTGACAACACCGACATCTCATTAACTGCCAAGTTCTTGGAGTGCAATGAACAGATGACCACCAATCAACTTCAAATCAGTCGTCCATTCAGCATCAAGACACAACAATACACAGATACATTCACTGGAGAGATGCAATCAATCATTGATGTGATCGATTCAAATACAGTTTGGAAGTCATCACATCAATATATCAATCACATCTTCGCATTCAATGACAATGGCAACAAATTCATCGATCCAAGAATTCCTTCTGGGAGATTGTACTCTCTCAATGAGGACAAATCAAAGTTGATTAGGAGCGGTGTCAAGACATCAACAGTGTACGCCCGAGACAACATCTATGTGTTTGGTGGTGTGGGCCATGATCAGGAGAGGAGCTATGTTCGATACTCATTGTTGGAGAAGACATGGTGCGATAACCTCAGCATCTCAGGCCCGTCAGTTGTTGGTGGACATGGCATTTCGGTGTGTTTCGATGGTGACAAGCATATCTACTTGATCGGAGGTTGTTTCAAAGGTATCAACTTAAATCGCATCGATTGCTTCAACATTGAGACCAACACATTCAGACACATTGGATCCAATAGAGATTGTTCAAAGTCAGGTTGGACATTCTTCCACAACGGTGCACTCTATACGCTGGGTGGAATTGGTCAAGATAGCCGATTATTGCACAGCTGTTATATGTTTGACCTTAAATCATTGACATCTAGGGTCATCTTCAGTGTTGGTGTTACCAAAGTGGTCGAATCCTGTTGCTTTGATGGTGTCGATAATATCTTTCTCATGTGTAAAGATCACTCCTTCTTAGTCATGTCATTATCTCAACCTAAAACCAAAGCCATCGATTTAACACCTCCAGACCGTTCCAAATCAACTACACAACCATATATATTGATATATGTGCCTGGAACTGGTCCAATACTGTTGAACAATGAACGAGTCCTTCAATATCTGATCAATGACAACAAATGGAAAACAATTAATCAAAGTGCACAAGGATACACAAATATGTGTCTCATTACCAATGCTTGATTGATCAACATAGATGGATGGATGGATGGATAGAATGAATAAACGTCTATGATTGATATAATTGGCGTGGCGTGCCGCATAACCATTGACGAGTAACTCGATAGTAAATTCATTTTGTCTTTCCAAAGAGGTAAACGAATATTGTTGGCAAACAAAGATTAAGCAGAATGACAAAGAAGAGAGTGCACACTCAGAGGTCACCTGCAGTGAAGAAGGAGGTGGATCAAGAGCAGCAGAAGAGGGATGATTATCAAGCACCTGATGATGATGTGATGGGATCGCTGGACAAGTGTGAGCATGTCACAAAGGTGAAGGTGGTATGCATCGATTGCAAGATGATGTTATGCTCTCTCTGTGCAGTCACCAGTCACAAGCCACACAATCTCGATCACATTGACAACATCAAACAATCAATCACAAAGAAGAAGGTCAACGACACGTTTGACAAGAGATTGAATGAGTTATGGGATCATATGCAGAGTCTGTTGACAACGTACAAGACACAGGATAATGCTGTTAAGGATGTCGTGGGGCATTACAAACGATTGCATGATGCACTGGTGATCGAGGAACACATGAAAAAGAAGGATATCACTCTCGAGATGGAGCGAACTGAAGAGACCATCGGTCGCATTGCCAAAGAGATCAATGATATTCACTCATTGTTCAACAAGGTTGGCGACGGTGAGTGTGAGACAGACACTGCAGAGTTGATGAGAGCTGCCACATCAAGCAAGAGCATAGCTCAGTTTGTCAAGAAGATACATGTCAATGATGAAAGTGGTGCGGCTGCTATCAACACCGACATCACATTGTTGACCAAGTTCTTGGAGTGCAATCAACAGATGACCACCAATCAATATCAACTCAGTCGTCCATTCAGCATCAAGACTCAACAATACACCGATACATTCACTGGACAGATGCGATCAATCATTGATGTGATCGATTCAAAGACTGCATGGAAGTCATCACATCAGATGGCCAACGAAATCTTCACATTCAATGACGATTGCAATTGTTTCTTCAGACCAACAACTGGGAAATTTATGAGGTACCACATAGATAAATCAAAGTTGGTTAGGAATGGAGTCAAGACATCAACAGTGTATGTGTTTGGTGGCGAAGGATAGAGGTCATATGTGTTGATTGCAAGATGTTAGTCTGTTCATTATGTGTTGTACTCGTTCATAAGTTACATAACTTGGAGCACATTGATAATATCAAGCAATCAATTCAAGATAGGAGACTTAGTAGTGCATTCAATAAGAGACAGGATGTACTTTGAGCATCTGCAGAGTCTTATCGCAACGTACAAGACACAAACAGTGGCAATGGAGCAGGTCACAGAGCACTATCGAGTGTTACACGAGGCGTTGGTGATTGAAGAGCATAAAAAGAAGTCGCCAATCGTCAAAGAGATGGATTGTACCCAAGACACCATCATTCGAATAACAAAGGAGTTGACAGATATTCACATGTTGTTCAACACAATCAAGGTGACTGATAGTGAGCCTGATAACAACGCGTTGATGAACGCCGTCATGTCAAGCAGCAGTGCCAATCAGTACATTAGGACGATACATCCGAGCACTGTTGTCGAGCCGATCAAGTGCACAGAGCACGCGTTGTTGGCCAGATTCATGGAGTGCAATGAGAACATGTCGTCAAGCAAGTATCAACTCAGTCATCATTTCAGCACCAAAAGGATTCCATACTTAAATGCTAGATCTGGAGAGGATTGTAACTGATTGAAGTGATCGATCCTAGATTCGCATGGAGGGCAAGACATGTGTTTGCCAATCAAGTATTCGCATGCAATGACCTGGGTACAAATATCTTCAAACCAACCTTAGCCGTCAAGTGGAACATGACAAAGTTTAATGATGCCTTGATGAACAGGAAGAGTGTCAATACTTCAATTGTGTACGCACGCGACAGCATCTATGTGTTGGTGGTGAAGGTAACGAACACAAGAATACCTATGCTAGATTCTCACTGTTGATTCAAGAATGGGAAACTAGTGACATCTATGGAAATTCAGTTGTTGGTGGACATGGCATCTCAGCTTGCTTCGATGGTGACAAACATATCTACTTGTGGGGAGGTAGTCACAATGGGAACACAATGGGTCGAATCGATTGCTTCAATGTGGCGACAGAACAATTCAGGCACATTGGAGTGACCGGACAATTCTTCAAATCAGCATGGACATTCTTCCACAATGGTTTCATCTACAGTTTCGGTGGAGTCGATCAAGAAGATATGCAGTACATATGTATCGTCTCATATAATCCAAAAAACCAGAGAAATAGAGTCTTGTTGACGCTCGAAGATCATGCATACTGCACTTCACTTTGCTTCGATGGTGTCGACAAGATATACTTAATTGGCCATGAATTCTTCTCAAGTGTATCATTGACTGAACGAAAAGAGACCAGTTTGGTCAAGCCCAAGAACAAAGTAACAAGCGACAACACATTACTTTATGTACCTGGTATTGGACCAATACTTTGTTTAGATGACCGTATACTTCAATACAACGAGAAGGAGAACACATGGAGATCCGTACACACCGGATCATTCAAAGATAACATAAGGTGTATAATACCAAATGGTCGTTAATAATATGTCAATCATTCATTTATTCATTCATTCATTCATTCTTAATGGGAACTCAAAAAAAATGATTGAGAACATGGAAAATTCCCAAGATTTGAATCATTTTCCAGTCCCAAAATATATTAATAAATAACCATTTGACGAAATGTATCAACTATAATAACAAATAATTTTTGACTCAATCAATTAACTCACAAATGACTACAATCACAACCAAGACAAATGATGGAAATGATGTCAAACCTGTTCCAAAAACCTGTGGACACAGAGCAAAGATCGAGACAATTTGTTTCGATTGTAAAATGATGATATGTATTGCTTGTAAACCAGCAAGACATAAACAACATAATACAGAACATGTAATCAATATAAAGAATAAGTTGGAGTTATCTATTAAAAGACGTCTTATAATAGAACCTTTCAACAAACGTTTGAATGAACTATGGTCAATATTACAGAGTCTGGCCAACACCTATCAGACTCAAGAGACGGCAATAGGCGAGATAGCAGATCACTATAGACAAGTACATGAATCATTGATGATTGAAGAGTATAAGAAGAAGTCACCTATCATCAAAGAGATGGAGCGTACTCAACTTATGGTATCACAGATCATACGAGAGATGGTTGATATCCATTCTCTATTCAACAAAGACAAGGTCAATAGTCACTACGAGACTGACCATGATGAGTTGATCAAACATATCAACTCAAGTGAGACGATCGATCAGTTCATAGAGACAATACATCAAACATCCGACCATGTTGATGATGTTGATGGTGCTACATCGACCCCAACAACATCATTGGACATAATGTCAATGCTACTTAGCAGTGCTAAGGTTGTTGAAACAACAACACAAGAGTATCAACTTAGTAGACCATTCAGTACTGTTAAGAATAGTTATACTTATGTTGGATCAGATAGATGTATCACTCAAACGATGATCGATGTTGTTGATCAAAAGAAGGAATGGATACCAACACATAGTTATCATAATCATCTTGTTGGATTGGCCGAAGGATCACTCTGCTCATTCTCACCATTCGCAAAGACATTGTACACAATCAACTCACCATGGAGAGGACAAGTGAATGAGGACAAGACATCAATAGTATACGCACATGATCAGATATACATGTTTGGAGGATTGGATAACACAAGCCAATATCAACATAGTAACATTGGTAATGATGAACACTGGTGCTGGAACACAATGAGTAGCGCACACTGTCATTCAATTGAAGGGGCATCAGTATTTGGTGGAGTTGGCATATCGGCATGTTTCGATGGTGATAAACATATATATCTGATCGGTGGATCATACCAAGGCAATCTACTCAGTCGTGTTGATTGCTTCAATGTGGAGACCAAGAAGTTTAGACACTATGGATCATTGGACTTTTGTTTAAAATCAGGATGGACATTCTACAATGATAAAGATCAATCAATAATAATAGTTGGAGGTATCAACTCTTCAAATAGACTATATTTAACAATCAAGAAGTTCAAACTGGAGACACAGAGATGTGAACTATTCTACCAAATTCCAAAGGATAAGATGTTTGATGCTTGTTGTTATGATGGCTCAGACAATATATATATCATATCATCGGATTTCTTTGCAAAAATAACATTATCAATCAAGAAGTTTACTATCAATCTGGCAACTATAACATTGGTATCACCAAATGATTCATTATTCTATGTTCCTGGATTGGGGCCTGTACTTGTATCCAACAATGATGGACGATTCGTTCAATACATGGAGTTACAGAACACTTGGAAACCACTTGGTTCAGGTAAGATACAAGGTTATACATGGTGTCTAATACCAAACAATTAATAAAGATGACATGATGGAATTGTTCCACCCCTCACACACTCTCTCGAACTTCAAATTCATCTACTTTCGAGAACTATTGCGATTCTCGTCACCCCCTCCACATTGGGGATGTTCACTCATTTCAAACACTTCATTGTTGAGAGATAATAGTAGTAATAATTATATATATATATGGCAAGGATCAGGACTGTTAGGTCAAAGAAAGGTGCAACAACAAAAGGATGATAATGATGGTGGCGACAAAGTGTGTGAGCATGAAGCAAAGGTTGAGATAGTATGCTTCGATTGTAAACAACTGGTCTGCTCATTGTGCTGTGACCAAACATAAGATGCACAATCTCGATCATATCGATAATATAAAACATAGTATGACGGCTACCGCTGCTGCAAAGAAGAAGTTAGACGATCCCTTTGACAAGAGGTTGGAGCAGTCATGGGAGCACCTACAAAGCCTGGCCACATCGTACAAGATACATGATGCAGCGAGAGGTCAGATAGTTGATCACTACAGACAACTACACGAATCACTTGTGCTTGAGGAGCACAAGAAGAAGGCACCAATCACTAGTGAGATGGAGCGCACCGAGGAGGCAATGACATCTATCGCCAAGAACTTGGACGAGGTGCACACTTTCTTCAACAAGGCCAATGGTACGGGTGATACGGTGATTGACACTGTTGAGTTGATCAAGGCCATCACTTCAAGCAGGACAGTCAATCAGTTTATCAAGAAGATTCACCGAGACTCTGGTGAAGGACCCGTGGAATACACTGATCGTCAGCTCTTGTCAATGGTGTTGAAAAGTGATCAATTGATGTCAACCAACAAGTACCAACCCAGTCACACTTATAGCACCAGTAAGCGTGAATACACTGACAATTTAACTGGAGTGTCGCACACAGAGATTGAAGTGATTGGTCCTCCAACGTCATGGATGGTGAAACATAAATTCACCAATCATATCTTTGGATTCTACTCAAATGGTTTGGCTATCTATGATCCTGCCAAATGCAAATGGTCGAATGTGATCCGTAATACCCCTCAAATAGACAGGAAGTTGGTCGATAGAGCAATGGTGTACGCACGAAATAACATCTACGTGTTTGGAGGTGCGGGCAAGGAGGACACATATGCACAATACTCATTGGTAGAGCACAAGTGGTTTGACAACTTACCCATTGTTGGACCATCGGTGATTGGAGGACACAGCATTTCAGTATGCTTCGATGGCAACAAGAACATATACCTAGTTGGAGGATATTTTCAAGATAGCCATTTGAATCGTGTTGATTGCTTCGACTTGGAGACCAAGACGTTCAGGCATATTGGAGGGCTCACCCACTGCATCAAATCAGCTACGTCCTTCTTCCACAATGGCGCAATTCATATGTTAGGTGGAGAAAGAGTTGGATGCGTTTATAAGGCCATTCAAACATTCAATGTCAGCAACCAAAGAGAATCAAATTTCCTGCCACTAATTGAAAAACCATATTTCTCAGGCTTTTGCTTTGATGGTATTGGATCAACCTATGCCTTAGGCAACAATATCTTTGCCAGAGTAACATTGCCTGGCCTCGTCTTTACACCCTTGGCCAACTATCCCTCATCTGCAATTCCAAGGAACGAAGCTACAATGTACATCCCTGGAGTTGGACCTATTCATTGTTCCAATAGTGGCATCAAACAATATTTAATCGAGACAAACACATGGAAGACACTCTACGATCAAGGTATCAATGGTTACGTATGGTGTCCTATCATTGATTGATTGACAAGATCATTATTAATACACGAAATAAATCTACCAACCCCATCTTATTATTTTTATTATTATTAATTAAATTCAATACCTAATAGATCTATATTCTCAAGGAATAATTATTTAATTGAACATTTACTCATTGTATTATTCCATTCTCAAACTCCAATAGAATAATAATAATAATAACAAACCAAATATGGGCAAAAAGAAATATCATAATAGGAGAAGACATCCTTTAAAAATTAAGAAAGTAGAGAATTGTAAACATGAAACCAAAATGGATCGTGTATGTTTAACTTGTAAAGATGTCATTTGTACACATTGTGCCTACCTACATTGGTCACACAAGTTAGAGAATTTAAATAATATAAAGAGTTCAATTAAATCAAATAAGTTCACTGACCAATTTAATGAGAGGTTAATTACACTCTGGAATAAATTAAAAAGTTTGGAAACTACTTATCAATTACAAACTACAACCAGAGATAAATTGATTGATCATTATAGACAATGGCACGAGAATATAATGATCGAGGAACATAGAAAGAAGTCTCCAATCTCACAAGAAATTGAACATACAGAGGAGACAATTAGTCAATTCACAAAGGAGTTGATTGATATTCATGTCTTATTCCAAAGAGTCAAGGCAGAAGGAAAATTGGAGACTGACCCAGTTGAACTAGTAAATGCAATCAAGTCAAGTGACAATATTGATCAATTTATTCAAACTATTTACAAATATCAAGAACAAGAGGAAGTGATTGTAGATGATCCAAAAGTTGATGTTGATGATCACAGTTTGGTAGATATGTTTATCAAATGTACAAAGTTGATAGATTCGAATGAATATCAACTCAATAGTACATTCACATTATCAAGAAATCCTGTAACAGCCACTTTGGAAGTAAACGATAATTGTTTACTACAATGGAAACCATCACATCGGTTCTCCAACAATTTAATACTATTTAGGAAATATTGTACAATGGCATTCAATTTTACAACAAAGATGATTACAATACTTGGAAACCAAGATAATTATACTGGATTGGATAGGAAGGATATTGAAACCTCCTCAATATATGCCAGAGATAACATCTATGTGTTTGGAGGAGAAGGTAATGAGAGGAAACTATCAAGTTTTTCTTTAATCGATTGTCAATGGTATGAAGAGGAAATTGGATCATCAATAGATGGTGGACATGGTATCTCAGTTTGTTCAGATGATACCAAACATATATTCCTATTTGGAGGATGTAGAGGAGGTGACTTATTGAATAGAGTTGACTACTTTAATGTGGAAACTCTAAAGTATGCCCATCACGGTGTTGTGTTTACCAATCTCAAATCATCATACATGTTCTTTAGGAATGGAAGTCTCTATATCACTGGAGGATTCGATAGTAAGAGTAGATTATTCTCCAATATTATTGTTTATTCATTCAAAAAAATTGGAAGTCCAGCAACAGTTCTATTTACATTCCACAGGAACCATTCCAATCAATCTGTTATGATGGTGGAGATGGAGTATATGTTATCAGTACAGAGTACTTTGCAAGAATATCATTGTTGGATTATTTGGATGATGAAACAAGGTTGACTGTACTTTCCAATCCTGGACCAATTGTTTGGGGTGATAGATTATTTTATCTACCTGGAAGTGGCCCTATTCTATGTACATCTACTCACATTGCTAAATACAATGAACTAGACGACATCTGGACAACACTCTATACTGGTGAACTTAAGTTCAACAATTGTTGTCTGGTACCTTGATTCAAATTAATAGAGCCAACATAAATATTTGATTGTTTCTTAATAATAAAAATTTAAATCAATACCATATATAGATATTAGGTTATTTTATCAATTAAAAAATTTTAAGGGTATATCTTAGATGAATTATTATAATCTATTTTGTAATTAATTGGATATATGGCAAAGAAAAGAACATTTAAAAGAAAGGCAGTGGTACAGCTCCAACCAAACTCGACTGCTGTTGGGAATGAAATGGAAGAACAACAACTAGAAGAAGAGGAAACATCTCAACTTGGAGTTTGCAAACATTTTACAGACACAACAACTGCAAAGTTGGAATTGATTTGTATTGATTGTATGAAGATAGTATGTTCTCTATGTTCAGTTATAGATCATAAATCACATAATATAGATCAATTTGATATCATAAAGGAATCAATCTCAAACAAGTCGCTCTGTAATCCATTCGATAAGAGGTTGGATCAGCTATGGGACCAACTAAAGAATCTTGGCAAATCTCAAAAGAAGTTGGAACAAGTTAAAACGGAAATGATTGATCATTTTAGACACTTACATGAGATATTAATGGTCCAGGAACATAAAAGTAAGCAACCAATCACAAATGAGATTGAGCACAATCAAGAGACAATTGTCAATATTATAAAAGAGATTACAAACATACTTGGTATGTTCAATATGATTGATGTCAATGGTCAATGGGAATCAGACCCAATCAAAATTAGAAAGGCCATCACATCTAGTAGGAATATGAACCTATTTCTTAAGAAGGGACATACAGAATCGGACAACACAGAACTAATCACTCGTGATGACCTTAGTTTAGTAAAATTATACCTGGATTGTTATTCAAAGATGTCCACCAACCAATATGATCAATCAAAAATACTTTGCACGAGGAAACAACAGTACATGGATATGGTAACTGGTGAGACGCTTTATCATATTGACTTGGTCAACTATGAAGGTGAGTTGAAGGCCGGACATGGATGGTCTAATCATATTGTTGGATTTTATGATGGTGGCACCTGCATCTTTAATCCTACTTCATCGACATGGGTCCACTCCAACAAAAACGCATTGTTCATGCGCAATGGTATCCAATGTTCATCAGTTTACGCTCGAGACAACATCTATGTGTTTGGAGGTGATGGCCCCAACATTGAAGATAGCTACGTTTGGTACTCATTAGTGGATCAGAAATGGTCCATCAAGAATATTGTCGGACCATCAGTTGAAGGTGGATCAAATATCTCTGCTTGCTTTGATGGCCAACGATTTATATACTTGGTTGGTGGCACTCACAAGGGATACCTCTTGAACAGAGTGGACTGCTTTGATGTCGAGACTGGCACATTTAGACATGTTGGCACACTTCCCTATCATTTCAAGTCAGCAGTGTCTTTCTTCCAAAATGGTATCATATACATTGTCGGTGGCTATGACAAGGAGGACAAGAATCTAGGCGCGATATTTACCTTCAACACCTTGAACCTTGGATCCAACAAGTTGTTCAGACAACTCCCTACCTATGTTGATAATAAGAAGAAGATGAGTGCATGCTTCGATGGCAAGGATAGAGTATACTTGTCAAGCAATGGATGGTTCCATTATATACTTTTGTCTAGCTTGGGTGGACCATTCACATTGACATCGCCTCCCTTAACGACTTTTCCTTCTGACTTCACATTGTTCTTTGTTCCAGGCTTTGGACCTACGCTCTGTGACAGTGAGCGCATATCAATGTACAATACAATGTATAACAATTGGGAACAAATATACACGGGCAAGTTACGAGACATTGCATGGTGCCATATTACTGCCGCTGCTGTTGTTGAAGATACAACATAGTAACTAATTAATAAACTGTTTGTTGTTGTTGTTGTTGTCGATACTAATGATGACACATTCATTCAATCATTCAATCAGTCAATCAATCATCATTACGATGTAATGTATGATGTTGCTTCTTCCAAAGAATGAATGATTGAATGTCACTTTGATGTCTTTGATGATTGTCAGTCTGCAAAGATTCGATGGTCTTGCCATCACAAGATCAAGACGATCCTACTCTTAGGAGATAAGTATGTTGTTGTTATATGATTGAACAACTTATGATTAGTGACGATACTATTATGTTTGTTTGACTTATGAATACATTGTATAACTATTCATCAATAGGATTAGATAGATACAACAATTGATTGAATTTCCTCTAAACATACTTACATGACAATCATGAATGATCGAAGACTGAGGAGGGACTTCGATAGAACCCCGAAAACTAAATGGAACTAGTCTGCGGAAGTATCCAGCTCCTTTATTTAAGCCAAAGTGCACTGACCTGTCAAACGTCAACTTCATCAGTTTGTTAATCAATCAATCAATCAATCATCTAATAATAAGATCTTTCTTAAACTACAAACTTTATTACTTTACTTAACTTATAATCACATACATAATGTCTAACTTGCCTGTTGCTTACGATGTCAAGACCGGAGTCACTGAGGAGATGTACAAGTACATGATCCAACACAGTGTCCACTTGCACCCAGCCCAGAAGGACTTGTACGAGTGTATGTTTATATCTAATCATTCAATGTTGATTGATACACTTGAGACTTACATACATTCATTCACTCATTCTTTCATCCACATCCAGTCACCAAGAACCATGACAGAGCAATCATGTAAGTGTTTGAGTGAATGATGTTGTTGTTGAGTTGGTTGGACAATCACCAAGTTCTTGGAACTGACCATATATTGTTGTTGTTTGAATGAATATAGGATGACTGCTTTGGACCAATGCTCATTGTTCACCTTCTTTGTCAAGATCCTAAATGCCAAGAACACCATTGACGTTGGTGTGTTCACCGGTTTGAGCTCACTCACTGTTGCCCTCGCTCTCCCAGAAGACGTATGTTTGTCACTTTAACATCAACCAACCTTTAATGGTATTGATTGGCTAATCAACCTTAATCAATATGTATTCATATGATACAGGGAAAGGTCATTGGATGTGATGTGTCTACAGAGTACACTGACCACGCCAGGAAGTACTGGAAGCAGGCTGGTGTCGACCATAAGATTGACTTGAGAATCAGACCAGCCACTGAGACTCTCCAGGAGTTGATCAACCAAGGCAAGGAGGGTACCTTTGACTTTGTCTTTATCGATGCCGATAAGCCAAACTATGATGCCTACTATGAGCTCTCACTGAAGCTCATCAGAAAGGGTGGTATCATCGCCTTTGACAATGTCTTCTTCCACGGTGATGTCCTCAAGCGTATGTATTATTATATCCCATCATCATCAACGTTCGTCATCTCTTTTGATCTGTTATATGTGTATGTTGCGTATGTTATTGTTATGTGTGTCTGTTCAAAGATGATGTGATTCGTTGCTCGCAAGCCCGGGCCACAAATATCCAATCACTTCACTTTACATCACACTACTTTGATATCCAAGCGCGGATACCTCACCAATGCAGATACATCAAACCAAGCGCCGACCAATCAATCAATCAATCATTTGATATCATGATAATATATGATATACTAACTTACATCGCCAACATATTGATCTAAACTACCCAACAAATATATAGCCACTGAGCCACAAGCACAAGCCATTGACACTTTGAACAAGAAGTTGCTCACTGATAAGCGTGTTGTTATCACCACATTGGCCATCGCTGATGGATTGACATTGGTCACCAAGGCCTAAATCAAGTTCCAAGTTCTCTTTCTCTCTTTTCTTTTCCCTCTCTCTCGCTCTATGCAGGTGTGTGACGTGAGTCGCAGCAGCTGACATCATCAAGCCTACACTCGCACGCAGTGTTCAGAATAAAGTGATGCAAATTGGACCTCCCCCCACACGGTGATCAGGGCCTCATCAGCCCCCGCCCCCTTTTTTTCCTTTGCAAAAGAGACACACACAATCACAAATAAACTCAAACTTTTGATTTACAATCAAAAAAATCAATGGATTTAATGTTGTCCTGCCTGCAGGATGGCAAGTTGTTGCTTGTCTCTCGAACCAATTGCACCCTGCACTCTAACAAGCTCGTCTTTGCAAGTCCAACTTCCTATCATTCTTCAACCTCACCTCCCAACAGGTACAAACACACACACACAAACACAAATATAGACTTGTTTGTTCCCGGGTCATGATCAATCAATCATCGCAACAACATTGAATGAATGAGTGATGGATTCCAACAATAATACTACTTCTTCAACTTCGACGACAACATCATCATCATCATTCACATCCAGACTTAAATCAATCAATATAACAAAGAGTACAGCTTTCCAGAATTATGCTGGTCGCATCAAGTCGCTGAGGACTCACAATCTGGGCCATGAGGGCCAGCAGCTGGCAATCAATGATAATTCAACGATCATGGAGGTTTGGTTCGAGTCCAATCAGGCACTGTTCTCCAACATCAAGATGACCCAGGTGTTCATATGCATTGACTCCAACACCAATCTAATCTCATCAATATTGAACGTCGATCCCCAAGACATGCACCTATCACGTTGGCGCAAGAACATCCTGGTCTTTGACACCATACTCGAGGGCATGGGCCGGAACACCAATCTCATCAAGATCAGCCATGTGCCCATGTCTGACCCATCGTCATCTTCCACGTCCTTGTCCTCTCCCTCGTCATCATTCATTGGCGCCAATGACAACAATGGGGGCGGAGCTACAACCAGCGCACCTGGCACACAGCAGACTTCCAATTCAACGGCCACGGCAACAGACAACTCAACGGCAACAACGTCTCATGCTCAATCTATTCTCTCGATCATACATAATGTCAAGCAGATTGTCACACCGCCCAAGAACTCATTCATCGCTTCAATCCAATACCTGCTGGCTCAGAGTCTACTGCGCGCACTCAGCAACTTTACCAACCGTATTCAACGCGATCGACTGTTCTACAATCAGGTGATATCATACAAGAAGAATGAGGGCATGTACATCCCATCATTGTTTCTCTCTCGCAAGCCTCTCATGCTGTTGTCCAACACAACTGATTTGGTAGTGGTGTCACCAGACACATCATCAACAGACCAACAAGATGGTGGAGTACTCACTCAATCCAGCTCCATTCACAACATCAACTCGCTATGCAAGTGCCGAAAGATCACTCCAATGCTATCCAACAACATTGTGTTGGGTGGTAGTCGACAATCAGCAAGAGCATCGGCCCAAGTCAATGCAGAGGTACAAGGTGGCCTCGATAACAACAACAACATACTTTCCAAATCAACTGTACGACCAACGATGACGCCATCAACATCAACAACAACAACAACATCCACAAACTCGTCCACCTTTAAGGTTGTAACGAGACCTTTGAAGCAATCAATGGAAAAGGACAAGCCGTGCTATACTCTGTATGATACTCAAGATGGCCTTGGCACGGCTTGTATCTCATCACTCTATGGCTGGGACTTTGAGAAGAAGGAGCGCTCTGGCGAGCCCTTTGCCGACTGCTTCTGCATCTCAACAAACATTCATCCAAACATCCATGCATCCATGACCATTGCCGATGGCAGTGGTATTGGTGTTGACTCCCTGAGAGCTGCCACGCGGGCTGTCCTTGGAGCCAACGAGTACTTTGAGAAGATCAGTATGTACCTCCTCCATCCCTTTGGAATCATTCCAATCACTCACTCACTCCCTTACTCATTCAATCACCCAAACTTAGGCAACGTTGAGATAGCCACGACTAATGAACTGCTGACCAATATTGGCAACGCGATAATGAAGGGACATATTAGGATTGTGAAGGATGAGTACTATCAGACGGAGGACATACATGTTGAACCAAAGGGTGCCACGACCTTTTGTTTCGGCTGCCTCGCACAGACAAGGAATGTGCTCCAGAACATCAACACTACCTCTGCTCACCTGCCACAAGAGAAGAGTGGCATACCATTGTCCAAGAAGAAGGAGCAGTACAATCGACCACTACCACAACGTCCACCAGACAAGAGCAACGGCAACGGCAACAACAGCTCTACTACTTTGGGATCAGGATCAAACACACCAGAGTCCACAGACTCGTCACCGTCATCAAGCTCACCAATACTGACTGGAAATGGTGATGGTGGACGTGACTCTGCACAGTTGTCAGGCGACATGAATGAGGCTACCGCTACAACAGGTGATGACGAGAACCATGTCATGGACATCATTCACGATATCTTTGATATCATCGATGATCATCGCGATGAACATCTACAAGATCACTTCCAGAATGTGTCCGATTCGTCATCCAAGGGACAACAACATCAGAGTGGCCACCAGGGCACAAATGATGTTGACCCTTCCAAGGTATCGACTCAAAGTGATAGGGCCAAATCACCAAGATCAAACACAAGCGCAACAACAACAGACAACATTGGCACACATAGGGACAAGGACAGAGACTCGGATGATATGGCACCAAACAACAGACTGGCCAGCACTGATGGACAGTGGTTCTTCATGGTGGGATCGGTTGGCGATTGTCGCGCATTCAGATGGTCATGCAAGAGTAAGGAGGTCAAGGAGGTGACCAACCTGAGGGCCTCGATCAGGAACTTTAACGAGGCTGGCGGTCAACTTGGATGGATGTGGGGTGGCGACGGTAAGACGTGGCCCATCACAGCACAGGACTATCCAAAGAACCCGCTGCCCGAGCTCAAGGACGAACTGCTGAAAGCACGTGTAGACAAGTCCGTGCCCAACCTCAAGAACCTGCACTTTGGTCTGGTCCTTGTCAACCCGGGCGACAGGGTGTTTATCGCGTCCGATGGCGTCACCGACAACTTCCTGACCGTGAACCCAGGCACCATCAGCACAAGCAATGATGCCGAAACCAACACCAACATATCAGACGACGACATTGATATCAATATCACTCGATTCTTTGCACAGCAGACACCAGAGACGCTGGCCACATGCGATAGTATGTGTCAGGCAATCATCACTCATTGTCTGGAGAAGACCCAACAGTTTAGAAACATTCAGGAGGAGATCAGCAGGACGATGATGTCAATGAAGGAGACTGAGGCCACTGTCAAAGACCTATCCAACGACCAATCCTATCAATATTTAAAGAAGAACTACTCACGTCTAGTCAACAGTATCAGACATATCAAGTATGGTAAACCAGATCATTCGTCCATTGTAATGTACGAAGTGCCAACTACTCCTACTCCTCCTACTACTACAACTACTCCTACAACTACTACAACCACAAATACTCCTTCTACCTTACCAACAACAACAACTAATAGTAGTAACAACAACCACAACAACAACAACAACAACAAACACAACAATAACAGGTTGTAACATTAATGGCTGAATGAGTAAACAACTCATTGGTCGATCGCCAAACCACCTTGCACTGTCTCTAACCCCCTCCCTTCAAACACTTTCACCATTATTCACCATTCTGATCTACATCTCCAATCCATCCCCACCCCACCCACCCCACATTCAACACAACACTACCTAGGTGCAACATAGGAACTAAAGGAGGGAGGAGGTACTACATGATCGAAGTGTTCTGTACTTAATGAGAATGGTGAAAATGGGGAATGTGGGGTGTGGGTGAGTGGGTTCTACCGAATCACCAAAAACGAAGATCTTGCTCGAACCAGGGCTACTTGAACGAATGTTTATTTATTAAATTAAATGATGCACATGATTTCCCAAATTAAATGGTACCAATCTCGGCATAAGGTGTATGACAGCTTCATCTTACATCACTCTTTATTCATTCATTCAATCAACAACAAACAGTCAGTCAGTCTGAAAGTCAGTCTAAGTTTATCTTTATTAATATATATATATATATAACTACTTTACCGATCCGACATTACTTATATATTATTTATTTATTTATTAATATCTATAATATCTTATATTGTTTACTACTAACAACTATTTATTAAACATCACATCATCACCATCATCATCAACAACATCATTCATTATCATATAAACAAACTTCATGTCAACTGTAACAACCACGACCACAACGACGGTCAACAACAACAATATGCTAAAGAGTAGTAATACTCTGCCGGCATCGACATCATCATTATCATCATCTACAATGACAACATCACCTACAACTGTAAAGATATTACTTACAAGTAGTAGTGGTGGAGGCGCAGGCATCACCACACCTATGACAAACGATCACCCTACATTGATCGCTCAACCACCCTCATCATCATCATCAACATCATCGACAATGTCATTACTCAAAACACCAATCAATCATTATACCATAAACAACAACAACAATAACAACAATAATAACATCCAAGTCGAGGATGATGATGTACTTGAAGTGTTGGAGATAAATGCTCCAGCACAATCATCAAAGTACATGGCACTGCCTGATGGCGCCGACTATGAACAGACGACCGACGATATCAAATCCCCAATTCTGCCAGTGACGTCACCAAAGTTGAATACCCCAACAACCGTGTTACTTGAGAATGGTCTACAAGAGACAACGTTCAAGTTAAAGTCGAGCAGCACACTCAATCGCTCTCGCCTACTTCAAAAGTCTGTCAATCAACTCAGCTACAGTATGGACCATATGGTTCTGTCGGCCTCAACCGACGACCATATGGGTGTTGGCTCAGTACTCTCCAACTCCATTGCAATGGTGCCAATCAACTCGTCCGAGAACGAGGAGGACTCACAGAACTTGCTGGCGGTGGAGGTGGCCGATGACACTCTTGAGGAGATCGAGCTCGACGCCACTCAGGTCGAGATCAAGCCAGAGACCACCAAGGAGAAGGTGGTGTTCTGGTTCCAAGCACGTATGGGTTTGGTGTTCATGGTGGCCAGTGCATTCTTCTTCAGTCTTATGGCGCTCTTTGTCAAGGTCTTGTCCAAGCAGAACTTCCAATCGCTCGAGTTGGCCTTCATTCGAAGTGTATTCGGCATTGTTGGATGCATCATTGTACTCTCCTCTCTAAAGATCAATCCTCTGGGGCCTGCTCCCAAGCGTGTCCTGCTCACTGTTCGTGGAATGTCAGGCACTGTTTCACTGGCGGCCTACTACATCACACTCACAAAGTTGCCCATGGCCGAGGCCGTGTGCATCAGTTTCATCAGTCCAATCATCACTGCTGCCGTCAGTGCAGTAGTGTTGAAAGAGAAATGGGGCATCTTTGATGGCCTCTGTGCAGTTGTCAGTTTGGTTGGTGTTGTAATCATTGCTAAGCCAGCCTTCATATTTGGTACATCAGTGTAAGTACACAACCAGAGTTCTGTGTCGTCTTGTCATTGACCTAACCTCACTCACTCTTCTTTCCATTCATTAGACACAACATACCTACATTGACACCAAATGAAAGATTATTATATATCTGTATTGGAGTTACTGGAGCCTGCTTTGCTGCTGTCTCCTTCATCACAGTTAGAAAGATTGGACCTGGCATCAATCCATTTGTCCTTGTCTTCTTCTTCTCGGTCGTCTCCACAATCGTCACATTGGCCGGATCATTATCATTCGAGACCTTCATTATGCCAACATTCCGTCAATGGGTACTATTGACAGCACTTGGTACATCAGCCTTTGTAGCACAAGGATGTATTAATAGGTATGTTATGTGTATCTCATCAATCTCCAATGACATACATACTGACATCAATCATTCACCAATCACAACAGAGGACTACAACTTGAGAAGGCTGGAAGAGCTGTATCCATGAACTATATACAGATCGTATTCACGTTCTTATGGGATTTGATATTCATTCATGACCCAGTGGATGTGTTCACCATCATTGGTGCGCTGCTCATTCTAAGCTGTGCAGTAATAACAGCATTCAAGAAGAAATAATACCATTATAATATAATATTATGTAGTTAACTGTACATATGATAAACTTGTCATTCATTCATTTATTTAACTAACAACCAAGAGTTGCCTTACATAGCTCTGTATAGAGAGTACTTGTTGGAGCTCTATCCAGGATCGTATTGATGAACTCATTCTTGTGTAGAGTGAATGCATCACACTGGGAGAAGGATGATAAGTTAGAAAGGGTAGTGTAAATTCCAGGGTTTGAACAACAAACTTACAATTGATAATGGGATGGGACTAGTGATAATGGAGAATAGTACTCCAACAGGTGGTATTAGACCTATTACTCTACCCAATAGGTTGTCGCACATGTTGGTAAGGAACTCTTCAACATGTGCTACGGTCTTACTTAAAGGTATCTTTTTGTGAATAGTTACTAATACATTCTCGCAAGCCTTGCAATCTGCTGGTGATGGAGGAGCAATAGGATTGTTTCGAGACATTGCAGGCGATATGCCTTTTGGAGGAGCAATGGCAGATTTGTCTTGTTTTACTGGAATGTTGATAGGACCACTTTGGGAGCCAGCAGGAGGAGGAGGAGCAGGAGGAGATTTAAGTGGATGATTGACATCTTCTGGAACATTTGAAGCTGGAGACTTCTCCTTTGGATGAATCAAAGATGCTGATACCAAAGTGGATAAAAGTATCAACGATACAAGTATCTGGAAGTTATTATTATTATTCCTCATTTTAAGTTTATAGTTTTATATCTCTAAATATTATAATTTAATACTAATAATAATAATATGGAGTAACCAACCAATCAATCAATCATTTAACAATTAATCAATAAAACATATAACTATCATTAATATTAGGAGATTTGGAATGGAGATAACAAATAAATTATTCGTAATATTAAAAAAGTCAATTTACAATTATTATTAGTCACAACTTATCTGAAGTCAGAATAATAAGTTTCAATTGTTTGTGATTGATTGCATGTATGTGTGTGGTGATACATGTCATCACTCTCGTTCCCACACAAACAAATCTACATTCACCCCTTACACATAAATACTTACTTGAACACTCATCTTACTAATTGGATATCAAATTGTATTTACTAAGCCACCATCTTAATATAGATTATCCAACTAGTTACCAGTTGTAGTAGGCCCAATAATCACTATCCTGGTAAACATTGAAGTCAACTCTAACTTGTTGAACTTTCTCTTTAGAATTCCTATGTAAGGAGCTTTCCAAAGATATTTAGTTTCAATGTGATTGTATTCCTACGATTTTTCTTCAAGATGAATAGTGATCACCTTTCACTATCAAAGCGGCGACACGAGTACCTGAAAAAAGTTAACCCCCAAACCTTTGGGCTCAAATCACTCCAAGATATTTTATTTGATGGAGTACCTCCTGAGAGTGGGGCTATTCGTGTGTTGTTGATATTTATGATCAAGAGCTATGATGGGTCACCTTGAGGCCTAGATATTATGATTTTATTTATTTAAATAGATTGACTGATCAGTGTCTCGAGACACCTCTCCTATCGATCACAAACCTTTAAAATCTCATCACCTTTGCAAATATCAATATAATTATCCTCCTACATATATATACATACAAATATACCAAAATGATGAAAGTTTCATTTATTGTTGGACTGGTCCTTTGCCATGTCCTTATCGCCTCTGCCTTGAGCACCAAGGAGATCAGTGACCTCTTCAATGAGAAGAGATTCAACTTGACCAGTAAGGATCACTCACTATTATGACAGCCCATCAATCAATCAAACTAACACCTACTCCCCCTTCCGCACCTTTGTAATGATCTTGCATATTAGTTCCAATGTCACAGTGTCAAGCTGCTGCTACACAAGCTATGCACTATGCTTCATGTGGTTGCCCATACGTTTGGGGAGGCACGCAGTGCGGTTGTGGTGGATCTGGTGGCATGGATTGCTCCGGACTTGTCTACACCGCCTATAATGAGGCCGGTTACACCTCGATCGGACGTACTACCTACGACCAATGGCCCCAAGGAGTCCAGTGTGGTGGTGGCAGCGGTACCTCTGCCGTCTCCTCTACTACTCAGTCTGGTGAATGCTCTGCTGCCTCCACTGGTGGCTCATCTGCTAGCTCCTCAACCGGAGGTGCCTCCACTGGAGGTTCATCGGGTGGTTCCTCTGGCACCTCCTCATCTGGTGGCTCATCCGGCGGTTCATCCACTGGAGCCGAGTCCCTCACTGGCAACTGCAGCCCATCCGACACCTCTGGCTGCACCGTTGGTGACTTGTTCTTCTACTGTTTCGAGACTCCATGCCCATCGCACGTCACCATGTACGTTGGAGATGGTCTGATGGCTGAGTGCCCACACACTGGTGTCGACTGCCACATCGTCCCACCATACACCGAGTCCTACTACGGATGTCGTTCATTCTGTGGAGGTGGTGCTCCATCCACTGGCTCTGCTACCTCTGGTGGTTCATCCTCAAGCTCTGGAACCACTAGCAGTGGCTCCGGTTCTGGTACTACCAGCGGCGGTTCCTCCACTGGCTCATCCGGTTCCTCATCTGGCTCATCATCTGGTTCCTCCTCTGGTGCCAACTAAGCTAACAAACTAACTTATCATTTGTTGTTAAATCAATATATGGTTTACAATAAATTGCATATATATAACATATTTATATCATCACATCATTCAACTAGTTTGATGTTCCTTCACCCAGTCTAATTTGATTGATTGGGTGTCACCCCTTTCTTCGTTTCCCTCTATTAGAACGAAACACCACAACTTCACTTCACTTTGCATTCACCATTCAAAGAAGTACACAGACAGAGAATAAGTAATAACTTAACTTACTCCCGATCCAATGTCTTCTCTTAGGCTCAACTTTGATGATGAGTTGGTAGAGCTTGGAGGGTTGAAATACAACAAGGTCGTTGTGTTCAATCACTTCACAACAGGCAGAGTTAAACAAATCTATGACCTTATAGCTGATCGATTCGACATATCCAGAAGCTCGTTCGAACTGTCTGTCGACGATGGCTTCGTTATTCTACCTGAGGAGAACATCAAAGTATTGAATGGAATAGGTGTACTTGAGTATGTAGTCAATCAATCTTTTGAGGTCCATGTTGCTCATTCTTTCATTCATCCAACAGAGTCAAGGCTATTGAACAACAGCAACAGACATTGAAAAGGAAACATAGAGATGAGGAACAATCAAATGGACAAGCCAATACCAAGAGAGTGAAGACAAACAAGAAGATAAAAGAGGTTGTCCATGATGAAGAAGACGATGAGGATGAGGATGAGGAAGTGGAGGATCAAGAACAAGAAGACATACCAAGTAGCAGTAGTAGTGAAAGCGAGAGTGAAAGTGATGACGAAAGAAGTGATAGTGAGAGCAGTAGTAGTAGTAGTAGCAGTAGTAGTGATAGCGAGAGCCAACAGCCATCTTCTGATGAATCTGAGAAGAGTGATGATGAGGAGGAGATTATCGATACAAAGAAGAAGGACCACATAAAGAACAAGGACAAGAGCAAGGTCAATGGAAAGAGAAATGGTCAAACGAAACAAAAATCAGAGACTTCTCCATTACCTTCACCAGTGTCATCTCCACAGAATAGAAATATAGTAGTAGACAAACCTGTGCCAAAGGCACAGGGAAACAAGAAGGTATGGTATACCAAAGTCCTTGAGTGTCGTACCATGGTACTAACTTGCCCCATTCAGTTCCAACCAAGAGAGGATGTAGCCACCAACTATAGTTATTATATTAGATGCAATGACTACTTCAAAGAGGATGGCACACCAATATTGTCCAAGGACTTCACCCAGTTACCAGACCTCACGGTTATACCTGTCGTTGGCTCCAGGATTGCATTCAAGAAGCATGTGTTCATAGATTACAATTTGAAGTTGTCCGATTACATCGTATGTCATCATCTTCCAACAACCTGGATTCCAGTTTCTGACATCAATTCACAACATATAGGAAGGAGTAGTTGAGAATGTCCAAGGCAACATTCTGAGTATTAGAGTATGTGATGAGTATCTCCAGTTACCTTCAATGGAGTACGAGATGTTCAATGATAATGGCCAAATGGAGATTGGATTCGAACTGTTGCTCAATCCAAAGTTGATAGACCAACAACAGCAACAGCAGAACATTGTGGATGATCAACATGAACAACAGAGGAATGACAAAGATGTACAGGATACAATTGGAAATGGCAATGGAAATGGAAAGGCAAACAATGACGCGGTGGCCACAAAGAAGAAGAAAGAGGAAGGTAATGTCCAACTTTGAAGACCTGCAAATTCATTCATCAATCCTTATATCAACAATCAATCAATCATTCATTCATTCATACAGAGTCACATCCAAAGGTCACAAAAGGAATCAATACAAGCGAGTTCACATGTGTATCACCAGACGTTCCACAGGAAAGGTTGCCTGGAGAGAAGCGAAAGAGAAGAGGTGGAGCTGGTACACTCATGTCTAGGATAGTCCAGACACTGAGACAACAGAAGACAGATAATGATAAAGAATAAAAGACTTTATCATGGATGTAGATGGTTATGTACAAACAACATGGGTAAAGGTATGTGTATTGGCTATCAGTTCTGATCGTCGTCCACCTCAGAGTCGGTCATCAGATGTTGGTTCGAAGACCTTTGTCGCTTTCTAACGATTGGTGATATCGCACGTGACTTTCTCTTGTGATTGGGAGTCCTTATGCTGTCATCGTCGTCGTCGTCGGTGGAATTGGAATTTGAGGCATCACTAAGTATCTCCTCGTCATGGACATCACTGGAATGGTCTTCCTCCTCCTCATCCTCCTCCTCTACCTGTGCTCTTCTTCTCAACCTCAGAGTCAGTCCCCTGCCCTGTCCATTGCTGATGGCCTTGGCCTCGTTAGCACTGCCATTGGCATTGGCAAGGGCTTTGTTCCTGGCCCTCCTGGTTACTGTGGTTGTTGTCGTTGTCGTCGTCGTCGTGGTTGAGGTGATGAGTGTTGGTGCTGTCAAGTTCAAGAGCTCGTCATCGAGGGCAACTTCTTGGTCGTCACTCTCCTCACCAGCTTCCTTGCTTGCTGGCGCCTCTTCAAGATAGGGCCTGAGTACCTCCACAACCTGCAGATGAATCTTCTTGGAGTTCCTGGCAATGGAAGTGTTGGGCATATTGTAGGTGAAGGCATTCTTCATGACAAGTTCCGAGTCAAACAAAACAGCCTCCACTCGTCGGTAATAGTTGTTCTCCAAACGCTCCGTTATGGTACCATAGTCCATCGGGTGTGATACGAATTGAATGTACAATGGATAGTCATTCAGATCAACTGGATCGAGATAAAGATCGCACAAGTCTTGTTCAGTGACACCTTTCAAACCTGACATGATGGATTCCTTCACTGCTTGTTATGTTTGTGTTAGGTGATTATCGAGTGGACACATGATCAATCATTCAATATTCTTACCGCTATCATCTATTCCCTCAGGTATGTCCTTTAGCCTTGAGCTAAGGAGCTTGGTGATCAACGGCTTGGAATCGTCCAAGTCGTGAGGACTTCCATCTGCTTCACCACCAGTGATATCGATCTCCCATGGGCTGACTCTTCCTTCCTCCCCATCTTGGTCCCTAGGTTTGTGATTGAGTGTTAGTGGATGATATAAAGGCTTCCAATCAATCATATTGGTACTATACCATAGAACAACTATTCTCTCCCAGAGACTATCGGGGAAGTCCATGTCCGATGGAGTGAGGTCTCTGATCGTGCCAGTGTACCATTGCTCCTGATCTGGATAGTACATCCTGAATTGGGTGCCAATGATCGACCACTGCAGACTCTCAATGGACCTTCGCACACGTGAGGCCATCACCAAGTAGTCGGGTAGTTCGCTGACATGATATGCAAGCTTCAACTGAACATCTTGTCGATCCTCTCTGACTGTCGAGAGTGTGAGTATTGCTTTGTGTAGGCCAGGTGTGCTGGATAGTTGAGACGAGATGATGTACATGATGCTGGTGATTACGCATTCTTGCGCGCTGTCCAATTCCATTGTGGTGATGTCTGTAAGTGAATGCTCAGACTCTGGATAGTTCTCGATATACAGTTTGTATCCTTGTGGGAACAGGACAACATTGTCTCCAATCTGTGGTGCGTATGATGGCTCCAAGGGGCTGTTGGATGTGTTTCTTAGCCACTTTGGACATTCAACATTGGAGTTGGCAGTGTTGTTGTTGGTGTCTTCTGTGTTGTTGGTTCTCTTGTTGTTGGCCTTTCTGGTGACCGCGGGCTTCTTGTTGACCTTGGGCGAAGACGCACTCTTGGCCAATGTGAACCTTGACCTCCTCTTCTTTCTCGGTGATGGCTTTGGTTTGTTCGACATTGAGTACTCTTCATCTTCGTCATTTGAATCGTTGTTGGACACGTGATCATCATCATCCTCCTCTTCGCTATTTACATAATCGTCATCATTGCTATCGTCGCCTGATTTTTCGTCCTCTTCACCACCAACATAGTCATCCTCGTCAGACATTGGCAAATCATAAGATGGTGCGACGTTGCTATCCTTGTATCTCCTTCCATTGATTCTTGAAGGTCGAGTTGTCTGTGTTTGATTGTTGTTGTTGTAGTTGTAATTGTAGTTGTAGCCGCTGTTGCTGTTATTCATATTGTTGTTGTTACTGTGGTGTAGGTCGTAGAGTGGATCATTCATTTGTTCATCATAGTCTGAGTCTTGTCCTGGTGATCCAAGCTCGTCTGGCAACTCAAGGGTCTCGATGATCTCATCCAGTTGCTGTGATGTGACCCTACTCCTGGTCAATGGCGTCGTCATATTGAGTATCTTTCTCTTCCTTCTCTCAATATCCTTCTTTGTTTGGCTCCTCGTTTGGATCTGATCATCGTCATCCTCGCCATCATTCATCTGTGCGTCACTATCGTCGTCATCTTGGTCCTCATCGCTGTCATCATTATCATCTGCCTCGTCTCCGGCTTGTGTCGCATCATCCTCTTCGCCACCGTCCCAATCATCGTCCGATGAGCTCTCAGAGTAGTCTTCATCGGAGCTATCACTGGGCACAGGCAGGTCGTAATCTTCAATCGAAGCATTGGTATTGTTGCTGACCACGCTGACATTGTTTGCACCATCACCCGCTGCTGCGATGGCCTCTGGTCGGGGTGGCTCAGCTGATTCGGGTGCTGTTGCCGATGGGCTGAGGAGTACATCTGGCACGACAACAGGCTGGAGCTGTCGATTGAATATCATCATCTCCATGGCCACCGTCTCATTGTAACGCTGTATGTCTTTTTGGTACTCCGGTGTGTCGACGTAGGGCTCGCCAAGTTTGGGCTGGCTGGGTTGGGTGTTGTAGGGCGCGCCCTGGTAGTTGACAAGGATGGGCTGGGGCATCAGGTGGGGAGGTGTCTGGGTCAGCTGGTCCAACACATTGCCACTGTGATCGCGGACAATTGGTTGGTAGTCGGTTTGGAAGAATTGCTCGCCAGGTATGTTGTCTAGGCGTCCTGACAGGCGATCGCCCTCGCCGCCCACTTGCAGGATGTACCATCGGCCAAATGTGGTGGTGACGCCAAAGCGGGTGCCGTCAGGCGAGAAGCATCCGTCTGATATCTGAATCTGATTCAGGCCTTCGATCACGTATCGATTGAGCATTACGCCAGATTGGATGTCCCAGAGAATGACCTGAGAGTCGTAGCCGGCACTCATCAACAGACGTGGGTTTGATGGGTGCGGCTCCAAGATGAACACGTCCGAGACGTGCGCCGCCAGTTCAAATAGTGGCTCGCCATCCTTTGCATTCCACACACGGACCACATGATCTGCCGTGATTATATATTGGTCGTCCAATGACCAGACCACTGTTCGCAGCTTGACCTTTATCCTCTTGCTATTCAAGCCTATTCCTCTAATGTAAACTGTTTGTTTTGATTGATTGAGTGAGTGAGTGAGATTGGATGATTGATTGAGTGGGTCACTCAGGAGCACTTACATGATGTCTTGTCCCAGTTGTTTCCATATGTATTCCTCCAGATGATTAGATGTCCATCTTCTGAACCGGATACAATGGCATCGCTTTGGTTGTTGTATTGCAGTAGTTTGATTGGGAGTGTGTGGCCTTGGAGTGTGCTCACAAGTTGAGGCGGATAGGTCACCAACGACCAAATGAGCAGCTCGGTGCCACAGCTGGCAACAATGAGTGTGCCACCTCTGTTGAACATGGCGCAGTAGACCGGTGCCGCATTGCTCTCATGTAGCACCATGTTCTCGCCCTGATCAACGTCCCACAGACGACACGTTCCAAACGTATCTGATGATAGCAGTAGGTTGCGGTTTGGCGCCGGACAGAATGAGACCGAGGTAATCGAGTTCCTCTGGTTGGTCTCGTGACCGAGCAGTACAGAGATGGGGACCGAGGTATGAAGGTCCCACACTCTGATCGTATTGTCGTTGGAGGCGGTGGCGAGGTATGAGTTCTCAAAGTTGATGCTGATGTCTGTGAGGTCTCCAATATGTGCTCTCAGCGTGTACTGAAGTCTGGAGGTATTCGACGACCATATCTTGACCAAGTGATCATCTGAGCCCTGTAGGGTAGTCAACCGCGCATTGTTAGTGGGCCGTCCAGACGGTGAGGGATGCACGCGCATCGTGATACATACAGTGATGAACTTATCACCAGTCTTGTCAAAGGCGAAACAATAGATGGCAGCTCGATGTCCAAACACTCCAAGCGTCATTGAATACTCGTGTAGGAGTGGAGTGAGTTGGGTGAGCTTGTTGGATCCATTGAGTTCGCGTGATAGTATCTTGGTGGCCAGTGGGCATGTGTTTGTGTCGAGCTTGGATGATGCGTACGCCTGTAACTGTGATGCTGTTGGGCGTCGTGAAAGTAATGTTCGCTGTTGTTGTGGAGGATGGGTCATCGTCATCCTTGTGCCAGATGGCATCGATGCTGCTGATGTGATAGATAGTCTAGGTAGTTTATCACTGTGTGTTATGTCCATAGTTGCTTGATTGGGAATGATAGATGTGATTCCAATGTATCCCTCGGTGGTATGTGTATCGTTGTTTGTATGTTGTGTCGTTGTAGTTGACGTCTTTGTCGTATCGTCATTGTTGTGTCCTCTGTCTAATAGACGAGGGTTCAATATAGTATGTGCACCACCGCCTAGTATAGTGTCGACCTTGAATGGCAATGATTGTTGATGGCCATGTCTCTGTTGCAGACTCAACAAAGTCTGTAACATACCCATCAACATACCCGGTGTACAATGATTATATCTCTGTTTCTGAATGATTGAATGATTGATTGAATGAGTTAAGAGTTGGATACACTCAACGAGTGAAGTGTAGGACACATACTATCTCATTGAAGCTTTGATGATTGTGTTGCTGACCATTCCAATCAGTGCGTAGTGGTAGTTGATCACGGTGATTGAGCTCATCAAACAATGTAGAGATGAGTGCTGGTGATAGATGCTGTTGTGACAGCCACTCCAACACTACATAGTTCAACTCATTTGCGCTGATCTGCGGAAGAGTAACATCAGTAACATCATTATCCACTACTATATTATTGTGATGCTGTTGTTGTTGCTGTTGATTATAATGTTGTAGATGTTGTAGTGGTAGTGAAGGTGATTGAGATGCTATTTGTTGTTGCTGCTGCATGTGTGACAAGTTATAACATTGTATCTCTTTAGTTGAGATACCTTATTATCTCTCTTTAATTAATAATTAGTTGTTTGAAACAATGAAGTGTAATTGTGTTGAAGTTTAACAAGGTTTGGGCTCAAAAGGCGCACTTTGAACTTTTCAAAATTTAAATGAAGGTCGCGCCAAACAAGATGATCAAGGTCGAGGCCTTTTATGCCTTGGAAGAGGAAGGACTGCCTTTGTTTAATACAACGCCATCACAATGGCAATGGCCTAAAGTTCAATCACTTTTGTTATGTCTCTCTTGAACTGCTCGAACTCGTCGGCTTCGGAAAGTGCCTGTTCTTTCTGTTCTTTCTGTTGTTGTTGATGTGCATTGTGCTCGTTCTTTGGTGAGCCTATAATCTCACCATTATCATTCTCTCTATTGACGTTCAAACGTCTTGATACACCACCCTCGGCCATCTCCACTGTTCCATCCTCGTCGTCGTTGATGTCCAGTTCATTATAGCCCAGTCTTGGGTTCAATTCCGATGGTCTCCATATCCAAATGATACTGCACAGTACCACCATGTAGTTGACATCCCAGAAGCCATCCCATATCCAATTAGTCTTCCACGTCTCATCATATGACTTGGTATAGTGTACAATCCTTTGAATGGATGGATGGTGTGAGTGAGCGAGCTTCATGATTGATTGATCGATGAGACTTACAGATTGGCAATGATAAGGATTGTTGTGATCAATGCAGAGATGGCCAGGACGTAGAAGAAGTACTTGTAGGTGTTGAGTTTGGCCTCTTGTCGCTTCAAGGCAAGGCCACTCAATATGCTAAGTAGGCTGATACATGTCCACCAATAATAGATAGTGTCCAACACGGCCACTGGTACAACCAATATACGAGTGAAGCTGCGATCTGATGATGTTGGCTGTGGTACCAACCATTCATAATACAACGATACACTGAATACAATGTATGTTATAGTCAATGCTCCAATCTTATACTTTGTCATCCTTGGGAATACAGGTCTTTGGATCAATTGATTGATTGTGTTAGTGTAAGTTCATTCGCTTCGCGTGACCAATGCGATCACGTGGTAACAACATACAGGATGATACCATAGCCCATGGAGACAATCAATACTATTAGACGGGATGATGCGTCTTTCATTGTGCTGAAGAATGACATGAAGAAGACTGATGCTTTGTTGAACTGTCCAGTCTTGTTGGTATCACTGAATGCTGCATAGTTGGTGAGCATCTCCAAGAAGCCAAGTGCAATCACTGCCGCTATCCAGTACTGAAGTGGCAACAAAGTCTTCCTGTATCGCCAGCAAAGCACAAGCCAGAAGACTGCCACAACAGTATATACCAAAGACATTATCAAGTAGAACTAAGTTGGAGTTGGATTGATTGATTAAGTTAGTGATGATTGATTGATTGAGTGAGTGGAGTTAGCATGTGATCAATCATACATAGAGATCAGGGAACTTCTCGCCACTTAGGTATCCATATGGATTCATAAAGGTTGTCGTGCCAGTGATGAAGAGGTTGGTGTAGTTGCGCTGTGATAACAAGTCGCAACTGAGCACAAGTAGATAGTATACTCCTTCCTTGGTCACTTCATATCTCTGGAGTGAATGAATGATGGTGAGCATGATGACTGAATGACTGATCGACTGGCGTTGTTTCCTCCAAACTTACGATTGGTACTTGAACAGGAGTGTCCTGAGTCAACGCATTGAATTGAATGTTGATGTACTTTATAGTGCTGTCCACTATGATGGACTGATTGACAGAGGTTTCATTGAGTGATTGGACTGTCGACGTGGAGTTGATGATGAGTGTGTCCAGCTTGGAGCACACTTTCTGCTCGATCAATGCCTTTGTACAGCAGTAATCTACATCTCCATTGCTGTTGTGATAACCAATGCGTGCAAAGTCTGAAGTATGATAGAATACAAGGTCTGCTGTTGCCACTAATTCGGGTGATGTCGGTGTCGTTTCCAAAGAGAACTTGCCATCAAACTTTGCATAAGATTCTCCATTACCAGGTGGACTATCATATGTACCTGGAGGGTATTGTGTTGACCTAAATAGCCATGATTGATCCTATACATTGATTGAATGAGTGAATGAGTGAATGCATGTGATGAATGTGATGAATGATTGCGTTGGTTGGTTGAACGTACAATAGTGGATCTTGGAGGGAAGGTCAAGATAAATGAATGTGTCTGCTGAGGTGCCTGCGATGCAAGGAGCAAGACCATCAGAATCGTTGTCGTCAACATTGATCTGAGTTTGATCATTGAGTAGTTGTAGCTAGATATCATCGCTCATGTATATGTTTATGTTTATGAATATGTACAAAGTGAAGTGAAGTGAATGAAGAGTCAAAGTTTGAAATTGAGGTGGGGCAGAAGAAGATGATGAAAAGTGGTCGTCAACGTGGTCACGCGATGGTCTCATGGTCATGACCCGCGCCTTGCAGGGTCGTCATTCCCCGTGATGGTCCCTCATGTGACTCATTAGAACCCATTTGTCCAGTCAACAAACAAACACTCTTAGTTCTCCCAGACATATTTTGTTATTATTATTATTTATCAAAGAGTTACATTTATTTATCATAATTATAATATTATATATTTGGTCAACTCACACTGACGTATTAATAGATGTTTCCAACACCATGATTGATATGGTTGTAGGCTGGCTCTTCGTAGTTGTCAACCATTGATATCTTGTGATAGGCGTACTCGCCGTGCTCGACGAGGTCAAGGCCGTGCTCCTCCTCAGAGTCGTCGATGCGCAGACCAATGAACTTGTCGATGATGACGATCAGGACGATGGTGACCAGGCCAGACCAGGCTGCGGCGACGACCACCGCCATGATCTGGATGCCAAGCAGGTGGGCATTGCCGTAGAACAGACCGTCTTGGCCGGCGGGGTTGATGGACTTTTGCGCGCAGAAGCCAATGGCGATGGCGCCAATCATTCCGGTCAGGCCGTGCACTGAGCCCACGTCCAGGGCGTCGTCGACGTGCAGACGGTGCTTCATAATGTATACAGATAGGTAGGAGGCCAGTCCCAGCGTGATGCCCAGTCCAATGGAGTACTGCGAGTTGATGTAGCCGGATGCCGGTGTGATGCCTGCCAAACCGGCGATGACTCCGTTGATCACGGCCACAGTTGATGGCTTGCCCTTTAGCCATGAGAGGATGATCCAGACGATGCCGGAGAAACTGCCACCGATCTGGGTGGAGGCGACGGCCGATGTTGCCACAGCTCCAGCGGCCAATGCCGAACCGGCATTGAATCCAAACCAGCCCATCCACAGCAATGCAGCTCCCAGAGCGGCCAAGGGAATGTTTGAAGGAGGGAATTCGCCTCCATACTTCTCAAATCCCTTTCTCTTTCCCAAGTCTAAAAGTTTGATTGATTGATTGATTGAGTAAGTGAGTGAGTGAGTATGATTGATTGATTGAGTGAGCGAGCGAGTGAATGAATGAATGACTTACATATAGCAATGATGGTACCACTGACACCAGCGGTAGTATGAATGACAATGCCTCCAGCAAAGTCGAGGACACCCATTTTCTGCATCCATCCACCTCCCCAGATCCAATGGGCTACGGGGTAGAAGACGATGATCTCCCAAAAGATGGTGAGGACGATGAAGGAGCGGTACTTGACGCGCTCGGCATACGCGCCAGTCATCAACAGTGGTGTGATGTTGGCAAACATCATCATGAACATGGCGTAGGCGGCCGCCGGGATGTGCGGTGCATTCGGGTTGCAGTCGTTGTAGCTGACGCCAATGAGGAAGGCGTGGTCCAGGTTTCCGATGATGCCCGCTTGGTCCGGACCGAACGTCAGCGAGAAACCAAACGCCTGCCACATCACCGTCAGCACGACTATACCAGAGATGATCTGGGTTATAATGGACAATGTGTTCTTTGATCTCAACAGACCGGCTTCAAAGAAGGCCAGTGCTGGCATCATTCCCAACACCAATATAGTTGATAGCAAGACCCATGTAGTGTCTCCTGTATCTGGTTGGTTTCCAATACAGTTCGGGTATGATGTCCCGTTGTTTGTAGACATTATGTTGTGGTGTGCGTGAGTGTTTGATTGATTGGTTGATTGATTGATTGATTGATTGATTGATTGATTGATTGATTGAGTGAGGTGAATGTAGATGTATGTGTGCGCGTGTATATATTTGTTTATAGATATATATATATAAATGATGTTTAAGGATGACGAACAACTACAACAATAAGATTGGGGATAGTTTGTTAGTGGGTGACATGCATGTCATGACATTCAGCCAGTCAAGTCAGATGTGGATTGGAAAGTTCTGCTCCAACCTAAACAAGGTAGACTTTGGGCAAACACCCTGTTTTATTCTTTTGTCAAAATCACCCTTGTTGCTCAAACACACCTGGGTCGCGAGCCACCTTCAAGTCGTTGGCGTGTGGTTAAAACCCAGGGCTATCAATAGTTTTTTGAACATGTCTGACATCTGTCATCCCAGGGATTAATCTGAGACATTAGTTTTGGATGTGTGAGTTTTTACTCTCATCACTAGCAGAGGGAAAAGTAATATCCCTTATGTAAAATAGTTCCAAACAAAAAAACAGAATGTTTGTATTCTATTAATGTTTAGCTATTCATCATTTGATCTGATGATCCACCAGGATAAGTTAACAACATCCTCAACAGATTTATAAATATTATCAATTTAATTTAATTTAATTATTTTGTTGTTATTTATTGATGATTCATATTGGGTCGTCCCTCTAGTTGCCATTTTAATTGGCTTGTCCGTCAATGACTATATCACATCAGTTCAGCCTATTCATTCATTTTCGCCCATCATTTATTAATTCTTTTTTGTTGATCTATGTTTGATCAATCAAAGCTGTTGTTGTTGACAATAATAATGTTGTTAACATTCATGTTTTAACAGATGGAACTGGATACCAGACAACAACAACAACTTAATGAATGATACAAAGAAGATGTATCAGTTACTAAAGACAGTGTTGCAGAGCAGAGTGATTCGGATGAATGTCATGCATCATGTGCATCAGATACATGTCGTGTTGATGAAGGCAGCAGGTGTGCCACTGACACACATCATGTCAGGTGATCAGTTTGAAAAGGAACGATGTCTCCCAACAATGTTGCGATATGGCAGGACTGACATATTCATGAAGTACTTTGATGCATTTGTCCAGGCAAAGCCACAAGGTGTCACTCTTCACCTTCGACATCTGCTTAAGGTGGCAATCGATACCAACAACATCAATGTGGTGAGACATCTGTTCAAATTCAATCGAGATAACAAACTCTTGGACGACAGCTCATCAGTCATTAATCAACAGATCGAGTTAACCGTCAAGATGGATCGACATGACATGGTCGGTCTGCTACTGTCCGAATTCGAGTTCGTCAACAATAGAAAACGATCATCACACAACAAAACAAATGAGCAGATCTCTTTTGGACGGATGTACTGGATGTGCCAGTCATTCAAGATGCTTCAGACAATCCACTCGCAATGCCATCTGTTCAAACCACAAGTCGGACCAGAGGATGTTTCAGTCCAGTTGATTCGGACACTGACAATCGACGATTTCCCAGTCCTCCTCGCCTTTCTCCGAGGCCCCAGCCTCAACGCCAACAAAGCCTTCTACAACATCTTGGTGCATCACATGAATAACATACCTCTACTTGACTGCTTCTTTAGCCTGGAGACGTTTATGGCAAGCACTCGTAAATACCTTGCGTATAATATCTTCCCCGACAGGGAAGATGATTGGAGCAGTATGGACCTCCTCACCTCGATGCAGACACCAGAAGGCTTATACTTTGCCAAACGATATCGCCAACACCTTCCAAGCGACTGCATCTACTTTGCCGCAGCCACTCATGGAGAAGTTGATCTCGCACAATGGACCATTGAACGACAACTACCAGCATTCTCGGACGTCCATGTCGCCGCCGCACTCGAGCACGGCTTTATCGACGTTGCATTATACATCTTGGACAATTGCAATGTGGCTGACGATGATAATGGCGAATGCCCTCCGTCCCTGTTCCCGAATTACAATGACAATGGACCACGAACATGGCTACTAAATCGTCCAATTGACGACTCCATTCACTCGATGGAGCTTCTTCAGCGGCTGGCATCGTCCCGCAACATCACATTTGAATATGGCATCCTCTTATCACCCGGTATGACACTGGAGACATTAGAATTCATCAAGGCGAACGATCCATGTTGAGGGAGCCACAGATTATGCTGGTCAAGGACATCACTTTGATCAGGAAACTCTTGGAACGAAACACGGACAATCTTAATTTAATGGTGGCGAACGTCGTTATCAGCGGGCGTCACGAAGTTCTGGCAGTACTTGCACAGACTGGGTGTAGTGTTGGTCCTGAAGTACTGGCTGAACTTTGCACTGTTGAGCAAGCTCGAGTTCTTCTCGACTCGGGATGTTTGGCGCAAGAAAACAAGTCTCCTATTATTGGCCCCCTGGAGGTCATCATTGATTGCTTCAACGACATATCATTGGTTCGTGACTATCACAACAAGTTTGGCAAAGTCGATGCAGATGAGTCACGCTCATTTTCTCGTGCAATGACAAAAGCAGTTGGGCATGGCAACATGGAGATTGTTCGCTTCCTTCACCAACACCATCATCACGGACTAGATGATTGCGATAAGAATGATTTGCAAGAGGCAGTCTACGATGGACACATGGATGTGTTCAAATTCCTCATTGACAATTACACAACAGAGTGGAGCATGTCACATCTCTACCAAGCTGTTGAGAATGGACACACGGACATAGTGGATTACATCCTTCACTCGCATGTCCATCTCCTGAACCTTCCTCGAGACATTGCCGCCTACTTTGGTTATGTTGAATGTGGACACCTTCCAATGTTGAAGGCCTATGTCAGTTTGGTAACTCGCATGGACAAAGAGGATCAAAGAAAGGCTGTCTATAACCTCACGGTACATGCCTATAGTAACTTGCCTCGATACTATACCTCAGCCATGGATCGTTGATACAAGGTAGCAATTTGTCTCCAATACCTCATGGACCATCTTTTAATTCCAAACATGGATGTACCCATTGCCAAACTGCTTGGACAGGCATATGAGCGAGGTCATCTCCTCATGGTTGAGTATCTATCTAAACTCCATTAACACAAACTCCACCAACCACTCAATCAATCAATCAATCAACTAACCAACCCAACCAAACAAAAATATTACATTTAAATGTATGTATGGCACATTCGACTCAAATGATTAGGTAATAAATAGTATCAATTATGTCATAATAATAATAATCAATGAGTCATTAAACAATATTTGCAAATGATGTGTGAGTGTCAATCAATCTTTGACACAAGTCCCTTGACACACACAAAGATGTCAAAGTTGAATTGACAACCAATCATGATGGAACTGTGTGATTTTGACAAAAGTTGCTCATTTCTTTGCCGTTTCGTTGATCTCTCTCTCTTGAGACGACATGAGTTCAATGTCCACTACAACTTGAAGTATTCAATGTTGCTGTTGTTCTTATTGTGTATATATTTATATATATGTAAATAGAAAGTGTATTCAGATATATATACATATAATGCTACTCAATAAAAGTAGCATAAGCAACCTGAGAAACACTGGTTCGCTCATTACACGACGTTTGAGTTGTAGACTACCATTGGAACGACTTCAACAATATTGTAACATACAACAACATCAACAAAGATACTTCCACTCAACAACACCACAAACATATGCAATCAATCACTCTTCACCTGTCAATGGAAGAGTGACGCCTGATCGATCACAACAAAGATGGCCACCCTCAGACCCACGACAAGACCCACGACATGACCCAAGACAGGACCCAAGACATCAACATCATCAACATCATCAACATCATCAGCACTCTATTGCAGAGGATAGAGCAATGCAGTTTGATCACTTGAGAAGACATAGACAATGGATAAGTCTGCGACAGTTCCATTTGACGCAGTTTGAAGATAGTGGCTTGGCCAACAAACCCACTGGACTGTTTGGAATCGACATGTTGGACTGCCCGGCAGGCTGGCAGACGCTGTACAATCAATGTCTGAGTCGATGTGAGGAGAACTTGGCACTGCTGCTGGAGCGGCCCGTCACCCAACACGACAGCATCACTCAGATCATCAGGAGACTGCATCTTCTCGATGGTATATCCATTGAGATCTGTAGTCTGATGGATCCGGCCGAGCTGTGTCGATCAGTCATGGGTGGCACACCTCATGCCCACTCTGCCGATCAATACTACGACCTGATGGCGCACTATGTACATAAACTGAATGCCAACCCAGACATATACAACACTCTCAGAGCCATATACCAGCATAGGTAAGTGATCTACATCAATCATTCGCACTCCTTGGAACCATTCCACTCACTCAATCAATCAATCAATCAGAGAATTTGCCAACCTCCCACCAACACATAGGGAGTTCGTACTGGAGATGATGAAGGAGTCAGAGATCAATGGTATACATTTGTCCGAACAGCAGAGGAAGCAGGTGATCGAACACAAACAAGCGATATCAATGGAGGGCGCATATTTTATGAGGGCATCCAATCAACCGGCACCAGTCTCCTCATTCACAGTTCCCAAGCAAGCATTGGCCAACCTGCCTCAAGATTATGCCGGCTCTGTGCGTGTCCAAGGTGAGCAGGCACAGTTGCCAACCTCTCAATTCATGGCAGAGGGCGTACTGCGCCATGTTGAGGATCCAATGATCCGAAAGAGGATGTACATCAGCACAAGAAACACACCGACAAATGGTAAGTATGAGTTGAGAGTCAGGACCATTGAGGCCCAGGTAGCGTCCATTTACCAACACCCAATCACCCAACATCCAGACGTTAGCCAACACCTACAGAACATGATAGTGACGAGAGATAGGATGGCAAAGATACTTGGATATAATACCTATTCCGAATATGCACTGTCCACAAAGTTGATTGAGTCTCCAGAGAAGGCCCTTGCATTTTTGAACGTAGGTCACGCCAATCAGCACCAGCAAGATGACATTACCTGATCAGTAGCTTACTTACCTACCTTCTCAATCATGTCCAACCAACATTTAGCATCTTTCAAACGAGTATAGAGAACAAACTGATCAAGAACTCAATCTTCTATACAGTCTTAAGTGCAAAACTGAGCTCACTGGCGATCCAATCTTCCAATGGGACTTTGATTACTATGCCAACATTATCAAGACCAATGCGATCGATTCACTCAAGGCACCCAGCTCATCAGAACTCTCTGAGTACTTCATGTTGGACAACGTGCTGGAAGGACTCAGTCGCATCGTTCATCAAATGTTTGGTCTAAAGCTGAAACAGGTATGTGATCGATAGATTGATTGAATGGAGATGGACAGCCTTGTTCTAACTTGCAAGCCCAACCCCCTAGGTCCCAATGAATCCTGGAGAATCATGGCACCCTGATGTTGTAAAGACAGCGCTACTTAGTAGACACGAGGGCATTGTTGGATATATTTATATGGACTTGTGGAATCGTGCAAACAAGCAGTCGATAGGCGTCAACTATGTCTTGGAATTGGGATACCGAGATAAGAACTATAATATCGTCACGACCGACTTGCCCAACATGAACGACTATCGCACGCCAAAGGTGGCTTTGGTGTGCTCATTCCACTCCAAACATGCCGGCGATCAGATGAGATCACTACTCGATCACTCTGAACTCGAGGTATTGTTCCACGAGTTTGGTCACAGTCTCCACACAGTACTCTCAAGAGGTGACTTCCAACATCTATGTGGCACACGTGGGCCCGTTGACTTTGTAGAGATACCCAGCACACTGATGGAGAACTTCACATGGGACCCCAAGATACTGCGGCAGTTTGCGCATCATCACTCAAGCGGCAGAGTGCTCTCTGAGCAAATGATCAACTCATACAAAGAGGCCAACACCAACATGTTCAAAGGAGTCGAGACACAGAAACAGGTAAGAGTTTGATCAAAGTGATACACGCATGTCCACTCATACTTACTCACGCTCCCATCACAAACAGATATCAATGGCAATGTTGGACTTGATATTGCATGGAAAGCATCCAGTAACAAAGTCACCACAACAGATAATGTCAGAGTTGCACCAGAACAATCTGAAGATTGCTGGTGATATTGGCAACAGGTTCTTGGCAGGCTTCTCTCATCTCTACTTCTATGGATCAAGTTACTATTGTTATCTGTTGTCCAAGTATTACGCCGATAAGATATGGAAGAACTTCTTTGTCAATGGATACAAGGTCAACAGAGAGCGAGGCGAGATATACCGACGCAAGTTCCTCCAGAAGGGTGCTTCACTGAAGCCTCAATCAATCATCAACAACTTCACTCGTGGTGCTGCATCATCACCGCCATCATCATCATCATCTTCAACCTCATTATGATGAATGAATGAACGACGATGTAGACCATGGTTCACTTTAATACATAGATTGTTACGACTAACTATAGTCTACCCCAACGAGAATGTACAAGAGATAGGACAAAAGGGATTCGATTGTGTACTTTATGTTCTTGGACTGGGATGGACTGTGATGAAAGGGTCGTTGTGAGCATCGCATCATCATCATTAGTGAGGTGGGAAGGAAGGAAGTGGTGTTGAAGAGGATGGTTGGATGTTGGAGGAGGCGTTCTTTGGATTGATCCAAAGCAATGATGGCTGACGGGCTGCTGCTGGCTATGAAGTTAATTTCCAAGAGGTTCATAACCACCTACTGGAGCTGGTGCCGACTTCTTTGGCGCGAACGATCCCAACACAGAGTCCTTGTGTGACTTGAGGAACCTTGGCAGTCCATCTGGACCTTTGGTCCATTGCAATATATAAATGAACTGTGGATGCTCAGCCAAAAAGTCTGGGAATGTCTTCTTTGCGGCGGCAGTGTCGTTTGGTTGCACCAGATAGTGCTTGATGCGATGTGGCAGCTCATTTCCAATGTAGGCAATAGCAAACTGTCCTGGATTCCTCTCACTGAAACGGATGATGAATGTGCCTGGGTCTTGATTGGTGAGCGCATCATTTACCTCTTGTCTTCCCATGTATCCGTATATTATACTATAAATTTGGCARGGCGTATGGTTAGCTTTGTGGTCGAGATCTTGATGATGGCGCACATATGTATACATACCCCTCTTGCCAGAGAGCCGAAATGTGTCTTTGATACCTCAAGGTCTGCATTGACTTTCCAAACCAGTTCCAGAACCTGTCAAAGTCTTGCTGATGGACAATCGTTCGGTTGGCAAAGAAGTGCTGCTGGATGTACTTGATGTCAAACTGTGATAGAGGTCGCTTTGGTCGCACTGGATCCTGTTTGGTCGCTATCAAGAAGTGTCTCTGAAGTGTGTTGATGAACTGAGCCCACGATATCTCAAGCTAGTAGTTGATTGATTGATTGGTTAGCACATTGATTGATTGAATGAACAAACAGCACTTACCTGTCCATCGAATGCATCCTTCTTTAGCAATACACCAGCACTGCCTTCCCATTGACACTCGTTCGTGATGACCACAAAGGAGTTGGACGAGTCACTCTCAACGGCGGATGTGACGTTGTCCATGTCACGGATGTTGACGCCAAACTTCAAGTTGACTGAGCTCTTCCTGGTGCCAGCCAGGAACTTTAAGGGGAAGTGTGCTGTCAATGTGGCTGGATATATTGGCTGCGAGTCCATCTCGAGCTGCTGCTGCGAGTTGTTCTTGTTGGTTGGCGTTGAATCACACATCAACGACGCCTTGACAGGACCATTGATGTGGAAGTTTGATCGTGCGCCCGTCAGGATTTGCACAACCAGTTGATTCTCGCTCAGCTGCTTTCCCTTTGTGATCACAACTGGGAATGGTTGTGTCTTCATTACAAGTGCGACACTAAACGTGATTGGTTGGTTAGTATATGAGTGAGTGTGACCATGGTTGTGACGAGCGGCGATACACTTACTTTGGTTTGAGGCTCTGGCTGTTTGGATTTAGAATAGCTTGTACCTCTTGATGTAGGAGGGTCAGCTGCTTGAACTGTATTTGGAGGTCCTGCTTCAGGGCAAACAACTTGGCAAGGTCGGTGGGATCGAGGATCATACCCTTCTTGGTGGCGTCAAGGGCAGACATCTCGGTGTTCATTTGGTTGGACAGGGTGACCTGCTGCTGTGAAAGGTTCTGCAGACTGTGCACCGACTGCTCGTCCAGTGGCTGTGTGAGGCGATTCAAGACGATGGACTGCTCGTGTATCATCTTGACCAGGTTGGTCTCTTGCTCTGACAGCAACTTATAGATCGTGTCCAGGATGGGCTGTGGGGAGCTGACAGCGGTCGATGGCAACTGCTGCTGTTGTGCCGGCTGAAGTTGCTGTTGTGCAGTGTTGGTCGATGCCTGAGGCTGTTGAGGTGGTGACTGAGGCAGCATCTGATGAGGAGATTGGTGGTACTGTGGCTGCTGTGGTTGATACTGCTGCTGAGGCTGCTGCTGGTACTGCTGGATGGGTGGCTGCTGCAGTGGGACCTGACTAGATGATCGACCATTGTTAAATGTGGCCTGTGGTGCAATCAATGGAGACGATAATTGCTGTGCCTGCTGTTGCTGGCCGCCCATGTGGAGGGGGGTCGCACCATTACTCTGCTGTAAATAGGGGATACCCTGTCTCGATGCTCTGTAGTCAGCATGTTGTTGTTGTTGATAATACTGATCCTGACTGGCACCATTATATCCACCATTATTATATTGCAAGTGGTTCAACGTAGAGTTGATACTTTCGTTTAATCCTCGTGGACTGGTATGGTAGTATCATCACATGATGATTAGTAATCAATCAATCAATCAACCATTCATTCAATCAACAACATACTCTGTACCCTCGAACAAATTCTTTGTTGTCAAGTTTGAACTGTCAAAGTCTTCAAAGTCGGTGTCCATTTGAAATTCACTGCTAGACATCCTAGTTGTTACTGCTTCTGCTGCTGTTGCTTCTTGGGCTTGTTATATGTAGTTTACAGGTAATAATAATATTAAGTACTATGAACAAATGTACAAAAAAAAAGTAATCGTCTGTCTGTCTGAGATGATCAATGATTGATTGATTGGGATAGATTGATTAATTGATAAAGATTGATTAAGATTGATTAGAATCAAAATGGGTAATATTATTGGGTAGTAAGGAATGAAGGAAGGAAGGACTAGGACAAGTAAAGGATGAATGAAAGAAACAAGGAAGGAAGGAAGGAGAAGTAGGATGAGGTTGGGTTGGTAGGTGACAGACAATGTTTGTTATTAATATTGATTGTTGATTGTTGATTGTTGATGTTGATGTTGATGTTGATGTTGCTTGATGGTGGATGTGTTGTTCTGGAAGGGAAGAGATGTGTTTATGTTTTGTGTTTGTGTGTGTGTGTGTTTATATATGTGTGTGAGAGAATGATGTTGATAGAGATAAGTTTTGAAAGGGTACTTACTGTGTGTGTTGAATTGAGGGGGTTCAACCATAATTAAAATAAATTAAAATCAACCCACCTCACTTCTAAACACACCTTTAATCACATCGTTGGCACAAACGACACTGATTTGATATCTTTGACGACTGGTCGTGGGGTCATGTGTGTCTTCAAACACACACATTTAAGTGTCGTTCATTACATCATCAATGTTACGACATATGATTGATTGATTGATTGATTGATTGGTTGATTGATGATGTGGACATGGATTTAAATAACAATGTGGATGTAATGTAAAGAAAACAGAGGACCTGATGTATTTTTTCAATCAATTGATCAATCAATAAGCTCAACAGATAGGATACCTTGTGGATGGTATGGATATGGAAGTTGTCCAAAGGTGTTGTTGCGAATGTACACACCAAGGTCATTGGTCAGGATCTGCCAGATGTCATCGATGTAGGTTGGATAGGAATGAATGCATCCGTGTGATGGTGGCATGGGCTGCGATGGTGTCCAACCAGCCCACTCGCCAGTATGCAATAGTATACCGTCTCTAATGTTACTGATGACGATGTAGGCATTGCCGGCCAATCCCTCCACCGCTCTATTCACTGGGTATGGTCCAAAGTCTGCTGGGTCATCCTCCGGTGAGTTCAAATCGAATGTATACAATCCAGTTGGTGTTGCTCCATCTGGGCACAACTCATTGTATGGATTTCCATTCGAGTCACTCTGTCCAAGTGTCCTAAGTTGATTGATTGGAATGATTGAGTGAGTGATTGATTGAGTGGGATGATTCCAATGATGAACTGGAATGATAACATACTTGACGGTAAAGGTTAACAATGGCTTCAAGTTAGAATCAAAGAGAGTGGCATTTGTCTCAATTGAACGATTGCGGTAAACTGGAACATGGACCTTGTAAAGGAATCCAGGTGGGATCTCACCATTGTCCTTATATCCATCATCCAAATTCTTATCCAACAATACTGTGGCGGTATTAATATCCATCACACCAGTTGATGAACTATATACATATATAAATATGATGGAAGTATGTTAGGTCATCAATCACATAACATAATGATCAACTATGTTTACATTTTGGCTACAGATTGGAACTTCTTGAGAGCAGCCTCAGTGAGCTCATCAAATGTAGCAGAGAGTGGGATGTTTGGAACAGTCCTCTCAAGCAATGATTGAAGGATATAGACATCTTGTCCAGTCATTGGTTGTGATGGTACGTATGACAACTCTCTAGTGAATGGGCATGGGTACTATTGTTTGATTGATCGATTATTTGATTAGGTTGTTGATGTGAGTTAGTAAATGTGATGATGACTTGGTCATCAATATGTTGATGTTACATACTGAGGAGTTCACTGTTATGTATTGATGATCTCTTGATTGAGCATTGCCAATCATCAAGGTCACTATAACCAATGTAATGATTGTATATTTGTTCATATTTATTAACTTGAAAGAATGATACAACTAATATTGTTATATACGTATGTATGAATATATGTATTAGTAATACAACGTGTAGTGTCAAGTGATTGAATAACTTGCCATCCAGGTTATCAAGTTGGTATGTAGGCCCAAACCTTGATCAAAAAAGACACAAGATATTTCAATGCATAAGATGCCCATTTTGACAGATCTTCCTCACTGGGCACCACTCGCCCATCAAACCAATCACGAATCCAGAGAAGAATGACCTTACCAGGATGGATGGATGGAAGATGTTGAACAAACATGCAACAAGTTATTATTATTATACATTTGAATTTATTGCCATTGATTGATTGAAGAATGATTGATGATTGGTTGGTTGGTGTAGTTTGACAAGACGCCAAGCTGTAGATTGATGATGGATGGTTGTTGTTATTATTGGTTGTCACATAACATAAAGAATTGTATGTTGTATATATCACTGATTGATAGAGATTGATTGATTGATTGATGAGCGTTGTACTATAAGTGTTGTTGAGTGATTATGAAAGATGAGTGACAATCAATTGCTTGGTAGCATTGGACATGACGGCAGACTGTGAACGGATTGTCAGACGACACATGCATGCTTGTGGATTGCACTCAATGCGAATCAGAACAAAGAGTGGACTCTTGCCATATGGGAACAGTGCTGCAGACACAAGGTTGTTGGGGTTGGGGTCGATCATCTTGAGCGTCGTGATCTTGAGACCCTCGCTCAACGTCTTGTTGAAGGCGGCAGTGTCGATGGGCTTGCTTGGCTTGAACACCTCCTGGATCTCGACGGGCTTGCCGGGCAGGATCTTCCACTTGGCAAAGAAGTCGCCAGAGTTGAGGTTGTATGGCTCAAAGAACTTGGACACGACGATCGGCAGCCTCAGGTGGATGGTGATTGGTCGGCCTGGTGTGAGGAAGTTGATCACAGCCGTTGGCGACTCGGAGAACTCGCCAGTGCATGTAAATGTGATTGTCTGCTGAATCTGTACCTTGGGCTGGATCACAGGCGCGATCGACTGTGCCTGCACTTGGAGTGCGCTGGTCGAAGCCGACTCGATCACTGTGTTGAAGCCCGACAGTGGGAACGATGAGTTGTTGCCGTAGTACAGGACGATCCTGCCCTGTGCACCATTGTACTCGGACTTGAGACCAATCTGGATCATGGAGTCCTCGTATAGGACACCCTCGGCGTTCAGACACAGACGGTTGAACGCGTTGGCAATCTTGATCTGAAGCGGGTCGATGGGTGAGCCTGTCGAGCCAGTGTTGGGCGACAAGTTGGCCATGGTTGGCGACAGGAGGTTGTGCTGGCCCGAGCCAAATGGCGAGCCGCCCGCTGGCTGCTCAAGCTGTGGTAGAGCAGGCTGCTGCATGAGTTGCAGCTGTGGCTGCTGAGGTGGCATCTGCTGCTGTGGCTGGTTGCCCACGCCAAGTCCGAATGGATCGAGCAGGTCCAGTTGGTTACCGCTGGCAACGTTGCTGTTGCCGCCGCCGTTGGACAGGGCGGTGGCGGGGATGGCCTGATGGTGCTGCTGTGGCTGCTGCATTCCATTGGAGCCATGCGCGCCAATGCTGCCAGTGTTGCTGTTGATAAGGTCTCTGTTCTCAGAGAATGCTGGGATGACATCGAGCACGGTCTGCATCAAGTCCTCGTTGAGGTTGGTGAGGTTGAGGTACTCGCACGCACGCTGCTGGATCTCGGCGTCGATGTAGTTGGTGTGCTGCTTGAACACCTCCTGCGTCTGCTGTGTTAGCTCGGGGAACAAGTTGACAAACTTGGCGTAGGTGGACAGCAACAGCGCCTTGGTCTGTAGGCCGCACGTGGCAAACTTGGAGTGCAGAGTGTTGAACTGGATGAAGGGTGTGCTGGCAGGGTTGTCGGCGATCAGATGACCAAACTCACCGAGGATGTAGCCTCCAACCTTGACCAGGGTCTCGTGAGAGTTCTTGGCCTGGAGCGCATTGAACACGGTGCTGGCAGCATACGTCTGGATGTCCTCGTGGTTGGTGACGATCTTGACCACGCGGTACCAGATGTCGTCCGAGACAAAGTCGCCGGCTGATGTGATCAGCTGGAGGATGACGTCGACGTACCACGAGTAGTTCGAAGCGAACTTCTCGGCAAGGTTGGCAATCTTAATGACCAACTCCTCTCTGATGTTGTAGTCTGCTGTCTGGAGGTAGGTCAACAGCTCCGCAACAATAATCTTACTCGTGTCCTTATCGCACATGCCGTACAGCAAGTCCAATGCTCTACGTCTAATACTGATATCTGCGTCTCTGAGTGATACTACGTTATTGATTGATTGTTAGAGAGTGATAGAAAGCAATGCATGGATGTGGACTACATACGAATGACAGTGTCTTGGTACTTCTTGATCATGACTGATGTCTCGTTGGAGAGCGATGCAAAGTGAGACATTGCCTCGAGGCCCAAGTATCTAATGTTCGTCTCCTTCGCAGTGATGAATCGGCCAAGCAGTGTAGAGATCTGAGCCAACAATGCTGGATCGCTATTGATTGATTGATATAATGAGTGAGTGATCATTGATTATTGTGTCACATACAAGACAACAACCAACATACTTATCATAATGGATGATCAAATTGATTGCCTCGAATAGGACAGCGTTCAGGGCGTTCTTATGATTGATGGTACCGGCCTTAGCACTCTCGGACACGGAGAGGACAGAGTTGAGCACCTCGGTGAGCTTGCGTGCATTGGCATCGTTGTCCAAAGGTGGGAAGTAGCGCAGGAAACGCAGAAGCTTGACCTGGAGCCAGGGACAGGCGATGTGATAGTAAATGTATTCCTTGGCCGTCTCCTTCTGTATGACGATCTTGTGAAGCAGGTGCACGACCTTGGGCACGGCGGGCTCCCAGCCCTCAGCCTTCTCCGACACCAAGTGGATCAACAGACTCATCAACGAGTTGAGCACACCAAAGTCTGTCTCGTTGAGCACTGAGATCAATCTCTCCACCCAAGCATCAGGAGTAACCAGTCCTATATGATTGCGATTCATCCTAAGTATAGCCAAAGATGCTCTCTTCTTTACCATTGGTGATGATGTCCTAGTTTGTTTGATTGATTGATTGATTGATCGAGTGTGAGTGAGTGAATGAGCAAGCAAGAGACGATGAATCAATCAACTTACTCGGCAATCAATAACTTCTGAATGACTGGTGCAAGAAACTCGGCTGTTTCCTTTCCACCAATGTTACAGATGGCTGACAAGGCCAATGATTGGAAGTAATCACTTCTGGCCATGAGGTCCTCCTTGAACGAGTTGATCACCAATGGCAACAACTCATGAGTTTCACTCAGTAGTACTCCAAGTGCAATGTATCCCTAGATTATAGATATACATATTAGATCATCATGTGATTGATTGATCGAATCGATTGAATGATCAAAGGATAACATACAATCTGCTTCTCAGAGAACTTTGTAGATGAGAGCAAGGTGACAGCCTCCATGTATCCAAAGTCGATCTCGTAACCGAGCATGTACATGTAGATTAGCTTGCAGACATATTTCCTGCGCTGATATCCATCAATGTTCTTATTCTCCTTGAACTCCTTCCTAATGTGAGCCATCTCCTTTGTCACCCTCTTCTCCTCATTCTCTTTTGATGTGGCTGCAACATATATAAGTGTTAATTAACACATGTCTGTCTGACTATCTGTTTGCCCGTCTATATCAATCACTCTTACCATTTCTAATATCAGCAATGAAGTTGGTCAGACCTCTCATCGCATTCTTTGAAAGGTTTGGATTCTGTGCCATTGTTGTTGTATTTGTTTTGTTTGTTTATCTTTCGTCGTCCTGTAATATCTGTTTGTTTTAACTTAATATTATATTATATTATATATATGTATGTGAACGAATGAATGAATGAATGAAGAATGAATGTTATACAACAATGATCTGATTGATTGATTTGATTGTGTCGTTGAATGAATGAGGTTGAAGCAATAATGTTTGTGGTTGATGTGTTGTGAGGTGGTGTGAAATGAAGTGAAGAGTGTTGTGGAAGAGTGAAGTGCTAAAAACATTTAATACGTCTTTTGTTTGTGTGTTGTTCGTGATTGGATGAATGATGATGATGTTCCAGTCAGTATCCAGATACAAATACTAATTGGACCAATCCCAGGTTTGATATTGATGTTTATGTTTATATTTATGTTATTCTCGTGGATTGTTAATCCAAGAGAGTAAACTATATTAGTACGACCTTTATTTACAAAGAATTCTTTGTTGGTTGTGCCACTGCCACCATTAATGATTGGAATAAGGATGGTGGATGGATGATGGATGGAAGTGGCGGGAGAGAGAGAGAGAGAGTTGTGGCGTATATGAGAGAGAGATAGAGAGACAGAGGGTGTTACAAAAGCATTGCCAAGTGAATGAGTTGGGAGGGATGATGGATTGATGGATAGGTGGTTGGGCAACATTGCCACCAACCAATGACTTAGAAATCGGCATCGAGAATAAAGGCACGTGATTGAGCCGATGATTGGTTCTGACCGGAGCTCTGCTTGGCCACGCCACTCTTGGCGTACTCTGAGACTCGGTTCTCAAAGAAGTTGGTCTTGCGCTGCAACGAGATCATCTCCATCCAGTCGAATGGGTTGGCCGAGTTGTATATCTTCTTGTAGCCGAGCGAGACCAGCAGACGGTCGGCGCAGAACTCAATGTACTGGCTCATCTGGCGGCCGTTCATGCCGATCAGATCGACGGGCAGCGACTCGGTGATGAACTCCTTCTCGCAGGCGACGGCGTCGCGGATGATCGACTCGAGCACCGCGGCATCCAGACGGTTGACCAGCTTTTGGTACAGCATGCAGGCAAAGTCGCAGTGCAGACCCTCGTCTCTGCTGATCAGCTCGTTGGAGAACGACAGGCCGGGCATCAGACCGCGCTTCTTCAGCCAAAAGATCGAGCAGAAGCTGCCGCTGAAGAAGATGCCCTCGACGGCGGCAAAGGCCACGAGACGCTCGGCGAACGACTTGGAGTTGGAGATCCAGCGCAGGGCCCAGTCGGCCTTCTTCTTGACGGCGGGGATCGTCTCGATGGCGTTGAACAGCTCCTTCTTGCGCTCGCTGCTCTTGATGTACGTGTCGATGAGGAGACTGTACGTCTCAGAGTGAATGTTCTCGATGGCGATCTGGAAGCCGTAGAAGCAGCGTGCCTCGGGTATCTGCACCTCGGACATGAAGCGCGTGGCCAGATTCTCGTTGACGATGCCGTCCGACGCGGCAAAGAATGCCAGCACATTCGTGATGAAGTGGCGCTCATTGTCGTTCAGCTTGTTCTCCCAGTCGTTGGTGTCTGCGGCCAAGTCCAACTCTTCGGCAGTCCAGAACGATGCCTCAGCCTTCTTGTACATATTCCAAATATCTGGATACTTGATTGGGAACAGGACGAATCTATCCTTATTCTCTCGCAATAGTGGTTCATCTTGAATCGCTTGCATTATTATATTATGTGTTTGTGTTTGTGTATTTGTATTTGTACTTGTACTTGTATATATGTTTGAATGAATGTATAAGATTGAGTTGATTGTTATCTGTTGATGTAATATTAGGACACGTATTAATAACTTATGCACATTACATTGAGAATGACGTGAAATGTACAAAACTAACGTAACGCACTCGTTCGCGCCCTGTTTGTGTGTGTTGTTCAATCAAATATATTACCGTTTCTTGTAAATGATGTAACTGTGATTGATCAATCAAACAATATATCTATCTAACTTTGATTGGCAAGCAATTACTTCTGTTTATCTGTTTGGTTTGATTGAGTGTGAATAAGTGGATGATGTGTGTGTCTTGTTCCGGAACAAGACTCCAGATCAGTCAGTCATTCGCTCATCATCAATTTTAAAATTGAAAGAAAGAATGGGTTTTGGCGCCAATTTGCAAACACACACATGTTTTATTCAACTTGTTTGTTGATCGATGAATCTGAGCGAGCTTGCTGGGAGGGGGAACGGGAGAGGGCACCTCCTAATCAAGGTGGTCCTAATAAGCATGGTGATCGACGAACCATGTGCACATGTGTATGTGTATGTGCAGGCAGCAGTGTGTTCAACATCACTGCTAGAACGTTGGCGCACAAAACAAAGGTGTTGGTGGATGGGATGGATGGAGGTGACGATAGATGGCAATCGGTTGGAATGGCCACGGCTATGACATTGTTGTGTAGGGTCTGGTCTGGGTGGGTGTTCAGAGGATGTGAATCGGATACTCTTCGTTTCCATTCTGGTGTAGTAGATGCATCTTGCCTTTGGATAGTGGTAGGCCTACGATATCCATTTGCTGTTGCTGTTGTTGCTGTTGCATGCATTTGTTTGGAAGTTGTTGGTGATACGAATATTGTTGTTGTTGTTGTTGCTGTTGTTGATGATGTTGCTGATGTTGCTGATGGAAATATGGATGGTGGTGGATCTGTTGTTGGTCAAAGGCAACATAGTGAGCCGGGGCCACGGCAATGGGGGCAGGATTGAGTGATGCGGCGACTGCTGCCGAGATGGGACAGTCATAGTCAGCTTCACCCCAACCACCATGGTCATCGAGGTTGGAGTCGTGGTCTGAGCTGTCGTCTTGGAAGTCGTCGTCAGATTGTTGGAAGTAGTGGTGATGGCTGTTGGGGCCGTCCACACCAGCGAACTGACCTGGATAGAAGTTGTGTAGGTGTGCTGCTGCTCCTGTTAGACTATCTATCGAGGGCAGTTGATAAAAGTGATGTTGGGCAGTGATTGGTGGTGGTAGTAGATGTGCTGCCACTGATTGTTGTTGCTGTTGCTGTTGTTGATGTTGGAAGAGATGATTGCGGGTTTGTGGCTGCTGGATGATTACAGCTATTGGAAGCTGATATCCATATTGATTACCCTGTATTATTGGTTGTTGCTGTTGAAGTTGTTGTTGCTGCTGTTGCTGTTGCTGTTGTTGTTGTTGGTTGGAATAGTCAACAAAAGATAGTTGTGGATATTGATGATGCGTGTTGTGTGATTGGCTAAAGTTGTCTGTCTGATGCTGCTGCTGATGCTGTCTTTGTACCGATCTTGGTTGTGCTGCACTGCCAAAGAATGCTAGGCTGCCTGCTCCATTGCCACAGACAGCACCGCCACCATTCTTTGAATGTCCTGCGTCCGAAGAGTAGGAGTTGCTACAGCTACTGTTGTTGTTGTTGTTGTAAATGGAAGCCGAGAGCTCAGGCAAGAGGAACTTGTTTGATGAACTAAAGTCATTGGCTTGTAGCTGCAGGAGATGATGCGTGGATGGCAATTGTGGTGTGGCGGCATTGGCCGTGATCGAGGAGGCTGCGCTACCTGGAGTGTTTGACAAACAAAAGGCTCCACGCTGGGGCGCGTTGGAGGGTGGTGGAGGAGTGATGCTGTTTGGGCGATAATATGAGGGCACCGCAGGCTCGGTGAACGAGTGATGCGTAAGATGATGGGATAAAAGATAATCGGCGGCCTTGCTGGGCTCTGATGAGGAGGGATATGATGAGAAGGAGTTGGGGTTGGAGTTGAAGTTTGGTTGATGAGTTCTGTTGTTGAATGCCATGTTGTTGCTGTTGTTTCCTGCTGTGGCTTGACTGCCTCCACCACAACCACCATTGACACCCTGGGGATGCTTAGCGACACCGCTGAGCATTGATGATGTTGACGATGATGAACATGCTGCTGCATTGTTAAAAAGTAGACTTTGCTGTTGCTGTTGTTGTTGTTGGGGTATATCGATTGATTGAGATGGTACGTAGTTGTGTAGATGTTGTAGTAGCGGTAGCGGTAGACAGTGCTGCTGGTACTGCTGTCGCTGCTGCTGTAGCTGATGGTAATATATATCTTGAATGAATGTTGGCGAGCTTGGAATAAGTGACTCGCTGACATCGCATGCCGTGTGGAAAAAGGGATGATTCAATGCCTGTAGACTGGTGATCCTCTTGCGCGGATCCAGCTCGAGCATCTTGGAGGCCAGGTCGAACAATGTGGGCAGTGACGAGCTGAGGTGCGGGAAGCAATCGTTGAGCGACCTGTGACTGTAGTGCTCGAACGAGAAGTCCCAGAGGGCGTACGAGGTGACGCCCGGCCACGAGCACTCGTTGGGCGTTCCAAAGCGCTTGAAGATCAGCTCCAGCTGCTCGGCCTCATTCTTGCCGGCAAACAGATACTTGTTGGTGAGCATCTCCATCAGAATGCAGCCTACGCTCCAAATGTCGATTTCTGGCCCGTAGTTGATGCATCCGAGCAGTAGCTCGGGAGGTCTATAGTACAATGAAACAACGTTGTTTGAGAATTGCTCGTCGCCTTGTGATTGGAATGATGTCGATAGTCCAAAATCTGTAAGCTTCAACTCGCCTTCGCCACTGATCAATAAGTTGGCAGCTGTTAACATTGATTGATTGAGTCCAGGTGGCAATGAGATTGAATGAGAATGAGTGGGATGTCCAGTGAGTCCATGAGTAGAGTTGGAGATAGATGACGATGTTAGTGTCTACGTAATAAGGGACGATTCCAATGTGATGGATGAATGTATGTCTTACGTTTGATATCTCTGTGCATGATGCCTTTGGAGTGGCATTGATAGACTGCTTCTAGTATCTGTCTGATAAAGTTCTTGATTGAATCCAATGATAGGCTGCATGATGGGTTGGATAAGACCTTCCAAAGATCTCCCTCTAGATACTCCATCACAATGAACAGCTCGCTTGGTGACAAGTAGAATGAGTCGTATATATTCACAATATTTGAAGTGTTCCTTAGTTGCTCCAAGTACTTGATCTCAACTGCTCGCTATAGTGTGTGTGTACGTTGATGTGAGTTACGAGGCCTCCACTCTCCTTCATTGACTCGTTAATGATGATACATACACCACCTTCTTTGGCTACATTGGATACCTTCTTCAGCGCTACAACCATGTTGTTTCTAATATCTATTGCTTTGTAGACGCTTCCATATGTGCCTGCTCCACACTTCTCAATCAACCTGTACATTCTTGATGTTTCAGCGTTGGCTCTGTCTCTCTCTCTGTCTCTCTCTCTATCTCTCTATCTCTTTATCAATGTTGATGAGGCTGAGACTATGTATATATATATATGTTGAGTAAAATGGTTTGTTATCATATAGATGACTTTGTCATTGATTGATTGATTGGTTGATTGTGTATTGATTCGAATAGGTAAACCTGGTAATCGTTGTTGATGTTAATGAGGAATAATCGATGATGAGAGATGCAGTTATTGTTATTGTTGATTTGTTAATATTATAAATGAATATATTATTATTTGGATATTGAGGGGACGATGATTATGGAGATGAAGATGATGGTGTTGGGCAGAAGGGGGTCACTATCACTCACTCACTTGCGCACACACAAAATAACAAGGGCGGCGTCAACAACAATCCAATGCAAGCCAAACCAAACCAAACCAAACAACTGGCAACTGCTTGTTTGGGAGGGAGGTGAAACCTGGAGCGAGAGAGCAAGCAAGGACAGTTATGTTATATATGTTGTGCCAGTCAGTCAGTCAGTCGGTCAGTCACATAAGGTTGTTTGTTGTTGTTGTTGGTGAATGCTTCGAGGGACTATTCGCTTGTTGTTTGTGTTTGTGTTTGTTTCTTATTATCCAAAAGTGCCCACGACACGGTTGTTATTGCTGTTGCTATTGTTATTGTTGTGCTCTTGCTGGATGGATGATGTTATTGTGAATGTTGTTGTTGTTATTGCTGTTGTATGTGTGAGAGTGTGTATGTATGTATGTTTGATTGGAGCGTGTAGGGTAAGCTTTAGCACACAATAAGTGTGAATGAAGAATTGAAAGTGACGATAATGTGTGTGGTTGTGAGTGGAACCCTTGGGTTGGATAAGGTCATTCAGTTTTGTCTGTGTGAGGGTTTTTTTGCCGTGGCGAGTAGTTGGTGGTCTGGTAGCTGCAAAGTATTGAGAGGGTACACACGTTGGCACTTTGCCTTTGATCGAATGAATAACATAAACTTCAACTCGAGTGAATACATACATGTATAGTAATTGACATCACTGTGATGATTGATTGTTTATTATTAATATTAATAATAAACTAGTTATTAGGGTTCGGGTTAGATATGCACCAACCACCTCTGGATGTTGTTGATATTGTCAATAACAACAAACCAAAGACAGTGGATGATGACTTAGTAGCTGCCAACCGGTTGTATCATCAGTAGTAGTGGTCATGAATACAACTGGTTGGCTTAGGAGTCAGGTGATCGGTGATGAAGATGACGAGCCAGCACCTCCACCGAAATAGCTAAAGCCCTGGAAGAATGCCTGCTGGGAGGTGCTGAGCTGCGCGGATGTGCTCAGTTTGGCATCGTCCTGGGCGTACTTGGCGAGATGCTCAACATCAAAGTTGCTGATGTCAGAGATGCCAGTGGTCTTTGGCACCAATGGCACGGCACACTGGCGTGCCTCCAGCTTCCTCCATTGGATGTTCTTGAAGAAGGCATGCTGCTTGATCTTCTGAGCGCCACCCACGGTGCCCAGTCGCTTCTTTGGATCCTTGGTCAACAAGGCCGTGAGGAAGGATCGAGCATGGGGCGAGACGAACTTGGGAAACTTGACCTTCTCGTTGATGATGCGGTCCTGGAGCGGGTGGTTGGGCTGCGAGCAGAATGGCAGCTTGCCAACGATCATGTCGTAGAGGAGCACGCCCAGTGCCCACCAATCTACAGCCTTGCCATATGCCTTGCGCTGGAGCATCTCTGGGGCCATATAGTCAAGTGTGCCGCAGAATGATCCTGCCGAGAACTCATCTCTAACCTCCTCCTTTGCCAAGCCAAAGTCAGTTAGGACGATATGTCCCTCAGAGTCCAATAGTATGTTCTCTGGCTTCAAATCGCGATGGATACTAATATATGGATTGGAGGTATTAGCTAGTGAAGGAGTCTGAGGCTGTGAGATGTCACAATACATACATGTTCAATCCATGGAGATGCTCAATGGCGAGGATCAACTCTGCAGCATAGAACTTCATTTGGTCCTCTGAGAACATTGACTCTCGAAGTAGGTGATAGAATAGTTGTCCACTATATGATTGATTGATGTATTAGAATGTGCTGGATTGGATGACAATGATATCAAACAAACATACCCATTAACAAAGTCCATTACAAGATAGAGTCTCTTCTCATCTTGAAAGGCATAGTGAAGCTTGACAATGAATGGATGCTTGACTCTCTTGAGTATATCCTTCTCGGATAGAGTGTTCATTACACTGTTGGTCCTGATGATATGATCCTTTCTGATGGTCTTGAGTGCATAGACCATGTTATCATCGTTCTTGATGACCTGGTGCACCTTTCCAAAGCCACCTCTTCCAACGAGGTGAGTGATCTTGAAGCTTGATAGACCAATTCCGGTGGAGAGGTCAAGAGTCTTGACAATGTTGGATACACGCAGTGGGACATAATCGGTCTTCCTGGATGATGATGGAACGGTGTTGTCATCATCACTTGATACATTGGCATCGGACTCCTCGGATGAGGATGAGAGGCCATCAAATGACTCCTCGTCGGTATGGTCAGGAGATTGGATGGCGAGGGACGCCAATACATCAGCGGCATCAGCACACTTTGTTGTTTGAATCACTGTGGTGAGGATGTTGACAACTTCATTCTTGATAATGATGAGGTCGGTTCCTGCTCCTCCACCCTCGTCTCTGTTGTCTGCATGGTTGGCAGCTTGTGCCTGAGTCTGGGGATCGATTGCTGACGATGAGGGCGTGATCATGGGATATTGATTAATTGCAATTGGTGACATAATAGTCGACAGTGATTCGGTGGCTGGTGCCGCTGATGTATATAATGGTCGATAAGGCTTATTGGAGTGTAAATTTTGTTGCTTGTTGTTTACTTGATTGATTATCAAGTCTATTTAAACCTATTCACTAAACTATATTATAGGTATATTTAGTTTGAATAGGTATAGACAATAATCAAATAATAATAAGGGTTATAATATAATATTTAGTATAAGGTAACTACTTATTATATGTATATGTATATGTATATGTATTTGTTTGTGTGTGTGTGGATATTTGTAAGAATGACCAGGGAACTCAAAACAATGTGTGTTTAAACAATATATTCCTTCCAGATTAGTCATTTTAATAATATTATTATTAATAAATAATTAATTGTGGATATATATACCTAAACTTTATATATAAATTTTATTATTGTTATTAGTATTAAAATAAATAAAATACATTTTATTTTATTAATTATACTCACTCCAATGATTCCTGGATTATTGATTGATTGATTGAGTGGAATAATGAGTTACCTATAAGGTGGAGTTGGTTTAAATAGATCTTAGATACTCAACCATCAGGAGATGTCCTCTCTCGTAGGCTTCTTCAAACAGTCTTGCCATCGTAACATCCATGTTGGGAAGAAGAAGATGGTCCATGAAGTATTGGAGACAGACTGCTGCCTTGTATCCACGATCCATGGCTGAGGCACAGCACCCAGGCAAGTGACTTTTGGCATGTACCGTGAGACTATAGATAACTTGTCTTTTATCCTCTTTGTCCATTCTATTTATAATACCGACATAGGCCTCCAACATTGGAAGGTGTCCACATGCAATGTATTTAAAGAGTTGGCTTCTGATATGAGGAAGGGATAGGCGATGGACATGCGATTGAATGATGTAGTCCACCATGTCCGTGTGACCATTCTCAACTGCTTTGTAGAGATCTGACATGATCCACTCTGCTTTGTAGTTTTCAACGATGAATTTGAACATCTCCATATGTCCGTTGATGGCTGCTCTTTCCAATGCTGTTCTATGGCAAATATCTGGTTGGTGTTCTTGAAGGAAGCGAGCAATCTCCAAGTTGCCGTGTTGAGCTGCTTCAATCATCGGACCCTCAGATGATGGAAATTGGACATTGCCAAACATGTTGTAAAAGTCGCGAACCAATGATATGTCATTGAAGCGTTGAATTATGACCGTCAAGGGATTGGTATGATGATTGGTGGTTGGCGCCAAACATCCAGAGTCGAGCAGAACTCGAGCTTGTTCCGCAGTGCCAAGATATACCATCTCTTGAAGACCAACACGACGTCCAGTCTCTGCAAGTACTGCGAGAACGTCGTGACGATTGCTAATTATGGCGTTGGCCACCACTTGATCGAGTTTTTGTTTGTTTCGTTCCAATAGTACCCTGATCAGTCTAATGTCCTTGATTAGCATCACCTTTGGCTCCCTCAACACGTGTTGATATTCATCAAGTTGTGAATCAAAGAACTTGGTCTTGATGAATTCGAATGTATCCAGTGTCAGACCAGGTGAGAACAGTATGCCATGTCCATATTGGATGTTGTCGTACGATGTCAGGCGTCTGAGCAGTTCAATTGAAAGAATTGATTCGTCAATTGTATGATCAATTAGCCAGAGTGGACGTTTCTTGTCGTCGGCAGCAGTAGACTCACCATCATCAACGTCATCGCCATCGCCCTTTGGAGAGACCAATGGACATTTGTCAAGGATAACAAATGCTACGTCGACAAAGCCGTGCTGTAGCGCCAATCCGACATGGTTTTGGTAGGTGGCTGGTATTTGATGTTCAATGGCCCATTGTGTGAGCTCAACGTCTCCATGACTGGCTGCGGTCAAATAGATGAAGTCACCTGGAAGGTGTTGGCGATATCGTTTTGCAAAGAATAGGCCATCTGGTGTCATCAGTGAGTTCAAGAACTCGGTCTTCCTGTCAAATGAGTAGTAAAAGGCATCTTTGAGATATTTGCTAGTTCTTCCAACGATCGTCTCATGACTAAAGAAGCAGTCAAGGAGAGGTATGTTGTTCATGTGATCCATCATGATATTGTAAAAGGCGATGTCCACGCTGAAGATGGGTACTGGGCCGCCGAGAAGCTCGAGGAAGTCTGGGAGTTCGTCGCATGTCAGTGCCCCAACCAACTGATCACGAGCCTGCACGGGTTCGTTCTGGGGTTTGAACAGGTGGCATTGCGAGCGTATTGTTTGAAGCATCTTGAACGACCGGCACCCCGAGTACATACGGACAACAGAGATAGGCTCGAATTCATTGACGTTGTCAACCTTTCTGCTCCAGACGTCGAGTTGTCTGTTATTGTTGATGAACTCGAGTTCGGACAGTATAAGGTGTAATATATCATGTCGATCCAGAGTGACTAGATCTTTGATCTGTTTGCAAATGACCAATAAGGTGTCGCGAATGAGATTGTTGTCTCGGTTGAACTTGAACAGATGTCGCACCACATTGAAGTTGTTGGTGTTGATTGCCACTTTAAGAAGATGACCAAGGTAAGGAGTGTTACCATGAGGATGTGCCTGGACAAAGACATCAAAGTACTTCATGAACAGGTCAGTCCTGCCATATCGCAACATTGTTGACAGACATCGCTCCTTCTCAAACTGTTCACCTGACATGATGTGTGTCAGTGGCACACCTGCTGCCCTCATCAACACGACATGTATCTGATGCACATGATGCATGACATTCAATCGTATCACTCTGCTTTGCAACACTGTCTTTAGTAACTGATCTATCTTCATTGTATCATTGTGTTGTTGTTGCATGTTTGTGTGTGTGCGCGAAGATGTGACTCATTCGCATATGACTTTCAAAGCAAGAGCAGGAAGGTCAGAATCGATACCAATTTTTGTCGTTGTTTTGTAAAATGTGAAAGCATCCTGCTCTTGCTTTGAAAGTTGAACATCAACACCTCTTCATTCAGTCAGTCAATCATTCGACATTATATCTTATATATATATTATCTTTGAGAATGATCAACAACTACTATAACATTCAGAGATACATCAGTCGATCAATAACATTGTTATTACTGATAACTTTATTAGTCTCAATATCTCTTGCACATGATCTAAGGCGTATGTCATTTGATTGATTAATGATGGTCATACATTGATACTAATTCAACTCAATTGATTGATTGAACAATGTAGCTTATAATTTAGGTGATCCAATCAAACTTGAATGTAGGAATAGTAAAGGTGACTGGGGAAAAGGTCCAGTTTGTATAGATGTACGTTATTATGTGATCAATCACTACGTTAGTTAATATTGCTTGACTAATGGATGACTCACTCACCGCTCATCAATCAATGGACTCGATCAATCAATCACATCAACATTATTGTTCAGAATCACGAAGAGTTAACATTCTTTTATGGAAGGGATACGTTCTTACATTGTGGCGTAGTTGTGGACACTGATGAGTTCTATAGACATTTGGTCAATATATCAAGACAGGAACAGGCATGGGAATGCCGCGTGGCAATGTCGACAGACGAGACAATCAATTTATACTATCCACTGCAGATCCCCGTGTGGGGCATTGAACAGGCCGATCATCTGGACGTGGCCAATCATATCAATGTGGTGTTCCACGCCGACGAAGGACTGATCAGCGCCGTGTCCATATACCCGATCAAAGACAGACATCTCGACATCCGCACCAAGTCTGTGATCTCATTCCACGGTCACATCAAATGGTTCCGTGGCACATCGTTCGAGGAGCTCACCTCGTACAACCCGGATGATGAGGAAGGTCGTTCATGGAAGCTATTGTCATCGGGCTATGTGCCCATGGTCTTTGTGTTCCTGTCCACGCTCATCTTTAGCTTGTTGGCTGCTGCACTACTCTACAAGTTTACATTGAAACCAAGATTGATTCGAAAGTATCTAAAGAATGATTGATCCAATAACATCGTTTCAATCCAGTCAATCAATCAAACATGGTCATGTCTTGGACAAGCATGTCACTTCATCGTCCTTCAATGGACGCTGTTTCAACTGTTGGCGTCACAAACCTCTCGCCTTCTCTCTTGAATGTTTCCATCCGTTGTACAACCAGGATAGATCTTTGATTGATGGTCTTTGTGATCAGTACCATTCACACTCAAACACTTAAGAGGTCTTGTGGACCTATTTTTGGTCTCAGCGTTTTGACCAATGTCAAAATAGTGCAGAAAAGGGTTCTGCTAACTTTGTTCAGTGTCGTCTCAACTGTCTTGAACGTGGTGGGGTGGTTCATCGTCTGTCTCGTAAGCTTGATAATCTACTCCTCTGCTGATGGGCTTCGGAAAACAGCTTGGTGCCCTGTTTTGGGGGCGCATTGGACCTTTGGGGTCAACTCAACAGCATCAACAAACAACATCAACAGCTCAAGTCTTGTCTGTCTTCATCATCTTCAAACCAAGGTAACTATACTCAATTAGTTAGTAATCATTCATTCTTTAAGCAGCTCAACAACAAACAGAAACACAGTAACAAATAATCAAACATAATATTTATGTAGGTCATTGAACATCACCATCTCATCAATCAATCAATCAATCAAACAATCAATCGACCAATCATAACAAGACATTACACTCATTCATGATCATCCCAACCATCATTCCATCCAGTAGTTAGTTGTTCAAGTAAATCGATTTGATCAAACACTCATCACTCAATCCCTCACTCAATCACTCACTCCCCTCAACTCATCAATCAATCACTCAATCACCCAATCACATCCACCAATCCCCACATCACACTCACTCACACACATTAATAATAAGGTTCATTCATGATCACTTTGTTTGGAAGAGTGATGATTGATTGATTGAATGAATGAATGTGTTTAGTTAGGGAGAGTGACCTGGAGAGAGCCGTGTGATCGTGTGATCAGGTGATCGTGTGCAATCACACCACATGCATGATTGATCGTATGGACCATCCATCCAACCATCACACATCACCATCACTACCATTTATACTCATTAAACATATTTAGACTGTCTATCTATCTGTCTGTCTGTCTATCTATCTATCTATCTGTCTCTATCTATCTGTATATATACATATATATATGTATGTGTCGATCCATGTGATGTGTTAATGTCCAATCAATCAAACATATATTGTGTTACCAATCCTGTTCAATCACTTACCAATCTCACTCCACTCAACCAATCAATCAATCCAATCAAAAATAGTGATTAGTTGGACTTAAGGAAAACAAGGAATATTATATAATTATAAGATAAGAAGATGTCAAAGCTATTAAAGTTGGTTATTGTTGGAGATGGAGGTGTTGGCAAGTCAGCACTCACCATTCAATTGACACAGAATCAGTTCATTGCCGAGTATGATCCAACCATTGAGAACTCTTACCGCAAGCAAGTGGTCATCGATGAAGAAGTCTACATGCTCGATATCCTAGATACTGCCGGTCAGGTATGAATACGATCACTTGATCACTCAATCACATCGATCACTCGATCACATCAATCATGGAATCATTCCATCATTCAATCATTCCACCACTCAAACACACTCAATCAGTCAATCATGGAATCATTCCACTCACTCAATCAATCAATCAAACAATATGTAGGAAGAGTACTCAGCGATGAGAGATCAATATATTCGCTCTGGAAGAGGATTCTTGATCGTTTATAGCATTGCCTCGAGACCGAGCTTTGAAGCAGTGACATCGTTTAGGGATCAGATTCTGCGAGTTAAGGATTTGTCGACATATCCAATGGTGATCATTGGTAACAAGGTCGATCTGCCAGATAAGGAGCGCAAGGTCAGCACGCTGGAGGGCAAGGAGTTGTCCAAGAGCTTTGGAGCGCCATTCTTGGAGAGCAGTGCAAAGTCACGTGTCAATGTCGAGGAGGCCTTCTTCACGCTGGTTCGCGAGATCAAGAAGTGGTCCACCAATCCAGAGAACCAGGAAATGACACATACAACCAAGAAAAAGTCATGTATCATCCTTTAAAACAAGTATCATCATCCTTATATCGTTCGTTCGTTCGTTTGTTCAAACAATCCACACAACCATCAAGACATCGTCACGGCAGCAGTCAACACTCTAGGCAGCTGGCATTCAACTCAACTCCCCTCCCTCCGCAACTATATACTACTCTCCTACTCTCTACTCCTCAACTGGCATGACCCCGGTCAGATCTGATAACAAAAGGACAAACCTTTTTTGTCTGTCTCCAAGCGATACAAGGGTCATGTCCCCTCCAGCAATATTCATCCAACCTAACCAAACTTGATTGATCACCTTGGACAACAAACATCATCAATGAGTATCAAACCATGTCTAATACGATATGAAATATTCAGAGATGACTTTGTGATCACGACTATCAACAAGCAACCCTCAATCATCCAATCATTCAATCAACCATTCACCAACCAAGTGTACATTTACAGCCAGTCAACAAGGAGTACGAAGTAAACTTCTTCTTTAATCAACTTTGTCTGTCTCTTTTATTCCCAAAACTCTGAGATTTATTGATTGATTGAGTGTGAGATCACATTGATCGTTCCAAAAAAAACAGTATTATTCCAGAAAGAAATAGACCATAATTATTCTATTGATCAATTTAATTAAACTTTATTAACTATTATGTATATTAAGTCCAACAAGGTCTCATCACAGCAACCAACATCGTGAAGAACAATTAGTCAGAGACCTGTTCTATCAACCAACCCATCAATTAATTATATTATTATTTTATATTATTAGAAATATATTTTTATTTAGTCGTTTCGAGGTTTGATATATTGTTCCATGTTCTAATGTTCTCTTGGAGATGATCAAGACAACTCTTGGTCTGTGGGAACAACTCAACCATTTGACTAAAGAATGGCTCACCAATGTATATCATAAAGTTGAGGGAGTTCTTGGCTACGGTGGTCTTGGACTCGTCCATCCAGTCGGTCGTGGGGATGCCCAGCTCCACCTCCTTCTTGCCCTGCAGGAAGCTCTCGTGTCCAATGCGCTCGCACCACAACTTTGAGATATCCCATGGTTTGGCAATGTTGGAGATGTCGGCCGCGTGCAGGATCAGCTCCATGAGGAACTGGCGATCTTGAGAAGTGCTGTTGATGTACTTGAACTGGTTCATCTTCTGCTCGGTGACCTTTTGTTTCAGCTTGGTCACCAGGGGAAAGTGCAGGGACATATCTGTGGCGATGATCGAGTTGATGATTGATGTGCGGAACTCCTTCTTCTCGTCCCACTTCAAGTTCTTGAGGAATTGGAACTGGTCCAACAGGGTCCACATCAGCTGAATGTGATGGTTCTCCAAAACTGACTTGTCGTTGTACTGGATGGCCAGTGGGTCGAATGTATTGACTAAGAATGCGTTGTTGTAGCCGGGATGATTGAGGTCGTGGCACAGTCCGCTCAGCAGCAGCGCGATGATGTCCAGATGAGTGAGATGCTTGCCAAATCCAAAGGTAGTGAGGTATGTGAATATTGTCTGAGTGACATCGAATGCATGATAAAAGTTGTGATATGAATGGCTGTGATATAGTTGTCTAACATGTATAATAAATTGATTCAACTTGATATCGGATATCTTCAACTTCTCTGGCATCTGATAATACATAAACATTGATTGTAACATTGATATCAACTGTTCATCAGAATGATTGAATGGGTCATATCCCCAAACTTTCAGATGTTCAATCTCCTTATTCAAATTGAACAATGTACAATGATTCGAAGTCTTATGTACCATCAAGTCATTATTACTATATGTCTTTAAAAGTGATCTAGCAATCTATAGATTGATCAAACAAATTAGTATATATTTTTGGAATATAAATAATAATTAAATACTTACTGGATTGAGATCAACTTGATTACTTATTTGATTGGCTGATGGACCGTAGAGGTCATTGTTGGATGATATTTGAATGAGGATGTTTTCCAACTCTTTCTTGAGTGTTGGGTTGGTGGCATTGAGTGATTGATCCGAGATAAGCTCGGACAGTGAATTGGTGATTGATTCCAGAGGTGACTCCATAATGACCTTGTGTATCAGCATCTTGTTGTTGTCCAACTTTAATTGACCGACTTGATTCTTTAATAATTGTATCTCTCGCTCTTTCTCCCTCACTAACTGTTCATAATGATTAAGTCTGTCATCTGTTGTCGTCGAGTTTGATGAGTTATGATTGTGATGATCATTCAAATGATTGGATTGTCTCTTCTTCAATTTAAATATAACATTATTTAGGAAATTATCCTGGTGATAATTTGATAATGTTGCATTCATTCTAAATTAACTAATTAATTAAATAATTATATATATTATTATTATTAATTGTATTGTATTATTATATATTATATATTAAAAAATATGTAAGGTAGATTATTTAAAAGGATATATATATTTGGTTAATATATAAATATATAAATTGATTGATTGATTGATTGGAATTGGATATGGAGATGTATGAATCACTGTCTTGGTAATGTTGGTGATGGTAGGGTCAATGATGATGGATGGATTGGCGGCAATGTGGTCTGAAGACATCACACCCTGGCACACATTCAGGACAGCGTCATTAATAAGATCACTTCTCTTGATTGTAATCACTGTTGATCAAGAATGGAGGAGTCAGTGTGTGAGTATAGTAGAGTTGAGTTGAACGTATATGTGTGTGTGTGTGACTATTAATATAACAAAGATTGAAAGAAAGAGAGTGAGAGTGATTGAAGGTCATATGATGATTGATTACAAATTGTTTAAGAATGGATATCTTGGTACTGGAGACATGATACACAAACACCATTCTTGATCAATACCCACTCTAATCAAGAATGCGATAACACTCGCCAAATCCCTACCCTATCCAATCAAATCCCATCCAATCCAATCCTATCCCTACGTCCATGTGACAGACAGTCCTAGATCCCCTGGATGCTGGTTGATTGATCATGTGTTAGTGAGCGTGTGTGAGTGTGTGTTGTTGAGAGTGAGTGAATGAGTGTGAATGATCAGCTGATCGAACAGTGTTTATCACACACACACACAACTTACCATAACACGGACCACTTATAACTAATGATAATGCATCGGAGTGTGTGCCCGTTGTTACCACATCCTGTCTACACTCTTTCCTAATACGGTTCATTGTGACCCTTCCTTATTGGAGAGCTCCGAGTGACTAGGATGTGGTTCGCAGGCAGTTTGATTGATTGATTGTTTGTTGTTCGCAGGCAATCCAGTGTATCTCCATTACCTACTCTCTCTCTCTCTCTTTGAGTATGAGTGTATGAATGTGTTATTCTCCTGTTCCCTCTTCCTCCTTCAAACACATTAGGTGATTGTGTTCAACAACATTAATACTCACCATCTATCAATCCGAATCAATCGTTGTTAGTGTGTGTCATTCAAGACTCTTGTCAATGATGGGGAGACAATGTTAAATCTACGTAGATCGAGGCCAACGTCTTTGTTCGTTACCCAATATGGTAGTATTATTATACTAATACATGCACATACTTGAATTATTTGATTAAAGTAATGGACGTGATGGTGTGTAATTAAATGATCATGATCATCACTTTAATTATTTAGTTTGGAAATTGAGTTTGAATGAATGAATGATTGATTGATCGATTGCGATTGGGATGGGTTGTGATGATCCATGGCCACACAATTACTTCATCTTCTTGAGAAGACCCTCCTTCTTGAGCAAATTCTTCAGCTCAGTATAAGTGAAGTCTGTGGATGGTGCAAACCTGCTTCTCTTGTTGTTATCATCCAAGTAGTCAAAGTATTCATAGTGAGTGCTGTAGTGAGGTAGGTGTTAGTATTCCATTCCTCCATGGGTTGGGAGCGGTTCCTACATACGTATCATCTGAAGCATAACGGTAACATTGGATGGTGGCACAGAAGTCGGTGGTTGATTTGTTCTTGAGCATGTGAGTCTGGTAGAGGGATGGTGTGAGGTAGGTCACGCCACCAGTCGGGAAGTTGCAGTCCAGGTAGGGCGTGGTGATCGCCGGATTGAGGTCGGAGTAGTAGGTGCAGTTGATCGATCCATGCAACACCTTGATCACTGCGAACGCACCAGAGTGCTGATGGATTGGCGAGTTGTGTCCAGTTGGCCAGAGCTCCAGAACGAATGGGATGCCCGGGCTGTATCCCTGGTCCATGCCCAAGGTGACACGGATGTATGTCTCGGTCAGCTTGCACTTGTGATCCTGTGCCTTCTTCACCAAGAACTTGGACAGCTCACCTGATTTCAACGAGAGTTGGATGGCTGTGGCGATGTCATTTTGGAGGACGACATTTGGGCCGGCGACCACTGAGTAGAGCATTTGGCACTCGGTTGGCAGGTTGCCAATGGTCGTGATAAGTCCGTTCTCAATGTCGTCCAGGGTGACGAGGTCAGAGGAGATCACATTGGGTGGCAGTTGAAAGGTCACGGGCAGCTCGTAGATCAGGACCTTGGTCATAATCTTTGTGTCGCTCACAGACAAACCGACGTACTTGAGGTCGGGGAGGAAGGCGCCGACCGGCACATCATAACGGAGCAGTGTTAGTGCTTGGGTGGCCTCTCCCTTTCCATACTTGAGGACGCTGTTCTTCTTGTCGAGGGACAGCCAGTAGTAGACGTCGTTGTTCTTCTCGCGAACGGCCTTACGGTCGCTGGTGCTAGCCAGGACACTAGTGAGCGCATCGTTGTTGTGGTTGAGCAAGATGACCGAAGTCTCATTGACCTCGAGACAGTAGAGTGGTGTGACGCCGGCTGAACTCTCGGATTTGGAGTTGATGTAGATGCGGAACTTGGACATGGGGTTGGTCATCTTGATGCGGACGACTCCCTGGGAGGCCACTGGAAGTGAGGCGCTAATGTAGTACTCTGGCATCACCTCATTTGGCTTGTTGTTCATCATAACAATGTTGTTGGCTGAAGGGGCTGCTGCTGGGGGCATTGACTTTAGCAACAATTTGGCATGAGATGGTTCAGCGGCCACGCTTCTGAAGGCAGGTGTCCTGTAGACGGTGTATCTTGGTGCAGTTTCTGTTTGAATCATGATTATATGATTGATTGATTAATTGATTGATTGGATATAGTTGTTTGTCAGAGTCTGGACTAACTTTATACTTGTTGGTGTTGCCAACATTGTTGTCACAATCAAGCAACCTAGCAGGGAAGCAAGGGACACGATAGCAATGGGCATTCATAATTGATCAACTTTACACCACACACAAGTTCTGATCAGTGTAGTAGGCTGCACAGGGGGTCGAGTCCAATCTACACATCGGCAGTAATTGAAGTTGTTTGTGGGCGGGCAGACATCGATCCACAATCGGGAGACTTTTAATCACATGACCATTGATGCACACAAGTCATCATTGCCACAGTGTTGCTTGGGACAAAGGGGGGGAGGTTCCAATCCATAATGAGGATTTTGCCCACTGGGAGCGATCCTGGTTGTCAGCTGACTCTGAGCTCTATCTGTTATTATTACTTTGATTCTGTGTTGTAGTATGTGCACTCTACATTTAACTATCTACCTCTCTTGTTCATCTACATTTACATTACAACAAGCACCCAATCACAACAAACATGTAAGAAGTACCATTCTCTGAATGTGTTGCATGTCTTTTATGTTGGATTTAGATCTCCAATATTCTCCTTCTCTCTCTCCATTGTTGTCATAACACAAGAGTCAACCAATCAAACATGGTCTGCGCAGTTTAATGTGATTGATTGATTGATTGATTTGTTGATATCATTAATACATATGTATAACTAAATAACTATGTATTATTATACTAATACCACAACTAATGTAATAACTAATAACAATCATCATTGGGTTGTCAATGGAAAAGTGGATGGCTTGAAGGGTGACCCAACTGTTCAAATATCTGAAACTAACAAATAAAATTTAATGAAACAGTGTGTGAACAACAAGATGGACCATACCCCAACCCATTCAATCTCATTCATTATTCATCCATTCATATACAATCAATCAGATATTCATTACTTATTTATATATATATATATTAAGATATGTCAAAGTTTGGAGGGGCACCAAAGTGTCCAATTTGTACAAAGTCTGTCTATGCCGCTGAGAAGGCATTGGGTCCAGGTGGCAACGATTACCACAAGTATGTGTTCAATGGTCGGCTGTCAACTTGTTGTGAGAGAAGGAGAGGGAGAGGGAGGCATAGGGAGAGTGAGAGGGATAGATACAAACAGAGTTAGATGACAGGATTATGATAAGAGGTCAAGGATCAACATAGCGAGAGAGATTATAGAAGAATTGGAACTCACACCATCAATCATATTCCAATCAACAACTACGTTTCGAATGAATAGGACTTGTTTGGTCTGTGTAACATGCAAGAAGTCATTGGACTCAACCAATCTGTGCGAGAATGACTCAAAGCCATACTGCAAGGCATGCTATGGCAAGAACTTTGGTCCAAAGGGCTTTGGTTTCGCTGGAGGTGGTGCCATCATGCACACATAATCGATCAATTCAGTCCAACGAATGAATGTAATGGTCGAGCAATGTCAACTTGTATTAAATGAGAACAACACACTGTATTCCACATCCTATCTATACTATCTATCTGTCGGCTATCAGTTACTCTGCTGTTTCTTCAGTTCCTCTTCTTGCTTTATCATCCTAACATGGTTGTCATGTCGTTTTATCATCTCTTCGACCTCATCCAATGAATTGTACAACGAGAAGAAGCCATGATATGCCATTGAGGACACTGTCAATGTGCCCAACACCAATGGGAACATCTTTCCATGTTTGAGTGCACTTGCCCATGTTGAAGCGGACAATGCAGCCGACAGTCCACCTGCCAAGAATGCGCCTGTGTTCGTATAGCTATTGTCTATCAGCAGTCTGTTGATTGCGTTATTGAGTAAGATTGATTGATTGAGTGAGTGAGTGAGCGAGGTGCAGTGGACAGGCGCAAGAGGGAGTGAATAGGACCACTTACCCTGAGGTCAGGAACAATCCCGATGAGATCAGTGATACCTTTGCCATTAATGGCATACGTCTGGAAGTGTAATAGGCAAAGGTACCAAAGAATACTGCACTCATTGCATATGTAGGCTTGGCCATTATAACATATTTCTTCTTTGGAGTAGGTTGTAAATCTAATATATTATTATTATTCTTATCATCTTTAGAGGGTATTGAAGATGTATTATTAGACATTATGTATGTATATGTTTGTATGTGTATATGTACAAGTATTTCAAAGATTGAACCAAAAAGAGAGACACCAAAGTTGTGTCAAAGTCAATAAAGAGGCACGTGTTTTGATTGTTTGATTGATATACAGATACAGATACAGATACATAACATAGACGTATAGGATGATGAACATAGCATTGACAGGTTCTCGTATGTTCTCTGTTCGTCAGAGGGTTAGGAGTATCATATCACCGATGGTGATCATTCATAGTAGATCAATGTCATCAACATCAGGGAGAAAGAATATCTTTGAAGATGACGACGATGATGATGATAATGGTAGAGATAACAAACAACAACAACAACAACGTATACCCAACAATCAATCATCATCACAACAACAACAACAGAGTCATGTGACATATCCGATTGTCATGCCTACATTTAAGCCGCGAGGTAGTAACTTCATGACCCCGAGACGTCCACCTAAGCAGCCAGATGCAATAGTACTGACAAAGGAGGAGATTGATTATATGTATGTTACCGAGTGATGAAGAAGGTTGTGATACATACACACATACTGACCTCGATCAATCAATCAATCAAAGAGTTGAACATGATGTACCAAAGCCTAAAGAGATAAGGAATATATTATTGGAGGATGATGAGGATGAGGATATCAATTCAAACTCTACTTTGAATCTAAACAATATGAACTCGACAGACGCAGCAGACAAGAAGACATCAGAGGCATTTGATGAGGTGGCAGGCATGAAGTTTGAAAGTCTACTAAAGATGATCTTTAAGAATAAGAGGACGGGCGAGTTGGATCTGGACCAGGAGGACATCGAAGAGTTGGAACGTATGATCACTCAACAGTCTGCTGGTGGTGGTCTATACACTGTCGATCCAAATATGCAGGCACATCAACAACAACACCAACAGCGACGACAACAACAACATCTTCAAAATAGTAGTAATAGTACAGATACAGATAAACGATGATGATTAATGATGGATGGATAGATACACATGTCCATCAATCATGTAAATAATTCAATGCATCCAGTTTCAAATGTTCCATTGACATACTTTTATGAATGAAAGTTGGATTGATTGAATGATTGATCGAATGGATACAATATGATTGATGATCGTGGGAGTACCTACCTACCCAACCCAAGGGGCACCTTGGACATCACCATAACCAATCCAGGAGGTTATGGAGTTTTTGTTCAATTACAATCATTGGATGATTGACCATCTTGAGGTCCTCTTACAGCAACCAAACAAACGTATCCTACAAAACTTAAATGTCTGGAATAGATAATGCACATACCCAGGGGACCTGTCTTCTTATACCATTTTATTCCATCTCCATCAGTCTGATCACTATCCATCCTCAATCACACAAAAGCTTGGATTGATCGTACACAAAACGACCAAACTCTCAAAAAAGTGACAAAGTGAAGAGAAACGCATAAACTTCGTCATTCTCCTCCACTCAATCATATAATTAGTGTATTAGTGTATTTGTATAGTTTGTTATCGTGATAAGAGGTACGTCTACAGTGCACAGTGTCATTACATATGATTGATCGAACGAACGAATGAATGAACGAACGAATGAACGCGAATGAATGAAGTACTAATACATCAAACTTGATCAATCGACAATGTTGAATATTATATAGCTCGCGATACAGAAACAGAACAACAACACGACAAAGTAGGACAATCATGTCTGCAACACCGCTCTTATCAAGACCACTGATGAGCACTTATCAGGCTGGACTCAAGATCTTTGGGTTCAGACCAGAGGGCAGCATCAACTTGGGTCTCAAGTATCTGCGCAAGCCACTGAAGGGACAGTATCTGGACAACTACTACCCAGAGATGGACCTGTCACTCGAGATGATTGGCAACAATAATGACAAGGGCTGGTTCAAGGCCGACCGTACAGAGAGACGTGAGGACAGAGGCAAGGTCAAGGTTAAGAAGGGAAGTGGAAAGATGGCTTTGAAGAGAGCAAAAGACTCGTCAAAGAAGCAACAACAATAATAAAAGATGTGAACGAACGAACTAGTATATATATATATGCGATATCAAACAACAACAATAACTATTACTACTTATTGATTAAAGAAGATATTCTTTGAATTATGGTCAGAGTCAGGCTAGACTTGTCTCTCCTCCACTTCATCGTCGTCCTCGTGCATTATTGAGGATGAGTCATTCAAGTTGACGTTGCACCACACACACACACTTGGAACAAATAATGTCTTGCTTGCCCCTTCATCTCGCTCATTCATTCATTCATTCAATCATTCATTCATTAAGTACATAGATATATAACAACAAACATTTAGTTGGTTGGAAGATATGAAGAGGGACATGGATAGGTTGTAAGTTATTGTTATCTGGATCATTCCAGTTTAAATGATTGCGGACGCTAATCAATCAATCATTCAATGAATCAATGAATCAATAGCAATACAAATATAAATAGTCGATCGACTAGGAATGTATTGGGATTGGATGATAACAATAGTATGAATAGATCATCACCAAACAGCTTCAATTCAGAACAGTTGGTCGAACAACGCAATGATGAACAAGGTCAAATGCTTAAAGAGAAGACAGAGGTTCTGAAAAGAGTATGTGGACTGACTCAACAACGCGATCGCCAACGTTGTTACTAATGCGATGCCATTCAGATAAGCATAGATATAGAGTCACAGGTTCGCGAGAGTAACTCATTGCTGGATGACTTGAATGGCGATTTGTCGAATGCACAAGCATTGTTGTCCAACACCATGAAGAAGTTGACACACCTTGCACAGACGGCCACCAGTCGACACATGATGTATCTGATCCTCTTTGTTGTATTTGTATTCCTACTACTCTACTACATCATCAGCTGGGGAAGAAGACCAACATAACTTATTGTTGTGCTTGTCTAATACATACATATATAAATATACACACAAACAGGTCATCGAGTTCAACGCATCCATCTATGTTAAGGTGTGGACATCACATGGCACCTTCTCCTTCATTGTATCATAATGGCATTCAATCATTCATTCATTCAAACAAGACAACCCCAATGATGACATCAAAGAAAGCTGCCTGGTGGCTGCATTAATACATCAATTAATAATACAGCTACAAGTTATTGTATTTGTTTGATCGTTACATGTACCTTGGGATATGTTTGATGCACAATTACTTTTCTTCAAACTTGTTGGCCACGACAAATGAGCATCGGGATTCCCTTGATCAATCAAATCAGTTGTTGATAATCATAATTTAGTTATTGTAGATAGATAATGGTACTTGAAGAGGAGCAGACTGCAGACATCGTTGGGTTGACAATTGGAAACCATACAACAACAACAATGCAATAATACAAGGAAGATAGATCAGTTAGTAAAGAGATTGTTGCAAAGCAGAGTGATACGAGTGATCATCATGCATCATGTGCATCAGATACATGTCGTGTTGATGAAGGCAGCAGGTGTGCCACTGACACACATCATGTCAGGTGATCAGTTTGAGAAGGAACGATGTCTGTCAACAATGTTGGGATATGGCAGGACTGACCTGTTTATGAAGTACTTTGATGTCTTTGTCCAGGCAAAGCCACAAGGTGTCACTCTTCACCTTCGACATCTGATTAAAGTTGCAATCGAGGTCAACAACATCAATGTTGCTCTTCATCTGTTCAAGTTCAATCGAGACAACAATCTCATGCACGACAACTCATTGGTCATTGCCAAACACATCGATGATGTTGTCAGGTTGGATCGACATGACATGGCTGAGCTGCTTCTGTCCGAGCTCGAGTTCGCCATCAATGGATCACTCAAGAACAAAAAACAACAGAGGTTGGCAAGATGTACTCGAGTTGCCAGTCTTTCAAGATGCTTGAGACAATCCACTCGCAATGCCATCTGTTCAAGCCCCTTCACAAATCAGTGTACATTAGTGTCAAGTTGATAAAGACACTGACTTGCAGCGATATCCCAGTCTTCCTCGAGTTACTCCGAGGAAGTACCAAAAACGACAATACCATCTCCAACGTCGTGTTGTGTCACATGGACAACATACCTCTCCTTGACTGCTTCTTTAGTCTGTGGATGTTAGTGGAAAGCACTCGTAGATGCATCGATGAAAAGATCTTCCCAAGTGTCGATGAATGGACCAACAGGCACCTCAAATCGTTGCAAAAGCCAGAGGGCATAATCTTTGCACGGATATATCGCCTACATCTTCCAAGCGACTGTATCTACTTTTCCGCAGCTACACATGGAGACCTTGAACTGGTTCAATGGGCTATTGAACATCAACTACCAGCCAAAAATGACAGACATGTCGCTGTGGCGCTGCAGCATGGCTTTGTTGACATTGCATTTATCATCTTGGACAAATGCCAACTTCGCGATTGCGATTACCAGTTCTCATTGTATTACACATTAGATTATCTTCGATGGCTACTAGATCGTCCAATTCACGACTCCATATTCTCGATGGAGCTTCTTCAACGACTGGCATCGTACGGCAACATCCTATTTGGTTGGGAAATGCTACTCTCACCTGGTCTGACACTGGACACATTGGAATTCATCAAGGCCAACCTCATTGGTTCACGAACTTATCTTGACCCAAACAGATTCAAGAGGATGCCAGAGTTGTTTTTGGTCAAGGACATTACATTGCTCAAGGATGTTTTTGAACTAATCACCTTGGATCTTGGTGACATGATGGTGCGCGCCCTCATCCGCAGGCGTCCCGATGTTTTCACAGTACTTGCAGAGACTGGGTGTCGTGTTGGCCCTGGGGCTCTATCATCTCTTCACTCTGTTGAGAATGTTCACGTACTGATCGACTCTGGATGCTTGGAGCAAGAACCCACGCAATATTATAACAATATCCTGAAAATCATCATTGAACGCTACTACGACATATCATTAGTACGCGACTTTCACAACAAGTATGGCCGTGTCTATGCCCATACAAATGAGTCAAACTCAAGTTCTACTCCTGTAATGGAGTATGCAGCTCGACATGGCAACCTGGAGATTGTACGCTTCCTCCACCAAAACCTACCATAAGTTATGATAAATTCACTTTGAATGAAGCAACCTATAGTGGAAACATTGACGTGTTCCAATTCATCAAGGACAACTATACAATGAAGTGGAGCATGCCATATCTCTACCAATCTGTTGAGAAAGGACACACAGACATGGTGGATTACATCCTTCACTCGCATGTCCATCTCCTGACCATCCCTGATTACATTGAAACATACTTTCACAACGTTGCATGTGGACACCTTCCAATGTTGGAGGCCTATGTCAGTTTGGTAACTCGCATGGACAAAGAGAAAAAAAGAAAGGTTGTCGAGATCCTCGCCAATAGGGCACGTAACTTGACTAGTTACTATACCTCAGCCATGGATCGTGGATACAAGGTAGCAGTCTGTCTCCAATACCTCATGGACAATCTTCTTCTTCCCAACATGGATGTTCCAATTGCGGAACTGCTTGAAGAAGCCTACGAGAGAGGACATCTCCTGATGGTTGAGTATCTATCTAAACTCCATTCATCCACAACCATCGCCACCACCCAACCAACCAACCCAATAAAGAATTGAGGTACCTTGTGACTTGTATAATATACTTTTAAAGTAGTTCTATAGACCTGTACATAATGTATGACCGTGATCGATCAAGGTGGCGCTGGTGGATTGATTGAATGATGAATGATTGAATGAATGAATGAATGATCACTTCAAATCTTCTGATTCCAAATCAGTTCATTCAATGTGTATCGCGATATGCACCATAGTAGTCTGATTGTTGTCATGTTGGATGGATGGATGATGAGGGTATTAGTCAATCGATCCTGATCACAATAACGTTGGGGAACCTTGGTGTACTACTTACTTGAACAACTGAACGAAATCTAATGAACGGAAGAAACAGTCAAGTAGCAGACGTAGGATGGCAAAGGGAAGTATGCCACGAACGTATACGAGCATGGTGCATTGCTGTGGAACGGAGAGAGCAAATGAGTTCATGGTTGGGATGAAGAAGTGCTCGAATTGGCGTCGTGGCAATGCCAGTGTACTGGCGTCGGTACACGTCAGACAGTCGCCACGCATGATGAATGAGTAGGTCTCTTGAGGCAACGGTGCACTATACAACGTGCTCGAGGCAAATGGGAATTTGATGACGGCCACCAACTCTGTGATGGATGAGTGCACTATCATGATCTTGGACACCGAGCCTCCATAGTTGAACCAAATGAATTGGTCGTAGTTGAGGCCTGGCTTCACTATATGTCCAGGATACTTTTGTGCCAATGCTTCCATCACCCTATTCGTCTCGGCCAAGTCCTTGATAGTACCATCCGTTGGTGTTAAATGGTTTGTTGTTAAACCATTTGGTGTAGCACCATCACTACTACTGCTGCTACTGCTGTTGCCATGACTATGATCAGGCTGTACATTGTCTTTGATTATCTTAAGTAGTGCCTATTTGGTTGATTGATTGTTACATGTTAGCATGTTGATCATACATAATCATTGAATGAATGAGTGATGTTGATGTTGAACGATGTTGATATTACAATCTCATCGAATACGAATAGCTTTGATGACCTGAACTTGAAGTGATAGAGTAATACACTCAGTAGACAATAGATGACCATGTACCAGAATACACAGAATCCAATAAGTAATAATGATATCATTGTATGATTATTATTACTGTTTACTACTTAAGTGAATGGATATTAAGGGTTTGAAAGAGCAATGAGTACACTTGAGAGAGTGKRGAGGGCTTACTTTGAATGAATGAATCGGAACAAGAAGTCAGGTGAGGTGTGTTTAATTAACCTGATTGGGCAATGTGTGATGAGGCCACAATGGGTGGAAGTCAGTCAGAATGAAGCACCACAAAAGCAACAACAACAACAGTCAGGGTTTATATCTATGTCATCTGATCATCTGTGAGTAGTAGTAATACAAGAGAGAGAGAGTAAATATAGTCATGACTTGGTATAAATATTGTTTGTGATTAAGGAAACAAATGAACTTCCATTTGTTGATCTGGGTGAATCAAAAGACTAGTCTCACAGACACTAATCAAAACCGAACATCTAGCGTTAAGAACTGAACAACAACCTATTTGTTATAAATATATATCTTGATTGATGTCTACCAAGAAAGCAACACCAACTTTAGGAGGTAATGGCAATACTAAGTCAGCTGTAGCCACCACGTCGACAACAAAGACAAAGACAAAGATACCAACTACAACAACGACAACAACAGATATGATAAAGAAACAACAACAACAACAACAACAACATATAAAACCATTAATCAATGCTACTAGTCCCAGCACAACAAAGAAACAAACACTCATACAGTCACCAACGACAACAACAACAAAGAAAAGGAAGGATATTGAGAATGATGAAGACGAGCAATCGCAACAGAAGAACAATAAACAAATACAGATACAACAGACACAACAGGCATCAAAGAAACAAAGAACGATCAATGAACAACAAACTACCACGACTACTCAATCAGAGCAACAACAACAACAACAACAACAACAACAGGACACATTTCAACAGGACACATTTCAACAACCTACATTGATATCTATATTGGCTATCACACCTGACTTGTTGTCAAAGACACATCTGCCCGCTCAACCTTTCGAACCAGCCTTTACTCCAGCCATCCGATCACTCCTTTACACTCCCACCAAGAAGGTCGCCACTATGGCGGCCGGTCTAACAAAGCTATGCGACAAACTGTCAACAAATCAATATGTGGTCATACCTTCAAAGACATTGCTGGACGAGATCACTCAATATGGACGACTGACCAACTGTTACATCAAGAACAGTTTGGGCAAGTGGCCACACTTCAAGCATCTACGTCTATGTCATAAGAGACTGAAACAAATCACATCCATTGATTATAATGGTGTACTCATGCCCTTTGTCAACTCGATTCGAAACTACATTGATGGCGATGACAACAGTATGCCCAGTGGACAATTCATTCATCTCGTACTCTACAAGTTATATACACTCATTAACTGTCATAAATTGGTAAGTTTGATTGATAGGCCGATGGAATTGACCGATCCAGCCACTGACTCACTCATATTTCCAGATTGATGAGCTCATGATAACGACCGGAAACCTGATGGCTGGAGTGTTATTGAAGGGCTTCTACCCTAGCCTTTCAACAACAACCATTTCCATGTTGAGTGTACTTCACAAGTGCATCAATGAGCAACATAATAGTCTTTGGTAAGTTTACTCAATCATTCATTCAAAGTGCTCCAAGTGACTCACTAACATATATACCCGATAGCAATGTATATAACCTTATCCAGGACAATATGAACATATTACTTGGAGGCGCCAACAACAATAACGAAAAGACAAAGCTGACGTATGCATCTGGCAAACTATGTGCACCATTCTATCAAATGTTCAACAAGATGATGTTGCCCAAACACATGGTATTGGTAAAGATAGAGTAAATATTCTATTATTTATTCAAGTTGATGATGTTGCAGTGATTTGAACACTGATGGAATTATTATTGTTGGATAGGATTTCAGAGTCAACTGTTCCATGACTCCATTTGATGTCAACATTGGAGAATGAACCGGCTATAGGTGGTGATCCACTGGTCGATGACAGAATGTTATATATGGAACCAAGTTGTGGTGTAGTACAAATGAATTGTACATTCAAACTGGATTGAATCGATGATTGACCCTCGATCCATATTGTTGATAGAGAACTATTTGGATGAATGGAATCAATCATATCAATGGTTGCACCTTCAAAAGAATTGAATATACCTTGGACCCTAAGTGACGGCTCATCAGTTGCATTTTCAAACGTCAAGTATCCTCCAAGATGATTCAAAGTACCAATGACCGAGGTATTCCTCGGGGCAAAGACTCCAGTAATCATTGTGATTGATCTTCTCAATGTTCCATCATTGGCAATGAGCGTTGCTGACTCATGGATCATGAATAGTCCCACTGCCTCCTGGAATGACAACTCATTGTGGACGGTCAAATGTCCCATCAAATTAATGCCAGCTGTGTTTAAGAATGATGCTTCATTCTCCACGGAAAGATGTGCTCCAGGATGAATGTTGATGGTGACCATATCTAAACTTGTCAATGAATGACCAATGAAGTTGTTTGAGCTGTAGTAGTTGATTGTGACAGATGTCTCAAGTGTTGACTCGATTGATAAGAAATCAATTGATAACCTATCAAAGTGAGTAGTAATCATTCCATGAAGTTCCAAATAACTAAAATTTTATTGATATATCCCATTACCAATTGATAACAAGTCTACTGTATCAACTTTGATGTGTCCATGGGATTTCAAACTTGAGATTGACATTTCTGTTGCATGTTTGATAGACATAGCAGCATCCATAAGTATCAACTCTGATATATTTAGATTGATTGATTGATTTCAATAATGACATTTGGACCTAGTACAAATATGTTCCCAAGTATGATTGAAGTGCCTCCAGGTATTGATATTGATTGTTGGGTTGTATAATTGAGAGATGAGTAATCGATGATTGCATCATCTTTGTAAGTTGGTACAACATTCCCAATCCAATTATCTGGATCTAGGAAACTACATTGTTGAGACAATGAACAGTCTTTAGTAACATTAAAATATATGGTATCACTTTGTGCTATATCTATAATATTAATTAAAAGTATAAAAATATTAAAATAATAATTATTCATAACTTTATCTTATTTCTATCTTTAATAATAAAATAAATTAATCACTTACTTTTAAGAGATACAACTATTTAATATTAGGTCGTGAATATAAAAAAATCAATCAAACAATCAAACATTACCTTGACACTTGTTTAGAACCAACTTATTGGGCCATGTTGAAATTGCTAGATAAGGAAATTTCCAAATTCAGAGAGTTTCTTTTGATCATTCCTCTGAACAGTCATCTTATTTGTATTGATCATTCTTTATAAAAGAATCGCAAGATTCCTCGTGATTGCTTCTTTGGTGGTTCGATGGGACGAGGACGAGAATAAGTTATAAAGTATAATCTATCATGACCCTCCCTGTGAAGGAATAGTGCAGTGTTGTTATCAATCCATCGACAGTCGGCAATGTTATTACATCTCAAATCATACTGTCTATAGGTTTCGACAAATGGAGCTTTGAGGTGCAGAAACTTGAAGTATTTCAATGAGTAAACAATATTGGGATTACTTTCATATATCAGAGTCTTGATTCGTAAGTTCACCAATGGAGATAATTCCCAAGCAGTCTGGCAGCGCACTTCGACCGTATCCAAGTTGCTCAATGAAGTCGAATTTGCCAAATCAGTGAGTTGCTTCAGCGTGAAGACAGACAAGTTCTTGAGACTGCTTGGAAACAAAACATCACAGCTTGATTGTGCAAAGTCGGAGGATTTTTTCGATGCTCTTGCACGCTGAGATTGCAACAGCATGTCCTCCAGGCGATCAATCACCAATGACTCCAGTATCTCTGGGTTCCATATAGACTCAGAGTCGTAGTTGAAGCTTTCTCCAAAGCTTATTGATGTGATAGACTCTGGAAGGCAACCCGCCAACAACTTTTGGTTGAAACTTTCACCAAATACAATGGTTCTTAGTGACAGAGGAAGAGATCCATTAATGATCTTTTGATTGAAACGGTTTCCTAAGACCAAGGTTTGAAGTGTTGTGGGCAAGACACCAAGTTGGATCACTTTGTCATAATTAGAGCCGAAGAACAATGATCGAAGTTTAGGTGGTAGTGAGCCTGGTGGAATCACTCCATTGAAATCTGGACCAAACATTAGGAAACGCAGTGATCTAGGAATAATGCTCAACACATTGGTTTGTTGATGATATGCACCAAGTATGAGTGACCTTAGCTTGGGTGGAAGTGAGCCAGTATGAAATGTGAACTCTCTCGCTGAGTGGATAGTCAGTGTCCTGAGTGACTTGGGCAACATGTCCACACCAATATCTTGATGAAACTCTGAACCTAGTGTCAGTAGAGTTATTGAGTTTGATGAAGCCAAATGAATTGGCAATTGTACAAGGTCTTGAGTATAGTAGTAGTGCTCTGGATCTCTATAATGATCAAGATAGCCTTTCTCTTTTACAGCACTGATTGTGCTGCTGTTGACTCTGCTCCAATCACATGTGTAATGACCTTTCGACCATGTGAACCCTTTCATATTGCTCAGTACCGAATACCATCTTTTACAAGAGAGTGATAAGCAGACTATATCCAACTCATCGTTCAAATGCATATATATCGATCTACCTATAATCTCTGATATATTATCCATTGTTGTATTATCTGTTAACAAAATTATTACAATGAATGATTGAATAAAGTGAAGAGAAGCCCCTTTCAAAATATAACTTTGATCATTGTTGACCATGAACCGTATTCATTGAAGTAAGTCAGACAAAGATAATAATAATGTACAGTGCAATAATTGGGGAGTTTATTGATCGATCGCTGTTTGAGTGAACAGGAGCAACTATCACCTCCTCTCTAGAGGGAGACTCATTGCGATGGATATTGTCCAATGATTGAATGCTGCGGATAGGTGTACTGGGTGGGCGAGGTTGGTGATGATGAAGCGCTTCCGTTGGGGTTGCCCATTGTATAGCCACGAGGATTGGGCACCGCCGACGGGTAATAGCCCATTGATCCCGGTATCATGTTGTTGCCTGTGTAGCTGTTCGCGCCGTAGCCAACAAGGTCGATGTTGCCTGCAGCGTTGATGTAGGGCACCTTGGAGTCCTTGGCCGACATTCCCATGGCGCCAGACCTGCGGTCGTCCTTGTCTGATGTGTCGGTCTGGTAGAGGGCGTCGGGATATGTCGGCATTAGCAGAGTGTCTGGGTAGGACTGAGGCTGTTGCTGTTGTTGCTGTTGCTGTTGCTGTTGTTGTTGTTGTTGTTGTTGTTGTTGTTGCTGTGCTTGTTGTTGAGCTTGCTGCTGTTGGACAGCGGCAAGTTGTGATGGTTGCTCTAATGCCTGCTGTGGGATGCCCACCTGGCCGGCCATTCTTGGTGTGTTGACTTGGAGGTTGGATGCACTTGATGGCGTGGACTGCATTGGCGGCGATGCAGGCAGATCTGGTGTGTTGAGACATGATTGGATGAGGTTCTTGCCCTCTGGTCGAGTGATGAGCGGCTGGAGCTTCGAGGTGGCGAACGTATATACATGTCCGGTCTCCGAGGCGACCAGGAGCAGCACCTGGGTGCCGGTGAGTGTGCTCAGCTCGTAGGCTTTCTTCATGATGCCTGCCTTTCTCTTGGAGAAGGTGATGTGTCGTCTGCTCTTATCGTCGATGAACTCGATCTTGATCTTTCTGCGGCCAGCCTTCTTTGGTGTGTCGTTGTTGGGCGAAGTTGGCTCACTGGTATCATCCTTCTTTAGTAGTGGATCCTCTGAGAATGATGATGGTGTCGATGAAGGAGAGGATGGATGACTGTTGAACAATGGCATTCCATTGGAGTTGATAATAGGTGCCATGTTGAGACTCATGGTTGAATGATTGTTGAACTGGTTGAATGATTCAATGATTGGGTTGATTGATTGGGTAGTGTAGCTATAATACAAGCGTTCTCGATAGTGATGGATAACTGGATATTATGATTATTATTATTATTAAAATTATCGAAAGGATATAATTAATTAATTATTTAAAACTATTAAGGATGATTGGAGAGTAATAATAAGAATGAATGATTGTTAGTGTCCCGGATTCTTACTTAAGATTAATGAGTTCGTCAATGGATATGTGTATGTGTGTGTGTATTTGATGTGTGGTGAATACATGTGATATAACAAGACGAATTGATAGATACATTCATCGAATAACCCAATGAAGATGGTTGTGGTCGTGTGTTTATGAAGGTGAATGAGTGAGTGGTGTATATGTGTGTGTGAATGTGTGTGAGGAGAGATGATGATGGCAATTCATTGGTAATGGTCGGACAAGTGATAGTTATACATGAGATAGAAGAGAGTGATTGATAGGATGATATCATTAACAAACATACTTATCAACTGTTTCGAAGAGGGTCAGTCTGTGAGTTGTTTGATTGTTTGATTGATGATGTTTGTAAGGTTGATTGATTGATTGAACCCCAAATATTAATATTAATTAATTAAAAGAATTAATTAATTAGTATATAATATTATATATAGGTATATAGATATATAACTATAAGATTGTTTGGGTTGAGGTTGTAGGAATCGATTGGAAGTAGGGATGGTAGACTACACAGTTATCCCAATTAGTCCAACCCTGAATGTCTATATTGGGGACAACAGTGGCAATAATCAAACACACAATTTCAACAAGGATGGTATCCATGATTATAGAACAGGCATGTCTGTGTGTAGATAGGTAGGGTTCCATTCATCCATTCATTCGCTTCCGATGATACCCCTAACAAACTCTAAGATACACCTTACATATGGATGACATATATTATTATCTTAAGTCTGTTGTTGTCAACCACAAACACACACTAGTGTGTAATTCATTGCATATGATTGATTGACGGACACACACACAATGAGAAATTGTTGATAGACAGATAATTAAGTGTGATAATATGAGTGAGTTTGAGTGTGGTGTGGATGGGTTTGAGTGAACAGATAGTGAATGAATGAACACACAATGAGATTAAGATGGATTATGGACAAATCAGTCCAAGTTGTGGTGAACAATGTATGTGTGTGAGATGTCTCGATTAGGTAGACAAAATGGACAATGTTGTTGTTGTTGGATTCCAATGTTGAATAGATAATTAATATTCAATGATTGATTGATTGATTGATTGATGGATGGATGGTTATGGACGGATGACACATACAACTAAGTTATTTTAACTTATAAGTTTGTCATTCTATGTATTAATATATATATAAATTATAATTATCACTATTATTATCTGTATAATTATTATATATATGGTGAATAATTAATTATGACTAAAATGGAGTGGAATGATTGATCGCCTGTAATGAATGAATACTGTTGTTTGGTTGTTTGGTTGTTGTTGGATGGATGGATAGGTGGATGGATTGAAGGGTGGATGGTTTGACAGTAGCAGTAGTCAGAGTAGGAGTAGAGTAGAGTGAATAGAGTAGACAGGGTGGAGAGGTGAGTGAGGAGGGATGGATATTGGCAAACTGAATTTTGTATCTGAATGAGAGAGTGGTAGAATTATAATTGTAGACTAAAGTGGGTAGTTACCTTTGTTGGGAAAAACACTGAATGATACGTTCGGACATCAACCTCCACTAAAATAGCAATGTCTAAACCTACACTTAATAATCTTCTCTCTCTCTCTCTTCTATCTTCCTGTCTTTCTCCATCTCTCTGTCTGTCTTTCCTCCATACCCACACCCACCACCACACACACACACTTGAAGGCCTTCACTAAACAACGTGGGGTCCCTGTTGTTGTTGATGTTGTCCATGTCTTTGTGCATGAAGGACCTTGAGTGTGGTGGGGTGTATCAGTCAGTCGTAGACTGTGTGTGTGTGTTGTTGAATGAAAGTCATTGACAAAGTGCTCCATGGTGAACCAATGGTCCTCTCGTCATCCCACACAACAACATTTAAATTAATAAACATTTCCTTATTGGGATGTCCATAACGGGCAGGTGCCAATCCTCCCCCCACCCACTTTGTGACTGGTAGACCCTGGACTTTCATTCATGCAGATTGACATGACCAACCTCTATCTGTTGCTGTTGTTGTTGTTGGTCCCTATTGTTGTTGTATTGGGAACAAGTGTGTGTGTGTGTTTGAAAGTGTGAAGTGCAAAGTCATAGGGATACAATGTACATTGGAGAGGGTGTTGTTGGGGGAAACACGATGGTGTGTAGGCCTTCCAACTCCTTTGACTCATTCATGCCTTACATACATACTTTTCGTTGTTTCTGTCGATCGATTGATCTGCATCGGAGTATGTATCGGGACTGCCCAACCAAGTGTAGTTGGTTCCATCTCAGTCGATTGAGTCACTAATCTTACGACCTACATCAAATCATTCGTTGTAGTTGTTGTCGATGTTGTCGTGATATTGTTGTTGTTGTTATTGTTGTTGAACCATAATCATAACAACTACAATATCAATGTTCGTCGTTGCTCATTGTTTAGAACTAATGTATTATTCTCTTCTTGTTGAATGAATGTGTTGGGGATGATTCATCATATTCGGGATTCATGTTCTTAAATATAAAGATAGAATAATAGATAGATAAATATAGATTCTCGAGACTGAACAACGGAATTCGTAGCTATAATGGTTACAGAGACTCGTGTTCCAAACTCACTTGTCCGAGTTCGAAGTGGCATCCTCCCCAAAGAGACAATGAACTTGCTCATAACATATGAGGGGGTGCGACACGATTCAATACTGCACTCTCTTCCACCCAACATATAAATCAATTTATTTAAATTGAATGTATGAACATCAACACAGTCAATCTTCAAGTTTAGTGTGTGTTTGGTGTGTATGAATGAAGTGAATTAAAGAGTGAGGTGTGTTTGGGTTGGTGTTGTGTACTTTGTCCAATCCTTTAACTTCACTGACAACCAACCAAAGCAAACAAGTTAGAATCAACAACAGAGATAGAGGTAGAGATAACTATCATTAGTTTATAACTTTATCATCAGAACTTCAAATTCAAACAAACAATCAAACAAAGATGGAAGAGAAACCATTCTCAGAGTTCAAGAACAACGTTCAGTCATACTCCGTATGTTTCATTGATTGAATGTCCAATGGATGGATGTATGGATGATGAACAAATTGTTAATATAGGATGTTGTTGGTTGTATAAATATGTAATAGAAATACTACATTGGAATTGATATTGGTGGAACCAATACAAGAGTCATTGCAGGTTTTGATGAGGGAGACATTTATCATGTCCACAAGTTCCAAGCCAATACCATCTGCGAGCTTCTTAAGGGATTGCAAGAGGCTGCCGCTATGATTGCCCAGGTCTACAACCATCCACCAGAGATCTGTTGTATCGATATCGCTGGTCCAACAACTGACAACAAGGAGGTATGTCATTCGCGAACTTATTCATTCATTCACGTACTTACTCTAATATTCTATACATTCAGTATGACATTACCAACTACAACAGAGAGAAGAAGGAATTCCATGTTCTCACAAAGTGCGATCTTCCAGTCTCCATCTGCCCACCATCTAGAACCCATATCATCAATGATTTGGAGAGTGGCTGCTATGGACTCGTCCACTTGATTTCCTCCAAGGCAGAGCAGAGATTCTTCAAACCAGTCATCACTAGCGACGGTCCAAAGTGTGAGGGCTCACAAGTCAGTATGTATTCATCCATCCACTCATTCATTCCCATTCACTCACTCACTTATTCATTCACTCATTCAACCTTAGTTGTTGTCCTTGCCGCTGGTACTGGTCTTGGTGTCGGTCTCATTCACCACCTCAAGCATAAGGACAAGTACAATGTGATCCCATCAGAGCTTGGACACATCAATGTCTCTTCATATGGTCCCAATCATCCACACTATCAATGCGAGTTGGATCTGTTCAACAAGGTCATTCCAACTCATGACCCCAAGAGACAATACGCTCTTGAGTATGAGGATATTGTCAGTGGACGTGGTTTGGTCGCTTGCTACAACGCATACAAGGCAGAGGGAGACAAGTCATTGACAGGCGCAGAGAGTAAGCATATTTTGTCGACAGACCCCTTGTAGTGATGAGCTGATACTAACAACCATTATCCCCATTAACATAGTCGCTCAGATTGCCATGGAGGACCCATTGAAGGTGAACCCATCGACAAAGGCCATGCTTGCTCATTACAGATATCTGATAAGAGCTGCCCAAGAACTGTCTGTTGGTATGCGTGCCACCACTACCTACCTGATCGGTGACAACGTTGTCAAGAACTCCAAGTTTGTCGATGCTGTCCAGGATGAGTTGGTCAAGGAGTTCTTTGCCCACACCAAGGAGGCATGGCTCAAGAAGATCTCCAACCTCCATGTCCAGAGTGAGCTTGCCAATCTCAACCTCTATGGAACACTCTACTTTGCCAGAAATGCTTCCAAGGAGTAATTGTAGCCTACTACCATCATCCTACCTTCCAGTCTTCATCTAATTTATGTCAATCAAGTTATCATCTTTGATAATATATAAATGTATTCCATGTTCATCGACATAAACATCAACAACTTTGTTATTATCTTTTGAATGAGTGAGTGTGATGGATCAATCAAAAATAAATCAAAACAAATCAATCTTTTTTGAAAGACGAGTCGACACTCGGCCCCACCAACTCAATCAACAAACAAATACAACACCATTCACTCATTCACAACCCAATTATTAACTTGTACTTATTATATAGATATAGATAGATAGATAGATAGATAGCAATGGGAGGAGGAAACAAAGCACCAACATCTGTACAAGTACAGAGAAAGGCATTCATACATAATCCAAAGAGTAGAAAGACCGCACACATCCTATCACTTCCAAATGAAGGTCTCTGTTACACATGTCATCAAACAATCGAATGGAGGAAGAGATATCGTAAATATAAGCCATTGACTGTTGCTGCTAAATGGTATGTTTATCATTGTTGTTATTATCATTGTGAGCCATGCCCTAACCATCCCATCCATTATAGTTGTTCATGCGGTGAGAAGAATGTGAAGAGAGCATATCATCAACTATGTGATGAGTGCGCTGAGGAGCAACAGGTATGCGCCAAGTGCGTCAAGCCCAACGAGATTATAAAGTATGTTCCATTCGCTCAATCAATCAATCAATCACATTCAATTCTAACAATGTTACCAACAGCGAGAGAACAGACAAGAAGGTTGAGCAAGCAGAGCAGAAGAAACTGCACGAGGCATTGAAGCTCATGACAGAGAGTGAGCGCAGAACATTCTACAGAGAGCTGGAGAAGAATGATCCAGAGTTCCAGAAGGAGAGAGAGAAGGAGAGGGAGAAGAGGAGGAAGGAGAGGAGACTCTTGGCAAAGAGTGAGAAGGATGACGACGAGTTCTCATCGTTCGATGAGGATGAGGATGATGACCTGGACTACGACAGTGATGAGGACTATGATGATGATGATGATGAGGTCGATGACGTTACCGACAGCATAAAGAAGGTGAATGTATCACCAGCCATCAATCAACAACAACTACAACCAAAGCCACAAGTCAAGGCATCGATATACGACGACATTGACGAGGATGAGGAGGACGAAGATGATGAAGACCCCATCGAGATGTACAAACGTTTAAAGGAGCAGCACAGCTCCAGGCAACACAAGACCCTGCAGTCAACTATCACCACCCTCAGTGAGGATGAGGATGAGGACGAAGAAGAAGAGGAAGAGGAAGAAGAAGACGAGGATGAGGAAGAGGAAGAGGAAGATAATGAGGTTGACCAAGAAGAGGATGACGAGGATATTGAACAAGTTGTCCCTCAGTTGATCATCAAGAAGAAGATACAACAACAGCAACAACAGAAGAAGAATCAGACTCCAAAGAGAAAGTAAACACTGACTCCTATTGTAGTCGTTTAGAAACATGTTTGGGACCATTGATCAGTTCGGGCAGGTCATGATGATGGAATAATAGTACTTGTTACAAGTTTATTGGTCACTAGTATATCTGAAAGATCGATCGATCGGCCGACCGTAGACTCTCTTACTCTCTGGTGATCTCGAGGGTGATCAGCTGTCCATTGGTGGTGGTGGACGATGGAGTGATGTTGATGATGTTCTTCTGTGGGTAGGTGAGGGTGGCAGCACCGGTGGTGATCTTGGCCTTGTAGCCGGATGGGTAGTGCATGGCCTCGTTCAGGTAGACGACGGTTGGCTGGCTGATGGATGTGTTGATCTCATAGGACAGGGTGAAGTCGCCGTTGTTGATGTCAAACTTCATCTTGCGTGGCTCACCAGCGATGGCCTGAGCGTAGGTTCTGCTCAGAGTCTTGACCTTGATCAGGTCCAGAGTACCGTTCGACAGGTAGAGTGACTCGAGCTCACTGGATGTGGTCAGGTCGTTGTAGAACTTGAACTGCCAGTAGGTCCACGACTGGAAGTAGTCGTCGGCCTGGTCCATCATGTAGGTGATGGTCTCCATGGCGTTGGTGGTGTTGGAGATGGCGCCAAACTCGGTCATGAAGCCACCGCCGCCAAGACGACGCAGGTCGGTCATGGCTCCCTCAAGGAAGAACTTGTTCTCGCCGTCGCACTCGCCAACGTGTCTGGGGTTGCCACCGACGTTGCCACAGTAGATGTGGTAACTGAGGATCTGACGGTCGTTGTACTCGATGCCACCTGGGGTACCGGCTGGGTACTGCGAGTCATAGACATCGACCAAACTCTTCTCAAAGAATACAGCGTGTTGCTGATCGACGCTTCTAATGGCAGCGTTGACATTCTTGTACAATGGAAGCATGTTGACTCTGTCGGCATGTCCCATCTGATCCAACAGCAATGGATCTCTGTAGATGTTGCCTCCCCACTAATTATTGATTGATTGATTGGTGTCAGTGTATATGTCCAAATGATACGTTATGATTGATACTCACTGGCTCATTGATGATCTCGTAACCAATGACGGTGTCGACATCGACAAAGGTTGATGCCAACTGCTTCCAGTAGGCGACGAACCTATGGTAATAGAATGATTGATTGAGTGTAATGGTTAGTGTTTGGTCGCTCAATGATCAATCAATCATACATATGTGGACACATACTCATCTTGGATTCCCTCAGCATTGTCGAACAAGCTCTGGAAAGTGGCACCAACGGCCTCAGCAAAGTAGTAGGTAGCAAACTCCTTCTGTTAAAGTTGTAATGTTTGGATTGATGGATGGAAGGAGAGTGTCAGTTTGGATCAAGTTAGGACATGATTCCCTAAATCCAACATACGCTCAAACAAAGATCAAGGGCTGGGTAACCAGTGACGTTGTCAACTGGGTACTTCTCCATGACGGCTGGCATTGGGAATGGCAAGGTCTCCTCTGGAAGCACGACGGCCCAGTCTGGGATACCCTCACCACAGAACCTTCTGTTAATAATATCCTGATGGAAGTCTAGACAAGTATGAGTGAGGACATGGCATTGGTAAGTAAGTGGGATCACTCAGATGATTGATTGATCGATTGAATGAATGCATACCAATGATAGCATAGATTCCAGCATCACCGAGCTGGTTGACCATGCCCTTGATGACGTCGAGATAGGTTTGGTTGAAGACTCCCTTCTCGGGCTCGACTCCGGGCCACATGGCACCGAAACGAATGGCGTTGAAGCCCCATTCCTGGAGGTTGTCAATGTCGAATTGGACCAGGGAGTTTTGTGGGTCAAACTCGTTGGTCAATGGATGCCATGGGAAGATCTTGTACACGGCGTTCACACCGTGGAATATACGGACACGTCCATACTCATCGATCAAGTTCTGTGTAGTAGTGTTGACTGTGATCAATGCCGACACTGATGACGCTGCTACCAACACCAAAAGTACCAAAGATGCCAATGTTATTGACTTCATTGTGTATATGTTATTATATGTTATTATTATAAGTTATATAAGTTATATAAGTTATATATTTGTTGTGTTCGGTTTAATAATGTGGTCATGTGAGTGGACACAGACATGGACCTGCAAGTCCATCTCGGAGCAGAGAGGACTGTCATCAACATTCATTCAAACACACACAAACGAGATACTTTTTGCAAAGTTTGTACCGATTCTCATTCTTTTTCGTGAGGTTTCTTTGCCTTTTTCAACACAATCAGAGGAGGGATGGTCTGCGATACTAAAGACCAAACCACAGTCAATGCACTCCCTTCGGCAATACCATTATCGGTACTAGCGAGTATGTTTGTACTCAACAACCATCACATCATCACCTTCACCATCATAAATTTAATAATTATAATTTTATTTAACTATCTTAGATTCAATGTTCAACAGTGATTAAAACAGAGGATGTCCTCCGCACTCACTATTTGTGGGGAACCCGAGACTAAGTGCCGAGAAGTCTCAACAACACAGATATAGATATTTCGAATTCCCACTTGTTGGGTTGCATTGCGAGTTCATGTTGTTGTAGCTAAAGTAAAAGTAGAAGGAATGTTGTAATGTTATAGTAATAATAATATTCAGAATTGAAGGTTATTATCCTAGGACCAGGAGCATGAGCGAGATGGCGAGGACAAGTAGTATTGGAAGTTGATCACACTTGAATAGTGAACATGCTGAAGAGGTCGAAGCGGATGTAGTAGGTGACGAAGCTGATGTTGTTGTTAAAGTGGTTGGACCTGAGGATGAAGTTGTTGTCGATGTTGAAGAAGTTATGGAAGTGGATGTAGTTGGGGAGGTTGTTGTTGAGGTAGACCTGGGGTTTAATGTAGTTGTATTAGAAGTTGAATTTGTAGTTGAAGTTGTAGTTGAAGATGTAGAGAGTGATGGTACATTGGGCAATGGAGCAGTGTACCCTTATCGCTGCTGTTTCATTCACTTGGATCACTGGCTCTAAGTTTGGTGCGAGACTTCAAATAACTTGATTAATTAATTTTGAGTGAAATTTCAATTAAGTTATATTTCTTTGATCTTTATTTATTATTTACAATCTGTCACTGACAGATAATTTATGAATGAAGAGGAAGTCTTCATGCAAAGACTCGACTAGCAATCAAACAACTGATAAAGTATGTCTCGGAGTGTCTTAACTTTACCCATTTGTCCAAGTCTACATATTTGTAGGCAACAAGGACAAATATAAAGAATATGAATCCAGCTTCGAATATCAATCTTGTGCACAATAGATGGGGCTCCTTGAATAGACACAACAGGGTGAAGTGGAAAACTGACTGTACACTTCCAAGGTAGTATAAAGGATTCTGATATTTGAATGTTGGCTTGCTTGTTGGTACCAATCCCATAATATTCCATGCTATCATTCCAAAGAGGTAGGACATTATCATGGGAGATTCTTTGATCACCATGCCTTGGTATGCTGCCAAAACAGCTTGTGCAAGATGATTAAATAAATCCCAGAATACATTGACAGCATAAGATTCCTCCGTTGGCATCAATTGGTCATGGATGAATGCATGGGAGAATACAACAATAACTGTTAAAATATTAAATAAACCTTGAGTATTAAATAAATAATATAAAGCCAAAACAAACATTACTAATCTAAATAATTGTTTTGATATTACGGAAATTAAAAATCCAAATAATATTAATACGGTAACAAATGCATATTGTTCCATAAGGCCTATTACTGTTGCCATTTTTTAAAAGTAATTAATAATTATTAAGAAAAAAAGATGGATTATAATAAATAATAATGATAATAATAATAGATGAGTAAATGGCGAATTAAAGAATGGTCCTCTTTTATTTCATTGATATAGAGTTGTCTATGAATTTTAATTGGTTGATAGATCTTTAGAGTTATTGAAATAGGCAATAATAATTGGCTAGCGAGTTGCCGAGTTACGGTAAGAGTAGGGTTAGAGTAAGGGTCGGGGGATTGGTAGGGGTGGGGTTGTCCGAGTCCATAGTCGGATGGAAAGATTCATATCATATAAACTATGTAATGGAACCCTCTAGCCGGTCCGTTCTTATTGCAGGGAAATGAATGAACGAAATAATGAATTGTATCAATCAATTATCCTAGTTTTAGTCAATGTACAGGGTATTCGTTTGCAGTGATACAATTGAAAGGTCCTGTGTGTTTTGTTTGTGCCATTGAATGAGTGTTGCCAGGTATAATGAAGACGAGTACTCGTCTTTGTTAATTGCGGGGAGTGGGTGTGGTTGATGATGCCATCACAGAATGCCTCCTCGTGTTCTTTATTAATTAGTATACTACTAAGTCTTTTTTATTTTAATATTGTTTGATGGATTGATTCATCGAACCAATTGATATAATAAATATTAATTAATATATTTTATGTTTATTGTGGATGCGGTTGGTAATTTGAACCTTTTAATCAAATACTAGAACCTGGCCTCACCTCTATTGTTATTATTATTGGATGTATCAATGTCATCATTGTCAACTGATATGTCAGACAAGGATCTACCTATCGGGGTCTCCTTGTTATTATCATTGTCCATATTCTTCTCTTCCAATGACACTTCACTTAGTTCATCTACAACTTTTTTGTTATTCTGTTCACATTCAAAGTAATTGGTTAGTATGAATGAATAAATGATTGATTGATTGTGTCATTGAAGGACATACCAGTTCGATGATTCCAGTCTTGAATTCATGGGCCGGAACATTCAACTTCTTATGTTTACGATCTAAGTAAATCAATATGCTTACAAGTATCACAGCTATTCCTGCACAGCTTATGAATATTGCTTCAACATGACTACATTTTATAGGTTAGTAGTTGTTGTACCTCATTGTTCGGTGATGATTATACATACTTGTAGTTGTTGTTATACTTCTCCAACAAGGCATTGACACCCATACCTGCCAGACCAACGAATAGATTCTGGAAGGCAAAGGTCAGACCATAGGCTGTTCCAAGTCTGTTGGATTGAATGAGTGCAGGGAAACATGGCATAATAGAGGCTGCGAAAGTGGCATATCCAATACCCATGATAACCATACCAATATAGGGATTGGCGTATGTCAAGCCCAGGATGATGTGACCAACTACCAACATGACTGTTGCTCCAAACAACCATGTCAAATTCCTTCCTACTCTATCGATAACAAATCCAATAACAGGTGATGGTGCTGCAGTATAGTATGGGATACTTGTCAAGATGCCTGCGACATCATCTGTGACTCCAAACTTGTCAATGAAGAATTGTCTGGAATATATATATGATGTTTGAATGATTGATTGAGTGGGGTGGGGTGGGGTGGAATCATTCCAAATGATTGAATGAGTGTTTGGGTGATGAGGATTACTTACGTTCCAATTGATACAAAGACAAACATTGGAATGTAGAAGAATACTACAACGGCAATGAGCAACCATAGTTGGATTGGGAACTTGGGTATGTCACGGAATGAGATCGGATCATTCTTGATTACAATCTTCTCTTTCTTTCGACGGATAGTGTCGACGAAACATAGGATGACTGTTGCAACCATTGATACTCCACAGCAAATGGTACCGAACCATACTGCAAATGGGATACCAGATGACCTTACCAAGGCTGGCGTGACCTGGAAGTTGACGGCACTTCCAATCCTCGAGAAACCAAGTGTTACGGCAAAGGCAAAGTTCATGTCGCTGCGGCCATTGAACCAGGTGGCGGTGAATGTTGACTGGGCAACACTCAAAGATTCACCACCGAGACCAAAGATGATACGACCAAGCAAGGCCAACCAGAATGTCTTGGAGCTGGCTGATATGGAGAATATCAACTGACCGACCAGGACCAAAAGACAGAACAGTAGGCTTCCAAGACGTAGACCAAAGACACGATCAATCAAGAATCCGCCAAAGAACACAATGACCATGTTTGGAAAGTTGTAAACAGAGTACAACAATCCATACTTCACCTCAGTGACTCCATACCATTCATCAACTGCACGTTGAGTTAATGCTGATGGTATATCCTGTAATTGATTGATTGATTGATTGAATCAGTGAGTGATTGAATGAGCGAATGAATGATTCCAAATAGTTATAACATACATATATATAATAACTACCAAATGGTAATAAACAAATAAATAATAGACCGAGATAGCGGAAGGCATGGTCTGTCCATCTTTGTTTGGTTGGTGTATCATCCTCCAGTTTGGCGCTTGAGTCAAATTGGACCATCTTGTCGTCTTTTGACAAGTCCACAGATGTTTGATTGGCAGTATCACCATCATTCGGTTGATCAGAATGATCATCTACCGATGGTATAGAAGGACTAGTTGGTATTGGCATATTTTTGTTGTTGTTGATTGTAATATTATTGAAGGTTTATGATCCACACATATTATCATTGATGGGAATTGAATTGATACAGATAATAATGATATTATTATTGATTATATGATTAATATTATTGATTGTGGATTGAGTAAGATCTCTATTTATATCTAAAAAATTGTTACGGACGAGTCCGGATTGCCGGGTCTTTTCCCGTTTCTTTAGTCCAAATTTGGTAATTGTTTACCAAAGTGGGTGGTATTGAGGAAAGACGACTCCACTCGTTTGTAGACACGCGCACATATGTCCAACCAATAATCTCGCCGTGTTACCTGCAAATGACATCCATGGGCTATTCGTTGATTAAATATAGATCTACCTTTATACAATATAACGTTCATAAATTGATGATCGTATAAGGTTTAGAGTTTGAATGTCTAACACACTTCATCTCTACAATCTATAACTTCATTCACATCATGACCGACGTTACCCATCATAATACTTAAAGAGTCGGATAATAGGTTATTTCATCAGGGTCACATGTTATCTCTATTTGAAACCTGATTGTTTGTCAGATAGATAAAGAGTACTGAGTAAGTGAATGAGTGAATAGTGGAATGAATGAATGAATGATTATGATCAATCCAACAATCACATGATTGTTCATTGAAGGTGTGTGAGTGATCGTGTGTGTGTGTGTGAATGACGAATGATTGATTGAATGATGTTCACACATCAATGTGTTGTGCGTTTTCATTCACTCATTCAATCAATAAATTAATTAAATAATCAATCATATATATATATATATTGTACAAAGAAGAATATAAACATAATATACACATAACATATATAATAAGGAATGTCTAATCCAACACCTAATTCAAACCGTGTCAGATGTATATTGTTCTGGGTCGATGGTATACTTGTAAAGTATGACGAGTCGTCATTGTTTGAGTCGCTCATTGGTTTGGACTCATACGTAGAGGACGGTTGTGTCGGACAGCTACTCAGTGTCAACACACCGCAGACCACCGAGACATACTTCAACCAACTGCTCGGCTTCCAACCCGAGGCCAGCCCACCTCCAACCTACGACGAGTTCAAGAAGAAGTACAAGGATCTCAATCTCAGAGTGCTGTCATCGTCGCAGTCGTTCTGCGAGGGACTCAGCGGCAAGGGCTTCGAGTGCACACACGTCGACGACTATGACAAGGTGGTCAAGATCATCAATGATCACGACGTCGACATTGAGATGGTGATCGTGCATGTCCAGACGGCGTCCACAGAGGAGTGCGACAGGAAGCGTACCATCCTCACGGCTGACCATCTCATCCATCAGCTCTACAACGACCTTCCAAAGTCTGAGCAACAACAGAACCGCACCATCTTCATTGGCACCATCCTATCATTCGCTCCCGATCACTCTGACGTTGAGATCCCCCTCACCGAAGAGCAAGCTCAGAGCAAGGCAGTCGTGCCCGACTGGTTCAAACTACCAGCCCAGAGCACTGAGTTCTTTGAGGGCAAGCCATTCCAAGCAAGGTATGATTACTAACATATATATATCATGTATACATGGACGAGCAAGAGCACTAACTCATTCATTCAATCACTCATTCATTCAATCAATCAATCACTCTCCACTCTCAGACAAACATCACCAATGTTTGTTGTCAATAGCCATCCAATAGTGACTAGAAAGGACTGCATTAAGGGATTCAAGGACACTGAGTTTATTAAGGGATCAAGTGGAAAGATGCTGATCATGCAGTATCTCCGTGGATTGGCCTTTAAGATGGGTCATGCCGAGAAGTATGGCGCATAACTTTATGTTTGCGTGCACGCAAATCAATCATTCATTCATTCAATCAACTAAACAAGTAACATGGATATGATATTCAGAGAGATAATCAACAATAAATGGTTGTCAACGTTGTTGTTCGAATGTGTACATGACATTAATGTTAGACGTCGAGGTGCGAAAATGAATAGTAGACTGTACAACTGGACTGACTTGTTTACGCTATGGACAAAGTGTGTAGTGACGTTGGACACTGTAGTCCCACGTTATGATGACTCATTGCGACGCTTGTCACTATCAATGACAGGAGAGATACACTCATACATGATAAAGTACATTCAAACAAACAATCAAGAACTATTCACATTGCTACCTATCATTGACTTTATGTCTACGATAGGCCATGTTGAAATCGTGCGCAGTCTACTCGATCTAGGTCCCCAAGTTCAAGCTTGCACAGTCAGGGCGATGGATAATGGTGCGGCTATATCATTGGAGATCGTACAACTACTACATAGTCGTCGAACTGAAGGCTGCACCAACAAGGCGATGGACAAGGCTGCAGCGGCAGGACATCTGGATATCGTTCAGTTCTTGCATAACAATCGAAGTGAGGGATGTACAAAGGAAGCGATGGACAACGCATCAAAGAATGGACATCTTGACGTGGTCAAGTTCTTGCATGGTCATCGAAGCGAAGTGGCATCGTGCTTCGAATCCGCTTTGGCTAATGCCGCATGGAATGGTCACCTTGCCATCGTTCAGTACCTTCACCAACAATTTGCGGACCGCAAGTTAAATATCTCAATTGATAACCCAGCATATAATGGACACTTGGATGTCGTACGCTACTTGCACAAGAATGATGCCACGGCCTTTTGTTCAGAGTTGGCGATGGGTAAGGCGGCGGCAGGCGGACATCTTGAGGTGGTCCGCTACCTACATACCAATTACCAAGTGGGCTGCACGGGGTGGGCTATGGACCAGGCTTGCTCAAACGGATATTTGGATGTCGTTCGGTTTCTACATGACAATCGAACAGAGGGTTGCTCTACTAGGGCTATGGACCTAGCCTGCGCCGGTGGTCATTTGGATGTCGTTCGATTCCTACACGACAACCGAACAGAGGGCTGTACTTTTACAGCAATTGATGGAGCAGCGTACACCGGCCAACTGGACATTATCAAGTTCCTGCACCACAACCGTACGGAAGGATGTACGACCGCCGCTTTAACTCAAGCTGCGTGGAAAGGACATCTCGAGATCGTCCAGTTCCTCCATCTAAACCGCACAGAGGGTTGTTCCACCGCGGCCTTGGACAAAGCCGCGACAAATGGTCACCTCGAAGTTGTCAAGTACCTTCATTTCAATCGCACGGAAGGATGTACGACTGAAGCACTGGACACTGCTGTTCGCTTTGGACATTTGGACACTGTCAAATTCCTCCTTCATCATCGTACTGAAGGTGGATCCGAACATCTATTGGACCAGGCCACTGGACGGAATGGTAATCTTGATACAATCAAATTCTTGAATCAATCTGAGGGCTCTGCCACAACCGAAGCAATGAACAGTGCTGCAAAAGATGGAAGATTGGACATTGTTCAGTATTTACATTTTAATCGAACAGAGGGATGTACAGTCGATGCTATGGACGATGCATGCGCAAATGGATATCTGGCCATTGTACAATTCCTTCATAATCGTACAGAGGGCTGTACATACAAGTCTATGTTACTTGCTGCAAGTTATGGATATATTTCGGTCGTACAATTCCTTCATCATAATCGTTCGGAACATAATGACGGCACCATCGACATTATACTAGAGAGGGCACATCCCAAAGTTCAAGAGATCATGTGTAAGATGATGAAGTTGCCAACTCCCCTTCATCAATAATCCAGCCAGGCTGGATGGATTGTGGTGACTCATGAGTCCTGCACCCTCTCTCTTCACCACTTTTTGTTCAACAACCAACTTCATAAAGTTCATTCATTCATTCACTTCATCATTATCTCTATCTTGTACATATATTTATATACTTTTACAATGGTATGTTCAATGAACAACATAGTCTTACCTACTTCACTAACTCACTAACTCACTCACTCACTAACTCAATCAATAAATGTAGTCCGCTATATTCAATTTCCAAAGTCTGTTGGTAGTGTTGCTACTGTTCATCTGTACATGTACTTATATTCGTGGATCATATCCCAAGTTGTTGGATGTAAAGGACAAGCATAGGTATGTTTATGAATCATCATAGATTGATTGGTCACTGTACTCACTCAAATACAATACATTAGTTTATCAGGATTACCTTGGAAGGCAGCGAGAATAGGAGAGCGACTGAGTCCTTGGGTATCAGTAGCATGTATAATCATGGGTGTTGTGTTGTTATTCTAAGCATCATCAACAACAATAAATAGCGAATATATATACAACAACCAAGTCATGGTCAATCATTCACATTCGATCAACAGATACAGATACGTGGAACATACATACAGACAGACACACAAGGTTTATTGAGTACCTGTTGTTGAAGAAGTATCACCTCCTGACGATKGGCTGCAACACAGGATAACTGTGTATCGATACAATAGTGTCACCTTTGATGAACAGTTGGCCATAGTATCTCTTGTCACGTATCAGTTGACGTTTGCTGGATGTATTGGAGTTGGATGACTCGCCGCCACTATCATCTGTCACTGATGTTGTTGCTGCTGCTACTGGTACACTTCGAATGATTTCTTCTTCAACATCACGTAGGATCACATTGAAGTGTTTGTCAAAGCCTAACAGGTAACCGATACAATGTCCTCTAATACTTCTTAGACCACGAATGACCACTCTGATCTGTTTCCTCTCCTGCAGAGCTCTTCTGAGAAGACTCAACGGACCATCTGTGAACTTGACTGCAATATTATCAAACACCTTATGGCTCTCCTTTGCCTTTGTCATTGTCGTCGTCGTTGTCGTTGTCGCTGTCGGTGTAGTTGTTGTTGTTGTTACTGTCGCCATCGTATTTGTAGTTGACCTCTGTGTCTGTGGCTGTAGCTGTGTCTGTGTCTGTAGTTGTGGTTGTGGAGGCTGAGATGTCTGTGGCTGTGGCTGTGTTTGTGACTGTGGCTGTGGCTGAGTCACAGGAGGAGCAGGCGTAACAGCAGCAGCAGCAGTAGTGGACTGCTTATGTGGTTGTGGCTTTGTTTGATTTGGCCTGATCGACAGGTAGTTTGGATCGTTTGGAGGTAGCAATACTCTTGCCTTGTGTAGATTGTCAAGTGGCATTGCCTTGGGATATGGCAATGTGACATAATGTGGATTGGACAATGCCATCAATGGATCAAAGTGTATTGATAACATATCATATTTCATCTTATCTCCTTCCAATGGTTGTGTTTGTGTTTGTGTTTGAGCCCTCTGCTGTTGTAGTTGTTGTTGTTGATTCTGATGTCTCTGCTGTTGTTGTTGTTGTTGTTGCCTATTTGGCTGTTGAGTAGAAGATGTACCAAACCTGGCTACATCATCATTTCTCTCCATCTACACTTTGTCCTTGTTGACTAACATATGATTGATTGAAATGGACATTCTTGAAATTGAAGTTTGAAGATTGTTGTTGGGGTAGAGAAACAGAGGAAAACGACGAGTCTCAATCAAACCATTGTAGTCAAGTCATTCATTCAAACATAACAATACAAGTACAACAATATAAATATCTATTATATATATATATATATATAGGTGATAATGTCATCACTCAAACGATTAAAAACAGAGAATGGTGCAAAGCCATCCAAAGAAGAAGAGGATAAAGATGATCATTCAAAGAAGATAGTGTCAGACAATGCTGAGAAGGAGAAAGAGGAGGAGAAGGAAGTTGAAGCACCAACAAAGGAAGAAAAGATCAAGTATAAGGAGTTAAAGAAGAAGGATAAGAAGTCTTGGACAAAGGAGGATAAGACATATTTGAAGATGATCAAACAGAAGGATAAGGCATACAAGAAGGCAATGAGCAAGAAGAGAGAGACAAATAAGAAGGCCGCTGCGCCAAAGAAGCCAACACTTCAAGAGCAGCTGGATGAGGAGATCAAGAAGCAGAACATATTGTTGGGCATTCGCAACAACCAGCCCAGGCCACCAGTCCAGCGACCGCCACCCAAGATATTCGTAGAGGAGAAGCCAAAGAAGGCCTTGGAGGATATGACTTTGGAGGAGCAACTGGCCGCTGAGCTGGAGCTGCAGGCCAAGCTCAAGTCCACATTGATAGACATTGCAAGTGGAGAGGTGCAAGACGTCAGCAACAATGGCAAAGACGAAAGGATACATTGGAGGCTGGTCAATCCTTTTATGGCCGATGGCGGTATCAGTTTCATCAAAGAGATCCAAGTGGTCACCGATATCAACACGAATACGAGACGACAAAACAGACTGCCAACGATGTACCTGTACGAGCAGAGGCTGGACGAGATCCCGCACATGATACACACATACTTCAAGGCCGCCGGTGTGCTGTTGGTGGCCAAGCACAAGGGTCAGCTCAAGGTGCTGCTGGGCGCCGAGGACAGGAGCGGCAAGCCAAAAGATAGGGGCGACAAAGCTATTGATGGTGGCCTTTTCCTGCCGTTTGGCGGCAAGTGGGAGACGCATGAGTTGATGGCCGAGCAGACAGCGATCCGCGAGTTCAACGAGGAGACGGCATTCATCTTTGCCGACCGTCTCGAGGAGTTCAAGGAGCAGATGTTGGCGCCAGCCACCCTCAAGCTCTGGTACCCTGGCTCCAAGTACATATTGTACGTGCTCGAGATCACGTATGATGCCGAGCTGCCCAAGGTGTTTGACAGCGTGGACAGATCAAAGATAGCCAACAACGACCAGCTCTACCTCGAGTGGATCAACCTCGAGTCAGTGCTCCTCGCGGAATATGGTGTGTTCAAGAGAGACAATGGAGAGAAGGGCGCGCTGCCCAGGTTCTTTAAGGATATGATACGTCTGCTGCACGCCAGTACTCATGATGTGTATCCCGACCTGATATCGGCGCCGTCGTTACTACAACCTGTGATCAAGAAACATGTGGAACAACCAGTCACTCAATCCTTGCAAGATAGGGTGCGTCAGACTGTGTTGGATTCCGAGTCAGCTGGAGCAGATGGATCAAACAACGAAGACGATGATGATGATGATAATGATGATGATTCAAACGACAAAGATACACCAATCACAAAGAACATCGATAAGAAGAATGTAAAGAAAGAGTCAAGCAAAGACAAGGCGGCCACAACAAAGTCACGCGATGAGGAGATGAAGAAGAAGAAGAAGAAGAAGAGCAAGAAGGATGAGTCCAGCGAGGATGAGGATGAATTGGAGATGAAGCCAGCTCAAAAGAAGAAGGTGGTCGTCGTTCAGGAGGAGCCAAGCAGCGAGGATGATGCACCTGAGAAGAAGAAGTCCACATCCACAACACCAACCAAGAACAAGAGCAAGAAGGAGGACACATCCAGCAAGAGCAAGAGCAAAAAGGACGATTCAAGCATCGATAAAGAGGAGGAGACACCAAAGAAGAAGAAGTCATCAACTACATCCACCACCGCCACAACAACAACAACAACAAATAACAAGGTCAAGAAGGATAAGAAAGATGGGACTACATCCAGCAAGAGTAAGAGCAAGAGCAAGAAGAAGGAGTCAAGTGGCGAGGATGAGGATGAGGTGGCACACAAGAAGAAGAAGGTTGTAGTCATACAGGAGGAGTCAAGCAGCGAGGAAGAGGAGGCGTCTAAGAAGAAGTCGACTTCAACCACAACACCAACCAAGAACAAGGGCAAGAAGAAGGACACATCCAGCAAGAGCAAAAGTAAGAGCAAGAGCAAGAAGGAAGAATCAAGCAGCGATGAGGAGGAGCCACCCAAGCAGAAGAAGGTGGTCGTCATACAGGAGGAGTCAAGCAGCGAGGATGAGGCGCCCAAGAAGAAGAAGAAGAAGTCAATATCCACATCATCCACCAGCAGCTCAAAAGAGTCAAGCAAAAGCAAAAGCAAGAGCAAGAGCAAGAGCAAGAGCAAAAAGGATGACGACGAAGAGGAGGAGGAGGAGAAGCCACCCGTCCATCCTAAAAAGGTGGTCGTCATCCAGGAAGAGTCCAGCAGCGAGGATGAAGCGCCCAAGAAGTCGACAACCTCATCCGCCACCGACACCACGACAAACAAGAGAAAGAAGGACGATGAGGAAGTTGCAGTGAGCAAAGTATCATCAAGGGCCAACCCTAAGGAGTCTGACATGAGCAAGAGCAAGAAGGAGGACACAACTTCCAGCAAAGCATCGTCAAGCTCCAGCTCCAAGGAGTCAAGTGGCAGCAACAAACGCAAGAAGAGTGAGGCGGAAGAAGAGCCAATCAAAGAATCACGCAAGTCCAAGTCAAAGTCCAAGTCAAAGGAGGTCGACCCAATGGATATGTCATAACAAGCGTGTGTATGTGTGATCGATTGATTGATTGATCAAGGTAAGTACATCCATTCATTCATAGGCTGGCAGCGAATCACGTGATCTCAGTAACTCACTCACTCAATCAACCAATCAATCACAATCACATGATCAATCATTCAGACTCTCAGTATGTGTTTGTGAATCTGATTGGAGGAGTAGTTCAGCGACCACTCTTCATCATGTTCCTTGTGTTTCCAGCCCTTCAGACCAACATCGGGCCTCATTCCCAGGCCTTACCATAATCTTTTGTGTAGCCACTCATTCACTACAAGCCACATCATCAGACGAATAAAATTATGGCATTAGCGGGGCAGACAGGGCCACGCACCACGATCGGCAGAGGTCGTGAGTGTAGCAAACTTAATCTGACTTGTGTCGATCCCACGCCCGATCCACATTCGTCTTGTGTGTGTTGATGTTGTTTGATGATGCAAACGAAACCAATCAGCTCCATCAATATTGTGTTGGTGAGTATGATTGAATGGTTGATTGATTGATAGAGTGATTGAGTAATTGTTTGATGGGGTAAAGCACGATACTGTACTCATTCTCAAGTATTGTCTTGTGTAGTTTGATTGATCATTCAATCATTCAATAATTCAATCGTTCAATTTATCCTTCCTATCTATCTATCTATCATTCAATCAAGTTATAACAGTTTCAAGACAAAGCCACAAAGGACAGGAATAGTAACAGGACAAGGAAAGCACGAGCCCACCATCAACAATAATAGTTTTAGGTATGTTTGAACCAAACTAAACATCTAAAGTTAGTTTAGATGTCAACTACTTTAAGTTCGTTGTATTGTAGATCGATCAAACTATGACCAAACCACCCCTACTTTTATGCCTTTTGCCATTGATGGCCATTGGCCGCGGTTATCACCTGCCATAATCATTGCCAATCGAACCTGGTATCACTTGTACCGACCTCGTATCAAACCACACATCAACCTAACTCAACCCATTCATGAACTAATGAATGTTTGTTCGTCGAGTCAATGACGACCATGACGAAGACCCACAATCACAAACACACACTATGTTTTTCAAACCAGGGTCTCACTCACACACATTGGATCGATCAGTGATCGCAAAAATGTGACAGTGCTGCACCACCCCCCAACTTGGTCGTTGCCTTGATGGGGTTAGTAATTAAGACACACACATAATCATCAATGGGCTATTAGTTAGTCTTCGATTGGTACAAACACCTCACTGATGATGGTTAATTAAACAGCTGTTGTTGTTGCTGTCAGCCTCATCATCCATCTTTCTCCCCAATTCCAAAGCGTCCCTGATCATAGCCAGCCAGGGTTCGTTAGGGTTGGATGTGATGGGATATGAATGAATACTTATCCAATATCATTAACGACCAACTGAACAAATACACATACATAGACACACACACATAACAAATATATATATTTATTCATCCAACAGTCAGCAGAAAGCGATCAGTAACTTCTGTGCGGGGACAATCAAATATTCCTTTTGGCGAGTCACTCCATCAAACACCGACCAGACATCACCCATCATATCAATCAATCACACCACACACTCATACACTATATTCAATCAATCAATCAAGGTATGTTTAATGTTGCTTAAACAAACACACACTCAAAAAATATATATATATATATGGATCAATCAATCAATCATCATCCATTCATCACAACCAAACAAGTTCCAACGTTCATTGTGGTTGGTTATGCGTGTCACTCACTGTAACCTCACTTTTCGCACACGCATGCCAAGTGGGCAGATGGCATTGCATGGCATCGTATGGCATCATTCTGTATCCCATCCATTCATTCCATGGTGTTGTGTGTGTGTTGGTGTTGTTAGTGTTAAACTTGAATGAATGAATGAACATGCGATGAATCGATCAACATCAATCACGTGTGCTTGTTTGCTTATTTCCACTCATTATTGATTATTAACAATCCAATCCAATCCAATCAATAATAGATATAAAAGGTCATTTCCAGTTATCCTGGAATCCATTTTTTAAATAATATATTAATAATTAGAGAGATAAAGATAGAGAAGAATGATTCAGACTCAAGAGATTGATTTCAAGAATCAGCTGGCTGATAGATTGAAGAAGAGATCTTCGGCAGAGTCACAGATGGTGTTGCCACCACAACAAAATGCTCCACATCAACAGCAGTCAACTACGACGATCACGAATACATCAGACAACAACAACAACACCATCAATAATATTAATAATATGACTCCACCAATTTCACCTCGACACAAGGAGCCAAAAGACAATCATAATAGTCGACCACCAATTCCAGATCGCAGAAATATACCAACTCATAAGTCATCGTCGTCCTTCATTGGATCGACGCCAGCTGGTGGCGCCCCACCAAAGATTGGGTCATTTGCGCCGCCACCCCCACCCCCGGCCTCACTGTCCATGGGCAGTCTGGCCCCTCTGCCACAGACGCAGCCACAGCAACAGACACAGTCACATCCACATCCACAGCGCAACGCACCTCCACCTCCACCCCCATCATCAAACAAGCCATCCACATTCACAAATGCGAACCTATCCGCACCGCTGCCTCCCATGCAGCCGGGCCACTCGCCTCGACAACTGTCGAGCGGCAACCTACCGTTGCCACCAACAACCACATCATCACATAGATCGATCTCGCCATCGACTACCATCGCGCCTCCACCATCAATCCCGCCACCCCCACCTCCTCATTTTTCTTCGGCGCCTACCACGCCACTGGCCGGCCTCTCGCCAACACTTTCGACCAACTCCTCACCACCCGCGCCACCTCCCAAATCACTATTCCTCATTTCCAACCTACCTCTGCCACCCCCACCCGAGGCCGCCACTCCTGCGCCCCGACCCACCGCGCTACCACCTCCTCCAGTCACCGCCCCAGTCGCGCACAATCCACCTCCACACATCCTCCCTCGACCAGTTGCCACAAGCTCTCCAAACTTTGGCACCATGGTCACGCCCATTGTACATACTCCTCCTCCTCAAACATCGTCGGCACCAACTACCCCGGCGTTGCCACCATCAATCAAACCAAGGCCAATGGTTCATGGCCACAATAGATCATCATCGCTCGATCCAAAGCTCATGGCCACCGTTCAGATGATACATGCGAATCCAATCCCTGGCGTTGGCGCATCAACATTGTCAACACCACCAACCAACGCCAGTCAAGCCAATCACGCACACCGTCTGAGCAGCGAGTCGAACAAGGCTGTCAACACATCGATGGGACGACTGCCACTGGGGATGCTCTCGTCGCAGGCCGCGTCGCCGCCCTCTGCCAAGTCGCCAGCACCCGCTGCCAACGAGGACGGCAACAAGTCGCCGCACAAAGATGAGGACAAGGAGCTCAAAAAGAAGGAGAAGAAGGAGCAGAAGGAGATAAAGAAGGAGGAGAAGGAGAAAGAGAAGGAGATGAAGAAGGAGAAGAAAGAGATGCTCAAGAAGGAGAAGAAGGATTCCAAGAAGGACAAGCGCGAGATTGGCTCTAGCTCCAGCCAGTCATCACCACGCTCCGCCATATTCAACTGCACACTGGAGCAGATCATGGAGCTGCAGCGCGAGAAGCTGATGGACCAGGGCGGCGACATGGACGTGCCCGTGGTGCTCAAGATGATGACTGAAGCCATCATCGCGATGGATGGCTGCTCGACCGAGGGCATCTTCCGTGTGCCCGGCACTGCGTCCGAGGTACAGCGCTTCAAGAGTCGCTTCAACGAGCTGGACTTCACGCTGGACACCAAGGACGTGCACGTCGTGGCTGGACTGCTCAAGCTATGGCTCCGCGAGCTGACCGACCCCATTATACCGACGTCGTTGTACGACGAGTGCATCAAGACGTGGAATCAAAAGAATGACAGCATCCGTCTGATCGACGCGTTGCCCACGCCCAACAAGCAGGTGATGACCTTCTTGTTGCACTTCCTCAAGACCGTTGCGAACCCGGCCAACATTGCCAAGTCCAAGATGGACATTGATAACATTGCAATGGTGTTTGCGCCTGGTCTACTCAGATGTCCATCCACCGATCCCAACAGTATTCTTGTCAATTCACAATACGAGAAGGAGTTCATTCGTAACTTGATTGAGACCATCTAATAAAGTTGGATATATATTATGATCAATCAATCAGTCAATCATCCTGGCTATCCATCCAGAGGCATCCAAGTAGAATGTCCAGTGTACTACATAACTATCACCCAGAGAGAACCCCCCATCTTTTGATCAAAAGTGTGTGATTGATTGATCAGTGCACTTCCGTGTGTGATTCAGTTGATCAATCACACATACACTCACACACTCAACAACAACAAACACACCAACAACAACATCAACAACGAATATCACATGATCTGCCTTCATGTTGTTGATGAACAATGAGTGCCCTTTTGGTACCCAAGAGGCCACCCAAGGCCACAACTTACCAACTTAGCAAGCATTTAATTTGTTGCGATGCGGTTTGTTCACTACCTGATCAATGAAGGGATGCGAGCTACAGTGATAAAGAGCGATGATGGTGTTCATCAACTACCATTTCTCATTCATTCATTCATTCAATCAATCACTCAATCAATAATACAACAATCATAGTTTAAACTATGGATAAACTACCAATTGGTATAATCAAGTTACTTATAACATATCTTGATGACAGGTTGGATGTTGCCAGTTTGGCATTCGTGTCCAAAGGTCTATACAGGATCAAGTCAATCAGCCAACTCAATCATCTCAATAATAGTACCTCAACATCATTATCATCATCATCATCAATAGCCATAACAAGGAGTTGTGTTAGTGTTAGATCACCATCAGTTTATACCAGGGAAGATGGATCAATTCCAAATATTCCAGTATTATCAAGATATGGTCATCAGAATCATCCAATTGCACCAAATAGTATACCATCGACTGTGACATCATTACACTTTCATGATCACTGGGATCAACCTATCGAGCCAGGTGTAATCCCACCTTTTATCCGTCATCTATCATTTGGAAACAGTTATAACAAACAATTGGACGTTGGAGTGTTGCCCGCGTCATTGACCACACTCGCCTTTGGCTCATCATTCAATCAAGAGCTGATCTGTAACAGCCTCCCCCAAAGCCTGACCTCGTTGACATTTGGATACTTCTTCAACACTTCGATCAAACCAGATATGCTGCCTGGATCACTCCGAACGCTGGTACTTGGCTTCCACTACGCCTCCAAGATTGAGCCTCACAGTCTGCCCAAGTCACTTACCCATCTCAAGTTTGGCTCGCGATTCAATCAATGCTTGGAGCCGTATGTGCTGCCCCATGGATTGACATCACTCGAGCTTGGACACAGCTACGACCGACCCATTCAGCCTGGTGTCCTCCCTCCAACCATTACCAAAGTATCGTTTGGCTTCAAATTCTGCCAAACTATATACCCAGACACATTACCATCATCCATGCGTGACATATCATTCGGGTTCAACTTCAATAGACAACTCGAACTTGGTGTGTTGCCAGCATCCCTTCACTCCCTGAATATGGGCTCATACAACCATGAGCTCGCGCCAGGTATACTGCCAGACTCTGTCACCAAGCTCATCATCGGCGCACCATTCAATCATCTGATCCCAATCGGCAGCCTTCCGTCGTCCCTCAAAGAGCTCTACTTTGGGTTCGCATTCAATCAACCTTTGAGTCCTGGTGCCCTGCCATCATCCCTATCAACCCTAAAGCTTGGAAACAATTACAATCAATGGATACCACCTGGTGCGCTACCATCCAGCCTCACCGATCTACGCTTTGGCAATCAATTCAATCAACCATTGTCCATTGGTGTTCTCCCCGCATCACTTGCCCGCTTGGAGGTAGGCCTGTTCTTCCATCAGAAGGGCAGTGGTGCAGTTCTACCCGCATCACTCAACACAATATCAATGCACAACTTCATGTTGCAACGTTGTTTGATCGAGTCCGCCACGCCATCAAGCATCACAAACGTTATAATCAATCATAACAAAAAGACCAAGTTCATACAGAAGGAAGGGTTCCTCGCCAGACTGGTACAATCATTCATTGGACACAGACGACTATCAAGTAGTGTTAGGAGCATATCATTCATATTTGGTCACATTCAAATCGATGCAATCAATGAGTATATACACTCGATACAGAGTCATAATGACAACGGATCAGGAAGATTAGTCAGTCTACACTTCAAACTCAAGGGCAAGGACAAGATGTCACGCGAGTTCAGTTCAAGAGTCCTCGGAGACAACGACTACCTCTACCTAATCGATGGCGATGTAGTCCACTCACGGAAACTGATCAACACCATCACTGTCAGTGCGATCCAGAGTTCAATATTCATGAAGACTGTAGTCCAAACCAACTGATTGATTGATTGATTGATGGATATAAATAGAAATATATACTCATGTCTTTTGTTTAATTATTTATTATTTATGATCACCTTTTGTTGTTAATATCAGGGATTTCGAAAGATGTCTCGTCTATAATTTGAACTGCCGGCTACTAGGAACACACGGTTCGATCCTGTCTCCCAGTAGAGTAGGTCGCCAGTGTCATAGTAGGATATAAAGTATTTGTATTCGATTCGTCCGGCCTGTCCCAACAATAACTCGCCCTCCCAAGTATCGCCCTGAGAGAACTTCAATGGGAATGCCTTCTGCGGGTCCCAATTACCAAGTTGTTCACAATTTCCAGTGACTCTAACCTGTTGTCCAAATTGTACATGATATTTTAGCTGTATGATTGTTAGTCGATCAATCACTAAATCAATATATATAGTATGTATATATATGGAACATACCCAGAATCGAATCTTTGGCAAGGCTGCTTGACATTGTCTTAGGTGACAACTTAATGATGACCATTTTCCAATCCATTGGCAACCTTGAGCATGATGATCACACCTGACCACCAAGTCGGCTAATATATTAAGTACTAAACAGTTTGGTATGAGTTGTTTGTGTGTTACTGGCAGTCTATCTGTCGGACACTGCCTCCTTGTGTTCAACCAGTTCTGCAGACATGGATTGCAGAACGTGTGCCCACAAGGTGTAACAATTGGATCCTCAATGACTCCTTTACCTGGATCAAGGTAATGAGAGAACTTTTGGTTAGTTCCATATCGAGTTTGAATTTTGAGTTGTCATTCTCTCTTCTCTCGAGTCCTCCTCAAGGGGAACATACCGATCGGACAAATGAAATGATGGCTGACTTTGTCTACAAATAAATCTTCTGATCGACACATCAATGGTGTACTGTTGGTATTCTTTGTGTCTGGCGCTGGAAATGAATATTAATATTTTAATTGATTGATAGATCACAAAGAATAATAAATAATTATACATACCTATTATTTTTGATGTTTTGTTGAATTATTAATTATAATAATAATAATAATAAATAGAATAGATAAATTATGATTATTTGATTGATTATGATTGTATATTCATATCAATTAAATGGATTGAAGTTGAGTTTGAAACTTTAGTCGCCAAAGTTGTTGATACTGCTGCTGTTGATGTTGTTGTTGCTGATACTGATGCTCTAGAGTCAGTCTCTTCTGCTTGTGAAATACTGCAGGGACAAGAAGAAGTAGAGGGACGAGGAAGTATTAGCATTAAAGAAATATCCAAGGGTTTTAAAATGTTGAATAATATATTGAGTTTAGTTGGTTCAGTTGAGTTGAGTTGAAGGAGTTATCTTTACAATGATGAATGAATGAATAACAAACAAATAACCAACTATCAAACAAACAATCAAACAATTAATATGGTCGGAAGGATGGATGATTGGTTGGATGAGTGAGTGCGCTAGTGAGAAGGAGGATGAATTAATATCCCAAGCATTATTCTTATTATTATTATTATTATGCATGCAAGAGAGACGACTCTCTACACAAACTGAAGGAAGGTGTACTGTACGTACTGCATTCATCATCACCATTCACTCATTCATTCATCATCCTCAATCAGGGTGCTTATTGTGGGTAGGTGAAAGGAGTGAGTGAGTGAGTGATTGGTGGGGGCTAGCTGGGTGATCAGTGATGAGTGAGTGACTGAGTTAGTTGTGATGGAGTGAGTGAATGAGTGTTGCTCAGTTCTGATGATGAGTTGTAATGTTGTTTAACTTTGCGCTTATTGAATGCACCTTTCTTATTATCCTAATCAATCAATCAATATAGGTCATATGTAAACTTGTGATGATCATCACCTTGTGTATGTATGTATGTCTGAGTCTTTGCCTACATATGTCTATGCTGTCTCTGACTCCTTGTCACTTTGTTGGATGGTACGTGTGTGAGTGTCATCAAGTAGAGTTACACAACGATGATGGATGATTGGAATGGCAATGATTAAAGTAAGGTATGGATAGATGGATGGATGCACCAACCAACCAAAGTTATATTTATATCAACCTACTACTATCTTATTATGTATTGTATGTATGTTTAGAGGTAAGATTGGTCCTCAGTGAAAGAGGGCTGATGAATGGATTAATTGGTATTGAGCTCTCTGTGAGTGGTAATCCTGAACCATTCATTACATCAAACACCAATACTCACAGAGTTACCATACCGATCCAAGGTTGGTGTGTCTGATGGAGGCACAGTTTGATTGACTGATTGTGTGTGTGTTGTTGGTGAAGGGTCGCCCACCCCCACAAGTCTCTCTTTAATTAATGTGGGCTCGTTGGTTGGATCATGCGTCTGACTGACTGATTGTTTTTGGTTGTGGGCGTCTTTGCAGAAGTAATGTGTCTACATCATTGATGAAGGTGCAGCTTAAATCAAGCTTTGTTCTGTGTGGCTGGGACAATGCCAGGTCCTGATTGACTGTGATCACTTCTGAGCTCAGAACTTAAAGGGGGGCAGTGGCCAGTTGGGGGCAAATGTAGCGGTGGTATCTGGGGCGCGGCTCACATCGGGATCCAATAATGGTGAACCATCCAACCTAGCGATGGGGTTCACTACAATGACGATCATTGGGTCTCGCTCATTCACTCACTCTGGAACCTTGGGTCAAGCTAACACTTGCAAAAATCCTCATAGGGCACGTCTGTGATTGTGATGGTTCCATAACCGCCGCCACCGAGGTTGGTGAGCTGAACTCGACCAGTGAACTTGTCGATGTTGATGTCCAAGAGCTGGCCAGACTCTCCACGATATTTGCCACGCAACACTCTGACCTGGCCACCTGACGCCGGGATCACCGTCTCCAGATAAGTCTGGTCGATCTTGAGCAGAGGGCCATTGCGGTCAATCTCGCCACTGCTGTCCAACAACTGAACGGTGGCCACATAGTCTGAGACCAAAGCGGTGATGACACCCTTTTGCTTGTAGAACTTGCTCTCCTTGTCCATCACCTTGATGATCAATCCGCGTACAATCCAATTCTCTTTCTTGTCTGTCTCGTGGCGGACAACAACATCCTTCTGAAGCTGTTGTTGATGTTTCAAGTCTCTCATCTTCTTCTCGCGTTCATTTCTTGCCATGATCTCGTCGAGTGCGCTTGGAGTCGATGTGCTCGTGGACATGGTCGACTTCTTGACTGGCGCGTTGACATTGACTTCATCATCATCGACGTAATTATCATTGAAAAGATTGGGCTTTGATGTTGATGGCAATGCCTCCTTCAGCTCTGGCTTGATGTTGTTGTTGACCATCTTCAAGCTCATTGGGGTAATGTTTGCCAATTGATCGACAGTGACCTCTGTTGGTATTGGTACTTTGCCTCCTTCTTCACCCTCTGCACCCGCCTCGCCTTCATCCTTGGCGGCAAACATCTCGCTGTCTTTGTTCAACTTCTCCAGACGCCTGTATATCTCCAATCGTTGGAACTCCTCATCAGTGATCTCCATCTTCTCCTTGCTCTTCTCCTTCTTTTGCTTGGCCATTGTCTCTGGGTCTCTGTTGATGTAGGTGATCATCCATCCCTTGGGCGTCTCCTCTACCACACACTTGCTCTCTCTGCCCAAGTACTTGACAAACTCTGACAGTGACGACCATTGTGTTGCATTCATATGTATATGAGTCCTATCCTTAATATACTCATTATATACCTGATTTGCTGCCACCTTTGTCGTTGGATATCTCCTCGCCAACAACTTCATAAACTTTGATTCAAACTCTCCAGAATATCCATCAATGAACATTGATGTATGTGATGCTACAATCTCCATCTGTCTAAGATGTCCTTCTGTTTGTTGATGGCACTGGAGTGTGTCGTGTTAGTACTGTGTCTGATTGATTGATTGAATGAGCCATGTACATACCTTGAATCCATTCTCATCTCTACATTGTTTCTGACAGAATTGACAATACCATCGAAGTTTGAGCAATCCCTTTGCTTTGATCTTGTTCGCGATAGCCTTTGGTGTCAAGAATCCTTCAGACTTGCCCATATCTACTCTACTATATGTTTGACATATATTATCTCTATCTACAAATAATAATACAATTGAATTGAATGAATGAATGAAGGAGAATAAATGTGTTTGAATGAAAGGACTTTTCGAGATTGTTGATGAAAGTTCGAAAAAGACACAGAAGTTCGTCAAAATGTTCTTTTTGCTTAAGGTCGCAAGATCAAAACGTCCTTGTGGCTAAGATTGATACAAGTCATTAGCATTGTGTAGAGTCAATGAATACTTATACACACAATGACAGACAATAATAACAACAACAACAACAACAAAAATAATAATAACAACAACAATAATAAAAATAACAATAATAATGTTGCAAAGATGGATGTAACAGATACAGAAACAGTGATCCATACAAGTAATAAGAAGACTTATACTTTAGGTAGACCACCTTGGTATGATACTACGGGTAAACCAAAGTGCCCATTGGTCATTGGTGTATGTGGTGGAAGTGCCTCGGGAAAGACTAGTGTCTGTCACAAGGTGATCCAATCATTGAATGTGCGATGGGTCGTCCTGCTCTCAATGGACTCGTTCTACAAACCAATTGGAAAGGACGTCGACCCGACCTCCTACAACTTTGACCATCCCAACGCCTTTGACTACGATCTCATGATCAAGACCATCGGTGACATGCGACAGGGCAAGCGAGTACATATCCCCATCTATGACTTTAAGACTCACAGCAGGTAAGTGTCTGTTCACTCAAGGAATGGAATGGTTCCACTCGCTCATTCACTCATTCATTCAATCAATCAATCAATTAGACTGGCGAGACAAGAGACAGTTTATGGTGCCGATGTCATCATCCTCGAGGGAATATTGACGCTGTACTCAAAGGAGTTGCGCGAACTAATGGACATCAAGATATTCATTGACACTGACGATGATGTTCGTCTCGCAAGAAGATGTAAGTCTACTTTGATTGAAGTTGATGATGATTGTGATGGTTCCACTAACATAATGTTTAGTGAGGAGAGACATTAGCGAACGTGGACGCACTGTTGAGAGTGTCATCCATCAATATACCAAGTATGTCAAGCCATCCTTTGACGACTATATCCTTCCAGTGAGTGTTCAATCAATCATTCAATCAATCAATGAATCACATGACTAACAGGAACGACGTTTAGACGAAGAAGCATGCCGATGTAATCATCCCAAGAGGCTCGGATAACCTTGTGGCCATTGAGTTGCTGACACAACATATTAGATCGAAATTGAGCGAGCGAGGATACATTCCTCAGAAGCATATGAGTCTGGCAGAGGGCGTCAGCATCAACAATCTGCCAAAGAACATACATGTGCTTCAAGAGAATCGCCAGATAAGAGCCATCCACACAATTCTGCGCAACAAGGATACAAACATTGGCAACTTTGTATTCTTCTCTGATCGTCTCGTCATGATGATCATTGAGGAGGCGCTGACACTGCTACCCTCACGCGAGAAGACCGTCACAACACCGACCAACGTGGAGTACCAGGGCTACCAGCCCGACTACACCCTTTGCGCACTGAGTGTGTTGCGTGCTGGTAGTTGCATGGAGCAGCCACTTCGTTCCATATGCAAGGGTATCAAGACTGGCAAGGTGTTGATCCAATCAGATGGCAACAAGCAGCCACATGTAAGTTGATCCATCACTCAATCATAATACTCATTCAATCATACTTATACCCATGACCACCATAGCTGTTCTATGAGCGTCTTCCAGACTTGACCGATAGCCATGTACTGGTGCTGGATCCAACGATTGCATCTGGTGCGTCCTCGCAGATGGCCATCCGTGTGTTGTTGGACCATGGCATTCCTGAGGACAGGATCATATTTGTTACAGTGTTGGCCTCGCTCAGAGGTGTGATGACACTCAACTACTGCTTCCCAGATCTCAAGATTGTGACCAGTGCCATTGACAATGACCTCTCTGAGGAGGGTTACATCCTGCCAGGTGTAGGAAACTACTCTGACAGGTACTTTGGAACATGCTCATCCTAAGTGTGAGCCTGACGATTCGATCAAACGAATGAACGAATGAACGAACCTAGCAATGATCGATCGATTGATTGATTGATTGACTGCGCTTGTTGAATGGTTTATTGATTGAATGATTGAATGATTGAATGAGTGCACGCACCATCGATGGTGCATTGCTTGACAGGATCATTGAGTGACTCTGCTTGTGAACTTGTTGATATAATGTGTTGATCGATTACTTGGTGATTTGGAAGTCGCCAGTGAGCCTCTGAACATCGGTGAGCATCTCTTCAGACATCTCGTCGATGTGGACCAGGTCATTAAGACCATTCTTTAGACGCTCTATGTATACTCTGCCATGAAGATGATCGTTCTCGTGTTGAAGGCAAGCTGCAATGATACCGTCTGCTTCGATTGCTCGACTCTGTCCAGCAATGTCTGTAAAGCTAATGATGCAGCGACGTGAGCGAGTGACTCGGCCGTAGAAGTTGGGCACCGACAAGCACGACTCCCATAGACTGATCGTGTTGTTGGCAGTTGCCACGCGAGGGAGATGATTGGTGGCCGAGTGCACACTTCGTTTGAATCGCGTGAGATTGAGCAGGTTCTTGGAAGAGCCGGCAAGGGGACGAGGAATGACAAAGTCCTCGTCGACAATCTCGATGCGCGGGTTGAAGAAGGCGGTCAGGGGGAAGTTTGGGCACTTCAAGTCAGACTCGCGAGCATCCAGCTCAAACAAGAACAACTGCTTCGATATGCCTATCTGGGGTGCGGCGATGCCGCAGCCACTGCTCGATCGCATCTCCCTCACCATCGTATCCAACAACTTCTCCAATCTTGTAGTATCGCGCAACTCCTCCTTTGTCCAAGGCAATGCTGTCTGTTTAAGTATGCCATTGCCAAGCTTAACAATACTCTTTGCTATGTTTAATGTCATTGTTATGTATTTGTTTGTTTGCTACACGTCAACACGTTGTGTTTGTTTCTTGGTATTGAGCACTAGTGGGGTGTGTGAGAATAAGACGAGGCTGAGGCCATGACTTGAACTTTCGCTTCAACTCATTAAAATACATTCGTTTGGATATCTCCAACAAACAAATAATAATATTTAATGGATAATATACCAATAATAATAATAAGAAGAATATTTAATATATTGAAAGATGAAGATTGTTATGTTGATTTAGTAAGTTTGGGATTTACTTCCAAACGTTTTATGATAGAGATACATAATAGATGGAATTTAAAATTAAATAAGATACCAAAGATATCAAAAGAGTTAACAAAAAATATTAAATCTTCAGTAGAGTCATCTATATTTGATGAGCAGGACAAAGAAGTACTTGTACATAATCATAACAAACTTGTCAAATTTCCCTACTCTATTACATCACTCACTCTTGGTCAAAGGTTCCAACAGACCATCACATCAAACATATTTCCATCCTCACTCACCTCGTTGTCATTCAAAGGCGACTGTGTCCTAGACTTGGCCTACCTTCCAAAATCACTCAAGACCTTGGATCTCTCAAACAAATTTAACCAGCTACTCAAGCCAGGGGAGCTACCTTCAACATTAACTTCTCTCTCCTTTGGACACGAATTCGACAATGAGCTGTTGCCCGGGGTCCTTCCACAATCACTCTTATCTCTTTCATTTGGCTGTCGTTTCAATCAAACTCTTCAGCCTCGATCACTCCCTTCCTCATTGACCAACTTAAACCTAGGTAGTTCACCATTCACATCTGGACTTAATGGCATGCTACCGGCACTCATCAAACTAGTGATCGGGTGTGGATTTGGGTCCAATGCACCATTTACCCCTGGCATAATACCTTCAACAGTTCAAACTTTGGTGATTGGAAATAATCAATATCAGAATTTCAGTTATGGATTCCAGAGTGGTGAGACACCCGATTACTACATTCCCGACTCAATCACCGATTTGACATACAACGGATCACTTAGAGTTGGTTTGATACCAAACTCGGTTACCAATCTGACATTCAATTGTTATAGATTCGGGGGAGCGATCGAAACTGGCTACATTCCCGAATCAATCACCAGATTGGATTTTGGTCACAATTTCAATTGGCCTATTATCAAAGAATGTCTACCGTCATCAATCAAGACACTGATGTTTGGAGACCTTTTCAATAATTACATTGAACCGGGGGCGCTCCCTAAGTCACTAACATCCTTGAGATTTGGATATGGATTCTCAAGAGACATTTTGATTGGAGAACTGCCTTCCTCAATCAACCATTTGGAATTTGGCAATATCTATTACAATGGATTCGCAGTTGGTGTGTTGCCTACTTCACTCAAAACAATGATCCTAAGAGCTAGCCAAATAAGACCCATCAAGTTCTCTGGCAAGCTTAACTTTCTTTCTATACCATCACTGCTCCATATCCAGAACGTTCATTGTCAAGTGGATCATCTCATATTGACAAAATTGGAATTGAGGGACATTTCCAAAATGCCAACAATCCTTCCAGTGACAATACCGATCAAGACATTGAGTGCAAGTGCCCCTGGAAGAACATTCAATAAGCGAGCACAATTCATCAATGAGATCATCCGAGTCTCTCCCAATGCAGATGTATATAACTTTACCATAACAAAGGCCAAAGGTGATTGGACCATTCAATTTCGCAAGATTGAAGGGCACTTGTTATTAAGTGTCACCAATCACCGAACCATTGAATTCTTCAAAATGAATGTACCAAAAGAGATCAAAGCAGAGGAGTTGATACAACAGTTAACAATGGAGAATGACTCACTCAAATCTCAGTTGGCCGAAGCAAATGCCAAGTTGGCTGAGCTTATCGGAGTCGGCCCTTCCACATCCTCAGACAATGATGAGGACAGCTCTGAACCTGAGCCTGAGCCCGAGCCACCAGTCACCAAGAAGGCAACAGCCAAAAGAACCAGTAAATAAACTTTTACTCTTATCAATCAATCAGTCAATCAAATATACATAATGTATTGGAGTAGTAAGGAGCGAAGTCGCGCAATTGAATGTTTATATACATTATCCAGATGATGGAGGGTGTTTAGATGTTAATATTGGCGCTGATGTGAGCATCCAACAAGTTGCAACGACCCAAGTTGATATCGATATCAACATTTGCATCGATGTGAATACCTGGGAAACATGGGTTCCAGCATGCACTCTGGCTTGAACCTTGGGAGGCACCGCTGGCTGATGATCCAGAGAAGGAGGCACCAGACTTGGCCAATGAGGCAGATGGGTTCATGTTCTTAAGGGTGGCTATTTGATTGATTGATTGATTGTTAGAATATTATCTCTTATTTGAAGAAGTTAATTTCAAGAATATACACATACCAAGGATAGTCATTTTAGTTTATATTATTATTTGTTAAGATTATTTGATTGATTTGATGATATAAAAATGATCAAATATTATTGTTTATATAGTTTTTGAACAATGTGGAATATACCCAATCAGTTGGAAAGATATTTGATAGGAGGTTACCATAATTGGTTGAATTGATGCTGTGTCTTTTCGAATTAGTGTCATTAACATTCTTTTAAAATGACATCCAAATCAGGATAATGTCTCCACTACATTAACTGTCATCAACGTCAACTACTTATATCTTTGAACATATTTCAATCATTTTTGTGGATGGCCATCACCATCACTTCACACAAATCCACATCATCCTCAAACCAACCACCCTCTTTTATTATCTGATTCCACCTCTTCCATTACACACACACACACACATTCCTAAGTGTAGATCAATATGTCAATCAGTTAGTCATTAATTGGGTAGATATATGTGTTAACTAAAGTGTGAGTAAGTGCGAATGAGTGAGTTGGTGAGTGTATGATGGTGTATGTACTTGGAATCAAATACAAACTCCCTCGACCATATGATATCAACATTGTTAAGTTAATTTAATTTGGATCAACGAAATAATAAGTTAATTCCGTGATGTATCAAGTAATAATGTCTGGATATTAATTAACATATTATTGCTCCAGTCTAATACAAAGTGGAACAATGAATATAAATACTCGACCAAATTGATCATTTTAAAATCATCAAATCAATCAATTTAATTAACTTACTAAACAATACCAACTTAGAAATGACTCTCATCTCTGCCTTGAAGAACATGACTCCAACTTCCTCCTTGGGAATGTCCAACTCATCGATTGCCAGTGCCTCCTCCAGCTTTGGCACTCAATCCTCAAATAAGAATGCTTGTCTCCTTGGTTGTGTCGGTGGTCTCCTCTCTGGTCTGCATGTTGATGCCAACGTTGATGCCAATGGCAGCCGCGCTGGATGCAACATCCTCACTGCCCACATTGATGCCCATGTCAACTAAGGAACTTCCCTGTTGTTTCTAATCCTTTATATAATACTACTGTATAAATCTCCTTGTAATAAACTGTAATAATGGTTATTACCATCCTTCCTAAATCATATTCAAATTATAATTTATTTGTTTGTTTGTACAAAATTAATATATTGTCTAAGAAATATTATGTAGCATACTAACAAAATACCCATGACCCAGAAACAAACTATCATTATTTTATCACTCACTCAATGAATCAATCAATCATATTGAATATTCATCTCTTCCTTTTAAGAACATTAATAACAATTTGTTGAGTCATCTTTCAAACCTCGTTGAGGATAAACATAACAATATCTAGAGTTCATATCCCTTTCATAATGATCTCAATACTAAATTAAATAATTTATTAATATTATTCATCTACCTATTCAATTTAAGAACAACCTCCTTAAGAGTAATGAAAGTACAATAATATTAATGGATGACATCATCTTGATCATGATCATCTTCACTATGATCATCATCATCATCATTAAAATAACCCCTAATGTATTATCTGTATATACATCATATTCTACTACACTCGAACACCACCCTCTTAAAATTGATTCTTTTAATTTGTCAGTAAATGTGGTTTGACAAGTGTAAAAGTAGGTGTGAGTTAGAGAGCGAGCGGGTTAACAAGTACATGGATACTAGTAATAACTCCAGCTACCCATGTGATAACAATACTGTTAAGTTTAAGTTGAATCAAAGAAATAATAAATAAATTCCATGACGTGTCATCTAATAATTTCCGACAATATATATTTATTAACAGTCTAATCCAGGGTGGATCAATGGATATAAATACTGTACCAAATTGATCATTTTAAAATCATCAAATCAATTAACTTAATTAACTAACTTAACTAAACTTAAAAATGACTCTCATCTCTGCCTTGAAGAACATGACTCCAACTTCCTCCTTGGGAATGTCCAACTCATCGATTGCCAGCGCTGCCTCCAGCTTCGGAATGCAGTCGTCCAACAAGAGTGCCGGTCTCCTTGACTGTGTCGGTGGTCTCCTCTCTGGTATCCATGTCGATGCCAACGTTGATGCCAATGTCAACCT